CCGACTCTTTGGCTACTAACTCAACGGATCCTCCTCCTCCTCCTCCACCACCAAGCGGTGGCCCAGTTGTAAATCCCGGTGTCGATGGCTATGCCAGCATTGGATGCTATACCGAAGCTACCAACGCGCGTGCTCTCCCTTATGAGTTTGACACGGATAAGCGAACTGTGAAAGAGTGTGTAGATGCTTGCAAGGCTGGCTCCTACACCTATGCTGGTGTCGAATACGGCGGAGAGGTAAGTTATATCGTTTATGCGTGGTGTTTACTGGAGAAGATTCTGTTGCTAACTTTGTGTTTAGTGCTGGTGCGGTGATTCATTCGGCGACGGTGCAGTTTCTGCCCCTATTACAGATTGCGGGATGACTTGTAACGATAATTCTACCGAGTATTGCGGTGGCCCTAACCGCCTCAACGTCTATAAACTCGGCACCACTGCCATTTCCACATCAACTTCAACCGCTTTTAGCACAGCCACCACTGTTCCTCCTACCGGTGGAAGCACGACTGTGGTCGCTACTAGCACTACCACGAGCATCTCGTCAAGTATCCCAACTCCTACGGGACCGTCAGTCAACCCCGGATTGGATGGCTACTCCAGTATCGGTTGCTATACCGAAGCTACAGATGCGCGAGCTCTCGCCAACTTCATGGATACCACCAACAAGACTGTTGCAAATTGCATAGAGGCATGCAAGGCAAATAGCTACATCTATGCGGGTCTTGAGTATGGTGGAGAATGCTGGTGTGATAATTCATTCGCAAATGGATCTGTTCCTGCTCCGATTGGGGATTGCGGCATGACTTGCAATGGCAACTCGACTGAGTTCTGCGGTGGTCCAAACCGACTCAATGTTTATCAACTCAAAAAGACTCCAGTTACAAGCTCTGCTCCCGCGACAACCGCCTCTTCAAGCACTGGCTCTTCAGCCACTGTCCCTCCAACCACTGTCCCTCCGACTACGGTTTCTTCGACCACAAGCTCGGGGACAACGACGTCTATTGCCACTCCCACCGGCCCTGCAATCAAAAAGGTTGTCAACAACTACAATTTCCAAGGGTGCTGGGCCGAGCCTCCCAATGATCGTGCCATCATTGACCAGATGTATGCAAACGACTCGATGACACTCGAATCCTGCGCTACTTTCTGCAAAGGCTTTACTTATTTTGGAACCGAATATGGACGAGAGTGCTACTGTGGCAATGTCTTGAAGCAAGGCGCTGTCAAGGCTGCCAACCAAGCCGATTGTTCGTTCCCTTGCGCCGGAGACGGCACAGAATACTGCGGCGCGGGATTCAGGTTGGAGCTTTACATGCTCTCATCCAATACCACGAGTGCGACCACAGCGCCAGCATTTAGTACCTCGGCAGCCCCCAAGAATCTTGGCGCAACTACTACTTCAGGAACAGCTACTACTTCAGGAGCGGCTACTACTTCAAGTGCAGCCACTACTTCAAAAGCAGCCACTACTTCAAAAGCAGCTACTACTTCAGGAGCGGCTACTACTCCAATAACCGCTACTTCAGCAGCCTCGTCTGCATCACCATCACCGACTGGCCCCATTATCTTCCAGGGCGACAAAAACTATACCTACTACGGATGTGTGTCAGAGCCTTCGGCGGGTAAACTCATGGACAACCAAGTTTACAACAATGACACGACGATGACGCCGCAAGTTTGCTTGTCTCATTGCGAGCAGTATAAGTACGCTGGTGTTGAGTACGGCCAAGAGTGTTGGTGCGGCAATACACTTAATCTTGCGGGCTGGACCGATGCCACGCCTGGAAAAAACGTATCAAGCTCCCAGTGTAATATGGTGTGTCCTGGAAATGCCACGGAATATTGCGGTACTGGCAACATACTCCAGCTATATGTGAGGAAGACGCCTGTGAGTAAGCGATGGTGAAAATGATATGGATGCGATAGGTTGTAGGTGACTTGGATCTTAAGTCAAGTTCCTTTCTCAGTCGTAGCTTGGCTGATGTATTATTTATTATTTGGTTTTTTTGGTTAGTGATGGGATATGGATGGTATTGGATATATATGAAGGGAATGGTCTATACACAAGTATACGGTTTATTAGGAAGATAGTAGATAGATAGTATGCAATCCTTTTTTCTTATTTTCACATCAGAATATTGATATGACTTCATTTTGAAGCTTAAGCCTTGTTACCGTGTTGCGTAATATAACATATCGTAAATCATGCTTAACCGACTCGCTCAACCGCCCCTAATGTTCATTCCATCTGAAGCCGCACATTTGCATCTATACTGCCTTGCCGTCCAACAGAATCTCCACTTTCTCGTTATAAAACGAAATTAAGCCTGCAATGGCAATGCTCTCTTGAATCGGGTAGTTATAATACCAGACGATATCCTTGTACTCCTTTCCATCTAGGACGACATTGTAGTACTCTGCAATACCCTTATAGGGACAGACTGAGGTAGTAGTGCTGGGTCGCAGCAGAGATGGATCAATGGACGCGAGGGGGACGTAGTAGCGAGTTTTGAGGCTGGTCTCGTGAAGGTGGATGGCGTAGGAGGATTTGGCGATAGTCTTGCCGTCGATGCGGACTTCGAAAGGACGAGTGGAGTGGAGGAAGTCGAGGCGCTTGAACGGGTCCTTGGGGTGGCCAATGATACGGACGTCTTCCTCAAGCCAGGTGTCTTTACCATGAAGTTAGCATGCGGGTGACGGAAATGTCGCTTTAGATTGAGATGAAGCTAATCTTACCCATCGCACCGAATTCCAATCTCACAAGGCCTGCCAAGTCTCCCAAGCTGGGATCATTGTCAAACCTCAGTACTCGATCCGTAGTCTTCTCCGGAACGCCCGCCTTTGCTGGAACGGTGAGTTTAACAATGGTCGCGGTCTTCGCAGTGCCTTCGCTCTTGATGGATTGACTATCGCTGAGAGTGCTGTCCTTGATCTCGGAAGAAGGGATGTAAAACTGAGGGTACCATTCATGTTCCCAAACCCAGAGTGCTTTAGTCGTGTCTACAATGGTGGTCTGGTTGAAGACGACGCGAACTCGGCGAGGCGTGGGGAGAACCTTGTTGGCGCCATTCTTAAGCAGACGGTCTGCGAGCTCGACGAGACTGTTGGTGATAATTATGTTAGCTAATGATATTACAGATGCAGTGGGTGAAAATTGCAATTATGAGAGATGCAATTTGTAGTGATGAATTTGCGTGGGAGCAGTGACATACTTGGATCCCATTTTGGCGGCAGTCAAATGTTAATTTAATTCGCAAATGATCTACAGAACTGGCAGCCACCAAAAAGTAATTGTTCGAATGTAGACAAAAAAGAAAGGTATGAAGCTGTATTTAAATTCTACAAAACCGGTCTTATAAATCAAGAGCTTGCAGCACTTCCGTTGCTCATCTTTTTTCTGCTTCCGGCTTTGTAAGTTTCCCAGCGTGAAAGACCCCGCAAGCTCGTGGTTTAGACGCGCATGACGCAATGAGGAGGGCTGGAGAGCTAGAAAGCTGACAGATCTTTTTGAAGAGAAGAGGGGGGAGCAGACGCCTAATTGGCGGCTTGCATGGAATGGTGCGATTTGTAAGAAGTGCGGTGGAGTGGCGGCAGTTGTATGCAAGCTAATGTTAACCATTTTCCGAATTTAGACGGTATACCAAGCACTTAAGAAAAGTATATGAAGCTATTGATGACAAGGTAGGATGATAAAATCTTTCGCTGGTTTGATGAGGTTTTATGAAGTTTTATGAGTTAGACGACCCCTTTAATTCTAGACCTGATTTGACTCTCCAACTAAATTTTAATCTGACCGATTTCGATCAACTGGCGCATCTGATCTCGCCTCATATCAATATCAAGCTGGTTCATAGTGTTGTCTCCTAGATGATTCTGACGTGGATCAAATTGTAATTCAAGAGTTTATTAGACAAAATAGTCTCATATAATTGATTGAATTATTTGGGATCGCTTTCTTTTATCTCATTGTATGCTTGGTCCCATAATTGTTCAGGGAGAGTTAGACTTGTCCCGAGTGAGTTATCGTGGTTGCCGTTGACGTTATCCGTAGTAAGCTTTGTTTTGTCGTTGGTTGATAGTTCTAATAAGAAGATTTCTTTTGATCTAGTATTAGGCCCTGTTCTAGCTTGAGATTTGCCAGTGACGCAAATATGGGGCGATTGGTTTGGAGAAGACAGGACTTGAGTAGAGCTACCGTGAGGCCATATACTGGTGGTGCCGAGGACGATAGGTAATGTCAAGAGTACTCCTTGATTGACACTACTATCTTTACTTTCGACATGGCCTCGTCCAAGTGCACGGAGAGGCAAAGCTCAAAGAGTATCGAGAGCAGCGCGCAGAGTCGCAGGCAGAGTTGAAGATATCCCTTGGCTCACGCTACTATCTTTAGGTTCGCCACGGTTTCTTCGCAAGACCTTCTTTTTTAAGCGTGATCGAATAGAGCTCGATGGCATTGTGTCGGTAAAATGTTTGTAGTCTTGGTGTATAAGATTGATTTTGAGTAAAGCTAACGAAGCCGAATTATAGAGAGTTGGTTGAAGAAGAGATCATGTTTATATAAGTACTTTGACGTCGTACAGAAGCATATAAATAACTTGACTCCTCATATCCGTGTAGTAAAAGTATCAGGTGGAGATTTTGACACCTATTGCAGCTTATACCTATTTCAGAAAACACAACAGCTTTTGAGGGAGGTCATTTAATCTATTGGAGACTCGGTCACAGAAGCCAAGGGCCAACGCGCCGTGCATAAAAGCTCGTCATATCATATAAACAGAGTGCCTGGCACCGTAGCACATTGTCATACCGTTAAAAATGATTGAAGCAGTCGAATGTGGGTAATAGCAGTCAAGTAAGGAATGCAAGCAGAAGTCCACCGTAAAAGAATTTTGTGTTGCTATGGTTCAATATAACGACGACGTCTTCAGTAACGCGCTCGCCCGACAAAGTTTTGGGCGCAATATATCAGTAATCCTTCTGTGCGATCCCCAGACAGAGTGATTATTCTTCAGACTCCGCATTAGGCGTGACAGACCATGTTTGCGCTGTGAATAACAACCGCCCGTCTTGCCTCAATTGCTCAGGGTCAAAGTATACGCACATGCCAATATTATCGCTATTCAGCCAAAACACACGTAAAATCATGTATATCTCTGAGCGATTTGGTGTCGTGTGTGTGCGCCTCATCTGTACGCACCAAATTAGTCTTCGCAAAGGTCAAGCCTCTTGGAATTTACTTACACGCTCATATTGGCTGTTGCTCATGTAGAATGGAGTTTCTCGTGGCCCTGTAGTAGTTTTTACCTCTATATAGTACTTTGGTCGAGAATTATGCCATTCATCATGATTGAGATAACCGCAGCCGATGAGAGTATTGGTAAATTGGCCCTCAGTATCGTGGTAAACCAGGTCCGCGGTTTCTCTGCCACGCCAACTAGCCAAGTTGCGATAACTGGGATGCGCCCTAACGTAGCCTCTGATTGTACTTTGCCAGTTCTCATTGCTCCAACGGGGCAATTCAAGGGTAGATAGTAACTCAAACACCTATAACGAAAAAATATTGGTTAGCTCTCGGAGCTCATGTTACACTGTTCGCAATACTCACGAATAGCTCGCCCGCGGCCCCGACTTTCTTGTCGCGCTCCAGCTGATTTTCAGATCGAAATCGCGTGACAATCTCCAATCCATCAAAACTTTCAAACGTGTTATCTCTGAGTTGACTGGGCAAGTTATTGCGCAAGTCGCTCATATCAAAAGAACCTTGAGAAGGAAATACTGCACTCTGAGCTGCGGTAACAACTCTCTCCAAAAGCACACCATATTGTGTATCGGCAGACGCTCCCGCAGATGCCAAATTTTCACGATTCTCCGCTAGCATCAGAGATGGACCAGGAGTGCTCGGAAGACGCGAATGGGCAATTGAACTTTGCCGATGGGAAGGTATGTCTTCTTGCCCTTGACCATCCGGCGGGGGTTGACTTGAAAGATGACGTTGCCGAAAGACGGTCTCGACTAGTGTCTCCGAGTCGCTTCCCGGGGTATCTGGAGATCGTGTTCTTCGACCTTGTTGCTGTTCCAATCCACTATTGTCATCTTCCTCCTCATCGTGATCATCTTCTTCCTCATCTTCAGTGTCCTCGTCTTCGGTATCCTCCTCATAATCTTCATCTTCCTCTTCGTCATCCTCAGTATCCTCATCGTCATCCTCAGTATCCTCATTTAAAATCTCAATTTGAAAAATCCCATGACGGTCGCAGGTTTCGCTGAGAACAGAACGATCATATGCAAAGACAGCAGTTAAAATATTAACCATTTCACTCTCAACTTTGCCAATTCTCTGCGTTGTCGAATCTTGCATTAGCCACTCTGCAAACTTTCTTGGCAGTACAGAGCTAAAGCAGATGCCCTGGTCTTTTTTCCCTCGGGGCACAAAGATTGTGAGTCCGGACGGAGTGTGCTCCATGTGCACTTTTCCAGTAACGTCTTCGATGCAAAAGTTCTGGTTATTCTGAGACACAGTCAGAGTAGAGGATATACGAGCTGTCTCCATGGTCTTGATGGCTCGTAAAAGCTGGTAAAACTCAGAGGAGTCTGCCTGATAACGGGGACTGCCAAAGGTAGCCGCAATGCTAGTTTGTGGGAAATAGATTGTCAGCGTCGCTAATTCTTTTCACATACATGCTTTACTCACCGGAGAATATAGTAAGCTTTGCGCTTCAGATCTCTCTGCTCCATCAAGATTGGCCGTCCAATCTTAGACACAGAGGTTCCCTCTACAACGCAGTTGGATAGGTATCTCTCCTCAAGCTTTGTCCACTCAAAAAATGGTTTCAACCGACGAATATCTTCCAAGTTGAAATCTAGCATCGCAATCTTGTCTTGAAACACATTGCCTAAAGGGTCCCTGTCCGGAATAGCAAAATCCACCTTTGCTGATCGTAGGGCGACTTCTCCATTGCAATATCTTACGGGAAAATTATCAACATCCAGAATTGGTCGCGGATCTAATAAAGTCGGCTCGGTTTGGAGTAGACTACTAAAAGACAAGATGGCGTCTTTCAGATCATTATGGTCCTTCTGTGGGGAGGGCTGTATCAATTCATCATAAAGCATTTGGATGGTGAGCGATGTGACCCCCAGCTTTCCAACGAAAAAGTCTTTGAGGGATTCGTAGTGCGAATCTAGTATGGCTTTCCCCCTAATTTCGACCTTACTAGACCACAGGCAATCGGAGATGCTGCACCATCTCCATTCGCCGTGACTCTTAGCAAATATGAGTTCTTTCGTTGCAAATACCTCTCTGCATTTCCATTAGCCTCTTTTCCAAAATCACCAGATCTGCGAGTACCATCAAACCTACCTAACCCTAGTCACTGGAAGCTTAAGTCCTCTCAAATACCTGTACAGCTGATCAATTCGTGGAAAGTCGTCGCCGTCACAGCCTGCGGCCTTTGACTCTTCTAACTCGGTCGCAATGTCGGAACAGGAGGCGGAAGGGATTTCAACAATTTTATGAAAGAGGCGCTCTATATCTTCCAGCTGGTCGTCATCTATGATTCTCGAGTAAAAGCTTTTGAGAGAATATTTTGATAACATGTCTTGGGGGGCGCGCCACAGGCAATTAGAAGACGATGTCCAGCAAGAGCTTTTGCCGTTTGGTACAAATATTCTGCCTTCTGCGAAGAAATCTCTATACAAATCGATTAGCGGTTACATACGAAGAGCTGTATTTGTGCTTACTTAATCGTGCGTTGATCCTTGTCTTGGTTTCTGGACAATTTGAGTATCGAATAAATAGCAGCGTATAAGTTAAATATCTTATGGCTCTGCAGAGTTGACACACTTGCTGCTTTCAGATGTGATTTCTGAATATAATGCAGTATGGTCAAGTAGAAACCCAAGTTGTCATCCTTGTTGACCCCGAAATGGTCCGCAAAAAAGCTCCATTCAACACCGAATTTATCATCTGAATCGGTGTTATCGATCTTGAGAAATGGAAAATGCTGTGGAAACTCCATATATAGTGATGCATGGTCGCGAAGGCCCTCAAATGGGAGCCATGTATCCCCAAAGGAGATAGCGTAGCTCACTCCGCAAAGTTCTTTCGCAGACAGAGCTTTGATGTTTCGCCGTAGAATCTCGCTCCTCTTGGTTTTGGAATCCTCATGTTGCCAGAGATAATTCAACAGTCCGAGGAATTCTTCTGGATGGTGTTTGTGAACATAAGTTAGAGCTTCTGATAAAGACCCTCCACTAGCATCAACAAGCCGTAACCGCTCTCGTATGCCCACAAAGTCGAACAGCCATTTTTCCCAAGATGGAAAGCTTGGATCAGGTTTCTTTGGGATACTTTCCATGTAGATTTCATGTAAAAATCTAACAGAGAGCCCGGGAGCTGCGCCACGAGACGCAAGAACAGACTGTGGGCTAAACCTGTGTGTCGTTCCGGGAAGGTAAATGTCAGTCTTGTGTGGCCGAATTAGATTGCTCTTGTCATCCCCCACTGCAACCTTAAATGCAAGCTCTGTTTCGGTCGATATCCCAGGCTGGTGTGTGCGATATAAGTAGCGCAAAAAAGTCAAATGATCTGATCCGAGCAAACCGTTGTTTGGCGACATATATGCCCTCAGTATTGATGCCCTAACTGCAACTATGTCCGCCTCTAAAACACCCAGTTGAACAAATAGTCTGTTCCACTCGTCGTCAAATATTCTTTCAACTGGTAGAACCCTAATATCCAATCGTTCAGGGATGGGGATGTTTTTTGTCATTGGGAAGTATATCGGACCCAGCGCCGCGGAGATCCACTTCCCATCTCGTAAGGGAATCAGAGGCAATTGTCTTAATCGATTGAGAAAAGAATAATTGCGATCAAACCACGAACAAAGGAGACTAGCCACAGCTGAATACCAGGCCCCGTCCGTCTTTTTTCCATGCATTTTAGAGTTAGGATTGCGTAAATCACTTTCTAGCATTTCCAAGATGGCGTTTGGTGAAATGTTCTTTAGTCCATAACCCTTTAGAACACTCCTTACTGGCTTGGAATACTTTGGTGAAAGAAACGGGTCCTTGTCCGGGTCGTCAAATAATGGCACACCTCCCTCATATGTCGCATCTTTAGTAAGAATCGAGATGTCGGTGATGACTCGCGGGTCCCTCCGATGGCGTGACTTGAGTGTAGGACTCGTCGTGACAATTCTTCGGATTTTAATATTTAGCTCGGCCCAAAACGTATCCAATGCACCTTCAGTGTTTGGAAGAAACAGAGGCCATTCATAGCATAAAGAGGAGTGTTCGCAAAACTGTTTGATGGCGGTAAGGAATGCCTTTGCTATCCAATCAAGGAGATTTTCATTTCTTGTGGAAGTGGTGATGATGTCTTGGCGATTGGCACTGGTATCGAAATCGGAGTGAATGAGAAACTGAATGGCGAGAGTCGTTAATCATTTTGTGTAGACAGCCTAGGGTATAGTGGAGCGACATGGAATCTCACCTTGTAATCCGACTCTCTCACCGGCAGAAATGCAAATATTTCTTGTTTTTTCTTTGTATTAACAATTGGCTTGAATTCTGCAGTGAGAGGGAATGCTAGAACGACCTCAGCAGAGGTCGAGATAGTTTGAGTATCATCCGTATTAGGCAGGTCGCGGTTATCGCTTCTTGCTAGTCCGTGTGCTGTCAATGTCGTGATGTGATATATTTGGCTTTCTTTCCTTGTCTCATTGTCTTTGGCGGAGTCTGTGTCCAAAGCTACTCGATATTTATCGACCTGGCGCTTCAGGAACTCTTTCGATTTCTCAACTCTGTTACTTTTGTCGTAAAACACCATCTTTATTCTCTGAAGCTTCTTTAAGAAAAGTAGGGATGTTTGTTGCAAGTCGTCTAGCTGTTTGAAGATGATTGATTTGAGGCGCTGAAGTTCGTCTTTGTCTCCTTCGTCATGAAAATAAAGAGTCATGCGTGTCAATGGCCCCTTCAGCTTTTCATTAGTTGGTATCCAAATGGGCCTGACCATACCCAGTCCAGGATCATCTCGTTTATGTCTGAATTCGAATGAGAAATTCCCAGACTGGATGTGTACCTTCCAAGCAGCGATAAAAACAGACTTGAAACCGATGCCCTTTGCACCAATGTAGCCATAAGAAGTGGATTTGGTGCTCTGCCCAACTGCACAAATAGCCACCAAGTCCCGCTCGGTAAAGCCATCTTCATTACATTCCACAACAATCCGGTTTTCATAGACCTCGAATGAGATGTAGGGATCTTCAGTGGTTTTGGAAAAGTTATTATCTTCCGCGTTTTGAAGGAGTTCAAACACAAAACGAGCGCCACTGCCATAAATCTGCTTGGCCAGGCTAAAGCTTTGTTAGCATGTGTGTAGACGTTGGAGACTTTGTGCAATACGGACGTTTTGATAGAGTGCGCCGCGGTATTCTCCATCGCAAGCCAATTTTCATCTATTTCGCGACGGTATTCTGGCTTCCATTTTTCGATATCACTCATCATTTCTTCGTTCAAGTACCCATACTTCCTAGTTAGGCGGCGTACAATCTCTTCTGCCTTTTTTACTGAAGCCATAATTGCAATATTATGCAGAATTGTGCTCGTAACACGATAACTTGTGTGGTGTCTCAAAAGGTGTTGCAACGGACGGCTGATGTGTCAGATGTCCCGGTCTTGTAAAGTAAATATAAAGGTCAATCTCAGTTCGTGTGCCTCTTCAACACATGGGGCTGCTGAATATTTATGTCAGCCATCATCCATAGCACAGCTGTTGCTCTGTGACATGTGGTCGTCCGATACTAACCAACTGGGTGTGACGACCCAGCGGCAAGAGAAGAAGCTAGATTGGTCCATGTAGAGACGATAAAATTGGACTCCGCCTCAATGCAGAGGTTCGCATTGGTGGGGCTTGTAAACCGGATATACATAGCATGTGTGTTGGTGATAACTGAGCAGATGTAACCATCGTGGAGCCCCGCGAATCCCGGTCAGCGGATACAGTCTGCGAGCTGAACGACGCGGTTGGACTATCATCAAAAAGAGTCAGGGGAGCGTTTGCGAGAGATTTGATAATAGCACGCCGACTCACAACAATCGCTCCAAGAATCGCGCCGTTCCCCTCCTCCTTTAGATTCGCTCACTTTGTCATGTTACCTGTTAAGAGGTACATGTATTCCTCATGAAAAAGAGGGCTTCTCGGGCAAGCCGACTTCGCACCGCATGTTCCAACCAACATGCATAAATTCCCTGTCGCTATCGACTCCATTCTGTCTCTGGGCTCTGATTAATTGGACAAACGTGGGACGAACCTGTAACCATTACTGGAGAAGGATCAAGGTTACGACTCTTACAACTGCGGTTGGATCAAAGAGCTTGTTATTAACTACATGTACCTATGATAACATGGATTTTACGCGCTCGCTTGTTACATACTAGTGTAATGAGATGCCTGTGGCGGCAAATGTGTTTGATCTAGCGCCGTGGCTTACTCTGGGGTAACCCCATATCTTTGATCCTGGCGGCAGAGAATGACCCCCTGGCTTGATGTTCGCTAAGCCTGCGCTGTATTAATTGAGGCTGAAGAGGGACCGAGAGACAGAAGACACTAGCATGATTGTATGATCCTCTCATGTTATACAGTAAAATACCTACCTTATCAATACCCTTATTCTCCCACATGTAGTATACATAGGCGGATAGCGAGGAGAAATGGCGGAATTGGTTGTTTCAGTAGTATTGCGCCTTATACCTAAAATTCATCGTTACGATAAAGCTAGATCATGCAGAGAAGTGAAAGGGACATGAAAGCGCAATATCTATATAAGTTACAAGTCCATGTGTATGCTATATTGATGAACCTCGAAGAAATTAAGTACTCAGTAAGGCCTCACAAATGACGTTGTGGCTTCGGGTGCCTTGTAGACCTGCGCATCAGTGACATCTGCATCGTCGAGACCGAGCCAACAAAGAGATGGTTCCAAGCTCCAAGCGGCGATAAGAGACCTCGCAACATTTTTGAGCGCCTTCTTGACTTATCACTTTCCACAAAGTCTATGGGTAGTTTCTTGAGGACATTCGTAGACCTCCACAAGCTCGATTGCTTGGGGGGTGGATGTCACTGGTGGTCTTACCTACTAATGCAGCTCTCATCGAGTATTCTGTTCAAGATCTGTGCTTTGTCATCAAGATATCCATCAAGTTCAGTCACACAAGATACAAGCAGTGGAATTTGCTCTTCTCTAGCCACAACGAGCTAAGGAAGTGTTCAATTTGCTGAGCTAGTGTTCATTAAAAGAACAAGACAGAGACTTTACTAGGCTTGGGAACAAAGAAAGCAAGTGTTTTGCTTTGGCGTGTACCATGTTCCAACGACAAAACATAACTCAATACTGCTGCTATATTGTTCGCTGGGCACCCTGAAGGGAATTCACTTCTATGTTGAGCAGGAGGTGGTTCAATCACCGGCGGGTATTTACAAAGGAGATGAAAGCTTCTTTGTTTCCTACTAAGCAATCCCGCCAACCGCGTGAAAACGCATAGCTCGTTCCCTATTGCTTGAACATGTATATATCAGAGAACTACCCCTCATCTCACGAGTTCAACGCACGATCCCTGCGGCAAACTTACGTGACACTCTGCCAACTGGAACTCGAACTCTTTACCACATTCCCTCCGAGCTCCTCACAGTAGTGCCAATCTATTTTCTGACGTTTAATAATGGTGACGAATGCCTTTTCCTTATTACAACTTCAATACCTAACTCGAATAGCTCAGCACATTAACAACCGGGATAGTGCAGCGCCATGTCCATCTCAGACCTGTCAAAGGAGTGCCAGGAGCTCTTCAATAGGCGTCTTGTTTCCGCTGCATCCGCTCCCAAAGAACGGACAGCAATAGAGAACCACCTCTTTAGATTCAATCTATGGGTGAAGTTCTATGCTGCTCCCTACGATAAGCGAGACTCGCTGGACTGCCGCTTGAGGAAGGCCATGGTACCACGTTCTCTGATGCTAGATTTACTCAGAGACCTCCTCGAAGCCCTCAACAGTATGTTCTCCCACTTGCAAACGTAAAACCCTTTCTAATACTACGTAGGCGACTCTAGCATAATTGCGCCAACCAGCCAGGCTAGTGCTATTGATGGGAGCCCACAAAGTGTGGGAGATGCTTCTAGCAATGAGAACCCAGAAACTGTTGGGGATATCATGATCCATCTACTTCGGTATACCCGGGCGATTCATCGATCTGGTATCATGCGGAGTCTTGTAGAAGTTCCCAACCATTTCGAATACGATGAGAAAACCGGAGAGAATATCACAGTAAAGTTTTAGGACACTGTGTTGCCTTACTTGAACGCTACACTCAGGTACACAACACAGGAGATGAGGGAGCGGCTATCTAAGACCATCTGCCTGAGACAACAAAACTTATCATTTCTTAGATCTATATCGAGCAAGAAAGCCGCCTTGGAGTCGACTGAACCAGCTCCCCAGGCATCGTCCTACAGTGCTCATAGCTGTGACAATACCCAGAGAGCTTTGCAGGCAAACTGGATACGAACTCATGGAACACGAACTGCTCCTCCTGTCCAGACTGCCACTGCTGTGGATAGTAACCAGCTACCGCGGATGAATACAATTCTGGAACAGAAAACCGCTGAAAACATGGCAGCAAATCTCCCGCGCCGCCCCAAAGTGCCTGTCGGCCAAACTGAATTCGAGTGCCCTTACTGCTTCGTTGTGTGCCCTGTAGAAGAATACACGAAAGAGAATTGGCCGTAAGTGCCATGATCTTGCCAATGATTTGACATTTGCTAACTGACGGTAGCCGGCACATCATCAAAGACCTCGCACCATTCATATGCGTCCAAGAGTCATGTCCTACGCCAGACACGATGTATGAATCGCACGAAGATTGGATTTCGCACATGGAGACGAAGCACGCACCCCGGGGATGGGCATGCTACGATGAAAGCCACGATTCAGTACAGTACTTTGAAGACGAACAAAGCTTCAGACGTCACGCAATCGAGCATCATGGCGGCGATATGACTGAGGACGAGTTGACGAATCTCACAAAAGAATGCGAGTGTCTCCTGCCTTTCCAGCCGTTTAAGAGTTGCCCATTTTGTAACGAATATACGGATGACGCATCTATAACTCTCGATGAGCACATCACTCTGCACCTCTTATACCTGTCCCAAGTGTCAATTCCAGGGGACTTTTTGGAAATGCGGAGTGTCGAATTTGAATCAGAGGAGGAGATTTTGAGCAGTGGTGCTTGTTTGGAGGGCAGCAAACTCTCGCAGAAGAACAAACCCGATTCCGTTTCCAGCGTTCGGACTCCAAAGAGAGGAACAAGTGCGTCATCATCAATCAACAACCCTAAGCTCCTTAAAACGAATGAAGATGCAACTTTGACGGAACTTGTATCCCTGGCTAAGAAGAGAGAGGGTAAGAATCAATATCACACTCCTATAGAAGCTGTTGGCGAACCCAGTGCCGATGACTCATCCGTAGTTGGTCTGGAGATGGCTTCGTGTATGCACAATTGCTCCGTTTCGCCTAATATGGGGCTATCCGACGATATCATCGAACCTCCTACCATCGAACATACACCTGGCGAGCCCGATATATGGGACAGGTTACAGGTCCGAGAGAGCCTTCAAGCCCAGTGAAATCAGGTGAATCCAAAATATGACGCCGAGATGAACAGTTCTCTATGGAGTTCCCGCGTTCGCTATATACTGGAACTGGAGATCGATAATCCTGGCTCAAGTTGGACGGATGAGGCTGCTGTTATTGGGAGTTGTTTGCAGCTAGCTGAAGCACTGGATGCCCACGGCCGATATTCCGAGGCCGAGGAGATCCTAATGAAGGTATTCTCTGATAAGGCGGCCCTATTGACGGCAGTTCTGTAATTTCTGCCAGATATGGTGCGCAACACGCTACAGAGACATCCTTTAGATCGATATGAAAAGATTAGGGACAATGTCAACACTCTTATATCGCTCCGCGTTAGCCCTAGTGGGAGTACTTCGTATATGGCGGAGCGGTATATGCCAGTCCCGAAGCCCTCAATTATATCTTCTTTATGACAAGATCATATCTCATTTGTTCATGAAGATATGCCTGCAGACAAAGATACTGACGACAAAGGGGCAAGACTGAAGACAATAGCACTGACACCACCCCGCCAAATATTGATCGATACGCGGGTGAAAACAGACCCACGGGTGCTAGCACCATGAACTAGAGCTTAAGTTAGTGCGAGCGTTACCAAGCTGCGCGGATTCTCTGCTAGGAACTGTAAAATAATTTCTGGATACAGTCTTTTCGCTTCTCTCCCATTCTCATCATAAATGCAAATATCGAAATAATACGTATCCAAAACAAATTGAGACTCCATGAATGGCGAGTCTAGACTACCATTTTCAGAAGGCTCAAATCCGACACGGGGCACTATAAGTATCTTTTATTACAAGACAAACACAAAGTAAAATTTAGGAGGCAGACTATCAATTAGCAATTTGAGAGAAACAGTGGAAACGTAGTTTAACATAATTAAAAGAGTATGTTTAATAATTATTGTCCCGAAAAGAAAATTATAGAGTCTGGAACACTAGGTACATGTAACAATTATCTCCATCACTGACTCAGGCAGGGTTGACATCATTGTCTTTCTCCAGATGCATATCCGTATGAGCCATATTTACAGACACAACGGAATCGATTTGTATCCTGCTCAAGCGTCTTAACTGATTTGATTGATGTCACTCGCCTTGTTTACGTCCCTCGGCGCAAGGGAAATAGACAAAAGGTTGCCGAGCCGCTATCAAGCTGAACCGAAGCCACCCGCGTTGCCCTTTCAGTATTGACTCGATAACCGAGGCGTTTTTTTCTTGCTACCCCATAACACAGCACGCGGCAGGAGACAGCCGCGTTACGCATCTAAATGACAGCAGATTAGATTGCCGTTCGATAGCACAGCCCAACAAAAACCGAAACCGGATTTGGATGGAGTCAAGAGCCTGCCCCGCCGCCGATGATCCGCCAATGCGGAGGGTCGAGAAGGTAAGCCGCAGCTAGACAGAGCCAAATAGACTAAGAAGACAGGAATAGAAGAGAAAGGTTGAGGGAGTTACGCTGAAGCCCCTAATCCAGTCGTTCGTAACAGTAGTGCCACATGCATGCACTGTAAACTTTGAGCGTAGGATTGGACGCATTGCGCCATTGAATCACATCGAGCCAAACCCCGATCTGCCCACTCTTTTCAGCTACCGAATAGTAGCGAGTCAGAGCTACTCTGTTTATCAATCAGTCAATACCATTCAACTCTCGCAACTACAGCGGAGAAACACACAACCACAACCGCAACAATGAGAGTATTAACAACAACTCTAAGAGCTGGCCGATTGGCCCAGTCCTTCTCGCCTTTATTCAGACAAACTCCAGCCGTGGTGCGAATCAACAGCCGGGCCAACAGCACTGCCGTCGACTCTCCCGTCAACTTTGGAGCTGCCCCTCCCCCTCCCCCGCAGCAGCAGAAATCGGGCCTGGATGGCAAGAAGCTGGTGGCAGAGGCTGTGGCAGCAACGCAGCCGCGCAACAACTGGACCAAGGAGGAGATTTCGGCCATTTACTACCAGCCTCTGCTGGACCTGGCCTATCAGGCTGTAAGTGAATCAATTGATGTCATGGCCCAAAAATAAACTGAAACTAAACCGACTCAATCCAGGGATCGCTCCATCGCCGCTTCCACAGCCCCGGCGAGGTCCAGCTATGCACGCTGATGAACATCAAGACGGGCGGCTGCTCCGAGGACTGCTCGTACTGCGCCCAGTCGTCGCGATACTCCAAGGACACGGGCCTCGAGGCCAAGAAGATGGAGTCGGTCGAGTCTGTGCTGGAGGCGGCGCGCCAGGCCCGAGCCAACGGCAGCACGCGCTTCTGCATGGGCGCGGCCTGGAGAGACATGCGCGGCCGCAAGTCGGGCCTGAAGAACGTCGTCGAGATGGTCAAGGGCGTCAAGGCCATGGGCATGGAGGCGTGTGTGACGCTGGGCATGATCGATGCCGAGCAGGCGCGCCAGCTCAAGGACGCGGGACTGACTGCCTACAACCACAACGTCGACACCAGCCGCGAGTTCTATCCCTCCATCATCTCGACTCGCTCGTACGATGAGCGTCTGACCACGCTGAGCCACGTCCGCGATGCCGGCATCAACGTCTGCTCTGGCGGCATCCTGGGCCTCGGTGAATCATCAGAGGACCGAGTTGGTCTGCTGCACACCGTTTCCACGCTCCCCAAGCACCCAGAGAGCTTCCCAGTCAACGCCCTTGTGCCCATCAAGGGAACCCCGTTGGGTGATCGCGAGCCCATTGCCTTCACAAGCATGCTGCGCACCATTGCCACAGCACGTCTGCTGATGCCTGCGACTATTATCCGTATTGCTGCTGGCCGCAAGACCATGTCGGAGGAGAAGCAGGCGCTTTGCTTCATGGCTGGTGCCAACGCCATCTTTACTGGAGAGAAGATGTTGACGACGGAGTGCAATGGCTGGGACGAGGACAGCGCCATGTTTGGCCGATGGGGACTGGAACCCATGCAGAGCTTTGACAAGAAGCCGATGGACCCCTCAAGCGCATAGATGAGCGTTTATGAATTTGTTTTTTACGATTTTGTTTGGTCATGATAAATAGGAAATGCAGAAAGGGGATAAAGAAAACGATTTCTCACAGAGAGTATCATAGGAATGGCACTAGTGAGCTTATTCTACATATATAAGCACAATTGTTTCATGTCAATTTCTATAACTTGCTCTTTATGACTGCCGTTATCCATTCTTCTACGGCCTTGCACAGTCCTCCCACTTCCTCCACGGTGTTTCCAGCATGCAGGCATACTCTTACTCTGTCCTGCCCAGCTGGAACTGTTGGGGCCACAATTGGTCTCACAGTGAAGCCTCTCTCTTGGCAATACTGCGCCAAATTCCTAGCTCGACTTGTAAACAGTGGTAAGATCGGCGACTGTGGCGTTTCTGAGTTTATGCGGAATAACTCTGGCGAAGGATGATGCTGCTCAATAATACCAATGAGCAGATTGTGCATATGAAGGATAAGTGACTGGAGATGCTGGAGCAAGGGATCCGCGTGGCCCTGTGCTAGAAAGTCGTAGGTTGTGCGTATGCTGGCGAGAGAAGGAAAGGCCATGGCGGTTGTATAGATGAAGCTGCGGGCGTAGTTGATGAGATATGACCTCGTTACCGAAGAACATAGCACAATAGCTATTTTTTTATTCACACGCTTAATTAGTATAATAAGCAAGAAAATAAAGAGAGAAGTAAAGACTCACCTCCGGAGCATCCCATAGCTTTGCCAAAGGTATGCACACGGCCCCATATTCTGCTTTCAAGCCCAAGATGGCAGACGAGCCCTCTTCCCTGGTGGCCAAATATTCCCGTAGAGTGCGCCTCGTCGACAATGATGTAGCCGTTTCCCAGAGGCAGTCTCTTTTCCACGCACTCGACAATGTTTTTTAGCGGTGCTGCATCTCCATCCATGCTGTACACTCCTTCAACTGCTATGAAGACGTTCTTCTTCCCATTCCGTACTTCTGCCCCTTCTGCGTCCTCTGTTAGGCTTCTCAATAAAGAATCGAGGCATTGACGCTTGTTCTTCCCATTTGATGCTTCTGATGCTGCTGTAGAACTTTCATAGACCTGGTTGTGTGCAAAGGGGATTCTCTGCGCTCTGCTTAGTCTCATGCCATCATGAACACTGGCATGGATCAATTCGTCATAAACAATGACATCTCCCTTTTGCGGCACACAGGCGAATAGTCCTGTGTTGGCTTCGAATCCAGAATTAAATAACAGCCCTGCATCTGCGCCGTGGAATTTGGCGATTCGATCTTCTAAATCTTCTGTGAATGCTGAGTTGCCGTCTAGTAGCCGAGAACCTCCGGATCCAAGACCAAACCCGGCTTCGGAGTCTGCTGACTGCAGGTAGGGCTGGATGAACGACAAATAAGCAGCCTTGACAGCTGGATTGGAGGAAAGTGACAAATAGCTGTTTGAAGAGAAATCGACACAATTGGGAGAAGGAATTGTGAGGCGACGAAGGCGGCCTTGAGACAGGCGTAATGAGAGGATATTGGCCAGAGTCTTATCGAGATTGGAGGCCATCGTTGCTGACTACCGGCTTCTGTTGGCTCAATTGATCGACTCAATTCAGGCTTGTCTCGTCAATTGAACTTTTGCTATACCGGCTGAAATGATCTATGCACGCTTTTCCATAAACAACATACATGCACATGAATGCAGTCACATTCGGCCTGTATCGGCGTCCACGCAAAAGAATCCCACCTACGCATTAGTTGCTCATCACATGGGTTTAGAGAAAAAATAGTAGCATCTGCTCCACTACATCTAGCTATACCCAATTGTCAAGCTCAACCGTAACTCTACGCCCTTAAAAAGCCTATTTGTCAATTAAAAAAAGCCCGCTTATCCATGTTAGGGCAACGTTGGCAGATTGCCTCGGGTATGCTAACGAATTGACAGCTTTGCTGTCCGGCTCTAATAGCAATGAGGCATTTCGAGGTTCCCAGCCCGTGTCAGTTACTGAGCTCTTCGGTCATTCAACCCAAGAGCTGCTACAGTACGGGCGGCTGCAGCAATCCCCACTTTGGCCTGGACAAACGGAGATCGGCACGGCCCCCAACAAAAATGACAAACGAAAGAGAGGGATGGGAGAGACCAAACGCAATTCGCACTGCCAAAGAGCTTTAGCTTAGTAGCCGCCATTACCCTTCTGGGCTAATTCTGCATTCCTAATTCGGCCCCAGGAGGGACTCATCGTTTTGACCTCTCTCAGCCTCAAGGACAACAAAAAAAGTCAAAGAGGGAAAAACAAAGGATATCTCTTTAATGTCTCAGGGCTAGAAACTCAATCAAGTCCTTTTCATCTCTTTCTTTTGATTTGCCGTCATGCCACAGCCGCCACCGCCGCTCGCATCGCCGCTTTGGCGCTCCCTGCGCGCGTACCAAATCTTCGGTGCCAACACCGAGGTGGGGAAGACGGTCTTCTCAACGCTGCTCTGCAAGGCTGCGGCTGCGAGGACGACGGGTCGCGGCGTAGCGTTCTTGAAGCCTGTTTCTACGGGGCCGGATAGCGAGGCTGATGATCGGTGTAAGTGATGGTCCTTTGAAGCTAGGAAAATGAGAAAAGATAGAGGTTGGAAGCAACTATCAGAAGTGGGGTTAACGATGAAGATTTAGATGAATGATACAACTCACCTGAGGCTAACGATGGGCATTGCTGATTTACCAATCCTTCTATGCAGCCACATATCAAAATTCGCCTCGGATGTCTCCAACAAGACCCTCTTCCAGTATAAAATCCCCGTCAGTCCACACATTGCCGCCAAGCTCTCCAACACCGTAAGTCTACATGCAATTCTCCCACATGCAAAGCGTCTGAATCTCACTGTTTCCACTTCTTCATCCCAGACAATTCCATCCAACGATACCCTCCTCTTCCAATGCAGAGACTACGCAGCTCAATGCGCCAACATAGGCCGGAAATGGCTCTTTGTTGAAACTGCAGGAGGCGTTCACTCGCCTGGCCCCTCAGGAACAACTCAGGCGGACATGTATGCGCCTCTGCGTTTGCCTGTTGTTCTTGTTGGTGATTCTCGCCTGGGAGGCATCTCCCAGACGATATCAGCCTTTGAGTCACTTCGCATGCGGGGTTATGATGTTGAGTCGGTGGTGTTGTTCAAAGAGGATAGATACCAAAACTTTGACTATCTCTCAGAGTATTTCGCAGAGCATCATGATGTGCCCGTCGCTGGAGTGAACGAGCCTCCCGAAAGGAAATCAAGTCTTGAAGAGGATGTTCGAGCAATGGCTCAGTACTACGAAGAACAGTCCCAAGGCAAACATACAGGCGATGTCATCTCACATCTCGATAAGCGTCATGAGCAACGCATCGCATCCTTGGATTCCATGGCTACTCAAGCTCTCGAGAAAATATGGTATCCCTTTACTCAGCAAAGTCTACTCACTCCCAAGGACATCAACGTCATCGATTCAGCCCACGGCGACTACTTCCAGACTCTCGCCCCTTCTTCATCATCCTCTTCACAAAACGACAGCCTCCTCCGCGCCTCATTCGATGGCTCAGCATCATGGTGGACTCAAGGCCTCGGCCATGCGAACCCCAGACTAACTCTCGCAGCTGCCTACGCCGCCGGCCGTTACGGCCACGTCATGTTCGCCAGCGGCATCCACCGTCCAGCCCTAGAGCTCTCTTCAGCCCTGCTCAAGGGGATGAACAGCCCTCGTCTTGACCGCGTATTCTTCTCTGACAACGGCAGCACAGGTATCGAGGTAGCTCTCAAGATGGGCCTCCGAGCAGCAAAGCTACGATACGGATGGGCCAAAGAAGAGAAGCTCGGGATTGTAGGCCTCAAGGGTTCATACCACGGTGATACCATTGGCGCCATGGACTGCTCGGAACCAAGTGGATATAATGAAAAGGTTGAGTGGTACGATGGAAAAGGCCACTGGTTTGACTATCCGACTGTTCTGTGCATCGACGGAAAGTGGCGTGTCAATGTTCCTGAGGAGCTGAGACAGGCATTGGGCGAGGACGCAGACTTCAGCTCGCTGTCAGAAATTTTTGATGTCCAAAGCCGAGAGCAGAAAGGTCACCATGTTCGATATGAAGCTTTTATTAGAGAATCTTTGGAGCGACTCGTCAAACAAGGCCGCCGGTTCGGTTCGGTCATTATCGAGCCTGTCGTTCTTGGCGCTGGAGGCATGGCATTAGTGTAAGGATGCCCTTGTCTCATCTGCCCTCAAAATATCTTACTAACCACCTAATCATAGAGATCCTCTCTTCCAGCGCGCCCTCGTCAACGTCGTTCGCAAATCCCCAGATCTCTTCCGCAAATCTGGCGCCGCTGCTGAAGAAACCCCCAGTGATCCCAACGCATGGACTGGCCTTCCCATCATCTTTGACGAAGTCTTCACCGGCCTCTACCGTCTCGGTCGCTTCACGTCTTCTTCCTTCCTTAACACATATGCTGACATCTCCGTCCACGCGAAGCTTCTCACGGGAGGCCTTGTTCCGTTATGTACGACGCTTGCTTCGGAGAATATCTTCCAGTCATTCAGCTCTCAAGACAAGACTGATGCACTTCTCCACGGCCATAGCTACACAGCACACCCTGTGGGCTGTCAGGTCGCCTTGGAATCCCTAAATGATTTGCAGAAGATGGATCACGATGGGTCATGGAATTGGGCAAAGTCACAAGGCTGGAAATCTTCCGAAACGTCTCCCACAAGCAGCCAGTCCTCTGCCAACGTCTGGTCAACCTGGCCTCGTGATCTGGTAGAGGATCTCTCCCGCCAAACAGACCGCGTATCGGGCATCTGGGCTCTCGGCAGCGTTCTTGCAATCCACATCAAGGACGCATCGGGCAGCACGGGATACTTTAGCAATGCCGCGCAGGACCTCCGCGATACCCTCATTGCAGGGGATTCGGAGGGCGCCAATGGGTCATGGAACGTGCACTGTAGAGTGCTTGGAAACGTACTGTATCTGATGGCGGGGCAGAAGACGACGGAAGAGAGCATTGCGCAGATTAGTTTAGAACTGCGAAAGGGACTACAGGCCTAAATTTCGATACTAGGATAGAACAAGTCAATGATGGTGATGAAAGACTTGGGTGAGTAGTCAAAGGACTATTGCGAACCAATGAATGAACAAATACTTTTCCAAAAGTGCTGAACGAAGCCTTTGATCGTGTTGAATGGCTCTCTTTTCTTCTCTTTGTTCAAACTACAAATCAGTACTCGATGTAGTGATCCCTGTAATCAGACTATTGACTTCACTTTAGAAGACGAATTGTATCATTATCTTTCATAAGTAGAAATTTTGGATGAATCTTTATTTTGAATGCCAATAGTGTTCAAACGAAGATCTGTAGCGACAAGAGTGAAATACACATCTGGCGTTCCAGAGTCTTTCACCTAACACTCTGAATTTCGACAAAAGAACAAAAATGTGTCCAGAAGTACCACTTATAGGCATTTACCTATGTAGTTAGTGATTGTATCTTGATGTAAAAGCAACGCATCTGTGCATATAATATGCGAGGTCAGGTCAAAAAACACAGCAACTGTGTGTAAACAAGATAGCGTGGCAGGCTGACGACAGGTAACGGCAAGTGAAGAACTCCCATAATTTCGGCTATTTTCACAACTTGAATATCGTTCCAACCCTTGAAATGAGATTTTTCCCTTATTGAGCAACTTTCTTCTCAAAGCTAGCCAGAGCTACAGCCTTGATTCACTCTTCGCCGAACATTTGCCCCTCCCCTCCCCCCGGAACAACTCCAAAATGGCGGGCTTTAATTTCATCTCATCAATTTTCAGGTCAATAAGGAATATTATTGACGCGAATATTGATGAGGTAGTGGAGGAAGCTGAATCCCGTCAAGAATGCAGGCCGCTTAGCGATGTGCACATGCCCCCACCGCAAGATCAGGGAAGTGGAAACGATGAAGGGGAATCAGAGGAGGGAGAAGTCGGTGACACAAGTGAGTGTTTTGATACCTTTGAACTTATTGACATGGACGACGAATATGAAAGTGGCGAGGAATATCTGGAAGAGTCTTGTCTCAGACTCATCGTGTCTCTGGGCCGATGTATGCCCCCCACTGCTCAGTCTATGATGATCACAGCTCGCTCCATGATTCCAACTCTTCCGGCTCTGGAATACTCCGACTCGGATTCAGAAAGCCTGAGTGACTATTCCGAAACAGATGGATGTGATAGCTGGTCAGTCATTGACGAGCGATAGGATCCAGGAGGCATTCTGGATCAAAACGAATAGTCGATCGGCATAAACGAGAATTCGCTCACGGAGAATTTGAGTAAACCAGGCGCGGAGATTTTTGGATGACTCGAGTCCGCGGGGACTCCACCACTCTAAACAGCGGCTGCTGAGTTCGGCAAGGAAAATCTGGGGATGGGGCAGGCTATTCTGTTTTTTTATTTCTATTTTGTTTCTATTTCGTTTCTACACTCGATTCTATTCTGGTCTTTTTTTGTAAATGGCGGCATACCTGATGAATATATCAATTTACTTTGTTTTGTTTAAGTGATTAATAAGACCTCCCGCGTGACTCGCTTGGTGATGTTGCAAGATATGAGCATTTGACTTGACTCGTGAGGCGTAGTGGGAACGAGTCGGGTTGCAAAGGCGAGCCTAGTATGTACTCCGTGCAGACCGTAAAGGTCGTAAAGACACGCTACAGGTATTATTTACTGAAACAAGAAAACAGGGCTATTGTGTCAAAAATGCCCGCATAGTTGTTCAGGCTGTACTAAAGCGGATCATAGCAGTCTACCTAGTAGCAGTTGTGATAGTTTTACATGCATGTCGCAATCTAAGATGCAGCTCTAGGTCTACATAGCAAGTACTACTCTCTGTTTGCTATTTGCTAAATATGGCTCTTGAAAGCATTATCCAGATACTGCTGCTCATTGGATATATCATGGAATTATGATGTATAAACTTACTCATTCCTTCTCTTGAATCCTACCTACGTAAATAGTAGTATCAATCATCAATAAGCTCGAAAACCCCAGAGGGATGAGATAGACTGCCAGCCAATCAGTTTCGGCGCATATCCAATTCGTCTACTGCCGCTCTCTCTTCCCGACTCGTCCACTTTTTTGCCTCACCTTGCACATCGAGTTACAGCAGCATCTCCGCCAGCTCAACCCACAGAAAGGCGGGTTGCCACCAAAATGAACAAGGTGAGAAAACAAAGCCACAAGCCATCGCCCGCAGATGCTGATTGCCGACTCCTATGCCGGAAACAAAATCCAACTCGGGGCCTCGGATTGGTCTTCGCCCCAGGCCAGTCTTTGCCCCTCTTGGACAGCAGGCTTTTCCCCCATCTTTGCGGCGACAAGGGCCGCCACAAGCGGAAGGCCTGTCGTGGTTTGGCAGGGAGGCTAGAAGCCGCTACCATCTACCGATTTCTCGCACCCCTTGACGCCTGGGGCAGATTGCGGGGTTAGCCGTTGGGGCTGGGACTTGAGTTCTGTATATATAGCGAATTTGCTGCTGAGATGAGATTTGCATTTGGAATCAAGGCAGAGTTGTCTGACGTGTGGTTTATTTGTCTATTTTATTCTTCTTCTTTGCTTCTCCATGTTTTTCTCCAGAAATCAGACTTCCAAGCGCTGATACATATCACGGAATTACCAGCACAAACTTTTGCTGGTCAGCGTTGCTGACGGTAGAATTAAACGGCGATTTATCCACAGGAGCTGCTAAATAGTCGGGCTCCATAAAACCGAGAGCTTCGACTATCCGGCAACCGAAGCAACTTCACATTTTAGTGTCGCGAGGCCTGTGCTCCAGGAAACGAAAGAAGCGAGACAGCAAGAGCTCATCAACGCAGCCATGGCGCTGATCGAAAACCTCCTGTCGCCGTGGACTCTTGTAGCCCTCGGCGGACTGCTGGTCGCATCATATCTATACGACTTTCTCGTCACATTTGCGCCACTTCGTCGCTTCCCAGCTCCCTTCCCGGCGCAATTTTCAAACCTATGGCTTTTGAGTGTCTGTCGCCGAGGTAATCGCTATGAGACCGTTGACAAGCTGCACAAGAAGATGGGCAAGTTCGTGCGAATCCAGCCCAACCATGTCTCCATTGCCGACGACGAGGCGATCAATGCCGTCTATGGCCACGGTAACGGTTTTCTGAAAGCGTATGGCGCATCCCCACCGAACCTCTCTTTATAAGTCAAACTGAGTAGGACTTGACACTTACATGCAATAGGGAGTTTTACGATGCCTTCGTCTCCATCCAGCGTGGCCTGTTCAACACGCGCGACCGCGTTCAGCACACCCGCAAGCGAAAGATGGTTTCCCACACTTTCTCTGCCAAGTCCATCGTTCAGTTCGAACCGTATATCCACCAAAACCTGGAGAACTTTGTCAAGCAGCTGGATCGCCTGGTAGACACAAGCCAATTCAAAGGCAAGGATGGGAAGAAGGAGGCACGCTTCGATTGCCTTCCATGGTTCAACTTCATTGCCTTTGATGTCATTGGCGATCTTGCTTTCGGTGCTCCGTTCGGCATGCTTGAGAAGGGCGTGGATCTTGCCGAAGTCCGATGCTCACCGGACAGTCCTCCTATCTATGCGCCTGCTATTGAGATCCTGAACCGTCGCGGTGAAGTGAGCGCGACTCTTGGCTGCTTCCCAGCGCTTAAGCCCTACGCCAAGTATCTGCCCGATCCTTTCTTTAGCCAAGGTCTCGCCGCAGTGGAGAACCTTGCCGGAATTGCGGTTGCGTGCGTGAAGCGACGCCTTGACAACCCCCCTGATGTTGAACGCAAGGATCTTCTCGCTCGATTGATGGAGGGCCGCGACGACAAGGGCGAGCCGCTTGGAAGACAGGAATTGACCGCTGAGGCCTTGACGCAACTCATTGCGGGAAGCGACACAACCTCCAACTCGTCATGCGCCTTGATGGACTTTGTAGCTCGCAACCCGCGCGTCATGGAGAAGCTGCAAGCCGAGCTGGATGCTGCCATTCCTCACGGCGTTGACGTCCCAACCTACGACATGGTTCGCGACTTGCCCTATCTCACCGCTGTCATCAACGAAACTCTGCGCCACCACTCGCCTTCCGGTATTGGTCTACCTCGTCAAATCCCCGCGGACTCTCCCGGCATTGCCATCTGCGGCGAATTCTTCACTGCCGGCACTGTCCTCAGCGTGCCAACCTACACAATTCACCACTCCAAGGAGATCTGGGGCCCCGATGCCGACGACTACAAGCCAGAGCGATGGGAGAACGCCACGCAGCGCCAGAAGGATGCCTTTATTCCATTCAGCTACGGGCCCAGAGCTTGTGTCGGCCGAAACGTGGCCGAGATGGAGATGAAGCTGATTGCATCTACCTGGGCGAGAAGATATGGTGCCAAGATTCTGCAGGGCCCCATGGAGACAAAGGAGGGCTTTTTGAGAAAGCCATTGGGATTGGATATTGCGCTGTACAGGAGGTAAAAAGGGATGAGAGGGATTGGATTATGGCTTTATTGGGGCGTTATAGGTGAAGGGTGATGCATAGTCTAGAGACTGGATTGAACGCCAATGAGGGACTAAGCTGCATCTGATTGGAACAGAACGTAAGGGTGGAAAGGCAGGGTATTTCTTTTCTATCTTCAATGTATCAATTCCATGTAATTATTTCCACTCATACCCTACTTCAAGCCAGTTTTATCTGTGAAGCCTTGTCAATAAGACATCTGCTATAGAATGCCGATAGACTCTGCCGCTTTCACAAGTATAAGCACATACACCATGGATAATTTTTGGCAACAAGACTTCTATCAGTATTCTTCATCCAATAGAGAAAACCCAATTATCATCGCGTTGAAAATTTCAAGCTCTTTACAGAATTTACGAAACTCAATTAGAATTGTGTAGGCTTTATATAAAGAATTTGTGCAATTACAATCATCAAAAAGTGGATCCTCTGTGGCGCAATTGGCTAGCGCGTCTGACTGTTAATCAGGAGGTTGGAAGTTCGAGCCTTCCCGGAGGAGAGTAAAGCTTTAATTTTTGTTTTTTGGCCAGGTGTTGGTGTTTCTTTTTAGTAGATTGGATGGAATAGTATTCTGCATGTAGGCTTCAGTACTCGAGGGCAATGGAGTAGAGAGTTGGTAGTTATCGAGAAATGTTCACGCACATGCAGAGCTATGTAAAACACTGTTACAGAAGTAGACACAGCTGCTGTAAGACCACGGTCGTGGCGTCTATTTAACTGAAAGTGTGCGCTATATCTCTCTATTTGTTCATAACAGTAATAATTAAGAAATATCCTATATACTACTCCGTTGGCGCTCCGTAGGCATGATTGATTAATACGCAAGATGCCATTATTGATGCTTCCGATCTCTTGTCCCTTTACCTAGGTGCTACCACAGTCGTGCATTTGCTGTTTTGGGAACACCACTTATTTCCATTAAAAAACTTTTCTCCTTTTTGGACACATTTCCCATGAGTTAATCTACATTTGGGGACAAAATGAATGAATTATCACAATCTTCTAATTATAGAATAATCAATCAACTAGGTCTATGTATTTCGTCCTTCGTGCAGCATCATTATCTTGATGATTCTTCAGCTTCCAGGGTAATCATGGAGTCCTCAATTTGCGCCACTCCGCTGCAGCGCAGATTCAAAAGCCGATTGCCGTTCCCCCATTCCCATCTAAAATAGGCACTTTGGCCGAGTGGTCTAAGGCGCCGTGTTCAGGTCCTGTCTGATCTACCAGACGATCTATTCGCGGTCTAGAAATAGGCGAGGGTTCGAATCCCTCAGGTGTCATTGAAATTCTTTTTTTGCCGTTTAATGCCCTCGAGGCGCACATATTATCTTTCTCTCTCTTTTTGGCTGTAGACACTGGGATTTTACACATGCTTGTGTGTTATTTTGTCTTGCGCTAGCTGATGTCTTCATATCTGGCGATTACTATAGAAGTTGGGCGATGATGCATATCCAGACTCAACTGACTCTAGAACCATCGTCCAATCATCGAACCAAGGTTATGGGGATGACCATATCAGATCTAGATGTTTGATCCCAACCAAAAAATAATAATTATGAGGTAATTGAGACAATCAGCTATTAGGTGGGCGATGAATACTCCAGAAGACAAGAGAGACCAGTTGCAGTTAAAAGGCCACGTTCGACTATACTCGATCAGCCGCCTAGAAAATAACAATCTGTGCATGTAATTTTAAACAAATTTACTGCTACAAGAATTTGGATGATATAGAATGTCATGAGAATAAAAGAATAAGTTTGCTTTATGCAGACCATTTCCGATTCTTTGAGAATACACATTCGTGAGATCTTCGCGCAGTATAGTAAGCAACCTCGCTGATGAAATACTATGTATTTCTTCATCAGTATAGGTATCAAAGTCAACTATGTTGGGAAAATATTCCATCAATCATGTCTGTCGATATTGATAGGGGCCTTCACAACAGAGGCTTCCGCTCGCGCCCGCTTTGGCGTCCGCTCTGCCTCCGCTCTAAACTATGACGAATCCGCGACCAAAATCCAGGGGCAGAAACATTCTCTCTACATACTCTACATACCGGGTTTAGTGATGCTAACTCCATCGGAATTAAAACATCTTGAAACTTATTCCGTTGCTTGCCTTGACTTTGTCAATACAGTCTTGGTTCTTCGTTGCTGCTGCTCAAGTGATGAGGCGGGCGGCAGGGCGGGCGGAGAGGCAAAGGGCGGGCTATGGAGAGAAGCCGTGACCGATTCAACGAAGTGAAGTCAACTATAAAAAGCTGAATTGATCTGTGTATTATATGTTTAAAAAATCATCTTCATCCACTGTTTCAAACGACAAACACACAGCAAAGCACCATCATGGCATCCACCGCCTTGCTCAAGAAAATATGGTTCATCACCGGCGCATCCTCAGGCCTTGGCCTCAGCATGGCTCTGTCTGCTCTCCGCGCTGGCCACCGCGTCATTGGTACGGGCCGCAACATTGAGAAGGCTGCGGCAGAACATCCAGAGTTTGCTCAACTTGGCGGTCAATGGCTCCAGCTCGATGTATCTCAGCCAGGCGCTGAACGAACTATACAAGACATCGTAAACCTGGAAGAGCAGCGTTTTAGCACCAGGAATGAGCAGCCCCACTGGGTTGCCGTGAACAATGCTGGAGCTACTCTGATCGGAGCAGTGGAAGACATGAGCGACAATCAGATTCAGCAGTATTTGCAGACCAATGTGTTGGGCTTCATTCGTGTATGGAAAGCTTTATTGCCGACTCTACGCCGCAACCGCACAGGCACTCTCATCAGCATTTCTTCCATCTTTGGTTTCGTCCCAAAGGCAGAGCACATGCTCTATAGCGCTGTCAAAGCGACTACCGAGTCTCTGACTGAATCGTACGCGACTCTGCTCGAGCCGTTTGGCATCAAGACTATGATTGTGGAGCCTGGCGGCTTCAGAACCCCCTTTGCAGGCAACAACTCCAAGTCGGATGGCGGTATCTCGGCGGATTACGAATCCAAGATGCAAGCTTGGATTGGCATTATAGATGCAGCGCAAAGGGATGATATGATGCTGACGGGAGATCCTGTCAAATTTGGCCACAGAGTTGTTGACGCCGTTGAAAGCCAAGGCTTATTTGAGAGTCTCTGGGCAAAGCACGATAAAAGCAAAGCTTTGAGAATCTTGCTGGGAACAGACTGTTATAGCTTGTTCAAGGAAAGGGTTGAGGATTTGCAGCAAGGATATATCGATATGGCTGAGGTGGCTCACTCGGCAAATGTAGATGAGTAGTGCGGGAGCGCAATTTATTTTGAGATAGATAGAAGCAGATAACTAAAGTCTGTTCATAGAATCTAGATGTTTGAAAAATTGATATTAAATCAAGAAGTGAGATAGAGATGTGAGACTGCGCCAAATTATCCAGATGATGGCGTTAATGTATTCGAGCCGGTCTCAGAACTAATCAGACTTAGAATACCGGCCTGATGGAGTAACGCGAGATACTCCGTTGCCACGTTCCAATTCTCGCCAATCAACTTCAAATCTCGTACAATATCTTCTAAGGCGTTGTACATTTGCGGTTCGTGGTCTTCTCGGACAAACCAGGCACACTCCGTGGCCGAGTGGTACAAGCATTGCGCTATGAGAGGGCACTCGATATTGGCACGCGCAATCGCCGGTACGATGTTCGAGGAGATGGTTATGATTCCGTCCAGACTGGCCTTCTGCATCTCCGTCTCCATGGCCATTCGACTCTGCTCCACGAAGGCGCCCGGCTCATTGCATCCATAGAGATTGTAGAGGATAAGGCGGGCAGAGCTGCAAAGAGAGAGTGCAATTATGGCGGATTTGCGCAGGATTCCTCCAGAGATGTGTCCTTCGATGGAGCTATGCAATGCTGACAGTGCCGAATGAAGCGCTTGAGCTTCTGGGAGGAGATTCTCAACTTCTTGTAAAGCCTTTTTGCTTGCTTTGTGGTGCATGACTCTGCTAAGCATATGTGCAGCTTGGCACATCTTGGCAAAGGATCCAACAGACGTTAAGCTGCTGAATGACGTGGTGAATAACGGTTCACTGGGGACAATCTTTCCTTCATCCCAGTCATCGTCATTAATTGGCAGCAACTCATCCCGGGCGGGTTCGGGTACCGTGATTGGCAGATTCGTTTCAATATTCATGAGTCTACCAGATGAAAGTCAGTAGCGGAAATTTAGCGGGCACAAGGGTAACAAGATTAATCACCTATCCAGCAGGAATATTGCCCACCACGTCCGGCGCTGCTCTTCCCGAAGTGTCCAAGTCTCGGCACTTTTAAAAAGTTTGTTGTTCTTCCTATCATGCAAACCCAACAGAAGGCCTAATCTTGACGCCCGACCAAGAGTTGAGTACGCACAAGGATAGATAGCATGAGACAACTCATAGGCTGCTAAGAGTATGAGGGACTGGACCAATCTCAAAGATAAGAACCCCGCCGATTCTGCTTCTGAACACAATGATCTGGCTAGCAAATATGAAGGAGAGTCTCTGGCGCTATTGCAATCTCTCGTGGTGAATGCTTTCATGCAAAGTAGTAAAATAGGGAGACAGCCATCCGCGTCATCCGAACCGTTATTCAGCTCGTTGAAAAGACGTTTCCGGCTGACCATTGGTATCCATTCGTGCACTGTTGAGAGATATTCCTCGCATAAAGCGGCTCTATCATCCTTAAGATGCTCGGCCACTATCCCTTGAATATCTAATTGGCGACTCCATGAGAAAGCATTGACTCCCTGGGGCGCTAAATCATCAGAGTCCAAGAAAAAGGCCAAAGGAAATTCTTGGGTTGGCCTAGGGAGGGGCATGGTAGAATTGCCGTTCAGGTGTATCCTAGATGGAGAGATTGTGCTAACATGGAGAGCCTGATTAATGCGACTGGCCGCTTCAACTGCTATAGGCTCGGCGTACTCGCAAGCCTTTCCCAGACGATGGCACTATGTCCATCATTAGCCATGGAATTCATCATGGCGATTTCTCGCAAAGTTAGACATACCAAAGAACATCTAGGAACTTCCCGCGTGCACTTTCTCTTCAAGCGCCTGCGACGAGTCATGCGTCAGCTCTCAGACTATCTGGATAGCTGTTGGAGGTGACTTGTGGATCATATACCGACAAGCTCGGCAGGCTTGAGACGAGTAAAGCTTTGGTGGCATCGTTACGGTGTGCTTTGTGCGTATAGAAGGCGATTAGTTTATCAAATAATGTTTCAAGATGAATTCATTCGCTGATTGAGCCGTTGGTTATTTGTCTTGCGCGGAGTTAAGCTCGACGGTAAGATTTCGCCGGAGAGTTGGATCGAAAAGACGATTAGTCATCACATCGTTTGCCAAATTGAGATGACAAGAACAGTAGCTTTCAGCAGTCTTTGTCCAAATAAAGAAATAATGAGAACATCATTGAGCTTTCTATTAATTGATAAGAATGATGAAATGAACATCTGCCTTTGTAGCATGAATGCCATTGTGTTTGCTCTGCGATTATTGATGGAGGGGTGACCTCTAAAAATGTTGATCGAGCCAGATGACACCTTGAAACTTCCTTTCAACGCATCTATTCTGTACCTAAATATCCGGACCCCTTAGCGACTCATTTGACTTATCAATCCAGACCGTTTTCAGATCAGGCTTCTTGTCAAAATCCTCATCAAAAGGCCACATGGGCCTCCGTATCCGATGATGCCCCAATCTCTTCAAATCCTGATCAACGCCACCCGGCGTCAATCCCAGCATCCAGCCCTTTGCCATGTCATACAGCTGCGGCTCAAGGTATCCAATCTTCACAATGACAACATCAGCTGATCTCGGAAGGAGATTAAGATCGGTAAAGTCCTTTTCCTTGTGGTATGGCTTTCGGAGCTTTGTCAAAATGGCGTACACTGAGCCGACCTGCAAAACGACTTCGGTCTCGGCATCTCGATCGCCATGCTTGATGGAATGAACGCGACCAGTCATTGTCAGTGGAGGCGCGTGAGTGTCATCAACCTCGGCGCCGGCAGTCACTGTAACCACGGCGTCAATGCCCGCAGCAACGGCCGTTTCGATGGCCTTTGGCCCTGGAACGCTGGCATATATCACTGTATATCCGGAATCAGGCGATTTGAACTCTGGCCGCTCAAGCAACTTTGTGAGTCCCCAAGTCATGTCGCCCGAGCCTCCAGCCGTTGGATTATCGCCAGAGTCAGAGATGAAGTACGGGCGCTCTTGAGGAGGCGACTTGACGGCCGCATCCAAACATTCGGCAAAACTGCCAGTAGGCGCAACAAATTTGAAGTCGGCTCGTGCATCCCAGAATAACTTGGCCAGTTTCTCAGCTCCTTGAGAAACCGCGCCTTCGTCCCATCCCGTAACCACAATGGCAGCGCGATTCCTCGGCTCATCAGCCCAAGCATATCCCACCCAAATTGCCGCGTCCAACACGCCTTCCACCGCCTCAACTTCGGGCACAGCCGCGTAGATGTGTTTTGCCGGCTCGTCTCGCGTCGAAGTCTGCTCGCCGGGAAGCAGAATGGGAACGGGGATCCAGGCCTTGAGAGGTCGCCTGCCCGGCTCTTTGCCCTTGAGCACGTTGACAAGATTGCGACACGCCCGCTCTTTGGTGTCCATGGCGTCTTCGTGCGGTGCCATGCGGTAGCAGGTGATGAGATCGCACATGTGCGCCAGTTCTCGCGAGACATTGCCGTGGAGATCCATTGACGCCGACACAATGACATCTGGCCCGATGACAGCGCGGACACGTCGCAGGAGCTCAGCTTCGACATCGTCCAGCTCTTGCACGCACATGGCGCCGTGGATATCAAACCACAAGCCATCGACCTTGTTCTCCGAAACAATCACCTGCAGCCTCTCTACAATCTCCTTGGAGAGCGCCTCAAACGCATCGCGAGTTACAATCCCTCCAGGAAGCGCATGTCCGATGAGGGCGCCCTTCCACTCCGCCTCTACCCCCAGCGACGTATCGCCATGAAGAAAGTCGTATCGCTCGACAATCTCGTCGCCGCGCTTGGGGTGAAAGGCCGGGGCAAGGGTGACGGCAGGGGAAAAGGTCGACGTCTCGCAGGCAAGGCCGGCCACCGCGATAACAGGCCGCTTCGACATTTGCATCTTGTCTCTGGGGGGCCGATAACGCTGACGCCTGGTCCGTATGATTATCTTGCTAGCGCTGTGTTGCGGTTATCCTCCTCTTCCTCCTCCACCCTTCTTATAGGTTGGCCCTTTACCAGCGTAATATTAGTCAATCTCTAGACGAGTGGAAATGCGGAGCGGCGAGGCCAGTTATAACTGCTATCATACCACGCTCAATGGTTATCGTCGTATTCTCCGTGTCATCAATGGTTTTGAGAGCTAAAGAGCCGTTTATCCGCACAAGTTTCTTCCCAATGAAACTTGACTAAGCTGATATGAAGTCTGGTGATCAGTGGGGGAACAAACGCGGGGTATCGCCAACGCGAGGCGGCGAACCCTTGGAGTTGAAGATAAGTAAAACAAGTCCAGAAAAGGTAACTGACTGCAGGTCTGCCACTTTTACCCGACGGCCCTTGTCTTGGCCAAGTTGAGCCGAACCAATATGAAGCCGTTATCAAAGACTTAGTGTCGACCGCTTTCAAGATATCTGAGGATCAGCCGTGAAATGCTCTCTTTCTGGCAGTGTTATCCGCTATGCTGCCGGCACCCGATGAACCGTCGTCGGCGAACTTTTGCTCGGAATGATTCTGTCTAAGCTATCATGCGGTGACAGCAAGTTGGTGTCTCGCATCAATGTTACATCCAGCAGATTAGCTTTAGAGTAGCATTTAGTATATATCTCCCGACGACCCGCTGTTTGTTGGGTAAGAGAGAGGCGGAATGATTCGTTTAGGAAGAGCGACACAGGGCAGGAGACATTCATAGTCTCAGCGCCGTTGCTTTTCGGGTTTTCGCTCTGATCGTGCCAATCCGGGCATTTTGTGCAAGCGTGAGAAGGACAGACAGAAACAGAAATCATGCTTCGCAAAACTCCGACTGGGACTTGGATCCCAGCCTGGGTCCCCGAATCCACCGCCACGGTTTCGATTCTTTTGTTGGTCTGCTCCATGGTCCAGTCTGCTACCGGTGGCTATGATGGCTCCATGCTCAACGGCCTCAATATCTTACCTGCGTATACAAATTATTTCCACCTCGACAACCCTGCATTTACCGGCCTCAACACCGCCTCTGTATTCATCGGCGGCTTCTTTGGACCTATTGGGGCTGGTGTCATGACCGATCGCCTCGGTCGCCGGCCCGCCATTTTCTGGGGCTCGGTGGTTACGCTGCTGGGGATTCTTCTGCAGACTGCGGCGCAGAATATTGCAATGTTTGTCATTGCGAGAATCATCCTGGGCTGGGGCAGCGCGATTTCCTCGGTCGCTGGAGGCGTCTATCTCAGCGAGACATTTGCGAGCAGATATCGTGCATGGGGCGTAGGAGTAAGTGCCCTTCTCTTTTGCAATGCAGTTACAAGGAAAAGAGAGAATGGAGTGGTCTTTGGAAGCTGACGGGTTGTCCTTTTGCTAGATCCTGAATAACTTTTACTACGTCGGCTCGTTAATTGCTGCTGGAGTCACTCTCGGCACCGGCCAGTGGCAGTCCACCTGGGCTTGGCGGCTGCCATCTCTTCTCCAAGGCGTCTTTTCGTTTGCGTGTATTCTCGTGCTGCCCTTTATTCCCGAATCGCCACGTTGGTTGGTCAGCAAGGAGCGCTATGAGGATGCCCGTCTATCTGTCGCCCAAACGAATGCCGATGGCGACATCACCAATCCCATCGTGGTGGCTGTCTACAAAGAGATTGTCGACACTCTCGAGTGGGAGAAGAAGAACGACATGACTATGAGTCCTCGGGAGATAATAAAATCTCCGACAGCACGCAAGAGAACGCTGATTGGCGCTTCGGTCGGGCCCTTCTCATGCATTGCCGGAAATGTCATCGCGTCCTACTATCTCGGAAACGAGCTTGACACGGCTGGTATCACGGATCCAAATCAACAACTGAAAGCTGTAAGCACGCCGCTTCATGTCTTGAAGAGGCGCTCAACTAACTATCCACGTAGAATGTTGTCCTCAACGTCTGGTGCCTCTTTTGCGCATTTGGAGGGACTCACCTAGCGGCAGTATGGGGTCGAAAGCCCACTGCGTTGCTTTCACAAGGTCTCCTCATTGTTTGCATGTTCATCATTGGCGGCCTGACCAAGATATATCAAGACAACCCGGATGGCGCCTCTAAAAGCTTGGTGTATGGTGACGTCGCTGTGATGTTCCTCTTTCAGGGAATTTATTCCATCGCTTGGACACCTCTATTGTTTCTTTATCCACCCGAGATTATGAACTATCCCATCCGAGCCAACGGATTGGCATTATCAGGATTCGCTTTGAATGGATTAGCGTGAGTACTCGTGAATCTCGGCAGTGACGGATTTAGCTAATATCTTTTGCTTCAGTTTGCTTCTCACATTTGTCATGCCCATTGCGCTTACAAACATTACATGGAAGACATACATTATCAACGGGTCGTGGGATATCATCACATTCTTCTTAATTGTAAGTATTTTGTTTACAGTGATCAAACAAAAGAAGTGAGTATGACGCTAATTTGGCTAGTATATCTACTGGGTAGAAACAAAAGGAAAAACACTAGAGGAAATTGATGCCATTTTCGAGGGAGAGAAGCATTCATCTGTACCTGACATTGAGGATATTCGAACAGGCAGGAAGACCGTGGACGTAACACAGATAGAGCTTGAGCTTCACGAGGATGTTGGATTAAAGGAGCATGAAGCTTGAGGCAAAGTAATATTCGTTACGTATGATGTAAATTAGTGATATTCTTGTCAGAGTGATTACGACGCAAGCATTTAAGTTAATGATATGATAGATCCATGGTAAAATTCACTGGCAGATTATCTAATAAAGATATTGATACTAACTCCCGCTGTATATTTTTATGGACTAAATATTATGAAAACATGAATCTAAAGAAGAATTATGCACAGATATCGTGCTATTACATTCTAGCAAAAAGACAATATACTTGCTGACCACCCTCCCTCCTCCATTCATAGCAACTCCCTTGCATTAGTACCCCTGACCATCCAAGGCAAATGGTCCCCCCTGAACATGCGTTCCGCGTTTAGTATGCAGCTAGACCAGAAGCACCATCACCAACAGGGATGCCCTGTCCCGCGCCGAAAGAGTTGCTCAGAGTCTTGAGAGAACCATCGGCCTGGATCTTCCAGCCGGAGATAGCACCGCCGCCACGCTGGAGGTTGTACAGGTACTGGCCATCGGCGCTGAGAGCAAGATCGACGGGCTCGGTGCCCTCTCCGGGGCTGGCAGCAACCTCCTTGATGAGAGTGGCAGTACCGTTGGCGGCAACCTTGTAGCTGGAGATGGCATTGGTGATGAAGCTGGCCGTGAAGGCAAACTTCTCATCGGGAGTCACAATGACCCAGCACCCGTCAGTTTGCTGGTTCTTCTCAGACTTGGTGACGGGCTTCAAGAGCGGGTTCGTATCGGCCTTGTTCAGGTGGTATGTTGATAGACCAGCGTTGCCGAAGGCAGGCAGACCAGACTCTACAACATAGAGTGTGTTTGACTTGCCAAAGATGGCTCCGAAGGGACGAAGACCGGTGGATGCATAAGTTGTTTCCAGGACAGCATCACCGTTGGCTGCCACTGCGTACTGGTCGATAGTACTGCCGACCTTGTTTGTGACGATGAGGGTGCGGCCGTCGGGGGAAAAGGTGACGGTGCCTGGAACGCCAATGGGAGTGCTGGTAGCAATGGTGGAGTTGGTAATGGGTGAAAGGATGCCAGTTTTCTGGTTGACCTTGAAGCCAAAGATGCCTGTTGAGGCAACAGAGCCGTCCATGGCATAGGCGAACCCGTTGTTGCTCAGAGTAATGGACAGGGGCTGGTCACCAGCATAGATGCTCTGGATCTTCTTCAGGCTGGAGCCGTTGACTGCATACACGGTAACCTCATCACTGGCCGGGTTCACGGCATAGAGGAACTTGTGATCAGCACTGAGCTGAAGGCCGCCCTGGGAGTCAAAGTCGACGCCCTGGCCATGGCCGCCGGTTGGGTATTCGCCAGTCTTGGTTAATGTGCCATCGGCGTTGCGGTTGAAAGCAATGACTGCGTTGTTGACGGCGTTGGTCAGGGCGAAGACTGCGCCGTTGGTGGTTCGAGTGTCGACGTTGCTTGGAGCAGCGAGGACGGTGGAGATGCCAGTGAGGCCGATGGAAGCAAGAGTAGAGAACTTCATCTTGAGTTATTATTAAAGAAGAAGCTGTAAAGGCGGCTGAAGGATTATTATTAAAGTTTTGAAGGTGGTGAAAGAGGCGGATGTGAGAGAAAGTTGATTGTGTGATGCTGAAGCAAAAGAGAACTGTTTAAGAGAAACATCGTCACTATTATATACTTTACACGACTTCTTGCAATTCCTCGCCAAAGCCATCCATCTAACTGAATTCCATCTTGTTGAGATCAACATCTTACCAACATCCAAGTCATCGTCAGCACCAGTGGAGTCGAGGTACCTGAGCAAGTAAGGCTGAGGCTGAGACCCCAGGCCTGCGAATCGTGGAGTTACAGTTACCTAATTGCACATCTTGATTCCATGAGCCAAGCTGGCGGTATGCCCTGCTTGTTCGCTTTTGGGAAGAGTGCCCCTTTTAGAATTTCCTTTCTAGGATCTATGTTGTGCTTTGTCCGCACCAACTCGGACGAGGGCCAGGTTCCTGGGCTAATTATCACAAGTAAGCTTGTAAACAAAGAATGGTCCGCGTACCCGCCTCCATCAGCACTCAATGGCTCAAAATGTTTTGTTTTCCAGCCACTTGAGGCTGTTTCATGCTACCAAAAAAGCTATCACTGGCTGTATAAGCCACTCAGCACAAGTCGTATAGCATAAAATAGCAGTGTTGGGATCTGCAAAGCGCCCCACGATTCCAATTTCTATGTGTCAGGCTTATTCAGCGGGAAAAAGCTCCTTTTGGCTGCAACGGTAACGCTAAATTTGCTTGATCAAGCTAGAGTCTATCTTCGATTTCTCTTAAAGTCTCCAGAGTTGCTAAGCAGCGTTCAAGTTTATGCAGCTTTGGGAGATAGATTGGGCCTCTTTTGGATAGCTTGGGTCAACGTGCGACATTGAGAGTATGCGCTTTTGTCAGCGAAATCAAGCAAATACGTGTATATAAAGCTCTGTAAACGTCCTAAGAAGCTTAATGGAATAGCTTCAGCTTCAGTAGCAAGTCCTTCGGCAGTGATAATAAAAGCCGACAACCGGCAAATTAGACTGCTTCATCCCACATTCTCGTGAAATCTCGGCGGAGCCATGGCGTCCAAAGTATGCATAACCCTATTAATAGACAGCCGTTAATTTCACTTAGACGAAGACCACACGCTAAGAAACTATCTTTTTCCTATTTTCCAGTTTACCGTATACACTTGTGGCGGCTCGCAGTGGGCCCAGGTGTCCCATCTTGCATTGGCGGAAAAAGGCATCGCGGAAAATGAGTATGATGTCAAGGAGGTTGATCTATGTAAGACCTAGGCCCCTCCGACTAGGCGCAATATAGTAACATTTGGAATCATTAGTTGCCGCCGACAATTTCGACCCTGAATACTTGAAGGTGAACCCCAACGGCACCGTGCCAAGCATCACTTCGCCTTCGCTGGACAAGAACATCATCGAGAGCGTAGATGTCGTCAGGTGGATTGATGGGCTCAAGGGAGAGCGCACTTTGGTGCCCTCGGATGCCGCTGCCAAGAGCAAGGCGCAGGCCATTATCGATCTTGTCCACTCATTCGATGGAAGAACCGACACTGTCCTCTTCCACGCCCGGAACGATGAAGAGATGAATGCCAAGAGAGGCACCGGCTTCAAGGATTACCTGGTGAAACGCCAGCACAGGCTTATCAAGGAGAAGGAGGCCAATCCAGATCATCCATTCTATGGACCCAAGATCCTGGACAATGGCTCCCTCGCCAAATTCTATACGGAACCCATTGGAGAGGAGCACAAGCAGTTCTACAAGGACGCCGACGAAGCCCTGAAAATCTGGGCCAAAGAGCTGGAGCGGCTGGACTCTCTCCTGGTACTGCCGTATGCAGTGGGTGATTCTGTCACGGAGGCTGATATCCACGTCACAACATGGCTGTCGCACGCAATGTGGGGAGTCGGCTCGGATTTGACCCAGATTCAGAATTTCGACACCCTGGAGAAGTTTATCCAAAAGTCGGCTCCTGAGTTCAAGTTTGGTAGGAAGACACGGAAATGGTGGGCCAATATCACCGCCACGGCGTCCTTCAAGAAGGTATTCCCGCAACTGCATTAATAAAGCATTGGATTTAGGAGGACATGAATGACGATAGAACGTCAGCAATGTTAGAAATGTTTAGAAATGAACACCCATGCTGTATTGATTCCACTAGCTAGCCTCAGAAATATTGAGTCAGTCCTAGCCCGTTCCAAATTTCCAGGATCCCACTTGTTCGGTCGAACACGGCTTGCATTTGAGGTAATCGCTACTATGAAGAATATTGATCTTGTCCAATAAGATGGAAACAAACGGTGCAACTATATGTTGAGAACTTCGCCGTCGAGATGTAGACACAGCGGTACAATTGCATTCGATCTAACAAATGAAAATTAGCTTTTACTGTCCTAGTTGACCACAAGAAAGCTGAGTCCATGTAGGAAGCCCAGTTTGTTGTAGCCAGGGCGTCTGCAAGGTGACTTACCTCCACTATTTGTTGAGCTAGATTAAAGAGTCAAATTTGGGGTAAGCACCAAATATAGCCCGAAGGATGGAGCAATAAGCAGCATCGAGATCCTAGACAGCACTATATTTCGCCCAAACTACTTTTCTCAGCGCCGTGAATTATGCTCGGATGGGTCGGTGTGTTCGTCCTCTTCTTTCTACTCTTTCTTCTCAGTCTCTTCCTCTTCCTCTTCTTCTTGGATTGGGGAGAGGGCCCTCCTTCGGGATCTTGGCGAGGCAGCATGTTCTTGCGAGGAACGGCTCTCATTCACTCTGGGGCTTGAATCCTGTTTCTAAAGAAACGCAAAGTGTTAGCTCACGGATACAAAGAGAGAACAGATTGTTCCAGATTGCTCAAGACCAACCGGAGATTCAGTTTGCTCATCGTTGGCATGTTCCAATCTCAGGCCACGAGTGCCAGCCTTGAGCTCAGGCTGAGAGCTATCCTTGATATCGGTCTGCTTCCAGACCGGCTGAGAGAGAGGCGACGGGGGGTGCAATCTTCTGCCGGGGGCCAGAAGCCCAGCGTGCTCCCTCTGGAGCTTTCTGCCCCCCTTGAGCGTGTTCCCCAAGCGAACAATCGCCGCGGCGCCTTCGTTGGTTAGTCCAAATGATTGGACTTCGGCTTCAACCTCCTCTTCCGTCCTGGGCCTTCGTGACATTGTTTGCTGTATCGGTGTTTAGAAAAATTAACCCAGAAACAAAACGATAATACGATGCTATCTGGAAAACAACGAATAAGGAGAGGTAAAAAAGCCGTGAACGTGTGTACTCGAAAAATGACACGCCGCATGGCAGCTGTCAGAAAACCGTCGAAACACGTCCACGCCTTGGTAGGCGCGCAACGCGTTGCGTCTTAATTCTTGTAAAACTACTAATGCGCTATTCACTGCGCCAAATTCACGTTTTCAATGGAAGATCTCAGCAGAAGGTGAAAGCATTCAAGGCGCGCCTCTTGAGCCCGTTCTAGCCTTCATTTCTTCTGTATTCTCGTCAAGCCACAACCCAGCAGCATATACCTTGTGTCCTCATCAAACCGGTTCTTAGCGGCCATTTCGTCGGACTTTTATCAATATTCTCCAATCTCCTGTTTCTGCAGAGCTTTGTAAAAATGCAGACTCCAGGCCCCTCTCGAAGCTGCGACATCCCTCATAAGTCCATACCAACCTCAGCCTCGTATATTCGCCAAGGTATATAATCTTGTCCCAAGTCGAATCCAGGCGATATTCATTCTTTTTTTAGACCTATATCAATGCTCACTGACCATATGTAACTACACTAATATTTACAGACAGATGAGGCTCTATCGCGCTCGACAGAACCTAGCTCGCGAAGGCCTATCCGACTCTCAAGGTTTATATATGAGCAACCCACTTGTACTCGAGAATGCAAAAGAATAATCGATCATCCGATAAATACATCATACTCTCCTTCAGCTGCCTCGGCACATGTTCACAAGAAGTCGCGTGCCCCCGCCCACGTAATGTTGTCCAAAGATGGCGCGTTCCGGAATGATCAAAGCTTGTGATAGGAGCACTTCTTACGGAAGACAAACGCCTTGCAATCATGACAACGTGTATCCAATCTCACCATATCGACTGATTGACAGAATATCTTTCGCAGAAAAAGAGCCATCACATCTAACCTCTCCGCATCAATGCGCCTAACAAGAAACTGTTCAACACTCGAAAATAAGGTGTCCAACTCTGCAGAATATCCCTGAGATGAAGGCATTTGTAACTACATGTATTCTTCTAGTTTGTAAAAGCTTGTTCGGCTTTAGCCTTGCATAGGAAGATGAAGGTCCGACAGTCAAACCCCCTAGTTCTTTAGTCTAGGGCGTCCTCGTCAATTGTCCACGAGCAGAAGATATACCAGACTGCTACAGCAGGGGAAAATGGCAAAAATATCAAGAAGGAAAGATGAAAGATTGCCAAAAAGAAAGAAAAAAACATACAACAGCCGGTGTTCGCTGATGGTCACCCACTCAACTACTAATCTGCCTCTCATTAGCTTGACTCTGGGAGAGCGGACGGGATCCCGTATATTCTAATGGATATGGTCGTATGTGCTAGTACTAACTTTTAGAAGCACTTATGGCACAATTGCTTCCATAGAAAAGCAAAAAGAAAAAACATACAACAGCCGGTGTTCGCCAATGGTCACCCACTTGACTACTAATCTGCCTCTCATTGGCTTGACTCTGGGAGAGCGGACGGGATCCCGTATATTCCAATGGATATGGTCGTATGTGACAGTATTGACTGTTAGAAGCACTTATATTGCAAATACACCACTTCTTCTCGTCTTACAGAGGCTCCCTTGATCTGCAAAACGCGGGCCCCCCTGGGCGCAACAGATCGCTTGAGCATACCCGAGCCATAGTAGACGCAATGAGGCCAAAGTTTGTTCGCAAGGAGAGTAAACAAAAAGGACATTCCTAAGGCTAACATCAAGCGGAGAGCTCGTGATGCTATTGCCAGCCTCAAAAAACATCCGGGTGCGTGGGTCATCCAGGTACCCATGTGTCAGTCACCTCCCCGACGTGATACATGGCCTCTCCCTGCCTGTCAGCAACGCCAGTGCTGGTCCATAGCCAATGCAGATCTGCTTGAGAAATCGCGGTATCGTGGTCAAGAAGCTCTGCCAAACTCAGCATCTGGTTGGGTGAAAGCCCGCTCACTGCGCTTGTCTCTTCTAGGGGGGGTGGCAGCTGAGCGGCTTGTTTGGTTTGATCGAAATCCTGCGTAAAGTGTCCGGCGACATTCATCGTGGCAGTTGCGGCAAGATATCCCAACTGGGGTTCCACTGGGGTCGTTGCTGATAATTCCACGTTGAGCAGTCTTAGAAATTCTAAAAGCCTCTCAAGCTCATCCTTCCGGAACTCTGCGATAAAACTGCCCCTAGCAATCATCTGATTCAACAAGTAAAAACTGGTATCAATCTCCGTCACATCTTTGAAGGGGCAATGAGGGATGATTGCCATCAGAGCCAGGATGAAGGCAGACGAGAATGTGCTCTCGAGGTCGAAGGGAAGAAAAGACTCTAGATACGCAAAACGCATAAGCAGTGTACCTCGGGGCAAAAGCTGGACGAGAAGATGGGGCATTAATTAGGTACCTAATAGATGCTGTGATTGAAGAGACAAAAGGATACGCAGTGATTTGGTCGCAGATTCTTGTGAGGTCTTGAGCAGGGCTTTGATTGGTGCTGCTAGTTGACGGTGCTTTCGTTTTGCAGTTATATTTTCAAGCATCTCCCGTATCAAGCACATGAGTAATGGGCGAGTGGCGAGGACGATGCACTGCAGCGGAGGAAGAGCGACGATTGTTAACAGAAAGGGGAGAGTTTGGCGTTCGATCTATTACCATGACAATATACATACCTGGTGATAGTATAAATTTAACGTGGCTGCAACTCTAGAAGTCGGCCCTGAGTGATCGAATCTAAACTCAAATGACTCTTCAAGGTCACTTGCTAGGCCTGAGAGATTTCTCAATACTTCTTGAGTGTTTTCCAGAAAGGAAAGCCCAAGCTCTCCATTCTTGCCGTATACGTCTGCAGAGATCATAAGCCATTCCATTTGTCTGTATATACCGACAAGGGTTACTCACTCTCCAGGACGCTGGCCAATAAGCGCGATAACGCGACGTGCAGCGTCAAGGATTTGGAAAAATTCGATTTGTGCCCAAAGTCGGGTAATGAAACCATTATATCTTCATCATGAATCATATTGGGTGCTCCCATGAGGGACGAAAACCTCCGGTCCAATATGTATATTGTCCACCAAACGGCGCGGTGGCGTTTGACATCTTCCTCGGTGAGATCGCCCCCAATAAGCTCCCGATGCAGTCCCTGGCTCAGAGCTATGCGCATTGCCTGACCAATCTATACCGTTGCATAAAATCAGTATCTGGAGCAGCGGGTAGGCTCAATGGGTTGCTCACATAGAGGAAAGCGCTGTTTCGATGATCAATTGACTGCAAGTACAAGGCCAGGCAGCACAGTATTTCAATAGAAAGAATCGGGTCTTGGTACAGCCCAAAGGAATTTGGAAGAAGCTCGATGGCGCGTGATATGAGCTCGGATCCTCCAGGTCTGTTACCCATGCTCCCGGACAGCAGAGCTTGGCCAAAACCCATGATCAAAAGAAAGTGGACGAACCACAAGTGACCACCCGGGAGCGGCTCGGCCTGTGGTCCTCGAGCGTAGAACTCGTGTAACCCATCCATGAACGTCTTCTCGTGGAACAAGTGATACAACTGGCCCAAGTGAAACCTGACAGTGTTTGTCAAATACATGGCAAAGTCGAGGGAGGGGATTTGGTCCATCTTCAGCGGGCCAATGGCTCTCCCTGGTGGCCATTCGAGAGAAAGTGCTCGGCCATCCGGGCACTTCTGGAGACTCCATATGCTTCAGATGGTCCTTGATCAAGTGCATGACCTGGCGGCTGTAGGCCCACGTTGAGGATGGACCAAGAAAACCTATCATGGCATCAGCAATAGCAGTGTCGTGACGGGATAGAAGCCACCAACGCCTCCTTCCGTTAACATCACGGAGAACCTCCGACTGGCCACTTGCGAGGGCATTGTGCATTGCCATCAGGCCCTCTCTTCGAGACCCATCGCTCAAGGTCGCTTCACCATTGACTGCTTCAGCATTGACCTCGCTCGGACTGTTGATCCAATTCGTCCCTGATAGGGACTCGGGCACCGACCATGCTTGATCTGGAGTCCCCGCTTGATGCGGTGGGTTTTCTGCGAGCTGTGGTGAGTTAGCATTGTCCGATGGCTGTTGTCGGCGCCGTTTAACAGCTTTCGGGCTGCCTTGATCTCGTGAGGCGATAGATCTCCTCTTCAGCTCAGTCAAATATCTGGAAACCAGGTGCGGTTAACCTTTCGCCCGCATCAAGAAGGAAAGGGAAATAGACGCTTGCCTTTCAGAAACCAAGACTTTCCGATCGCTGCGCAAGATGCACTGAATCTTGCGCCGGACGCATGTCGCGCAGGGCTGATGCCCGTCACACTTCACCTTGCGCTCTCGACACGCGCTGCAGCTGTCTCGGGCATCAGCAAGGCCACTGCCATTTGTCCACTGTCAGGAGAAGCAGAAAGGGCTCTCACGCATTGTTCCTACGTTTGCTCCGCGCAGGGCTTGCGTCTGCTTCGGGCTCCTCTCTGGGTGAACTCATTCCAAATGCCGAAGCTTTGATGGCCGGGTGTAAGGTTGTCAGCGGTGTTCAAGTATATCTCGGCCCATAGAAGCGCAAAATCAGTGGGTTCCCAAAGTGTTGGGGAATGCGTATTACAGTAAGCCGCCCAAAACATGTCCCCGACAATGCCGTCAATAGTTTAGGTACTCCTTCAGGTATTCAACCAGGTTCAGCCACTACGCGCGGCGGGTGCTTGGGTCTAAAATTGGCTCTCCTCTCTAGTTAACAGAGCTGGCCTCGCCTTAGTCTCAGCACGGTCAACAGTCATGGGCTCTGGCGCTGGCTTCTTTCAATAGTTGTGAAGTTGGATGCGTCCAGAATATTTCGATGGTTTCGCAGCCAATCCGAGGCCCTAGTGAGATTAATCGTGTACTTGAACTACGCCTCTAGTTTACATGCCCGCTGCGATCGTGTCCAGGTCGTGCACTACCTCCTTCGTCGATCTAGCCAACAGTCCCGAGTCCTGCTGGCCTAATATATAGCCCACGCCGAGCTCCTTGATTGCCCAGTTTTGCAGCTCCGGGGTTTCGTATATTCCAGCAAGCCCCATCACTCTGCCATGTTTCTTACAAGCTTTGCTAACGGCCTCCAATGCTCCGCGGAACTCGGGGCTCTTGAATTGGCCAGCAACTTCCAACTCTATGGAGAGATCATTAGACCCAACTAACAGCACCTCAACTCCCGGAACCGCCGCAATCTCATCGATGTTATCGATGCTTTCTCTTGTTTCAATCATCAACACGACCGAAGATCCCGTTGCGTTCGTCTCTTCTATGACTTTGCTAATTGGGGTGGCATTTAAACCAAACGCAGGGAGCTGGCCAGTCATCGATCGTCTGCCCATTGGCGGGTATTTGGATATTGACACAGCTGCCTGGGCATCGGCTGAAACCTGGTATTAGTTGATGACTGGGAATACTGGATTTCCTAGCCGCTCACTCTTGTTATGTATATGGGGGAATATGGCCCCTAGGGCTCCTCCGTCCAAGACGCGCTGCACCAACCCTTCTCCGCATTGATATGGAACCCGAACGAACGGTGTAATTCCAATCTGAAGTCCTGCAGAACAAAGCGCACTAGCCTGGTCTAGAGATAGAGTTGAATATTCCAAGTCGATGAAGAGAGAGTCGAAGCCTGCATTTTTCGCAAGTCTCACGATTTGGGGATTGGTCACTAATCGAATACCGAATGCCTGTTTTATGGTTTATGGAAGATCAGTACATGTATTCTCCAATCATCCCGCTTTTAACACTTCTACCGACCACAAAAACCTACTGTGCATAACTTCTTTGAAGCAGCACAAAGCTGCAAGCTATTTGCCGCGATTGTGCCCATATTGTGAGTGAGAATTCCTCCCAATTCGCCTTGTCCAAATCTCATAAAAGCAAGTGAAACTGTGAAGTTTGTGGGAAAGCTCTAGACTATCTATTCTCTGACCAAATAGTCTTGCCTCAGAACGTCACTCTGGCGAAAACGTCGTGGGCACGATTCCGCATCCCTCTCGGCTTGCCAACCCGAGCTCAGCTCGGAGACTTTTGCCGAAGCATTTCAAGCACAAGGAAACCCCACACTAGCGAGTGGGCACCGATAGCGACGTCCCGTATGTAAATGTTGGGATGGCATTCTTAATCTGTGTAACTTGACTTTGTCTTTTGTTTTCCCCGATGGAGATTAAGAGAACAGAGGAAACCAATTTAGTAACAGTCTTACAAGATGCTCAGAAAGCTCTCCCTTGGTCCAGAGGACCTCGTGTGCTTTTTGATGGAAATATGGAAATTAAAGAAGAAGAAGAAAAGGGAGGAGATGCTACCTCGGAGAAAGCTGATATTGGCGTTGCAGATCGCCGGAAGGAATGCGGAAAATACCAAGACTTGGACATCATCTCAGAGGTACGGCCGCGTACCGCTGGGCTTTCCGATACATATGTAATGAGACTGGTCCATTGCCTTTAGGCAAAAAAGAGATTGGATGCTTTCAACCGGGGACATAACGTTTATAGTCTACAAACATCATCATTCTAGTAAAGTTTCTCTAACATCATCAAGTACGGGCTCACCACTAACGACGAAACCTTCCTCTAGTTGGCCGCTGGTATCGTGTTTGGGGATGACAGCCAGGCACTGGAAGATCAGAGTGTCGGAGCCACCCAGTGAAATGGAAGGAATCATATCTGACGAAATAACTTATCATGTTCATTACATTAATTGCTTGATCGGAAACCGGCCTGGACGAAAGATCACACCAGTGCCATCTGCGCGCTGGAGGAAGCTAAGATCAGAGCCATATTCAAGGCGTCCAGCTTTCTTGGTCGTCTTATCAATTGCGTCCTCTAGCCCTGAAAGTGACCCCGAGACCAAATATTGATTGAGGCACAGATAGCGCACTTGGGTGGCGCACGAAATTCGGCATGCGTTCCCGAGAACTCCAGGCTGAACAATACGTCGGCTCACCCTCTTATCTATAAGAGAATAGTTTTGATGCTCCTCATATAACACGGCTGATATGTCACACTCTAGAAGCCTAGGATGAGATTGCCGTTTTCCTACTTGAACCATACCTTGAGTGTGACTGGAGTTCGCTTCGATCGCTTTGCCCCCTTTACTGTCCATGTTTGGCATTTGCACGCTTTAGGTTATCCACAACAAAGATGGCAGCGCTCGTAGACGTCGAGAAGCTGAACCAAGATGGCCTCGTAGAGACCATATCGACCCGAGCCGGAGAAGGCGCGGAACTGAACCAACTGAAGCGCGAGTTCAAACCGCGCCAAGTCTTGATGTTCTCCATTGCTTGCGCGATCGGCACAGGGCTTGTCATCGGCTCAGGGACGGCCCTATCGGAGGGCGGCCCAGGCAGTCTTCTCATTGCATACCTCATGGTAGGCGGCGCCGTCTTCTTCGTCATGACTGGACTGGGAGAAATGGCTGCATTTCTCCCTATGAACAAGGGCTTCGGAGGATATGCTAGCCGCATGGTTGATCCGGCGTTTGGGTGTGTCCATCCCACTCTGCGCTGCGGAGACATGAATGCTGATACGATTCTCCGTTCAGGTTCGCAACCGGCTGGAATTATTTCTTCAAGTACATAATCGCGATGCCGTCAAATCTGACAGCAGCAGGACTCGTTGTTCGCTACTGGAGACCTGATCTAAACGTCGGGATCTGGGTTGCAGTTTTCGGAGCCGTCATCATTTTTATAGATGTACAACATCCTCCTTGGACCGTGGTCCCTATGTCCGCTGACTGACATGTGGCCTCACAGTTTCTGCACGTTTCAAAGCTCGGCGAGACGGAATTCTGGCTTGGCCTATGCAAGGTCCTGATTATGACCATACTGATAATCTCGTGTCTGGTAGTGGCCCTCAGCGGTGGTCCTAACCACACGAGAAGCGGCTTCCAATATTGGAGGGACCCAGGCGCCTTCAAAGAATACCTCGTTGAAGGAAGTCTCGGGCGCTTCTTGGGTGTCTGGGCCTGCATCTGTCAGGCCTGCTTCGCATTTACCGGGACGGAGGTCGTGGGAATGACATTTGGCGAGACGCCGAACCCGAGGAAGAACATCCCCAGGGCTGTGAAGCAGACTTTCTAGCGGATTGCTGTCTTCTACATCCTGAGTGTCATTGTCCTAGGCATGGCCGTGCCAAGCGATAACGAGATGCTAATCGGTGCTACCAAGAAGTCTACCAGCGCTGGTGAGTCATTCCAACTGCGGCAGCCGCGGCGCCACCAGCTGACTGCTTGAATAGACGCTTCGCCCTTTGTTGTCGCCGTTCGTATAGCTGGCATTTCAGTCTTCCCAGACTTCGTAAACGCCTCGCTGCTGGTGTTCACCCTTAGCGCAGCATGCACCGGTGAGACCTGCTACTCTATTCATGGTCCTGATATAGGGATCTTCCTGACCTGAGAACTATCTAGACATCTACTGCGCCTCTAGGTCCCTGTATGGCCTTGCGAGGGATGGACAAGCCCCACGAATCTTTGGCAAGACCCGGGAGAACGGGAACCCGGTCTATGCTGTGGGCATAACGTGCCTCTTTGTAGGCCTGGGCTTCCTGAACGTCACCAAGTCTGCCGCCACTGTCTTCCAGTACCTCGTCAGTCCCGTCACCATCTTCGCCGTCCTCAACTGGATGGCGATACTGATATCTCACATCTCGTTCCGCCGGGCGTTGAAGGCGCAAGGCATTGTAGCCAAAGACCTTCCGTACACAGCTTTTGGCCAACCTTGGGGTTCATACTATGCTCTGACCATATCATTGCTCGTCAATGTGTTCAGCGGGTATGACGCCTTTATTCCAACCTTTCATGTTGACAAGTTCATCCTGAAATATCTGGGCGTGGTAATCTTCGTCGCCAACACCGTCATCTGGAAGTGGTGGAAGGGGACAAAAAGGGTGACAGCAAGCACCATGGACCTCGTCACGGGCATTAGGGAGTACCAAGACAGTTTCCCCGTCTTGGAGAAAGAATGGACGGAGGGCTTCTGGCATAAGATGCTTCACAAGATGAAGAAGTAGGTCATTAAGATATTTTAGGAGACAAAGTCTAAACTCTGGATATGTGCAATGAAGAAGTTAAAACTGTCGATTGTTCCCTTTGAAAATAAAATCACTGTGTGTGGCGAACGATAGAGAGCCTAATACTCGAATATTGTCGAAACCGGGGGGCGGCGAGGCAGCGAATACATCTCTCATTCATGACACTCGGCTAATATTTTCAAGAATCCAAACAGACTTTACACTTATATTATTTTTCCCTCTTTTTTAGACAGCACTTGTGTCAAATGACTAGTAGAAGTAGATTATCATAGCCATCCATTTTTTAATTGTCCAATACCATTTTCACGATCTAAATATTGTCTCAGTAGCTTGGCGACCGTGAATATGAACCCGTCAGGAATCACGGCTTCACAATCTTCGTTTTGTAGGCATACCAAGAGCCAAGGGAAATTATTGCTATTCACACCAATTCGTATTCCGATGTACAGTGGCAGCAGACTTACTATGCCTCCATGGTCAAGTACAGGGTTGGTTGCGCAGGAAGTAATTGTGTGACAACAGTTTGCCACCCCAACTCGTTCCAAAATCTCAACTTGATGGGCTTGTTACTGCAATTGCGAGATCATTCCGCTGCCGGATCAATTCAATCGTCGAGCTGCTGACACCCCGAACTGGCCGCCATTGTGCTGCGTGGGCCTTCGGTAACCATGGCCGGGAAATATGGTCGATTTGGGAAGTTTTAAGTTCGGCCCTCGTCGCCGAGCTCCACATCAGGAGCGACGTGTGGCAGTTCTGAGGAGGTTCGGTGCAAGACCCAGGAATTCTTGTTGACATTCGGTGCCAGTGCGGAGGAGGGAGAACTATGTGACTTGCCGTTAAAAGTGTGAAGACGCTTCGATGAGTTCCCGAATGCCCCAAACCACCACTAATAATTCTCGACACAGGATATTTGTTCAAGATGATTTTCGAGTCAGTCCAGCCTGGAGTTCCGGACCCCATGTACAATCTCAAAAAAAGAGCGGACAGTGACCTATCTCCATCAAAAGTTGATCTCGGTGTCGGCATCTACCGCAATGAGCAGGGTGCCTACCAAGAGCTCCAATGCGTCAAAGAAGTCAGTCATCAGGAGGGGGGAGAAAGGTAACAGTCGGGATTCCTAGCTAATCATCTGTTGCTTCGATTTAGGCAAAACAAGTTCTGGCGAAGATCGACCTTGGTCACGATGTAAGCCAAGTTCTATCATTTTGTTAATAGGTCGTAATCTGGCTAACCAAAAGTTACAGTACGAGCTGACAACGGGGAATCCTGGATTTCTCAAAGAAGCGTCAGGTATCATGTTTTGCCAGGGCGGCGTCTCGCCAGCAAAGGGGAGTTGTCATCGCACGTCCTTGAGAGCATCCAATCTAACGAATTGGCCTGTCCAGCTAGCCTCTGTTCAAACAATCTCTGGAAGTGGAGCGGTTCATCTCGCTGCCCTATTCATTTCTCGGTGCATATCTCCCTATATAAAGGTGTTCGTTGGTGTTCCCACATGGGGCAATTACAAGCCAGCCCTCGACCTCGTCGGTCTCCAGACTATAGAGTATCGTCATTATGATCCCTCGACTCGTTCATACGATCACGATTCAACCATACTAGCCATTAAAGAAGCTCCTGAAGGCAGTGCCTTCATCTTCCAAGGGTGCTGCCACAATCCAACCGGTGCCGATCCGACTCCTGAGCAGTGGTCCGAGATTGTAGACGCCCTCAAGGTCGGGAGGCATCTCCCCTTGTTCGACCTCGCGTACCAGGGCCTCGGCCAAGGGCTAGACGAAGATGCCTACGCAGTCAGTCTTTGCGCCAGACGAAGACTTGAGTTTCTTGCATGCCAGTCTCTTTCGAAGAACTTTGCCCTCTATGGCGAGCGCTGCGGCTCTCTTCATGTTATCTGCAAGGACAGCAGGGCGGCAGCAAACGTGCACGACCAACTGCGCTGCCTCATCCGCTGGGAGATGTCGTCCACCCCAGCATACGGATCGCGCCTCGTCAAACTTGTCTTGCAGGATGGCCATATGAATGCTGACTGGTGAGCCACGCACATGCTCATCGGCAATAGAGTCATCTAACAGCATTTAGGAAGGCTGAGCTCTCAGCGATGAGGGAGAGACTAGCAAGTCTCAGGCTGCAGCTGTTCGAACAGCTCACGAGGATTCTCTATGTAAGTTGACGTGAGCTTGCGAATATTACAACTACTCACAAAAGAACGCAGACACCCGGTGATTGGTCGCATATCGTGCAAGAAAAAGGACTATTTTCGTAAGGGTCGCACTCTTTGTATGCCTGAAGATAACTAATGCCAGCACAGTTATTTGAAGCTCTCTGAGTCACAATGCGAGTTATTGGTAGAACAGCATCACATCCATTTACCTAAGAATGGGCGTATCAATGTTTCTGGGCTGAACCCGAGCAACTTGGGCTGGGTGGCTCGAGCCATTGATGAAGTTGTTCGGGAAGAGCGTTCAAATCAGATTGTTCCTTCACTGTGATAGCTCCAGTACTGATGAGCAGATCCGAAGAGGAATGGTCGGGTTTGCCTACGCAATGTTGCATACCTGCCAGTGATCATGATGGTTCGGCATAAATGAGGATTAATGTGGTTTGAAGAAAGTTCATTGCCATCCCATCTCATCACCTGGAGCTGTTCAATGTGCAGGGTTATACATTACAACGCTATATATACAAAGCCGTAATGCCTTACGCCTAGGTTACTCGGATTTAGGTGGGCGGTTGATAGGGTGGGCGGTGCATAGGTGGTCCGACTTATTCATTCATTTGAGTAGTATAGATCAGGTCGATTTAAGCTACGGGCCAGATAGACCCCTGCTGATCAGGTGCTAGGTCGATTATCCACACAATTGGCTATATATACTAATCCGATTCGCCAGCTTCCCATTTTATAGCTACCGGTATGGAACTTCAATCAGCACCTCTCTGTCGTTGGTCAAACGAGTCTCGCGGTCCCAAAAATCCATGCGAAGACGCTTACATGCAGTCTGACAGCGAACTAATGGCCTCCATAAATGAAGAGACCTTCCATTTTAAGACAATTCTCCTGTCAATCAATGACATGGCACCTGAAAATATTATAATACAAGTGTTTCGCCTTTCAGCAAAGTGTGCACACAAGAAGACAAAGCATGACTAGAGTCAAGATGCAGTCCTTCAATTCGGGTCTCCTTTCACTCCTACTTTTTGCCCTTCCCAAGGCTGCCATCGCCGTCAATGATGTCGATGCTGGCTTTGATGCCTACGCAGCGTCCCAGGTGATGGTTGACAAAGCCTCTCATTCCTGGGAATGGGGCACAGCCGCAGAAGCTCTTCTAGAGCTGTATAATCCCGAGCTATCTGTCTTTGGATCCAATCCTTTCCCTGATGGCAAAGTTCCTCCAGCCGACCCTAGCACCACCGCCCTTGCATATGCGAAGCAGTTCATAAACCGCAATTCGCAAACACTTGTCAATGACACTGCGGTCGGCGATCCGGCATCGCTGGGTGTCTCGGCGATTCTCCTTGGCCAGTCGGACAGTGTCTACATCGGCGCGGCCGACCGCGAGTCTGACTTTATCCTCAACGTTGCCCCACGATGGAGTAACGGTGCGATTTCCCATCGACCGGATGTTGCCGAGCTGTGGGCTGACAATATGGCCATGTCTTTCCCATTCTGTACGTTGATTCATCTTGTTGCCCGAACATACAGAAGGCGCAATTAACATGATTTGCCTATCTCTAGTGGCTTATCTTGCCGTTCAGCATAACGATACCTCATTGATGTCTCTTACGGTGCAACAGTGTGGCCTGCAACGCGCTGTTCTGAAAGGCAGCAGTCTCAGTTGGCAACACATCATCGGTCCCCAATCCCAAGATACGGGCCTTTGGTCAACAAGTAACGGCTGGGCCGGCTATGGAATGGTGCGAGTGCTACACACACTCCAGAAGTGGAGTGGTTCGGCTTCGATGGCTTCACAAGCGAGCCAACTCAAGGGGTGGATCAAAGAGATCCTCGACGGCGCGATTCAATCGAGCTTAGACGGCGGCTTATTGCGCAATTACCTTAACGATTCCAGTTGGTTTGGCGAAATTTCCGGAACTGCAGTTCTGAGTGCTGTGGCGTATCGAATGGCTGTTAACGACCCTAATATGTTTCCGCAATCCTACATCACCTGGGCCGACTCAAATAGAAAGTCTCTGGCGCAGAAGCAGAACAGCGATGGCCTTTTTTCGCCAGCTGTTAACCCGTATAACTGGCATGATAGAACTAGGTATACTGCTGGATCACCTGAGGGCCAGGCATTCGCCGTTTATCTATACACAGCTTATAGAGACTGCGTCAACGCCGGGATTTGTTAAGCACCCACCGCATCTGCGGCTACTTGAACAATAGTCTTAGGCCTATTGACATTCTATCTATAATGATACCTAGCTACTGTATATATTATATTCAAGTACCAGCTACCTCTCAACCAAACAAGCTGCATCTAAAGACTAAAACAGCCTAGCAAGTGTCATCATCTCTATTCAACTACTAACTTATTAATGAATAGCTTATAAAGGTTATATTCCTTATGAAAAAGATCAGTAAATCTATAACAGCTAGGTCGAAGCAAGACTATACCGTACCCTTTAATTTAAAATACAAAATTAAAATCAAGCAATACCTTTACTTAAAGGCCGAATGACTTTTTCTAAATACTGCTGAGCAAATAACTTATCTCCGCTATCGTCTGGGAGTTCTCCTGAGTTCAGTGTTCGTACAGCAGACTGGTAGTATTTTTCCATTCTCCATCCAACATCTGGAATAACATTTCGGGTCATGTAGTTAAACCAGGTAGATCAATCCACCAATTCTGCTTTCTGAGAAAGTTCATTGCCATCTCATCTCATGACCTGGAGCTGTTTAATAGGCAGAGGTATACGTTACAACGCTATATATACAAAGCCGTAATGCCTTACGCCTACATACATAATCTTCAAGTTGCAGAAGTAACAGAATCAACAGTAGTGCCTTTTACATAGTCATATCCTATAGTAGTGGTCAACATCATTCTAATCAATGTGAGCCACGACAAAAAGTGTGCAACTTGCTTCTCCATTATATCACTTCATACTAAAGTCAGATCGCATTTTCATAGTCATTTTGATTGAGTATAGCTATTTCGAGCTCATTTCAGCCAGGGATAGCTGAGTGAGTCTAATCTCCCCAGCCTTTTTAGTCTTGATGTCGAAGAGGAAGCCCCGTGCCTTCCTTCCAAGCATGGAGATCTGGTCGTTTGAGACCGCCCTAGTGGTGACAGCAATGGCTTTGTTTTAATTGTAGGTGAGGACTAAATAATGGCAAGTATCTTACTTAGTACGGGGCTGGTTAACCACCGAACAGACTTAATTAACTCTAGATTTGGAGCTATGAGATGCAAAAACATGGAAGATATTACACTCAAGAGAGGTTTTTGACGGGATCCCGTATATTCTAATGAATATGGTCATACGTGATTGTGTTAACCTCTGAACCACTTATAACACATCCCTTTCTAGGGGAAAGCAAAAAGAAAAAACATACAACAGCCGGTGTTCGCCAATGGTCACCCATTTGACTACTAATCTGCCGGTTAGTGGCTTGTCTCTGGGGGAGCGGACGGGACCCCGAATTTTACACTACCTATGGTCGTATGTGGGATATTCATGGGATAAAGTAGATTATAGAGCCTCTAAGAGAAGTGGTAGATCCTTTAGAGAGGTATCGCAAAGGAAATGCTTAATCTCTCCCCTTTTCAGTCTGCTCGCAACACGAATTATTAAATTAACTTCCACTCTTTAATTATACCCAAGTGCTTTTTGAATCTCTTTGACAAGCCTATTCATTTAAGAATACATTCGAGAATTAGGAGATCATTAAAATAGCCTTTTTGTTATGATGTAATATTTTCTGCTGTAAAACGTAATTTTGTGAACCCAAGCCACTCTAGACTTGTAGCAGACAGCTAGTGGTTTTCTGTCTCCGCTCAGTAGGTTTTAGCAAATATTCTTCCTCTCTTAGATAATTAAGCTGTATCACTTTTCCTCTCCTCACCCTTGTTTATCAATAGACTACCTGCTCCGTTTCTCCATCTCGTAAATGCTCGACTGTTGAGAAATACGACTGATTAAGTCCTTGTCGAATATGAAAAGTAGGCTCCCATTGTGCCTTATCTGTTACTTCTTTTCTATTAAGACTGCGTCGAAGTAGCCGTTCATCGACCTCATAATCCATGGCATCACATAATTGTGCTATAAGGAGCATACAATGGGGTAAGCTAGGATAAATAAGACCTTTGGTTCTCCAGAACTTATAAAAAATGGCCCATTTTGTGGTTGGCTGTAGCATCCGAAGTGAGTCCGAGTTGATGGAGGGCCAACGGATCTCACAGGCTACAGACATGCTACCTAGTGCATCAAACGCTTGTGGCGTGGATTGACAATATGGGATCTCTTGCCTCCCTTCCGTGCCTCAAGACTCCAACTCAGCCAGTAGTAGGGTATTGGAGTGCATATTATTATTTTCGTTGCAATACCAGTTCCCTCAACCTCCACTTTTCCCTTACCGAAGCAAGCTGTGAATGGCCATGATACTACTTGCACTGATACATCGGAAATAGTAGAGAGAACCCTTGGCAGTTGCGGACCGATCCGATAGTGGAAGATAGCGCAATGAGGAGGCGTTATATCGCAAAGGATAGCACGCGCCAATAGAGAAACTTCTCTATGCATTGATCAATTAGTATTTAGCGATCCCATCACGGTGCTTGATTCATCACTGTAACAACCCTTATTTGAATTATTGCTTGGAATAAGGTCGTATGATTCAAGGGCCATATTTTGGTCATTCCATCGCTAGCCTAGTCGCTATCGCGGGTTTGAGATCGTTCTAGGTATCATACAAAGAATGCTGAGCAATGGTTGACTAGCCGTACATACATACGGTCTATGTGTATAACACCCATTATACCTCAGATTCATCTTCCTTAGGTTTCTTGAATCGCCAATTCCTTAACCCAAAAGGCAAAGCTACCCCCATATTACGGAATGCCACACCGAGAACGACTGTGCTTATCACAACAGAAATCACGACTGACGTTAGATGCCATTAGCTTACGGTTGTGGGTAGAGTTCCAAGGGCAAACGGGATTAAGCTTACACATATACGTAATCTGCTCCCCCATAGTCATCCATTCATTCCCAGTCGAGTTCTCATTATTCATGCCGAAAAATCCTGTAAAAAACCCGAGTGGGACCTGAGAAAGCAAATAGTAATAGGTTTTAGCTATTGTGGTTTCCAGGACATCGTTACTAGTACTTACAAAAAAGATTGTGACAATAGTGAAGGCCATGATGGCTCGGCCTTGTTTAATACTTTCCTGTCCTTGTTTAACGCTTTCCTCTCCTTGCTGTAGAGCCGCTCGAGCTTCGACAATACTAGCTTCTTGCTGCTTAAGCGACATCAGTGCTTGGAGCTGGAAGAATAATGAGCATATTGAACCGAGAAGTTTTGGTGATAATGACACGCATACCTGCTCGTTTGAGCGAGCCGCAGCACTTTGGAGATCTTCTATTTCGGCGGTTCGCTCCTTTATCTTTTCGATCAAGTCGGCTGCCTCTTCGAAGTCTAATTTCGCAACTCTAGCTGCTTCCGATTCTCCTGAGGAACTCGAAACCTTATCTAGTCGGTTCTTCAGGTGTTTACTTAGTCTACTCACAACCGCTAGTTGATGCTTATACTGGCCCTCCACTTCAGCAGAGGTAATTAGTTGAGGCACCCTAGACATTGAAAGATACATGTATTTCAAGTCTCAACACAAAAGCACACTTACTGATTTTTAGTTCCTCTGTAATGTCCTGTGACTCTTTGAGCAAAATACCCTCTGGGTTAATATTCAGGTATCTGAATGACTCGGCTTTACGATTGTTAAACTTCGCCGTGTTCGACGAATGAAGATTGACGTTTAGCCAGAAAACGCTATATGCAGCTGCAGTATGATACGCCTATTGCAGGTAATTAGTCATAATATATCTTGGAAATGTCTTAGATTTAGAAAGGGAAGCAATGTTCAACGATACGCACCACTGCTCCAATGGCTTGGGCAAACAGATCCATTACTTCTGGCCGATCATCCGTTGGCTGTGTCCGGTCAAAGAATACTTTTGAGCATTGATCAATGATTAGAAGTGCTTTAAGGTAATTAGTGAATAGCAATCTTGACATTGAAAGGATGCTACTTGCCAAGATGATAGACTGATCGAATGTCCTTCTTCTTTGCAAGTATCTGTCGGAGGCTCTTATGGACGCCGGAAGAATCAGGTTTATTTCTCCCCCAACGGCGTGGAAAAGATGTGATAATTGTGTCTATATTGTCAGCTTGTCAAATCTTTTGAGTCATGTATTTGGCGGGTTTACCCTCTCCAAGGATCCACATCCACAGTTGGTCAACCATGACAACTCGAGTGACCCCAACTAACTTCACTAGATTCTTCGTCGTACGTGTATCCAATGCACTAGTGCAAGTGCTTGCAACCGCTGTGACGCTAGTAGACGACTCGACACTATTTCCAGACTCATTAGGTTGTCTTTCTTTGGATGTAGCAGTACCGCATTGTTCCCCTTTTTGATGCTTTTGCCTGCCCGCTCTTGTTTGTCGATACACAACTTGATCCGTATCCCTCGCTGCTGTATCTTCAACGGTTGAGAAGTATGACTGATCCAGAGTTCTGCGAATGTGCAACGGAGGAACCCATTTCCGCTGTGGCACAGATGCGCCGTCTCCCTGCTTTATTTCGGAAAAGCTCTGCCGAAGCAGTCGTTCATCTGCTTCACAGTCCATGGCATCCCAAACTTGTGCTACATCATAGAGATATTGTCCGATTTCGCTTGAGATGAGCTCACGATTAAACTTTGGACGGAGACAAGTGGCCTTTTTACTCGCGACAGTGACAATGCGAGAGACCATAGAAGCCCTATTGTCCTTGACGACTTCTTGGAATATTTGTGTCATCATAGACCGCCTTCGATTAGTTTCCCAGTGTAGATATGGGAGCTGTGACGCGAAAAATGAGCATCTACATCTATGCTAGTAGGCAGGTTAAGATAAAAGAACTTACAAATACAGCCACATTTGAAGGGGCGTTGTTATCAGTGTCGTCTTTGGTATTAAATAGGTTAAAATTTGCGTCTTTAGACACTTGCTTCAATAACTAACCTGACACATGAGCGCATCGAGGCCTCATATGGCTCATACCAGCACTATGCAACTGCCCTCGCCAATGCTCGCGAGACAATAATGGGCTCTTGAAATTTCCAGTTTCCAGTACCTGTTCATTATCGTCCTCGGATTCAGTGTTCACTTGGTGGTATCTCTCCAACGCTGTCTGTAATCCACATATGTTAGTTAATCGCTTCGACCCCAGAGCAGCCTGATACTGACCTCAATCCACTCCATATGATTGGCTGGGAAATGGAAATATTTAATGCTCTCTCCGTCGCTTTTGAAAAGCTTGTGGTTCTTGGAGGTGTCAAACAGTATGGTATCCATCTTGATCTTTTGGTTAGGAAAATCCCCTGAGGACGGATCAACGTCCCCACACTGTTCACCATGCCATTTTCCCTCTTGGCCTTTCTTAAAATACATGACGCCAGCCCTGAACTCCTCTATTGGCTCTCTTATTTTCTCATCCAGCTCTTTCACCGTCTCATTCTTCAGCCCGTTGCTGCTTTCTGCTTCTTGCTCATCTAGGGGACTGCCTTTGTACATTGCTTTCTTAGTCTTCTCGGATAAATGTTGGATCAAACGTTTGCGCGATTTTGCAACATTGTTAAGTAGTCCCAATTTCTCGGCCTTCCCTTTAAATCTTTCTCTAATCTTGCTGATTCGCCTTTCTTCGCTCTCTATTACATTGAGGTAGGGTAGGTCGGGCCTGCGATCGTCGCGTTTATCGAATTTGGATCGGGCATAGTCGCGGAAGGCACTTTTTTTCAACTCAGTTTCGCTTCTTCGCAAGGGAGCAGGAATGCTGCTTGATGCCATGATGTTGAGCTTAGAGGCTGGGACAACAATGTAATTCTCAATTGCAGCACAGAGGACCAAGGACATGCAATAGACACAGACAAGTACTGTGTATATATAGTCTGAGGCGGCCTGGGATAAATACGGCCTTTATTCCTTCAGTCTTGTGGTACCAATATTACAACATCAATGAATAAATCTGTGGCTGGCTGTATCATCCGAAATGCATGGAAAGTGGTGTAGGGCCAAGGGACGCCATAGGCCGCTGAGCGTTATCACGACCCTGACTCCTGCTCATTGGGGCCAAAAATAAATATTGCCAGCGTGTGACAGGCAATCTATTTACCCCTCTTTCACGCTTAGAGAAGACAATTAGGGAAGAGGGCCGTTGGTTATTGCATAGAATTGTTACCGATACAGGGATCGAAAGTTAAGCCCGCCCCCAATCTCCGCTCTTTGCTCACCGAAGCAGCTTGTGAATGGCCAAGGTACATGCATATTGTACACGTACTGAGAAATTGGGATTAGATCGACACTGCCAAGCATCGCCAACAAAGGCTGCCTTGGCGGATACGGCCCGAGCTGCTGATGTGAAATGGTATAATGGCGAGGCTGTATATCGTAAGGATGCGGAGGCTCTTTTGTTCAGCCCTTGCAATAGTAAGCAATCTCTGTGCAGTGTTACATGGCTACCCGCCTGCATGCCAGGGAAAGTGCTTGGTCCTTTGGCAATGTTTAGCGACACCCTGTAAGGAATTCCACTTCCGCTGTGGTTTTTCGGATCAAGAACAAAGCAAGTTGCTGTGGTTGTTGTTCTTGTACTTCTCTTGCTTTGGGCGGCTCGTCTTGATCTTTAGCCCATGCCCACTTTGCGGCCCAAGCCGCTTTGTCCGTGTTCTTTGAGCCGCCGTTGGTGTCGTCGAATGGGCCATTGGCCGCTGTAACGGCTCTTAACAGTAGCAGTTCTATGATGATACTTTGATAACAGCGTCGGTTGCAGTCTAATCGGAAATGTCTACACCAACACCGACAGACTCCACCGTTGAGTATCGGCGAGAGCGGCCAAATTTGGAAAGCGCATTCCGGGTTCACCCTCCCAGAAATTTCTTAACAATGGCCTCAAACACACCTCTTTTCCCTCTAGAATTTACAAAACAGCCCTAGCAAGAAGAGATGATTTCAGCAAACTACTTCCTTAGATTGAAGGTTTGCTTACCTTGTCTTGGCGAACATTGCGAATCCCGACTGTTAATTGTCTCTGAAGAAGAGGAGGGAAATGAAGAGAGCAAAAAAGGCCTTCTGCGTAGCGCAGAGGGCAATGGCGAGACTTATTTTAATACATGTTGATTGCTATGAGAATACAAGAAATATTTTGCGCTGGTACGGCGAGAGTGTGTGCTTGCAGTGCGTTTCGTTTGCCAGCTGGGACAAGACAGGCTACCCTCTCAGACCATCAAAATCTCAGATGAACAACAACACCAAGGCCGTTACCAAGACAACTGAAATGATTAACTTTTGTATCAAAAGATAAAATGCTATACTTTGTCGCTAATATGCTTTTTTGAAGTGGCTCTACACGAAGCGTACATGCATCTAGAGCAAGAAAAAGGTCGGTGGCTTGAGAGCTTGTCGTAGCTCATGGTGTATCTAAACTTTGTCACACGTCAGAACTACCAAGGTGGATGGTCTCAAGATACCAAACATGCGAATTCGAGCTACTTTGAACCCAAAGACAATGTGTATCTGTTCGCAAAAGGGAGGATGCTGCGTCGTGAATTAGTGTCAAAAAGTGTTATCAAGTATAAACATACATATTCCATCCCATCGTACTGAAAACATAAAATACACAGACAAACTTTTCACTCTCTTGGATCCCAACCTAAGTCAATTCAGAGTCCAGGTATTCCCGTGCGACGGGTCCGATCCGCTCCCCAAACTCTCCACAAAAGATATGAGTGCCGCGAAAAACTAGGCTAAAAACACCAGAACCAAAGGAATCATCATCATATTTACATATTTGCTTCATCGTGAGGGAAGTCGAGAGCAGTGAGAATAGAAAAGGGTAGAGTCAGACGGAGAGTCAAAGTCAGCGCCAGTGTCAGCGTCAGAGTCAGAGTCATGGTGAGAGCGAGAGCGAGAGATGCAGAAATAGTCGCTAATATATTTGCAAAATTCTAAGCCGTAGCATTTTATGCACAGCCGTCAATGTCTAAACAAAATTCCCATCATAATCCGTTACGCCGTAAAACCAGGTGGTTACTCTGGTTAGTCCATATCTTCCCTCATCATATTAAAACTGTGTGCAGCTTCCTATCCATAATGTTACAACTATCGCCCGCGTAGGGTTTTTCAAATTCACATCCAAACTCCCTTTCCTCTTCACCTTGACAGTCCATCCGCTCATCCTCAGCCGTCCCCTTTAGATCTTGCCGAAGATGGAGGTCATCAGGACCTTGGTGATACGGTACGGGTCGGCGTTGGAGGCGGGTCGGCGATCCTCAAAGTAACCGCAGCCGCGGGCGGCAGTCTCACGAGGAACACGGATGGAAGTGCCGCGGTTAGCGACACCCCAGCTGAACTTCTCGATGGAGCCGGTCTCGTACTCGCCGGTCAGACGGAGCTCGTTGTCCTCACCGTACTCCTTGATACACTCGGTGTGGTGAGGCTCGAGGGCCTTGATGGCCTCCTCGATGTACTTCATGCCACCCTCGGCACGCATGTCCTTGGTGGAGAAGTTGGAGTGCAGGCCGGAGCCGTTCCATGGGCCCTGGATGGGCTTGGGGTGCAGGGTGACCTTGATGCCGAACTCCTCGGCGATGCGGGCAAGGAAGAAACGGGAAATCCAGAGCTCGTCACCCATGCTGATGCCGACGCAAGGGCCGACCTGGAACTCCCACTGACCGGGCAGAACCTCGGCGTTGGTACCAGAGATGTTGATGCCAGCATCTGAAATTCTGATTAGCTATTATTCAAGAGGTGTATTGTATCAAGTTGCGTCAACTTACAGAGACAGGCCTTGTAGTGAGCGTCAACGACGTGGCGCAGGACAACCTTGCCAGCACCTACACCGCAGTAGTAGGGGCCCTGACTGTAGGAAACGGTTAGCTCAAATTCAAAGACTTTTTGTCAAGACATGTTTGTCTCGGGGAATAAATGACGTACGGAGCAGGGTAGCCGCCAACGGGCCAGCCATAAGGCCGGTCATCCTGACCGAGGAAAGTGTACTCCTGCTCGAGACCGAACCAAGGCTCACGCTCGGCGTTGGCCTCCATGACCTTGGCGCATTCATGACGGAAGTTGTACTTGTTGGGAGTGCCGTCGGAGTTCCAGCACTCGGAGAGGACGATGATGTTGGGTGAACCACGGAAGGGATCGGGGTAGACGGCGCAAGGGCGCAGGTAGACGTCGGAGTCGTGGCCGGCAGCCTGGCCGGTTGAGGAGCCGTCGAAGTTCCAGACGGGGAGGTTGTCGGGAGTGTACTCGACGTCCTTGGCATCAAGAGTCTATCATGATGAAGTCAGCAGGCGTGTTCGAAATACAGGTTACAGTCGACGATGCCGTCAATAGCGTCATAACGTCGCACGCGCCATGGTCCCTTTGGCGATCAATGGCAAACCCGACACTGGCCGAGGCATCAGCCATCCCTGGTCTCAGCCCCGGACAGGCGGGTCTTCCTTATCCGGGGTGGATAGGCGCAGGCCTGAGGGAGAACGAGGGGCTATTTCGGGATAAGGCCAAGGCAAGGCAAGGCTAGGGCTAAGCTGAGCTGGGACGATGCTTGGAGCGTGGACTAAGCACTATGTGGCAGACAAATTACACTGAGCGTCAGGCACTACAGGATCGTAGAAGCCGACAACCAGCGTTTTTTGTCCCCCACTTGGCACGAAGCCCAAGCCCCGAGCCACACACCAAGCGCGCCAGGTGTGGCGTCATGATTGACACGCGCAGAGCCAAAGCGCGAGTCCCAGCGATATGCGTGGCGGGGCCTGCGGGACAAGTCGGGGGCTTGCCGGCAAGGTTGCCTTGCATGGCCAAGAAGCAGGGACCAGGGTCGAGATAAGGAAAAAGCGCTGCGAGGGAACCTACCCTTGATTTTGATCGAGTCTCGCCGCCGGCATCGATCCAGACGTACTCGGCCATGATCTTGTTCTTCTGGTCGAGCTGGAGATATTTTTGCTGCAGAGAGGAGAGAGTCAGTATTGCTGTCGTCGTCGGATTCGCGCGGTCGGTTCAGTGGGAATGGAGCAGAGGTATCGTACAATCTCCGAGGGAGACGTTGAAGTCTGATTGACAGCCTGTAGCGCGCAGAAGATTAGCCCAGATTCTTTGGACAAGTAACAGAGGAAATAGCGGCAGTAGCTTACCATGATAGCGGTTTGTGTGGTGTTTGTGTGGTAAAAATGCGAAAGAAGAAATCGACAGTTGCTCTGCAGGACGATGCAAGAGTGAGGATGGAGGATAGGCTCGAGTGAGCAGGTCGGGTATATATAAAGGGTGCAAAAGAAGTGCTTGCGCAACCAGCTGGAATGCAATGATAGTTTTCCAAAAAGAAGGTTTCTGTTTTCGATGCAAAACCTTGGGCGGCCAGGCTTTAAGTACTAAATTGTCTTGAACGCGAGCGAGCAGTGGAAAAGACCAGCCCGTCGGCGGTACGTACCACTGTAGGCGGTACGTACCGCCCCAACCACAGGGACTTGGCGCGCAGGTACCTTCACCCCCGGATGGAGCGACTGGCCCCGTAAAGTCGCACAAGTACGGAGTACTAGGGGATGGGTATCGCCACCAGGAGGGTCCCCCGCTATCTGTGGTGCTGGTGCTACCTGCAAATAGCGTTATGGGGCGTGTCGTGTGTATGACAAGTGCAGTATATGATGAAAGGCGTAGAAGCAGCCGAAGTTGGAAGTTGGAAGAGCCGCCTCTTTGCAAAAAAAGAATAGAATAAATCGTCTGAATCTTGATTTGATTTATTTACTTCGTTGTTTAGTTATGACGTACACCTCTGCTTCTGTTCCCATCTGTGCTGCATCTGCTCTTTGCTTCTGCTTCAAATCTTCAGCCCCTCTGCTGCGATACCTCCCCCTCCGGTACTCGGTACTTGGTCACGCTCGCCCTCTCCGCCGTCCTGCTGTACTCCATCCACAAGTACCTGATAAGGGGCGGCGGCGCAGAGGCAACTGGTGGTGGCTGCTGGGACCGGTCCCCACTGCTGATTCTGGACTCTGAGTGGGCGAGTGCCCGCGGTCCAGAGGCCTTTGCTCATTGAATCGTGTCATTCGATGCTGATTGCCATGGGCCCTAAAAATTTACATAAACGCCTCACCAAGATTTTTTTTATTCCCATCGTCACTTATCCCGGGGGAGGGGGAAGAAGCCGCGAGCCAGTGGCCCAGCTCCGATTACCATCCGATGACAGATGATATGACTGTATCTCGTTGCTGAGTCCCTTGCTTGGGGGAAATTCCAGCGACTGCAATTGGTGGTGTACTTGGAGCTGGGTGTAGGTTTACATGCAGAGCTGCACAGTACCACCAAACTTTACTTTCCTGTGGCCTGCACCTAAATCTGACCGGGACCTCCCTACATCTGCACGTGTAATCTACCTAATCTGACTTTTCTCACATGAGATTGAGATACTTTGCGGCGTGTACAGTAGGACAACCAAGCACATGCGCCACCCGAATCTATGCCGTGGCACAGAGCACAGAGTAACGGTATAGACTTGTCGCCGCGGCAAAGCCTCAGCCAAGGCCAAAAACTTGAGGCTGTGCCAAACACGAGCTGAGTCCGGTCCAAAGTATCCCAGGATTAGCCTGTTCGTCCCGTAGAGTCGGTACTCAATACCGTGCTCCGTACTTGTAACCAAACGCTGGTTTCTAAAAATGGAGCATCGCGAGTAATAGCCGTCTCTACGAGTAATACTGCAAGATAGATGCTTCTTCCAGCTGCTACGCCTTCAATTACGGAGCATCCGCGTCGCTAGCTTCAGGCACTCGTGCATCGCATCGCTCACCGTCCCTATTAGCCTGGTGCTTCCCCTTACACCGTCCCGTCCACCGCATGAACAATAGGGCATCGCACCGCTGGCAGTGCCTGTTCTAGGCGGTCCCATGCGCCCAGAACGAGCATCGACCACGTATTTTTGGGTTTCTTTTTACGTTATTGTTTGGTCGCTTCCATCGAATCGGCTTACGCCGAGGAGAGCTGCGCAGGTACGTGTCATGTGTCATCGACGCATCGGCCCAGGAACGAGAACAACAGATGGAAAAAAAAGGAGAAGCAACAAGGTCATTGATTGTTTGTACGTACAAAATACTGGACTTGATGCTCCGTTGAGTGTGTGTTGTGGGTTAGACGAAACGATGCAGAGATAGGGACGCATGTACTCCGTATGCCGTGAGGCTTCCGGAATCGCGCACAGGTCACTCGTCCACCGCATCCACTCTCCGGTCCATTCGCGGTACTTGCTACAGCCGCCTGTGGCCGCGACGAAACAGCCCGGCTGCGGTACCTGTGCTGGCGGCGAGGCCGTCCACAAGCGGCAGCCCGACATGCGAGCACAGTGTCTGTATGTTGGAGCTGTGGCGATGCCGAACTCGCTGCGACTCGGGGATACGTTGAGAAAACGAGACCAGCCACAAGACAGACGAGAGACACGATGCACAAGTCCAGCTGAACTAAGATACTGTATGGGGAAGATCGTAACGTTGACGCTTCTAGCTTGGCTCCCTTGCCAATCGCTTTCGGCTGTGCTTTGAGCCGTTGGGCAGCCAACACGAATGAAAAAAAAGCCCGAGGGAGACATGCTCCCTTGCAAACAATGCAACTCTGCTTGCGGCAGAGGGAAATTAATACCTCTCTATGATTCTTAGGCTGTAGTTTAGCACATGTTTAGTGTTACAAGTGGAAAAGACAGATCAGCAACGGAAGAATTAGAGACAAGGAAAAAAAGAAACGGATAGGAGGGATGCTGCATTCCGTAGCCTTGCAGAACAGAACATGCAAAATCCTCCACGACATTGACCCAATTCGCTCAATTTATCCGCTCGTCCTAAAACTCTCTCTCCATATTATCGAGGTCACTTGTCATGCTAATAATATCTCAACTGTCCATCCTTTGCACCGTACCAAACTAATCCGAACTACGGAGTACAAGGGCGCCGAAAATCTCCAACAGGACTCACACTAGCCTCCACTTGCCAGGGCGTCTTATCGTCGAGTCCTTATTGGCTGCTCTCCCCGGCTTCTTGACGAATTCGCATCCGAGAGTTTCTCGATTTCTGTCACACACGCCCACGCACAAGAAATAAAGAAGCAAAAAAGAAAAAAAAAAAGTGAAAAGTGAAAAAAAAAAAAAAAAAGAAAAAAAAAAGGATAGAGATAGGGGTTGAGAAAGGAGACCCGAGTTTCTGGCCGCTGGTGGGGGCGCTCTTTCATTCAAGCTTTCCCTTCCCGTGAGGATCAAGAGATACGCTACGATACGATACTCCAGACTTTCTTCTCCCCCAAGTTTTCTGCGTTTTCCCCTCCCCCCGAAATCGCTCGACGGAACGGGAGCGCCACAAGACGGGAAGCTTGAGGAAAGGGCCCTGTCTGTTTCTTTCATAGCGCGGCTGCAATCTCTTAACCAGAGCGTGGGGAAAAAAAGATTGATGGATTGCCTAAATGGCAAATTGTCCGGTCCGTCGGTGGTTACATGTGCTTCATTCTGGCTTGTGATATACAGCATGGGGTGTTATAAGGATGACAAGCCTATTGCGGAAGAAGAAGGAAGATGATAAAGAGAGAACGCAAGATGCCTCCCACGCAGTGACCCCCCGAGATCATACCTATCTTTCTGGCTGGACCCCCAAAGTTGGTTGTCGACCGTTTTATATCTCTCAAGCGTGAAGTGTAATATGCCTCACGCGGTTGGTGGGATCAAGGTTATCAAATGATCCCTTGAAGAGCTACCCGTCTCCAGGGTTCGTCACACCACATGGCAACAGAGATAAAGTGGCCACCATCAGCTTGCACAGGCTATTCCCGAGTTGGAGGTTGAAGAGGCGAGGCGGGATTCCAACGTTTCTGTCCAAAACGTGTCCGGCAAATGGATTTGCCGTTCCGGCCACTGCTTATGGCATTCAGCCCCATGGCTATGGGTATTACCTAAGAATCCGCCTCGTAGAATAAGTTGACAATGAGATTAGCGCTTGAGCCACTCAGCAACTCAGCAAGCCATCGTGAACCAGGCGTTCATTGAGCCAGTGAGATTCTAAATTAGCGAAAACAATAGTCATGACAAGTAATACACCTTGACTCGCCGCCTTATATCACCGCCTTGTTTCAACTTTCTCGTTCTTGATGAAGAGAATGAGATTTGCCATGACTTCATTTTGTCAAGTGACAGCTATGAGAACCTCGACCCATCGTATTCCATTGGCTCAGCAAGTTGTGGCCAACAGCAATCTCAATATGCACTACTCTACACAAGCGGTAAGCCTAAACTTTTACGATCAACTTCGAAAGCTACGGCCCAATAGGCTTTGCTGCCAAGCAATCGTACGCGTACCAGTAACCAATCAACGCTGCATCTCATATTCGTATGCTGATCTCGTCTTTCTGTCAAGTGGTCTGTAAGCCCTTGGTAAAGGCTGTTTCCTGTTTCTATTTTCAACCCCATGGGACCGGGCTGTCGGCATTGCTAGCATCCTCTTAGAGCTTACTCCATACATGTGCCTAGCTTCAACGCCTCATCGCCCGAATGTTAGTGAATTCAAGAAATGGCCGCCCGGCTTTGCTCGCTCTTGATGACAATGGTCCCAATTTGACGTGGCTGATTGAATCATGTTCATAGTTGTCATAAATCTTGTTTGTAACTTCCAACTCGACTTCAAAGCTGTGGAATCGCGCGTCCAAATTACATACACTAACAGATCGTGGCTTTCGGTCAGCACCGTCTTCAATCCTACGGCTTAGCATCTTCATGTTCAGCCAATCAGCCCACGTAATTCACTCTGAATGAACAAACCCGATCCATAGTGGTCTAATTGACTAGATTCAAGTTATTGTTGCAATCCTAATAGGCTTTGAAACTAGACAGGCACCAGTCGTAGCTGTTAGCGGGCCTCGTAAAGATGGCTATATATACACGTAGAAGCTGGCAAATGCTAGCTCAGAGACTTTTTCAGATTATTGCTTTTCAATTCTTATACCTAACGAACAGCAGGAGAGTAAACTATCCCCTATCGAAATTCATTACACTTCAGATTCAGCATGTCTCGCCTGATCGATAGACTTCCCACACCGGAGAAGGTGAAGGAGAAGAAAGTGATTGTACTCAGTCGCAGCCGGTAGGCTCTCTTCACCTTGGTTATACCTCCATCCATCTAACACAGTATACCGTTCCAGTGTTGGAACGTTTTCTCTCTACCAAGCTCTCAAAACGTTAGGGTACACCCCTTACCACATGTTCGAAGTGGTCACCAATGGCGTCCCTCATCTCCAACTCTTTGACGAGGCCATACGTTGCAAGTATTCAGGCACAGTAAAGCCATACGGCAAAGCCGAGTTCGACAAATGGCTCGCCAACTACGATGTAAACCATTTTTCTTTGTTCCTCTATCCCTCCTTCTACCATGTCGGAAGGGACACAAGCTAACGCTATAACAAGGCCATCGTCGAGATTCCCCAGTTTTTCATCGAAGAGTTTATTGAATTTTATCCCAACGCAAAGTTTATCCTCGTCGAACGCGATGTCGACGCTTGGGAACGTTCGTTGAATAATACCGTCAAGGCCGTTATAAAGGCTTGCAGATCGTTCCCCTTGAACGTTAGCCAATACGTCGATCATTACATCAGTGGTTTTGTTGCTCTCCACGTCACGTTTGAGGACGTCATGTTCCACAATAAAGGCATGGAAAAGGGCATGGAAGAAGCAAAGAGGGATGTCATAGCAGAGTATGTGCATAGCTTATTTTCTTAAGATTTTTCTCTATTCAATCGTTGAAAGCTAACAAGACGAACTCTTTAGTGGAGAAAAAGCAAAGAGGCTGGCTCCAGAGGGCCAGCTTTTGGCATGCACTTTGGAAGGTGGCTTTGGTTGGGAAGAAATTTGTCCCTTTCTTGAGAAAGATATTCCCAAGACACCGTATCCTAGAGGTAACGCTCCTGCCGAGTTTGAAGGACTTATAAAAACACACGTCGGACCTCGCATCCGGAACTCGGTTTTGAAGCTTTTGGGGACGGCACTGGTGCCGGTGGTTAGCATCGGGCTGTGGTCATACATGAAAAGACCTTAGGAGGTGGCCATTGATCTCTATTAGCGAAGCAGAGTGTAGCACAAGTTATATCTAACGGCGGCTTAGCGTTTATTGTACAAGGGCTTTGAAAGCTGATACATGATCCGCGCAGTATTTGTTTAGCGTCGTTGCACGGAATAGGTGTAATATGGAGAACAGGATTGTCTTGTATACGTGTTTTACGTCATATTCAGTTGAGCTTCGAAAGTATGCATAAGATCTTCATTCAAGTCCAATATTATGTTATTATCTTTTTTAACTGACAGGTGGCGTTTGGGACAATATGGTTTATTTTTTATCCCCTCTCTACGGAAATACCATTTTGACTCTACCATCCTTCTACGGCATTTCATAGTGCCTCACATGAGACCTGCAGCAGGCCGGGTCATACGAACTAGACAAGCTGATGCCAGGAATCATGTATGATCCAGGAGAACTGCCAGGGTGCAAATTCCCGTTTGGTCAGCACTGAATATTACCACGCCTTGTCTCGTATCACGTCGTTTGCCTGGCATGTTTCATGCCGTTGTACCTATAAAGGAAGTTGGTGTTGGATTATAAGCAACAAGATTCTCCGGCATAGGGAGGAGAAAGAGGATTACGTGCGATATAAGAGGTCGTTTCTCCCTATCGCCGTAATATACTTCAGTACTTCATCAAATGGGACTATTTACGCTCCGTATAAAGTCGGGTATGTAAAAGTTGAAGTTGGCTATGTACGTGCCCTCGAAGCTTAAATATTTGGTATAGCGATGCCTCAGATGGCTAGACATATACTATTCTAAGATATTTCCCTTGCACATCGCGGCTCAAAGGCTGAAACGCTATCAAACAATCTAAACATAAAGTATTCGACAACGGTTTCAAGCGACTAATTGTACGTACTTATGCGGGCAGGCACTAATGTAGCAATAATTTAATCTTCGACTGCCACCAGCCTCTTGCCGAATGGCAAACGTGGCGGAAAAGTGAAGAGCGCGTCTGCTCTGAGATGAAAGCAGTAGCAGTTGTGGCAACTGCCGCGTCTTAAAGCAGGCCCAGCTCAATACCCAAGCTTCGAAGAATAAACTTCTCCTCTCCTTCAACTATTGTTTATTACGCTGACGAAGCAAACACAAAGTCTCGCACCCATATTTGCGCCTCGCCCATATTCATTTATTACACTCGCTTCTCCGTTTCATCGACTAATTGTGCTCTCTATTCTCCTGCCAGCCATGTCGACATATCCATTCGATAGTCCATTCAGAATACCCAAAACCACGGGGATAGGCTCATCAACCAAAAATGATGGCGACCCAACAACGAACAAGGATACTACACACCCTTCTTTTATTCCTTCAGAAATACCTGCAGTCGTTACAGACAAGATCAAATCCCAGAACAGTGTTTTCCCAGTCGAATATTTTAACTGCACGTTGCATCCGACTATCAAACTCAATTTAGCCGCTCAACTCGAGCTTTTCCCCCAAGGAAGATGGACTTTCAACAATCTCCCGGAATTTGGCGTCATGCCTTTTGATTATAACCCTATAGTACATATAGTGCAAAATCCGCCACCAGCTATAGCGGAATCAAACCGTCATGTAGCTAAAACAGGTAGTTGTTGCTGCCTTCTTCAAAGGTATGTTTGTCGCTGATATTATTCGGCATGACGCGTTAACCTTTTCTTAGCCTGCTGCCGTGCGTGTGTTGCGCGCTGCGTATGCAAGATGGTGACGTCCGTGCTCTTTGTCGAAGGGATTCTGGTATGAAACATTTGCGACACCTTGTGTTTTCAGCTGTTCACTCTTTTCGGTCTCTAAATCGCTGACATGCTCTAGAGATCTATACCAAAACCTGTGTCGAATGCGCCTACGCCAGACGGACATGTACCTTGGTGAGCACGGCGAGTGAATAGAAGAATCGTCTAGAGGGCTAATATGGAATCAGGCTGGCTTCAAGGCATCTGAAGAAGGTGCTGCCTTGGTACAAGCACGTGAATGCGCAAGAAGGGCGGTTGCCAAAGGAAAGGATGATTTATTCTCTAAAGTTGTGAGTCAACCTACAGCTTTACGGCTAAAGTGAGCTGACGGATATATGCTGCTTTATAGTCTCTCAATGCGATGCAAATCGCGGCGGGGGAATACTTGGCCGTAATCTGGAGCCAGGGGAATTTATATGACTTGATCCCAGTCCAGTGCCTCTACAACTCAAGGGCAAGAGGGCCGACGAGCTCCAAAATGAAAAAGAAGAAGACGAAGGACGACGGAAAGCGTACCCAAAAACAGACCGGCAAAGACGTTGGCATGTCACAGTTTCTCAATCAAGGCATGGGCCTGGTGATGGCGCGTAACGTCATGATCCGGGAGATGTTGACCAACAATAGAAAGATCTCGGAGCCGCTTCAGAAGAAGAATGAGAGTTCAGAGGCGCTTCAGGAAGACAAGGAGATCTTCGTGACTTTTGAGAAATACATGGAGACCGCGGAGACGCTTCAGAACGACAATGAGATCTTGAAGATGCTTCAGCAAAACAATGAGATCTTGAAGAAGCTCCTTTGCAGCCCTACAGAGAAGAATGGGGGTCACGGTCCTACAAGCTCCCAAAGCTGATGTCGCCTGAAGCTGAGTTTTGCCAGAGGGAGGGGAAACGTTAATTGTTGTGGGGAGTAGCAATATGAGGTGCTGGTATTGCATGCAGCGTGTGTGTCAGACAGCGGAAATTGTGTGCGATTCTGGAATCTCGGTTCTATCCAGAAGATCGTGCTAGCGGCAGAAACACTTTACTAGTATTACTAATAATAGTATTAATAAGATTACAACGAAACAGTGTCTTGGCCGTTTAAACAGACTTGGGTAATTGGAGTGAGACAGACACATGTAGGCATCTCCATGAGGCCCAGCGTCGTACTATGTGTCAAGAGGATGGCGATTGTTGCAAGATGGAGCGCCTTACGAATAGTCAGGCGCCCGTTGTGATTAGAATTACACACTAATACCGCAACTATTTCGAGCCATTTCCCGGAAACAGCATGCCGTGCTATCGAGTTGAGCCTGCGTGCCAGACGCAGCAATGGCCGGCCAAGAGACAGCAGGGACAAATATTTGGCCGCCCTGTTGCGGCCGTCTTAATCACAATCACACGAGGAAGATGGTGGCGCTTGGCAGTTATCAGGGCCCCTGGTCGTGCGCCCTGGAACGGCTAATAAACTCTAGAGCCTAGGTCGATATATGCTTAGCGTGCATAAATGTAACCTTCGCCATTGACCTTGGCCTGTCCATCTCCCGTCGGAGACGCTCCGGCAAAAGGACCCCGCGCCTTATACCAGAGAATGGGACGGCCGTGGTGCTGAGCGAGGGGCTCCGCAACGGAGTCTTGGCATGGCCGACTTGGGAAGGTTGCAAGAATCTGATTGTTTCCCAAGGGAGAAGCTGTCCCAAATATTGGAATCCTCTTATGCGAGTGTAAGTGGACCGTGAGCCTGCCCTTACAGGATTGAAGGGGGGAGAGAGAGGAAAGCGTCGAGACCACGAGGACCACGAGGAGAGACCCTTGGCAGTGATAGAGGCCGGTGCTAAAGGCCCGAATTTGGCTGAATGGCTCGGAGGAGATGAAGGGGAAGGGGGGCCGGTGAGATTTGAGTGGTGTGGTTTGAAGCTTTTTTCGAGGTATGGAGGCATATATAAATCTCCTCCCGCGCCGGCGTGGAGCTTGGCGATGGGATCTTGCCCATCCACTGCCTTGTTGAGCCTTGCCCTGTCTTTGCCAGTGCCGATCGTTGCTTGACTCTCAAAATGAAGTCGGCATTTGTCTTTCTAGCATCCATGCTGGCGACGCTGTCGCTGGCTGCCCCGGTCCAGGATGTTGCTGTTGCTCGGTCTGAGCCGACTGATCTGCCGCGTCTGGTGATTTACTTCCAGACGACGCACGACCAGAACAACAACCCCATCTCGATGCTGCCGCTCATCAACGAGAAGGGCATTGCGCTGACGCATCTGATTGTGTGCTCGTTCCACATCAACCAGGGCGGCGTCATCCATCTCAATGACTTTCCCCCGGATGACCCTCACTTTGCTACTCTGTGGAACGAGACTGTCATCATGAAGCAGGCCGGCGTCAAGATTATGGGAATGGTTGGCGGTGCTGCTAGCGGATCCTACAGCACTTCTACTCTGGATTCTTCAAACAGTACCACCTTTGAGCACTACTATGGCCAGCTTCACGACCTGATTGTCAACTTTGAGCTCGAGGGCATGGACCTCGACGTCGAGCAGCCCTTTAGCCAGAGCGGCGTCAACCGTCTCATCTCCCGCCTGAGATCCGACTTTGGACCCGACTTCCTCATCACCCTGGCCCCCGTTGCGACGGCTCTGGAGAACAGCGCCAACCTGTCCGGCTTCAACTACAACCAGCTCCAGACCGACGAGGGCTCCTCCATCGACTGGTACAACACGCAGTTCTACAGCGGCTTCGGCACCATGGAGTCGCCCAACGACTTCATCAACATTGTCAACACCGGCTACTCCCCCGACATCATTGTCGCCGGACAGCTGACCACGCCCAACGACGGCGGCGGCTGGATCCCCACGGCCGATCTCAACAACACCATCATCACGCTGGACCAAACGTACGGCCAGATCGGCGGCGTCATGGGCTGGGAGTACTTCAACTCGCTGCCCGGCGACACCAGCGCTCCCTGGGAGTGGGCGCAGATTGTGACTGAGATTCTGCGCCCTGGCCTGACGCCCGAGCTGAAGATTACGAAGCAGGATGCTGCGCGTCTGCAGGCTGCTTATGCGACGAGCGTGGCGGCGAATGGCGGCAAGGATAAGAGCTTTGCGGCGAAGCCTAGTGTGAACTACTCGAAGTGGGTGAATGCGTAGAGCGGTTTATTTTGAAGCACTAGAGAAGAGATGGGTGGTATTTTGTAAATACATATTCTTGAATACATATCTTGGTTATACGAACAATTACCTGGCACATGAAAGCCATGGGCCAGAAAGAATAACAAAAAAAATTGACAATGCAACTACTGCTCGTGAGGGGCGCACATGACTGATTGATGAGAAAATAAACTTAAAAAGTTGGTTTCATGCATGAATTGCGTTTGGACCATTGACCGGGGGGTAGCAGCATGGAGCTATGTACACTTGCATGAGTGAGGGGTTGGCTTTGCGACGATCAAGGTAAGAATCGGGGCGATCACAGGATGGAGAGCCGGGGGGATGAAGCTTGATTTTTGGAGAGGAAGGGCATGCAGATCTTTTTGAAGTTGTGTGGTTACTGCTGTGTTCTTCTAATAAGGCACCTGAGTTTCTAAATAGCCGAGGACTTTATTACCAGTGCGGTGATACAAGGTGACGTTACGTAGTTGCACCATTGTGGTATCACAAAGAATAACACAATTGAAGAATGAAGAAGTTGTATGTATGTATAAGCAATATATGGTTTGACTAGTACCTTGGGCAGCCAAACTGGGTAAATCAGTTGAGAAGCGGGCGTCAGGAACAGAGATAGACTTCAGGCCGACCTTTTAGCCTATGGGAAAGTTTGTGGTCAAGGGGTATATGAATGAGCTGGCTTAAACAGGTCGTTTCCATCTTTTACCTGAAGATTTTCTTATAGACGTGCAACAAGCTCGGATGGCCGGAAGGGAGTAGATTTAAACATTTGATGCGGGCGCTATTGAGTGATGTTCGCATAGTGACTTTCGGCGACGACGAGTATTTCAGTCCATGGTGACTGACAAGAAAGAAGTAAGAAGCGATAAGTTGGGTTGTAATTATTTGAGTCATCACATATTATATTAGCACTCGATATCATTCTCCATTGTATATGCTGTTTTCAGCAGTTCTAGTTGCGTTCTCCATGTAGCTCATGCGCCTGATGAAGCACAACTCGGAATACCGTCCATGAACATAGTACAACCTTTCATTCCTTTTCTATTTTAGAGTAAAGAAATAGCCATTGGTATCAATCTACTATTTTTCAAGATTGAATTCATCTATTTCATGCATGCACATAAATGATGATTCGAGAAATTCTCCAACTCTCATGTCTTAGTGCAGCTTACAAGGTCCGTTGAGAATAAACACACAACAAGACTCAGCAACGTCAACAACTATCCGTAAAAGTGTTTTATTCACCATGGTATTTTCTCATTACTCATTCCAGATCATCGCTCAGCCCGCTTTCCCGCCATGCTCGCAAACCCTTTTGAACCATCCAATCTAAACCACATTCCAAATATCGTTTCTTAGTGCTTGTGGTCGTGGTCTCGGCTCTTGCAGCACGCGCCCTCCATAGCCGCCCTCGCAAGCTTGGCACGAGTCGCAGGACGGGCAGCGGGCAGCAGGTCTCGGCCCAGCAGATCAGGCTTGGGAGCGGCATCGTCGCCAGCCTCGCGCTTGGCAATGTTGGCGCTGTAGACCATGTTGAGCCAGTTGCCCAGGCGGTAGCCGGCCTTTGCAATCTGCAGCTCGACGGTGCCAATCACCGAGTTGTAGTAGGTCGGGTACAGGTCGCCCGTCTGCAGGGCGGCGGCGCCGTTGGGCATGACGACGGTGCAGACGTAGGCGTTGGCGTCGCTGGCCCAGCGCGTGGCCGTGGTGATGACATCGTTGACGTCGTCGCCGGCGATCCAGCTGGCCGCCTGCGACTTGTACGCGCCCGACGTGATGTCGCCGACGAGCGTGTTGGCCCAGGTCTGGGCATCGGCCAGGGAGTCGCCGCCAACCAGCGTCTCGGGGATGTACGTGTCCCAGTCGGCGTGCAGGTTGTCGCTGTAGCCCTGGTAGGTGACGTCGATGTCGTTTCCGCCAACCTCGTAGGCCTCGTCGTGCAGGGGCTGCGTCAGGTCGCCGACAAAGTGGACGAGGAACTTGAGCGCCTGCTGCACGTTGGCGGCGGAGAGGCGGCCGTCTCCAACGCGCTGGGTGTAGTTGGCCATGGCCGAGATGGAGCAGCCAGCGCTGCCGCAGTCCCGGTCATAGTCGACGTTGCACGAGGTGGGCGGGTTGTCCTCGGCGTCGATGAAGTGGAAGGGAGCAGACCATTTGCCAGCCGTCGTTGCCCGGTAGTCGTCAGCCCACGAGGCGATGTTGGCCAGGTACGAGGTGGAGGTGTCACCAAGGACGCCCTGAGCCCTGTTTATTTGTGTCAGCGAGTCATGGTCTTGAATCAGGTATATTCTCTCTCTTCTTTCATCCTTTTGCTTACCATGATGCTGTGGCAGAGTTGAGATAGTGCTGGGCAATGTAGGCAACAGTTGCGTGGCCCAAAACTCCCCAGGCTTGGGCGCCCTGGACTGAGGCGAGAGCCGTCAACGCGACCTTGGAGATGGAAGGCATTTTGAAGCTGGAGGTGGCAGATCCTATTCACTGGCGTCTTGACAGAAAAAAGATCTGCATCATCAACAGCCAGCAACTCCAACTTTATACATCCGCTGCCCCAGATTACAGTCGCACTTCCATCCTCTTCAACCCGGCCCGCAAGTTGCCGCCGTTGCGTTGCGATGCGATGCGATACTCGATGCGATGCTAGCCTTGGATCTTTGTTCCCTTGTTTCCCATCCAGAGCCGTATCAGATGCCTTATCTCGACCACGATCTGCGCCAAAACCCAGACTCTGCGCCGTGAGAGGCTGATCTAATCTTCACGGGCCTTTCTCCCCCGCGGCCTGCTTGCCCGTTTCAGCAGGTCAACGGCACCGGCATTGGAGCCAACCGGCGATTCGGCATCGGATGGTGGAGCAGCGAGAAAGCGCATGTGCCATCTTGTTAGTGTGATAGGAGGGAGAGAAGAGCAGCGTTTGCGAGCGTTGCGGGACTTTTTGCTGGATTGATTGCGCTGCCGGATTTGGCGTCGGTCTGGGAGGGTTTGTCTGCTTCAGTGTAGGCGAACCGGCACTAGCGAATTTTTAAAATGCTGTAGGCGAGGGCAAAGGAAAAGAAAAGCTTGTTTTCCGGGCATTTTTGAGATCTGGACTGGATCGAGCGTCGATGGAAGATGCGGCAGGGACAGGGCTGATGGTTCATATAGTATTCGAGATGCTGAGGAAATAGACCGGTGAGAAAAGGCGACGGACCTATGGAAGGCCAGTTTCTGAGCGCGTGTGATTATCGACTCTAGTTTATGGAGTTGTCTTCTATCTTGCTTATCGTAGAGTTGCATGCAAGCGAGATAACTTGGAGATGCCTATAGTAGAATAACCACTTTACCACTCGCATGTCAGTGGTGGTGTCTTAATAAAAAAAAAAGCATTAACTACAGGGTCTATTATCGCGTTCTAGTTGTGGAAACTCTGTGCTTCGCTTGATTTGCTCCAAGAACAAGTTGCAAGCACACACATGCACACGCTGTTTCTCTATAGCAACTGTCGCCTATACTATGTTCTTGATTATTCGCTGGCAGTGTCCCATACATCGGACGTTTGTACGGCTCGGGCCGAGCCAGCCTTTGAGTCTTGCCCAACCAACACGCTGAGGAGCTGGGAATAAGAGCACGTCCCAGATGGCGATTCAGTTATAACCTACCTAGTAACCTTACGAGACTAACTCAACCATATCAGCACTCTTATTATCGATTAGTATTTCATTCAAGCATGAGCTAGATTCAGCCCTTTCCGTTTTCTCGCTACGAAACGGCACGCTTTTGCCGCCTTGCTCCAATTTTGCCCCTCTCTGCTGCGAGCCGTCTCTTTGCCCTGCAAACATGCAAAGAACCTCCACTCACGTTATGCTTCGCAGATGCTGCGTAATCATTCGGTGCTGGTGAAAATCCGTCTCTTCCAGCTTCGGCTTCGGCTCTCAGTTGGGCCATTTTCGCGATGTAACCCCCCTGCATATTCGCTCAGCCTCTCACAACACGCCATTTGCCCCCGCCAAAAGCTATCCCCCCTCTCTCAGCTTTGGAACCAAAGGCCCTCCAGACTAGCCCCCTTTTTTTCCCATATTTCCTTTCCAGCCAGTTGCAGTTGGCTATTATAGATTGGCAAGACCACGAGATCAAAGAGAGGCCACTCCACGGAATAACAAGTAAGGCGTAAAAAAAGATATTTTTAGTGCTACCACTACTGCTCGTCACTGCCCGTATTAACAGCCTACTGTAGATATGTCAAACAAAATAACCGATGCTCGCCTGGAATGGCTGGAAGACACAAGGCGGCGAAAGAGCATGCTCATCAAGAAGCTTGAGGAGGAGGAGCAGAAGATGTCGGATGGAAAGGACGCAGCGTCTTCTGCGGATGCCGCGGCAGAATCGACGCCGCAGCACGATTCCGAGGGCCAGCTGCCGGACGCGCTGGAAAAGTACCAGTTGAACATTGACCGGTACAAGGAGGAGCTGCTTGCGATTGAAAAGGAGTTTGAGTCGTGGCAGGAAATGGGATTTAGCCTGCCTGCGTCAAAAGGCGTCGGGACTGACGCCAGCACATGAGGTTCCCATGGCACGTCCTCGTATCTTTCACTATACATATTTGCTGGCTTGGCGGGTAAATCTTTTTGCCTGCGCTTTATCACGCACATCATGAATTATATACGACATCATGACACCATGATCAATGTTAGATGAATCATTATTTCTCCTTTTCCATAATTGAACATGCAATTGGCATCATATGGTGGACATTCGATTGTCAAGGTGTATTTTCCCTCGGATTCCGGGGCAATGTCTGATGGTGCTAGGTGTCTCAGGCGGATAAAACATCGAGAATGGACATGATGATATCTTGGAGTACATTATTCACACAAGCTCCCTCTTGGATGACTTGTTCAATTCGCTCAAGGCATCCGGCCGCTGTTTGAAAGACAGACTTGATGGCGTCCGACGTGAAGAGATCCAGGCCCACCGTGTACAACTCGGCCACGTAGTCTTTGCACTCGAGACTACAGAAGCCATTGGCAATATAGCACTGCGCGTGCGATCCAAACGCCGCATCATGGATGCTCTGGCACGTGGCGTTGCAAGCCGAAACCACCGGAACGAGTGTCTTCTGCAGGCAGTTCATGGTGCCCCATATAAACATCTGGCCGTTGTCAGAAAAGAGATTGAGGTTTTGGTCGAACTTTTCGCAGTTTTTCAACCCGTAGTTGATGGCATATGAGCTGGAGTCGCCGGAGCACGGCACGGAATCCTCGACACATGTCTGGTAGAAGTCGCACTGATGAGGAGGCGGCACTTGGCACGTGCTTGCGCACATTGGATAGCCGGGACACGAGTTGCAGTCGCCGCACGTCGAGCAGCCATTGTCTGCCGTAGTCTGAAGAAGTTGCTGTGGCTGTGATGCTTTCACACTCGAGGTTGGGGTGCCGAAGCGAAGCGAAAAGCTGCTCACGAATGGGTATCCGTGGGTGTCGGCGGCGATGATTCCTAGTAGAGCTGTGCCGTCACTGAGCCCGTTGGTGAATGCAATACCCGAGTCAGATGCTTGGAAATCGCTATACTCTTCGCCATTGACGAATACAAACACTTTGTCGGTATCGAGGCTTGAGCATGAAATGACGGCTTTGAACTGAGTTCCCGGAGTGTTGACCGCTTCGGTTGAGGCGCCCTCGAGCGTGAATCCTGGATCACACGAGGGCTTTGGGGGAAGCGTTGAACCTCTTTTCGAAACGCTGCCATCGGCCAAGCATAGCTGAATTATTGTGAAGCCAATGGCTGCGAGGTGGTAAAGAGGCTTCATGCTGAGGCTGGAATCTGTCTTTGCAGCAATGCTGAAAAAAAGAGCGTCAGCAAACATTAGGCCTGGAAGAAGCCCCCGATGTCTACTCGGGGGAACTGTTAGCTAGCAGCCGAGAGTTTCAAGCGTCAAGGATCGGCTTGCACGGGCTCTTTATTGTTACATCCTCGGTACTGCTACCCTGCTATGGCTGTGAATGGCGTGTCGTGAATAAGATCCCTGCGTTTCCAATTTCTCAAGATCTATCATCTTTTCAAGAGTGATGACTACCAGGTGAATCAATCATAGCAATTGATTTATGGCGTCTGCACGTCTCAGACGAAGAAGCATGCATGACAGATTGGCTTCCATTGGCTTGAAATGCGTGTAGCGATGCGGATCTCGGAGGCGTCCTGCCGGGTAACCCACCCGCTAGAGAAATACGTCGAGATTCGTCAAGATCTGCTTAACAATCAAGCAACATGACGCAACATGGCCAAGGAAGATTCAGAACTTGCATGCAGTGCTACCCCAGTAACTGGAAAGACATTGTTTGTGTTCCCATCAAACGGCGTCCCGTCAAATCAACGAGCGTCATGTGATGCCTCCATCACGTGTTCTTGTCCTTGGTAAGGCGCTAGGGCGTGCTTTGACATTGACATGGAGTGGGACCGTCTCGGGCATCGTTAAAAGTTGGGGTAGATTCGTCTGAGAGACTCCGACTCACCGAGAGACCAAAGGCGCACCAGGAAAGATGCGGCACAAGGTCAAGGTGCCCCCCTGCCAGTTCTGCAACAAGTCGTTTCTGAGGACAGAGCATCTGCGACGCCATGAGAGAACCCGTACGTGGTTGATGTGGAATTTCATCGTCTGGTCTCGTAACCGCTAATTTGGGGTAGATACAAAGGAGAAGCCGCATGCCTGTATATGTGGACGGAGCTTCTCACGCCAGTTCGTCTACTCTCCCACCATCTTTCATGTCAAGCGGAAACTCACATGAATCAGGGACTTGCTATCGCGCCATGCCAAGTTGGCCAAAGAGTTGGGAGAGCATGGGCCCCTCGATCCCAATGCCTCTCCCCAACGAAGGCGGGTAGAGGATAAGACTGAAATTCCCATGCCGGATTTCGAACAAACAGAAGAGTTGAGAACTGATGAGACAAGCCACCAAAATGTCTCGACGCCGTCTGGGAGCAGTACGCAGCCCTCGCATTCTGCAGAGCTGGACATGCTGTGGGACAGCTTCCAATTACAACACAATCCTTTTGAACTTTCGTACTTCCATCCAGAGTTTCCGATGAATTTTCAGGCGTTTGAATTTTCGCCTTCGCTTAGTGTGCCGTCGCTACTCGAGACGACGACATCAGATAGAGACATGTCAATCAGGACAGAAGAATGTATATGGCAGGACGATTTGCCATGCGCGTCTTCCCTGTTGCTCCAGCCCCCTATCCAAGATCCAAGCATACACCCTCGGCCAATGCTTCCCAATGCAACGGTTGGCACCTTGAGCGAACAGCACTTGCAATCTTCGGCGAGAAATCCGTGCTACATGTCCCGGGATGCATATGACTTGGTTTCAGCCAGAGCCCAAGAGAGTATTGCGCTTCTCCCATTGGACTTTCAACTTCCTTCGAAGCATACATTCAGCAGATATATCGAAGGCTTCTCTAGCTTCAACTTGCATCGACCGTTTTTACATCTCTCAACAAAGAACCTTTCTCATATGCCATTGGAGCTGGTGTTTTCTATTGCTGCAATGGGGGCTCAATACCGATTTGAGGCGGAATCGGCCTTGTCGCTGTACTACGCTGCCAAGAGCCTCATCGATATCAAACTCAGCAAGGTTTGCGCAGCCGTAGTAGAGGCTGCCCATAACTCGACCATACAAGCAAAGCCAACCCATGAAGCCGTTGCCAGCATCATGACAAACTCAGCGAGGTCTATAAATCAACCGCCGCTGGAAATCGAAACAATACAGGCCATGATTATCTGCATGTCCCTGTGTTCATGGGAATACAAAAATCTATTACCTGACGCGTTCAGTTTGGCAGAACAAATTGCCTTTCACCTGCGCCAAGGAGGATACTTGCACGAAGACAATGTCCCAGCGGATGAAACGTGGGAGCAGTGGATATATAACGAAGGGCGTCGTAGGACGGTCTTTATTGCATTTATAATCTTTAGTTTACACACAATTTTCTACGAGACTCCGCCGCGGCTCATGGCTCGAGAAATCTGGTCGTTGACGATGCCACAGCACGAAAACGTATGGTGGGCATCCACGGAGCGAGAATGGGAAGAAATACGGCGTCGTGATCCGCCACTCTCCAGTACTTTTGGCGATTATTATTTGGAACTTACCGTTCCCAAGGAGTCTCGAAACCCAGAGCATCGCACTTCCGCTTTTGGAGGTCTGGTCTCTGTCCATGGTTTGGTACAGCAAATACATCTCACGAGAGAGACGCTTCTCCACATTGATGCCTACGGAGATATTGACAAGGTGCCATTTTCAGATGATGTCTACATGAAGTTTAGACGAGCCCTTTGCCGCTGGGATGGTAGCTGGTCACGAAACAGGGAGAATACTGCGCAACCAATTGCTTACATGGCGCCGCTGGGGTTCAATGCCACAGCAGTCTTCCGCATTGCCTGGATCAGGCTGAGCTTCAACATGGCAGTATGTCGGAACTTTAGCACAAGAGATCCAGCCATCATCGCGGCTGCATTTGCTCAGTCTCCAATGCCCGAACGCTCGCCGCGTTTGTATTCGGCCGTTCTCCAGAGCGCCCACGCGCTCAGCATACCAGTTCGCATCGGAATCAGATACGCATCGAAAACTCAAATCCTGTCCTGGAGCATCATCCACAGCATCGCTAATCTGGAATGCGCTTTGTTCTTGAGCAAGTGGCTCGAACGGGCTAGCTTGGAGAGTGAGTTGTTGGAAGCAGAAGAGAAGGTCTTGATTCGCATCATTGCGCGGATCTTGAAAGAGACTCCATTCTTCGATCCTAGTTCGGAAGACTACTGCAGCGCAGGGGTGATTAAACACATTGCGTATTCGGTGCTGCGGTTATTTACGGAGATGTTTAAGGAGTCGCATTTGTTTGATGCGATTGGAACGTGTATAGAGGCGGTTGACCAGTACGCGGCAACTCTAGAATGTTGATGAGATTTAACAGGCATGTAATTATATATAGGCGTTTGAATACATAGTCTTTTTTTCCCGAAAGATTTATAAGTCATCCAAGCTGGAATAGAAGTAGAAGAAGAGAGATGAGGACAATAATACACCATGGCTTCTGCCACCCTAAACCAAGCCAAAAATCGTGCGAAGCGCAGTCCCGAAAGCCCGAACAGCCACCTCTATGCTCTCGGCACTCGCCGCCGCAAACGTGAGGCGGAAGAAGACTCCTTGGAGCGGCAGATCCGGCTCTGCCCTGAACCAGGAGCCCTTTGCGAGGAGAACACCTCGCTTGAGGCATGCCGCGAATATTTCTTCCTCAATGTCAAGCGTGGAGTATATTTTCGAGTTGGGGTGGCAGCTGTACTTGATCTTGAGCCAGCACTTGTAACATTCGTGTTAGCCTTTTTGGAAAAAAACATGGTCCTGATGGAACATCACTTACAAACATCCCGGCACTTGGAACATGCCAGCTAACAATCAACTTTGGCAGAAACTTGTCAAACGCACTCATCATGACGTCTCTCCTATCCGTATATCCCGCCTGCAAACGCTGCAGCCAATTTAAAAACCCCGTGTGGCCCCATTTCTCGTCCACCAGCTTATACACCATGGCTTGGGAGAAGCCGCCGGGCCCTTGGCTTGCAGTTTCGCTGTGGCGGATGAATCGCTCAATCATCTGCTCCGAGGCCGTCACCCAGCCCATTCTCGTGCCGGGGGCGAGGATCTTGGAAAAGGAGTCGAGGCGCATTACGCGGCCGTCGGTGTCGATGCTTAGGTATGAGGGCGGCAGAGAGGCGAGGAATTCGCCGACGGATAGTTTTCGAGGTTGGCTGTTGGAAGTGCGAGAATGCAGCTGGAGGAAGTAGTATGGGTCGTCTTCGAGGATGTATACGTCGTGTTTCTGGCAGACGTCGTATATGGCTCTTCTTCTCGATGCGCTTTGTGTTGATCCTGTCGGGTTTTGACCAGTTGGTACAGTGTATAGCACGTGTGGCTTTCTTGCTCCCATCCTTGATGCGTCCCAGTTGGTGAGGATTTTATCCATAGCCTCTGGTACTAGGCCTTCTGAATCCATCTTGATGCCGACTGTTCTAATACCCAGGGGAATAGCTGTCTCCAGGGCTGTAGCGTAACTGTACTCTTCAGTCATCCACGAATCGCCTCTGTTTTTGTCGCATAACATCCTCAGCGCTTTGTATAAGCCATCTGTACTTCCAGTTGTTAAACAGGTGTCCCAGTCGGCATAGGGAGGGTTGTGAACCAGCTCGACGTGCTCGGTGATCCAACGGATCATCTGTGCCGAGCCTGCTGCCTGGCCGTAATTCAAAGCAACCGAGAGATCAAATGCTGCGTTTTCAGTAGCTATATCGTGTATCCCCATTGTAATTGTCGACTCGCCCTCGAAGAAGATGCCATGGTTCGAGGTGGGGACTTGAGCACTTATAGAGCGGAAGCCGAAATAGTCAGGAGTCGGTAGACCTCCAGCCAGCGAGATGATGCCCGGTCTTTTGAGGAATCTTGCGGCTACTTTTAGAATGCCAGGGGCGCGTGCGAAGGATTCAGCCGTCAAGTGATCTGCAGTGATACGTTAGGAGATGCTTGTTGTGGTCAACAAGAATCAGACTTACTGTCCCATCTTCTTGCCGCTGGTTTGTTAGATGCCTATCCCGATAGTTCTAGTAAGCCATAGGACATATAGAGAGTATCAAGAAAATGAACTGACCCTTGAACACTGCAGCTTAAACATATCCGAGTCTGCATAGGCAGCCGTCGGGGCCACCATCTGGCCAACAGCTTGACGACGGGCATCAATATCAGCAATAGTAGGATCTTTCATAGAACCATCGCTAATACAAATGCCCGAGTGCCACTCCGGACTCGGTGTATCATCTAGCGGTACAAGATCTCTTGTGCTTGAGGGAGTCATATTGCTATGAAAGATTTGTTGATATTCAAAGAGATATCAAAAGGAGTAACAAGGAGAGAAGGAGCTCAGAAGCAGAAGGAGAAATTTTCCTATCCCGGCCTTGGGGATTCTTGGAGTAAATATTACCTGATCGCTGCCTGATCTTGCCAGCTCCAATCTCAGCTACTTTTGTATAACCATGGATTCTGTTTCGCCGATAATCGCCCTGCGAAAGCGGCGGCATAATATGGGGCGGGCGTTTGTATGAGTCTCGCTCCAACTTGGGGTAGAAATGAGGCCGTGGGGCAGATTGACTCGAATCGACTCCGATGACATGATGCTCGGCCTGATGTGGAATTGCAGCTGGTTGTGAAAATTAGTAACATGAAAGAGGTATTTATAATCACGATTTCCATATTCTATTTTCTTGAAATTTGATGCTTTTGGACTTTGATGGTGATTCTTGACTTGCGCGCGCCTTCCACGCGCCTTCTAGACTACATATGAACGGAATATCTCTACTTTATAGAAATACAAGGGTATCATCCGTTTATGAATACGAGTAATGTCGTATTGATAACCGAGTATTCAAAACAATACGACGTAATACGCAAAATTGTCACTTTGTCAACCATGTCAACTCTACGATGCTTTCCTCACTATCAATTAACAGGCACAAGATACAGTGCCAATATCATGTCAGCACCGTAAATGCAATCGCAACTGACTAATCTCGACAACCTCTCCCGACCAATTAATCAACTCACTCAAAAGGCGTCTCGTCAATCAACTCGCCGCCATGGACGGCCCGATCTCTCTAACAGAGGCTCCCAAGCGCAAAAATGGCCGCCTGCAGTCTTGCGAGCCCTGTCGGAAGCGCAAAGTTGCGTGTGACCACCGCCTTCCGGTGTGTTCGCGATGTCGTCGCGGAGGCGTCGCCGACAAGTGCGTCTATATGACTCAACTTGGCCAGCGGACTCATCCTCACCAGAGCCGCCATGGCAGTATTTCAAGGCCGTCCGTGGCCGCATCCGTGCCGCCTTTGAGGCCACCGCAAGTTGCCAACGGCGGCTCGGCGTCAATCTCGGCAACTCCCAACACGAACATGTCGGAGAACAACAACGTTGGGTATCTCGGCGCAACAAGCATCACGACCTTTTACGAGGAGGCGCAGAACCGCCTGTCAACGGCGTGGAAGCGCGAGCCCGATCCGGAGACGCTGCCGCTGAAGATTGTGGAGGCCTTTCCTCGCTTGGACGAGTTTGCTCTCAGCGCTGTGCGGGCGATCCCCGACATGGCGACTTGCAAGCTCTTGGCGAGGATGTACTCCAGCTTCTACGGAGGCTGGTGTCCGCTTGCAGGCGAATGGCTGACCGATTCTGTGTGGGCGGTCTTTGGTGGGACTCTGGGCCAGGAGCCTCGAGATGAGGAGCAACTTAGGCGCATGTCCGTCAAGTTGTGTAAAAACAGCGCGGTTCCCTTGGGAGATGATAGGAACAAAGATGCGGAAGAGTGGTTTCAAGAGTTTTCCGGGCCGAATCTCAGATGGGAATCTCTCGGGATACTCTTTGTTTTCTGGGCCTATGGTGCTCGCCGACTTCCTGACAAGTCTATCCTGCCAAAGGACTGCATCGACCTGCAGAACAATCACGGGAGCTGTCTTGTCAGCCGGTACAAGACGGCTGCCTGGAAGTGTATTGAGCTTAGCCGTGACGCTTCCAACAGCAATGCGCTGTTGGCGTTTGTTGTCTTTGGCCACTGCTTGCTGGAGTCGACCGTGTCGGGAGATGCAGGCATGCAATATTGGAGGACGCACGGCGATCTCATGGCATTGACGACTTACTTGGGCCTCCACGTCTCCCCCAACGCCGATCCCATGGACTGGTCCGTAACGACCCAAATCAAGCGCCGGCTGTTCGCTGCCATCTTTGCACACGACAAGGTGACATCCACATTTACGGGAAGGCCCATGTTCCTCGGCAGGAATTTCACATCGACGCCGCTGCCGCTCGATATGAGCGATGAATTGTTGCTGTCAAATCCGCCACTGACTAGGCTGGGAGACTGTCGCGTTGATGAGAATGGATGGAACATTGATGGAAAGATTTACACGACGACAACTCTCCGCGCAAGGGGCATGCTGTCGTATATAAGAGATGAGATTCTGGAGATTTCTCTGCAGGGCATGGATTTTGGTGGCAAGACGGCACTCGTGTAAGTCCCATCACCTACTACTGTCTTATTTCTTCAAGAGCTTCTAACAACCGGGGCAGCAACCTCAAACGACGAGAAATGCAAATCGTCGCCGGCTTCCCGCCTTGTCTAATCTACCAACCCGAAGACATCAACAATCCAGAAATCCCCGGAAGAGAACTCTACGGCAAACTCCTCGTCTGGCTAGAACACCTCCAAAACCTCTTCTTCATCGAGCGCCTCCTCAGCAAAGAAGACGGCGCATGCGAAGGAAACGAAACGCGGCTGTTCGAAATCAGCATTGAAATGGTGACGCTCGCGCATCTCTTCTGGACGCATCAGAACCGGCTCAAAACGGCCCAAGACTGCGTTGAATGGAACGTTGTTTCGTACGCCGCTCCAGCAGGCGGTGTTCTCTGCATGGAGCTATTGAAAGGCACAACGCGCGGCACCATGAGTCCAGTCGCTACAAAGGCCGTCATTGTCGAGAAGCTGGGAATGCTGGCTTCGTTCCTGGACTGGGTTGGGCCTACGTCGCCAAACGCGGATATTTGCTATAGAGTGAAGAAGGTCGTGAGGCGGGTGCTGGAGCAGGCATTGGAGGCGCCTGTGCAGACGAATATGTTGGACGAGGGAGGGCATTGGAACATGGACGTTTCGGCTGATTTCAGCACGTTTTTCAATTTTGATTTGTTGGATACGTTTGACTGGTTGAGGCCAGAGGGAGCATGAGCGAGCGTTATAAGCGTGGGATCCAAACTCTACTAATTCTTCTAATTTCATCACCCAAGTATTTAAGTAACCAAGCCTCTTGTGTATGCTTAGAAAACTAGACACTTACAAGTAATATTTAGATACTTCACAGCGATGTATTAACTCAGAAGAAGTATTAACCGCTACTACTCGTGTGTAAGGCGACCTCTTGATCGTCTAGTGTTTTTTGTAATTTTCCTCAATGCGCGCAAACTGTTCCAGAGTATGGGACCAGACCTCTTCCATTACCCCATTAGCTCTCAACTCTGCGAGTTTCTGCATAACTTCAGGGGAGGCATTTTCGCAATCCTCTCGGATAGAGTAAACGCCTCCAGCTTGTCCGCCAAATCCCAGTGCCACTTCAACGCCATCTTCCAATGGGATTTTCGCATATTCGTTTTTCAGAGGTGAGTATTTTGAACTCGTAGCCAAGTACAAGTGTCTCTCGCCACACTCTTCCAAAGGTATAAACGTCATTGTCTTCAACGTCTCTTCAGGTACATCCTTGAGAAGCGATGTTTTAACCGTGCCGGGGTAGCCATGCACGATGCTCACCTCTGGAGAAGATGTTGCCACAGCTTGTAAGCCAAGAGTAACCAATGTCGAGAGATGTTCGCGGAGATTCTCCAGTGGCACGTTTAGGGCTTGAAAGTCTGCCGTATCCAGACTACCTTCATGGCCGCCTCCTCCTACGGAGACTATTCGCCGAAGGAATGGGGCTTGCTCTAGAAGCGGCATGAGATTTTGAATGATTCGGATGCGAGAATAGTAGTTCAAAGCGGCGAGAAGATGCAGGCCCTCGGAAGTCACTTATTTTCACCCATTAGTTCAAATAGACAAACGTGGAGCATAAAACCTAGTTCTCACCACTTCGGCTGAAATCATATACCCCTTGACTCATCACGAGCAAATTGATAAAACCTTCTTCCTTCTTGATCTCGTTGCAAAGCTCATCAGCCCCACGGATCAAGCTCGCATCGGATTTGCAAAATATATACTGTCCCGAGGGATTGATGCGCTTGCATTCCGCCAAGACGCGATCACCTGCATCTCGAGAACGACCGGCAATGTAGATACGAGAACTCTTTGCATATTTGGCCAGGCATTTGGCGGTCTCTTCGCCAATTCCACTTGTGCCTCCGACAAAGACGGCTACAAGCTTTTCAGAAAAGGTAGAAGAGATTAAGGAGTTTGAGGCGCGAACTTGGGAGAGGGAAACCATTGTCAAAGCAGACTGGACAAACAAAACTATACCAATGGTATACTTGGAAGTTTCATATTCTTGGAAAAAGCCATTTCGATTGAGCCCTTGAATGTGCTTTTAAATCTGGAGATGAGTGTTTGTCAATCTAGTTGCCTTGACTATGGTTGTACAAGTTGGGAGTGGCGCTGACTTTGGCCATTTAAACAATCGCCGAACCCCCCACTAAGAAACGCCGATCGTGCATGATTAGCTTCCTTCAAGCATCAATACTACTTTACCGACTTCACTTTGTTTTCTTCGTCGCCTCCATCATCATCCTCATCAGTACCCAACGCTCAAGTTTCATCATGGATTTGTCAGTAACTCCAGACCATGCCGCATCGGCATCGTTGGCAGAAACCCCGAATGGCACAAACAGGCAAAGGCAGGGTCCAAGTATTCGCTCGTCATGCGATCGCTGTCACAGACAAAAACTCCGATGCAGACGGAATGCCGAATCCGCCACTTGTAGCCGGTGTCAACGTCTGAATGCGCCCTGCCATTATAGTCGCCGGGGCTCTAAACCTTCGACGGTATACAGAGCAGTGGACGTCTTCAGCGAAGCATCCCGGGTTACTTCAGTGACTGAAGAAATTGGTTTCATACTACCTCCGACTTTACGAGCTTTTGACTTGGAAGAGAGCATCCAATTATCTCCTTGCATAGCAGACACTCTCTCTTCCAACAGTAGCTTTCAAGATCTCTCCTGGTCAGGAATACTTCCTGCGACTACCGAAGGTTCCGCTGATTTCAACACTTTCCTTTGCAATTGGGATACTCTTCCACTTACTCACGACTCGAGTTGCGGGTTCCCCTTGGTTGAGCACAGCATCGATGCACGCGCGCAAAGGCATGATTCAGATCCAAGAGATGATTTTGAAATACGACGTCATGCTTCTAGAAAACTTGCAACGCTGAGCGTCGCGCTGTATGAATCTGTGATGCCATTTCCTATGCTAGAAAAGATTCGCGTGGCCGCAGAAAAGGCGACGACAGTCGAGAACAAGACTAGGCAAACAGTCAAGCTCATCTTTGACCAGCTCTTTGAACATACCAAAGACTTTAATCATGTCATACAAAGTCTGTTCTCGTCCCCGGGCCAAGAGGATCAAATCACATTGTATCCAGATGAAGCACTCGTTTCTCTGATATTCTCATGCCACTGCCAGCTGGCCGAAGCCTACACCAGTCTTTTAAATATGATACGGGCTTGTCTGGAGCACTCCATTGCTCCGCCAACAAACACAAACTGGGCTGTTATCCTGCCAAAGCTTCAAGTAGGCTCAGTAGCCCTCCCAAGCCTCCAAGTCGATAATAAGAACCCGATGGCTTCAAGGGCTACATCACACATGTACATGACTTCGATAACAACTGTCACGGCGCTGCTATGGACGCAGATGATGAGCGCGGTGAAAGCTGTGACTACAAGCCAGGAGAATACTTTGAGCAGATATGGATCCACGGCAGCGGTGATGTGGGATGCAATGTCCCGGAGAACTGACGAGGTGGTTCGTAGAATTGAACTTGTCAGTTCTTTACTGTAGTCGACTTGATAGATGCGAGACTAGGATTAATTATCTCGACGGTATCGACAATACTACTCTTTATCTCGAGGTATCTGTTTTTCTGATCTCTCCGTACTGATATAGCTATTGGCTAAAATCTGATAAAAATATCTACATGACCTAACATTATAACATGAATTTGCTATACGGTCTTGGGACAAAAGTCTGCGACCACCTACAGCATCCCCGCCAACAGACCAAAGTGAAGCGGCAATAATTACCCCGTTCGCGGGGTAATTGGCCACATAAAGACTTGCATTCTTATTGCTCCTTTGGGAGGCCTCACTTATCTCTAAACATTTTGATGGTAAAAACATGGAATTTGTCTTATATTTCATTCTATAAGCCTCAAGTCTACCACAATCCCACAACATGGCTTCCGAAAGCAATGTTCTCATTTTCGACAGTCTCAGCAAAGAGGGCAAGATTTGGTCCCATCATGTACTCCGAGTTTTATTCTCACTCCACTACAAAGGAATTCCCTATTCATTTCAAGGGATCGAGTATCCCGATATCATCCCAACTTTTGCGCCGACGGCTCTGGAACCGAAAGATGACCCTATAGAGCCATACGAAATACCGGTGCTCAAGCTCCAGACATCAACCGGCTTTGTTCACTACGAAATGAACATTTCGAAAATAATCCAAGCCCTGGAGGAGCTGAAACCCGAACCATCTCTCCGGTATAACACGCCGCGAACTGTCGAATACAGGACCCGTTTCGGGCCAGCGTTTACGCCAATTCTTCAACTCACCGTCGGACACGTGCCTCGCATACTATCAGAGCGCAGCGCCGTGGCGTTTTGCGAAAAGCGAAAACTGCGATGGGGCAAACCCGTAGAGCAGTGGCTCGAGGAGCATCCGATACAACAAGGGCTGGCTGTGGCGGAGCCTCGACTCAGAGAGCTTGGCGATTGGCTTGAAGCAGTTCCCGGGCCGTTTGTCGATGGCGATGGCCCTGGCTATGCGGACTTTACTATTGCAAGTTTATTGGCGTTTGTGAGGGCTGTTGGCCTGTCAGACGTTTTTGAAGCGGTGCTGGGCTTCCATCCTGCGATTCGGGGATTGTATGACGCTGTTGAGGCGACTCAAAGAGGGAATGTTTGGTGTCAGTACCTGTTTGAAAACGGTAAATAAACCAGGTAGTTTTGCACTGTAGTGCTGGGTTTGGCAGCGCCATCAAGCGTAGTTTAGCAATGCCAAGATCTGAAGACTTGGAGATGCATGCTCACTCGAGGGATGTGAGTGTCGTTGGACTAATGGGCCACCCTGGGGTTATGGCAGTGATGACAATTAATTCCTCAACCAGGGTCTAATTATCTCTGGGAAGACGCGCAAATGGTAATAAATCTCATGCATTGTGAACATTCTAGCTCCAAGAGATCACACTCGAAGCTGAGTAGTGATGTAGAAGTGTTTGGCACCTTGCCACTAACATGTAGGTAGGCTCACAGTGGTCGAGGCAATATTTGAGATGCTGCGTGCAATACCTAGCAATAATTAACGGCATCTAATACATCATCCAGCTGTTTAGCATCTCCAGCACCAACTCACCTAAAGCACCAGCTCAAGACCCCCACCAGCCTAAACCTCGGCTATCCACCCGCCTTATTCCGTCATCATCGCCGCCACAGCCATTTCCTCACCAGCTCATCTCCAGCTTCATCTACAAAACTTATCCTCTTCCAACACCACCAACACCACCAAATCACCCAAAAATGCCTCCCCTCCGGCCCCTCAACCTTAACCTCCGCCTCCTTTCCAACAAACCCCTCCACCGCCTCTCATCAACCTTCACCTCCCGCCCAGCACCCCCCAAACTGCCCGCCGCCCAACAAGCCGAATTCGAGCGCCTCCAACGCGCCGCCGCAGTCTCCTCCGCCTTCCAAGACATCCAGGCGCAGACGCAAACCCCTCCCTCGACAGAATCCCCGCGCCACGCAACAAACGTCGCTGCTGCCAGCAGCAAGAACAACAGCAGCGACGGCGAAAGCTCGCTGAACCAGGGCCTGTTCCGCGGCGCGCCGCCCGAGTTTGAGGGCGACACGAATCCCAAGACGGGCGAGGTTGGGGGGCCCAAGAATGAGCCTTTGCGGTGGGGTGGGGATGGTGACTGGAGCTATAATGGGAGAGTGACTGATTTCTAAAAAAGAGACGGAAGAGTTGAAGAAAAAAGAAGGAAAACGGCAATTGGAAGAAAGTTTTGGGAGAGTGTACGATATGGCCAAGTCGATTTATATGGATTGATAGCTACGGGCTTAAAGAGAAAAAGACATTTCACTATAATCGATGAACCAACACAATCAGAGAGACGGAAGCATTAAATCGCCATAATCAAGAGGAGAAAAGATACCAACGTCGCCCACAGCGACTTGACTTTGTACACTATAATACCTAAATAGACGTAAAATGAAATGAATCATGTACCATTACTATAGCTACATACACATGTACACACATCATAATGAGTAGAGAGAAGAAAAATAATTCCTCCATGCCGCAAAAGATGGGAAAACGAAACATGACAAAATGACCCCTTTTTTTTACATTCCCACAACCCTCCTCTGAAAACGAAGAAATCATCAAGCAAATTTTTGTCCATCCCGCTAAAATTTTTTGTCTTGCCCTTCCGTCCATAAATACACAAAAGCTCCCCGTGAGCTTTTTTCCCTTCTTCCCTTGAAAGATTTCCTTTCCTATGCAGAGCAACAAAAAGCCTTCGTTAAATGGTCGTGAAAATGATAAGGAAAATAAAACAAGGTAATTAAAAAAACAAATAAATGGTTGAGCGGAATGAACAGGAAACATTGGATGAGCAAGCTACTTTTCTTCGACAGCAGCCACCTTTTCTTCATTTCCCATATCCCTCATCTCAACGTCCTTGTCCTGGTCGTGTCCCTCAGACTGGACTTGGCTCATCTTCTCATCGGGCTGGTTCTCCTTGTCGCCTTCGCTGTGTCGGCGCTTCGCGTCCAGAGAATCGTCTGCGGGATTCCTATTCACCCAGTTGCCAGAGATCTCACTGCCCAGACTGGGTTTGGCATCCAGGCTCTTGGTCATTCCTGTAATCATTATATAATTGACCGCCTGCTCCCTCATGCGCTCTCGTCGGCCCTTTCCACGCAGTCGAGCCTGGGGTTGGGCTCCATTCTGCACCCAGCGGATGCTCTTGACCATGTAGCTTAGTCCATCGTGAACGGCGTGTCGAGATCCGTATTCGCCGCCAAATTCTCGGCTTGTAATACCATAGCGCGTAGAGGCGCCGTATTTGACGAGTCGAGGTAATATCAAAACAGTAACGTGTAGGTCGCGCTCGGTAGGGACAATCATTGGACCAGCGACAGGAGGCGTGGAGATGAGACCCTCGGATGTGGCATTCGCGGGCTCGCTTTCTTGGTTCTTAACCCTTCGGCGCTTTGTCTCTCCATTCGCACCTTGATCCAAGTCCAGCAGAGACGTGTCGACGTCCTCGGTCCATTCTCCCTTGATCCATCCTCCGTGAATGCATGCCGCCACCACATCTGAGTCGTCAGTATAGACATCTGTGCCCCATAGAAATGCTCGTGATGTAATCTCCTCTCGAGCAATCGAAGATAGATGGATACGCGAGACTTTGACGGTCAAAGTGCAGTTTTCTTTGCCCTTGATGAGATCGTACGGCAAGGGTTTCGGGTTCGACGAGAAGCCCCGGTGAGTGGGGGTATGCGGGAGCAGCCGTCCGGCTTTCAGTTCTGGCTCATACATGAAATCGCCCAGGTGGTGACGGGGTTGGCGAGCCACCTGCTCTAGCACAGCTTTGGATGACACAATCGTTCGCGGTTTTGGTGGGAGCGGCGCTGGAGGACTCTGAGCGGCCTTTGGAGCCTGGGCTGGCTGCGTGATTCTCGCGGCATGATGATGGTGATGGTGGTGATGATGGGGCGCAACGGCTGGTGTCTTTTCGGTCGGCGAGGTAGTCGGAGTGGCGCCTTTAAAGTTTTTGAATGCGGTGATTCCAACAGTCGGAGAGGCCGCTCCTTCGGTCGCGTGGTGATGATGATGGTGGTGGCTGTCACAAGGTTAGCCCAACGAGGAAAAACGAGGTGGGATAAAAAAAAATTGGAAACCTACTGGTGATGGTGATGCGCATGTCCCCTGATGCGCTTCGCGCCACGTCCTACTGGCGTCAACCTGCCCGAGCTTTCATCGTCACGGCTCTCTTCTGTATTCAACTTGCGCCGTCTGCCCCTGCCCTTGGTCGCGCCATCTGGGCCCGCGTCTGGTGCTGGAATTTCAGAGTCTTCTCGCTTAGCCAGCGCAGCATTGATGTACTGGGCCATTGGCGCAGATGTAACAGGGCTTGAGATGCCGCCCATGCTGCCCACACCGCTGCCTATGCCCGCAAACATGCGGCCAAACTCACTCTTAATGCCTGGCTCTGCAGCAGGTCCCGGCTGCTGAGGCTGTGCGCCTTGAACAGCTTGTGGGAGCGGGGAGACGCGCCCTTTGCGGTTAATCTCTTGGATAGCAAGCAGATTACGTTGGTGGATGCCCGATCCTCCCGACGGGTCATCGACATTTCTGTTTCGTGAGGGATCGAACTGATGGTGGCCATGGCCGCCAGCAACACCAAAGGGCGCGGACGAAAGAGGCGGCGGCGCTTCATCGAGAGGTCGCGGTCTAGGTGGCTGTTGTTGTTGTTGTTGTTGTTGCTGCTGCTGCTGCTGCTGCTGCTGCTGTTGTTGGGAGTGGTGAAGCTCCATTCGCGCGCGGTCTGGAGACTCGTGTGGCTGAGGCGGGCCGGCAACACCAGACGAGCTGGGGGGGTAGGCTGGATGTGGCGCTGGGGGGAATCTCTCTGGAGGCGCTGTCGGGTATGCTGAAGGATTATGGGGTGCGTAGGGTCCAGAGGCGGGAGGATAGTCTGGGTGGGCGCGCTGATGCTCCAGCGTCGCGGCTCTGTAGTTGACTTCGGGTTCGGGTCGTCCCCAACGAGGGTCCCGAGGATCGCGTCGGTCGAGCAGTTCGGCAGGGGGTGGGCCGTAGGGGGCAGATTGATGTACCGGGGGTTCGCGATGCGCCTGATCATGTGGCGGCGGAGGTGGTCGATTGGGATCGCCTCCGGAATACGCGCGCTCCCTGCCTTCTCGCTCCCGCTGCTGCTGCTGTTCCAATCCAATCGTAGCTGCCCTTTCCCTCTCGGCCCTGTAGCGATCGTCGTAGGGATAAGGTCTCAAGCCGGTCCTATCGCCGTACTCCATACCTGGAACGGGCCGCATGCCTTCCTCCCGGCGGCCATACGCATCTTCTGACCCTGGCGCCCTCCCGATATCCATCTGCCGTGGCGGCATGGCTCCGTACGGTCTGGGCTGCGCAGCATTCTGACCAGGAGGAGGTGGCCCTGTCGGTATCCTTGCTTGTTCTCTCGAAGGGTCGACCGAGCTTGATGGGTGTCGCGAGTGGTATGGCTGTTGTGGCTGCTGCTGCTGCTGCTGCTGCTGCTGTTGCTGTTGCTGTTGCTGTTGCTGTGGTGTGCCATACCTTTGAACATCTGGGGGCGTAGCGTACTGGCCTCGGGGAGAAGGCGCAGCACCGACTCGGGGATCGACTCGGGGATCGTATGGTCGCTGAAGCTCGGGTGTTTGAGGACGTCGGAAGGGGGGGTATTCGGAGGATGCAGAGTGCATTCGAGGCGAGGCTTGCATAGCTGATGCGAAGCCAGGACCAGAGGTCGAGGCCGATGTGGGAGCCGAGTGCGAAGAGTAGTGCTGCGCTGATGAGGCTGGAGGCTGGGCATCTCGCGAGGCTGGAGGCGGGCCGCCAAGCATGGACGAAATCGACATGGAGCTCCCGCCATTAGAAACGGAGCCAGACCGTGCGATGGAGCTCAAGGCGGGCAGATCACGGCCAGAGGGGAAAGCACTTGGCGGCCCGACAGCGACTGGCGGAGGCCGTGGCGGCGGCGGTGCGTATCCCATGGCGGCGTGTGGCTGCTGATGCTGATGCTGATGCGGATGCTGATGCTGGTGTTGGTGCTGCGAATGCGGCCCTGGTTGCTGGGGAGGCGACGAGGGCGGCGGCATGTTGATGTTGCGACTGAGCTCGCGGGCGGTGGGCAGCGACGAGGCGCTCTGGGCGCGCGAATGGCTGGGCTCTGCAGGATAGTCGCGGACGGCGTGCGAAGGGCGGTGGTAGGGCGCGTCGGAGATGCGTCGCTGGTGCGCGGCATATGCTGGGCTGGGGATGCGATGCGAGGGGGCCGCGGGAGGCGCCGGAGCGTGCGTCGACGGAGGGAAATGCGGTCGCGATGCCGAAGCGCTGTGGTTGTGGTTGTGGTTGTGGTTGAGGTTGTGGTTTTGGTGATGGTTGGGGTAAAGAGCTGGCGACCGTCTTGGATCCATAGTGCCGAAGTTTTGGCTGCTAGCTCGAAAAATGCGACCCGGGCGTGCGGAGCGATCCAGCGGCGATCAATCGGCCTCTGCCTGAGACTGTGCGAGCCAAGCCCTGGCTGTGCAAAGGAATGCGAGGCGAGAGGCACACGAGAGGCGACGATGTTTGTGCAGAGTCGGGCCTGGAGGCTGGGCTGGTCGTGCCGCCGAGGAGCTGCAGAAGTTCGCCCGTGGACATGCACCCGGCAGCCACTGGTTGGTAGGCGTCAAACCGAAAGTTTTTTTTTCGCAGGGCCGGGCTAAAGCAGTGCGAAAAAAAAAGCTGCTCCCTGCGTCACGATTGAAATGCGAAATGTTATGGATGGGATGGCAAGAAAAAAAAAGTTGCGGGCCAGCCACTGACAGCACGAGATCGCCAGGCGCTAGAAACGTTCAGCTCAGCGCCAAGCTCCCCCTTTGTTTCGCCCGAGCAGCCGCAATTCAGCTTTAAAAACAGAAACGGCGGTTGACGGCGGCAGAGGCCAGTCCACTTTTACTGGCACAAGGAAGGGAAAAAAGAAGTTGTCATGGAAGAAAGAGGCTCGAGGCTGGGAGAAAAGCCAGATGACAGGCACGGCAGCGTCCGAACGGGCCAGTCAGCCGTGCAGGCAGGGATGGCGAGCTGCTCCCCTGTTTGTCGAGCTTCACTGGAGTTGGGCGCAAGCGTGACGAGATGCGCGAAACTTGTGTGAGGGGGACCCCTTGGAGGCGGCCTGTGGGGGCACTGCTGCTAGCAAAAGCGTGGTTGTGGTGCCAGTCTCAGGTACCTCCTCGTGTGCGTACGGCACTCGCGTGTCCTCTTTTTATTTTTTTTTTCGATGTTTCTCGCTGGTGGCCGGTGATGGTGATTGCTCTCAATTCGTGTATGTGAGAGGCGTCGGGGGAGGAGAGAGAGGTGTTGGATGGGACGCGAGATGATTGGTGGTAATGGTTACTGTCGACGTCTCGTGTGCATCGTGCTCGAATCGAATGGCTGGGAGCTCGGGCTTTTCTCGCTCGCTCGCGGCTATGTATCGTTCATAGGAGAGGGATTGTGCGGCTGTGGTGATTCGGCGATGGCGGTAGAATCAATTCTGCGCATGTCAATAAAGAATGTAGCCGATTTCCAGATTCCCGTCGGCCTCAAATCTGGCGATGCGAGCTGTTGCAAGAGACAGACGGGCTGTGGCGGCATCAGCGTCGAGCAGAGAATTGGCTTGGAGCTAGCGGGCGCGGATCCCGGGGCAGGTTTTTGCTTGGCGCCAACGCAGGAGCTTTATGCGGGGAAGCTCCCACAAGTGGCTGCGTGTAGCGCATGGACTGCCTGGGCAACGCCTGGAGCAGGTGTATAAAATGGCTGAGCCCTGCAGAAAACGGATTGATCTCACTTGAGGTCGAAACTACAGAAACCGCATTGTTTGAGCATCTACTCATGGATAATGTTGATTGCGGCATATGAAGCAAAAGAGGCTGCACGTGTATGCACACCACAAGAGCGCATGTTGCCTTGTGGGGTTGCATGCTGTAGTACTACGTCTCCCTCTCTCTCCTGGATGGCTGCGAAAATGGCTCATTGGCCCAGAGTCAATCGAAGCTCAAACAGACGACAAAAGTCAACATGGCTAGAAGGGTGAATTACGAGCAATACTAGTACATATGATCTGCGCTCTGCCAATCTCCACCTCGTCGCGCCACATCTGAGACAATCTTGAGGCTGACGGTTCATCGTCTTGGAAGATCCCAACTCGCCATGGAGCCGAAAACAAGGCCAAATGCGAGAAAGAGCCAGACAAAGGATACTGTGACAGCCTCTTTACACGCAACAACGACATCCTCCTAAGCAAAGAGAGCCGCGTCGCCAGGCCTGGCCACATGCTGTAAAAACAAACAAACACCTGCTATAAACAAAACCACCCTCAGCCAGCCCCTCTCCAGGAACCAGGCCAGGCCCCTGGTCGCATCACCCGTCGATGCGCTGGACGAAGCTAAGGCAGATATCATGCACGCATTATAACCGACTCGACTCAGAGGCCGCTCAGTGGCTCGCCAGGCAGCCCGCATGCAGCTGGACCCTTCACCGCTGGACCAGACGCCCGATTCGGGGCAATGGCGCCGGCAAGTAACGGCCAGCGTTGATTCCATCCCATTGTTTTTTGCCCTCGTTTCTTTCTTTCCTGTGGACAGACGGCAATGCACGTATGCGCAAACGCCTCGTCTCAATTTGCAGTCTTACGCAGTGACATGCCGAGCAGAGTTTACGAACCCCTGGCCTGGCTGGCCCCCGCAAAAAAATCAAGATTTTTCGCGCAAAAGAAACTTTAAAATGAAGAGAGGGAAAGCACATGAGAGAGAAATATCAAGGGTCTCAGGGCACGTGTAACGCAAACGAAAAAAACTCTCCATCCATCCTAGCAATGTGGGCTGGTGGTGGGGAAGACAGCCCCCTCGGGAAAAAAAGAGTGCAAAAATGAAGGAGAAAAAAGAAAAGAAAACATTGGGCAGAATCGGCAAATGGATGTTCTGGCGGTGAAAGAACGCGCGCCAAATCAAATCGACGCATCATGCATCACTTTCTCCTTCTCACAGCACAGGCTGCCTGCATGTCGCGTAGATGCACCACCTCATGCGAGTCGACGGAGCACGCAATTTACGGCAGAGGCGACATGCACATGAAAGGTCTCAAGCAAATCTCTCGTTGGCGTCACGGCGTCTGCATGCATGCATGTAGGCACATGAATGCGGCAGTGTGGACGCGTTGGGCTGCCATTTCTGTTTCTCCTCGTCTTTGCGTCGGCGGCTCCACACAGCCATGGCATGGCAACTGTGTGACACCGGCATCGAGTCTGTCTCTTGATATGGAGATATGGGCCAGATATGGACCAGATACGGACCAGTCAGTGTGGGGTTTTGGCGCTGAGCGTTGGTAGCGGCAGCGAGAGTCTCGGACGCCCGACGAGCCGCTGCAACTTGAAGTCAGTATGTCTTGATGTACGGAGCATGTCATAGCCATTTCTCGCAGCACGAAAGCATTGCTGGCAAACACCATCAGCACTTGGCCTGTTCTCTACGTGGCAGCTGAAGAATGAGAAGAAGTACCGCGGTGAATTAAAATTCACCCTATCTGGACCAGATGGTTCATCATGTTCTTCTCAGCATATATAGAGAACGGGACATTTGCACCTTTCGTGATCATGGTCTATGCGTTACACTTGCACATGCTCTCATTCTCCAGTCCCTGCTTATGATATCAGGGTATAACGACGCTCAGCTATTCGCGTCTTTCAGGTCGTATCATCCAGCCAGTTCTGGGCAGTAGAATGAAGCCATATGCCATCAACCACCAATACAAAATAATGCCATGTTTCACGGTGGCACAGCGTGTTTGCCCCCTCGGAGTGCTGTACGAGCAAGCATGCGGCTCGCCGTTTTTGATCTGAATGTGCCCATCAGTGCAACTCTCCGATTACCAAGCCGGAAGAGTGTTTATCTGTGTTATCATGATACGAACCCTCCAAGCGTATAGTATATCGATAGTTTCATGTCTGGATGATATCGCACCAAGTTGCTTGCATTCGCACAGATATCAGTGTGTGGTTCCATCTCCAATGAAGAGAGTTGACCAAGACCGCTTTTCACATTTCAATGGACTTGGAGATCACTCTTCCGGCGCAAGCTCGTCCTTCTAGCTGCACATCTTTATCAAATTTCTTGGCTCTATCGAGATACTGGAAGCCTCTAGGGTGACTCAACTATGAAGAACTTGATCCTACACTCAGCCAATTGATCGTAATTTGAACCCGTAGATGAGCTACTAGCTTTGTCCTTTCTTTTCTTTTTCCGTATCAGACATGTTATTGGCCATTGGGCGTCGATATAGTTTCTCAAAACAGGGTCAAGAAACTTGCTTCTCTACTGAAACTCCACTCCACTCGACTCTGTACTCGTACGTTGATTTCCAGCCATAAAAGTCCATACTTGTCGGAAAGAGACGCATGTGAGACCAAGCATGGAAATGAAGAGCGGCAATGCATCGTGAACAACTCACATATCCTTGGAATGCGCCCAGATCACCACGCAGCAACGATAACGCCCTCCCCGTACAAAAACGCTTGGCAGGCTGGAAGCACCCTGCGCAATGGCGCATCGCCATCTGCAGGGCTCTATAAATGTTTGTGAGGCACATGCAAGACCTCCGAGACACCTCGTCATACCCAAGACGCTCCACCAGGCGCTGCGGCAAGAAATGAAATGAGGGGGCTTGGCCCAATTATAGCAAGATATGAGCTCTGTTCGCAAGACACGAGCTCTGTTCACAAGAAGATGGCTCTGTTCACAAGATTAAATTACAAATTTACTTATCTTAATGTCTAAACACGCAGTCACACGATTGGAAATCCACTTTGTATCAACACCTGTTTCGTCACATATATAGCCTCCTTCTGCCTCCAACAAAGCCCAAAATGAGAAACCACTCTTCTATATCACGCTCTTTATTCTTCAGCCAAACCATCCGCCATCATGCCTTTCCCCACCGTTCGCGTTGCTGCCACCCAAGCCGAGCCCGTCTGGTTCGACCTTCAAGGAGCTGTGGATAAGACTTGTAAGCTCATAGAAGAAGCAGCCTCGAACAAGGCCGATCTGGTTGGATTTCCCGAAGTCTGGATCCCAGGTTATCCATGCTGGATTTGGTGAGTCAATACGGACAGAATATCTAATGTACTCAACCCTCCAGTATAAACTAATTTTGGTCCATGTCGTAATTCAGGGGTCGAAATGTTGATTTTGATCTAAATGTGCAGTACATCAAAAACTCCCTTCGCCTGTACTCTCCGGAGATGCAAAGAATCCAAGATTGCGCTCGTGAGAACAATATCGCAGTCTCGTTGAGTTTTTCAGAGAATTGCAATAACTCGCTCTACATTGCTCAAGCTCTAATCGGGCCAGATGGAGAGATCAAGGTCCATCGTCGAAAGATGAAGGGGACTCACATGGAACGCACAGTATTTGGCGACGGCTCTAGTCACGCTTTGAAGAGCGTCGAAGAGCTCCCATTTGCCCGCGTTGGCGCGTTGAGCTGTTGGGAACATTTGCAGCCGCTGCTCAAGTACAACGCCATTACGCAGAATGGAGACATTCATGTTGCGGCTTGGCCTCCGCTGTCTAATAACGTTGTTGGAGATTTCGGCGCTTATGCTATGACTGCAGAAGGTACGCATCAGCTTTCCTCTTGGTATTTTGTGCGCTCGGCTTTGCTAAATATTACCTTGAAGGGTCTCAAACACTCTCGCGTACTTATGCCATGGAATCTGGGTCATTTGTGCTTCACTGCACTCAAGTGATTACTGAAAAAGGCATCAAGGCCATGAATACAGGTGGACAACCCATCATGTCAACCCCAGGAGGTGGCCACTCGGTTGTTTTTGGCCCGGATGGCCGAGTCATGACAGAGGCCATCCCCGAGGACGAAGAAGGTATTATTTACGCTGAGTTGGACATGGACGAGCGGGTCCGGACCAAAATGTTTGTCGATTCTACGGGACACTACAGCCGCCCCGACGTCCTCTGGTTGGGTGTCTCGCCTGAGATTCCAACTGTAGTCAGGCCGCAGCGGGCCGGAAATGCCAGTGAACAAGTCGACTGGTGAATAATGAAGGATTGGATTGAGGGCATATAGCGCTCCTCACCAAATACCGTCTTGGAAAAGCCAAAGTAAGTGACTTTACGAGATGATGGAGGATCTGAGCCATGGGAAAATTGAACGAGGCTTGGAAAATGATTTGATATAAACAAGATACGATTATCTTCACTAGAATGCGATTAATACATGTGCTTAGCTATGAAGTAGTACTAATACATCAATGAACACTGGCTATCTACACAGCTCAGGCATTTTGAAACACAATTAGACAGCGAGCTATATCACTTGGAGTTCTATTAATAGATGTAGATACTAGCCGATGCCGTTGCGATACGATTTCGCTTATGCGGCCGGCTGTGCCGACAGACAGAATGACAGGCCAGATGACGTGCAACTATTAAGAGCATCAGTCAGCACGTTATCGGGATGATACACGTATACTGCTTCACGAACTTTTCTGCCAGGAATTGCGCTTCAGTCCGTCGTTGCGTTTACGTGAAACCATATACATCACGTTTCGCCAATCCGGGTCAATAGGGATCAAATTGATTAAAAGTTATCCGCCTGGAATCATAACGTATCAGAGCTATGGGCTAATTCTAATGATATCAAGCTGAGAATCTTGTGCATCGGCCAAACACCACGAATCTCTGCGCCCGACCGTCGGCAAAATCTCTAGCCCGATGTAGTCTGATGACACGTACATGAGATGTGTCAAGACAAGATCAATCACTGTAGATTGTAAGATGACATTCTCCAAGAAACAAGGCGAAAGAAAAAAACGGTGCTTAGTAGATTCCCTATCTGACTAAGGTGTGGCGTGTGACTCTGGTGAATGAAGCAAAGAGCTTCATCTTCTTAAAAGCGTCATTTACACACGCTAACCGTCCGCTACGGGCGAATGGTCCTCCCGAATACTGCGATTCCTGTCTGTCGGCCTGTTATGCCGCCGGAAGTAGGTTTGCCATCTCGCCGCTATAGAAGCTCATCAGGCTTGTTATATACTTGATGTGTAGCTGGTGAAATGTTATTAAACGCCAAGCCGCCTTCTTGGTTTCATAACATGCTTTCATTTTCATCTAGTCACATAATTGTTATTTTCATTCAAAAAATAAAAATATCATATCCCTGAAACAATCATCATGATGCGACACGGAGTTACGGTACCGGCGCTTCTATTGACATTCGGTGAGCGACTGCAGAGTAGTGGTGTATTTGCTGTAGACTGAGTGGCATAACCGCTGACAATTCCCAGCATCAAGTCTAGCTCTCGCACAAGAGATTGACAACCAACTTGAGCGCAGAAAATACCATTTAAACGATCCGGGCCCCGAGAACTTCAGAATCTGGAACCGAGAACGAAATGCACACGCTTGCATCATGTCCATCGTCTTCATTGTGCTCTACCCTCTGGGCGCAATCTCTCTCCACCTCCCTATCCTACACATCCCATATCTAAGGAACACATATCTTCAAAACAAAGTCATGGCGATGCACGTTCCGATCCAGCTGATAGGGTTCGTCATGATGATTGGAGGCTTTGGGCTCGGCATCAAAATTGCTTCGCGCGTTGGCTATCTCAGCCATCCAGTGCGCGCCCACGTCGTCATTGGTTTCGTTGTCGTTTGCACAATTATACTCTTTCAGCCCCTCCTGGGGATTCTGCAGCACAGGTACTTCAAGAGGACGGGTGGCAAGAGCAAATTTGCATATATGCACCGCTGGCTGGGACGGAGCGCCATCGTCACCGGCATGATCAACACGGGGCTGGGGTTTCAGCTGGCTCAAAAGAATGTGATAATCCACACGAGCTCGTATGTCAGGAGTTATGTCATTCTTGGTATTTTGGGAATGATCTGGGTTCTTTTGGTTCTTTATGATGAGCGAAGATGGCGCAAGCAGCCGCCGTTCCAGATGGAGGAGAAGAGGGAGTCACAGGAGCAAGAACAGCCACTGCAAGCTATGACGACGTAAATATAAAAAGGAATTGAAGAACAAGGGGATGCGTCTTACTTTAATAAGATCGCATTTAATGGAACATTTACAGGGGCTTGTTGAAATACTGGCAGTTAATCTTATACATAATAATGAACTTACATATCTGACTCGACCTTGCCTTAGGTTCCGATTGTGACGAGATTCCACATGATTGGATTCGTCTTCTGAGGCTTTTAGATCATTGTATAAATTTTATATTTACAGTTCCCTTGTTATATCATCACAATTTTGCTCAATGTTTCTCTTCTCAGCCTGTGCGCCATAATTTTCTCGCCCTTCGAGGCGCCGACTATTTGGTCGCTGTTACAACAATAACGGGATACTTGACTTCTGCAGTACCATCGTCGAGCATTCTGAACCCGTCCGTCTGCTGCAGCTCGCGCCTCACAATCTCGACGGCCTCATCCCACTTCTCCTCATCTTCCTCGGTCCATCCACCGCTTGGCATTCCCCTCATGCTCCAGACCAGCGTCGTGGCTCGCTCATAGTTTCCGACATTCACAAACATGTGGCACTGCACCACCTTGATGGCCTCCTTTTCAAAGCCACCAGCCTCCACAATGCCGGCTATAAGGCTGGGATCTGTCCACTGCTCGAATGAATCCCATTCCGGCAATATGCCATCCGAGCGGGTCGCCCGAGATGCCTTGCGGATAGGCTCAAGCACGTTGTTATGGCCGAAGCAGTTCAAGAGCAGCGTGCCCCCCGGTTTCAGCGTGCGATGCATCTCCTTGACGGCATCAACGCCGTTATTTCGCGGGCCCACAAAGATCATCGCATTGCCAAAGCTGTGAGTAAAGGTCTCGTCTGGGAACGAGAGCGAGTCGGCGTCCATGACGAGCCCCTCGGCCGGCCATGATGAGGACCCCGCCCGAGCGCGATACGAGTCCACGGCGCCTCTCGAAATATCCGTGCCCGTGATGCTGATGGAGGCTGCTACCCCCGGCGGCAGCGAGGCCATGATGGCGGTCGTCGCAGCACCCGATCCGCAGCCATTGTCATGAATTTTGGCGCCGGCCGGGATAGCCGGGATCTGAGCCAGCGAGACGGCAGCCAGTCGCTCCCCGCCGTCTCTGGCCAGCTCTTTGAAGCTTTCGGGCGTGGGCGGTATCATCTGCCGCGGCCAGAAGGCCTTTGGACGTGCTGACTCAGTCATGGCTTTGTGGAAGAAACGAGGCGTGGGTGTGGGTAGTTTCTATTTCTAGATCCGCGAAGATCTCGGACAATCGGGTCCAGGACGTCAGAGGCGCACGCGTCGTTCTCAGGTTCACGATCTCCTATTAGCCGGGCTCCTGAGCAGAATACACGTAACCACTCCTACTGCCACTCCCACTCGTTTGGATCAGCGTGCATGCAGGGGACCTGGTCCCCCACTCTGGGCACCTCTTTAATACAACAGTCCATGGGCGCGCTGTCACAGAAGACTGATGGAACAAAGGCAGTGGATGAATTCGAATGCATAACATGTACCCGTCTGAATCATGAGCCCTCTGATCCTAGCAAGCAAGTCAGAAGCGATCAGCTGCTTCTTTAAACAACGTTACGATGTTTAGTGAGGAATTGGGCTATGCTACATTGACCTAGGCACAGTATCCGTACATGCATTCTCTCTCTTCCTATACTAGTAGCAACTAAACCGACAGAGTTGATAGGGTAGACCTCAATAGCGTCTGTGCTTAACACGCGCTCTAATGGAAATCAGATCTAAGCTCTTGCCTTTGAGATTAAATCCCTCAAAAAAAAAAAAAAAAAAAAAAAAAAAACGTGGGCAGGCGGTTTGTTTGCTGCGTCAACTCTAGCCAATCGGCTGCAAGAGAATACGGCGTATAGGATAGGCAGGGGTCCTTCTCGGGGGCGAAGCGTCGTACTATCTCAGCCACTCCAGGCACAAAGAGTCGTGGCCATTCGAATAAACCCTTGTTCAACGATCCCAGCTGAGCACTGTTGTTTCGTACTCCGTGCCCCTATCCAAACTGCTTCGGCCTCTCATGACGAGGTCTTTCCGACATTAACCTTGCGTATAGAGCACGTAAGACAGGGCAAACAGTACGAAGAGGCCTCCTGATATTCGAGTCGCTTACTGTATCCGGGCTTCTAGAATTCTGATACGCAGTGGCCGTGGAGTAAAACGCAAACAATCCTTTCGCCGAACACTAGCGAAGATCTAGTGCCTATTTTCTATGGACACTATTCGAATAGATTGCCTCTTTATTGGTGGGCGTTTGATCAGGCGCCGCGCGTGGCGCATAGATTTACTTCCAGAATAACTGTCGTGGTGCCTTTGTCAAGTTACTAGTTGGGGGGATTTGGGCGTATGAAATCCCCACACTATCTGGCTTGTCGAGGGCCTCGACTCATGTACAACCCTTTGTTTGCCAAACGTACCTGCATGGCGCTTATACAGATGCAGACACACGTTTGCTGCGAGGAACGTTGTTCGTGCTTGTGGATATGTATGTAATACCTAGCAGGGACAAGCCACAAAGACACAGCTGCGTTTGCAAGGATAGATTGGAGTATCAGCAAAGTAGCACATACAAGCCAGGCTGGCCTCCTATCGAAAAGCCAATAGTCCACTTCCGCTTGCACATCAAACCTAGCGTTTGAATATCGCCGTTGGCGTGGCGAGCCGAAATTCTCTCTCTCTCCTTTCCTCGTGGCCAAAGCACCTCCATGCTCCATAGTTTCTAACCGACGCGCGGCGGAGCGTGCGAAACGGCCAACATGATTTCCGTATACCGTTGCTGCGTCCACTTTCTTTCATCGAGTCTGTCCTTTATTTCCCCCGTGGGTAGCTGATTCAAGATTAAGCAAGAAAAGGAGGTAGGACTTGGCAATCTCAGCAGGTAGGTCCTCATGAGCGCCTGCGCTTTGTACATTTCAGACACACTCGCTCCTCCTTTCCTGGATTTTTGTGCTCCTAACATTTCGAATTTCAAATTAAAGCGCTCGATTTCTTCTACTCTTCAACTCTGCTAGCATTGACGACAACGATTCTTCGCAACAAAACAACAACAACAATCTCTTCGAACCCAACTACCTTTCGACGATCGATATACATCCATCTCAACTCAGATACGATCGATATCCTCGGTTCAGGCATCACGCTTCGACCATGGACCGTGATCAGGTCCTCTCTCAGCGTGCTGTCGAAGGCATGATTGCCGATGGCGACACGATTGTCATTTTCCAGGACCATGTCTTGCGACTCAATGGATGGCTCGACAAGCATCCCGGCGGCTCTCTGGTTATTCAGCACATGGTGGGCCGAGACGCGACCGATGAGATGACAGCGTAAATATCCCCCACGTTTCCCAATTGCTCTCTTCTTCACTGCCCATATGTTCACCCTCCCTGCATCTCAAATACAGTGGCCTGCTATGATGCTGCGCCCTTGATGCAATGCGTAAAACAAAAATAGCACTGAGAACAGAAACCACCGGCTCCATCTGGTTTAAGCTTAAACAGCGTTATACCGTAGCAAGCAAGTGGTGCCTCATTGACGCGGGACGGCACGCGGGGGTTTGCCAAGTTGGATCAAGATCCCTAGACCACCCACCCATTTAGTCCATCATGCTGCTGATTGGTATCCAAGTTGCTGACATTATCTCTTTAACTGCTTTAGCTATCATTCAGCTGCCACGCTGCGAACGATGAAAGGCTACCGGATTGGTCGAAAACCGATGGGTCCATGGCTAAATAAGACTCCTCCAGTCAGGGGCGGCGTCTTCCGACCATACAGCCTCCACACTGAGCCGGAGATTCCGGACTCGTCAATCTGGATCTCAGAGCCGGAAAGCCTTTCAGATGATGCCGACAATGATTCGTCCGACGATCTTCTAAGCGACCGCCTAAGCTCCTCATATACACCTGCGACTCTGTCTCCATGCAGCACCCCTAGCTTGACCGGCGTTGACGTACCAAGTGCCGGCATCTCTCGTCTAAGCTTGGACAAAGGTCTTAGTCTTCGCAAACGCATAGCTTCACCTGCCTCATCTACTACTAGTGCTGCTGCTCCGCCGACCAAATGTCCTGTCCAATACACGGATTGGGCCGTGCAACAAGGGGTCGATGAGGGCATGCGCGACTACCCGTCTGTAGATCCCGCTGTGCAGCAAGGTATCGTCAACAGGTACCGAGCTTTGCATCAACAGATACGCGATGAAGGGCTTTACAGCTGTCGATATATCGAATATGGCAAAGAAATGATTCGATACACGAGTCTCTTTATTGGCTTTCTTACTGCTTTATACTTTGAGTGGTACATGACTTCAGCCGTTATGCTGGGGCTGTTCTGGGTTAGCATTGCTGTGTTTCTTCTGCCAAAGAGAATATGCTAACATAACATCGCCGAATTCTAGCATCAAATCATGTTCACTGCTCATGATGCTGGCCATCTGGCCATCACTCAGACATTTACCGTCGACACGCTCATCGGCATGTTCGTCGCCGACTTTTGCTGTGGCCTGTCCATTGGGTGGTGGAAGAGCAGTCACAATGTCCATCATCTCATCACCAATCAACCCGTAAGTTGCTGATGGCTCATCCCTTCCGCCGCAGAGATCAATCATAGACTAATCTTATAATTCAGGAGCACGATCCCGACATTCAGAATGTTCCTCTTTTCGCCACCTGCCCTTCCTTCTTTCGATCACTTCGTTCCACCTACTACAACAACTTTGTCTTCGTCTGGGATGCTGCTGCTGATCTCATTGTTCCATACCAAAAGTATATCTACTATCCCATCATGGCCCTCGCCCGCTTCAATCTCTACCTTCTCTCGTGGCTACACCTGCTATCTGGCAAATCATCTTCGCTGGGATCTACGAAAGCATGGTGGATTCGACCAACAGAAATCGCATTCTGCAGCTGCTACTGGTTCCTCTTTGGGTACTGCCTTGTTTGGCGCGCACTACCGACTTGGACTATTCGTGTGGCCTTTGTTCTAGTGTCGCATATTGTCACCATGCCTCTGCATGTCCAAATTACTCTGTCGCACTGGGGTATGTCGACATCAGACCTAGGCGAGTCCGAGTCATTTGCCCAACGCCAGCTACGAACCACCATGGATGTGGACTGCCCTGCCTGGCTTGATTTTATTCATGGAGGCCTGCAGTTCCAAGCCGTCCACCATTTATTTCCACGAGTACCACGACATAATCTCCGAAGAGTACAGACGCTCGTCAAGGAATTCTGCCAAGACACTGGTGTTCCCTATTCTATTCTGGGCTTCGTTGACGGCAACCAAAAAGTTCTTGGCCGTCTTGATGAAGTGAGCGAACAGCTCAAAATGATGTTGGACTGCCAAAAGCACATGGCTGAGACCGGGGAGAGCGGATTACACTGAGATGCTGTCACGGCACCCAGTTCTGTCATCCATGTCTTTGGCGAAGCTACTTTATTATCGTTTTTAGAGGGAGGGTAAAAAGGCGTTATGGTAACTTTGAATTGTTATTGGCATTACGAGAGGCGAGACGTGGATTAGAGTCTCTTAGATCTTAGCGTGGGTAATACGTTTTATAGACCGGTTATGAGGCTCTTATAGATCTTATGTATACATGAGCGTCAAAAGAAGAAAATGGACCGTTATTGACTTGCAATGTCTCGGATATCATGCTGTATTAGTCTTGATAGTAATGAGAATCCCAAGAGAACCAATCCAGTGTGCTTTCAAATGATCGCTTACGTGTACGATGTGGAGCGTCATCAGACTCTAAACACCCCAATATGTTTTCGATATCAATATTGTCAAACCCCGGCTGCGCAGTACTATCCTGATCACTGACATAGGCCATGAAGGCGTCAGTATACGACTCAAAGTCAACCTCCCTTGACAGGATATCCATTTCTTGGACAGGAGTGTCTTCTGAGCTTGTGGTTGCTATAGTTGACTCGATGCTTTGGACACTTGAACCCGCATGTTCTCTTGATGTGATGAAGCGAGCTAAATTATAGAAGACGAGAGCAGTCCTCTCTAATTTAGACGAAGCTTCGGGAAGGGATCTGAGCCGTTTCATACTGTTGAAATAAGTGGCGGTTCGATTTAGCAATTCAAGGTCTTGATTCACGGTTGGTGACGAGGGATGCTTTATGATGTGACCGAAGATTGTAAAGAATGGCGTGAATGGGTAGTATAATAACTGCCTAGGAAATTGTCAGGCCTGGCAATCTGGAGATTGACTTGATAGAACACACCACACTAGCCCGTTGTACACATGGGTTGAGTTTGATACCAGGCCAGGAAGCAGCTCAATGGCATCTCGAGCAGCCTGTGTACGGAGCTCTTTGTTATTTTCGTCTTTGCGTAGTAGTAGTATTATGATGTGAAAATACTGGAATCGCATGGCGCGGATGCCAATCATCATTTCTTGGAGTTGGTTGGCTGTTGAGCTGGCCGATTCTGTGTCGATGGCTTTCAATAGTAGCTGTCTGTAAGTTAGAACGGAAGCTTGAAGCCTCGAACTCCAATGGTGAGAAAGAGACTCACCTCGTTGGTTACCGAATCCCACGACTGCAGCTGAGCGATCAAATTATGATGGACGACCGACTTTGTAGGGTTTGCTAGAAAATCCAGCGCAGCCCCGGTCATTCTTGCTAATTGCATTTCGTGGATAAAGTAATGGGCGCCAAATGATGAAGTAATAAGTCCATCCTCTGTTTGTATGGGCTCTTTTCGATGTGGATGGTACTTTAAGAGATACTGGAAATCAGGTAGTGGCACATTTTCGTAGATGGCGGTTGGAAGCAACATGGGTCGACCGAATGCCAATGAACAGGATTTATCCACGGAAAAGAGCGACCAGAATAGTGTCAATCGACGCTGCCGCTGTTCATAGCTACCGCCTTTGAGGCTGTGTAATCCGACTGCTTGAGCTTGGCGACAGGCATGGCCTACGAGCATCCATGACAGATTGGGTGAAGCATATTGTTCGCCGTGGCACCCTAACAACATAAGCGCTTGTATGTTTGTCTCGCTGGGCTCTAGGAAAATCCTAAAGTCGTTTAGTGCCAAGTTTGTGTTTTTCTTGAGATTTTCGACAATATCTGCTTGCGAGGCATCGTGTTGTAGAAGACTGAGGAGAATGAAGTTGATGTAGACGATCCAAGCGCGCTGAGATAATATAGCGGGATTGAATATGGCATTCAAGAGAGTTTCTTCGGATGGTGTGATGAATAAGACTTCAGCAAGCTGCACATTTTGGAGAAAGTCTGATAATGTTAGTCTTATGATCTAATAACTGAGGGCAAATGCGGCAGACATGCAACTTATTAATCTATATCCGATGGGCTTTGAAGGTATTGAATAGCCATTAATGAGCTCAAAGGACGCTGTATCATTATAAGGTGGTTGAAGGTTAATTGTAGTCAGAGACTTGGAAAGATCCTGCAGTGCGGTGGAGGCTGCTTGGTGCTCAGCGAGTGGTTCATGTACTGATTGACTCTTGATCGACTCCAAATGCCTAGACGCTTCACCCAAGTAGGCGAATGAATGTGAATCATCCAAGGTGAGCTCGGGGCTTTCGAATGCTTCGGCTGGCGGCTGATGTGACGGCGCCGCCTCATGTGATTTTGTCGTGATTGAAGGGGGTTCGGAATCCGCATTCTTATTGAGAGAGGTATTGATTGTTTCGGAGAGAGTTTCTAGGGCTTTTTCAACACGAGATAGACGCTGGTCGACACCTTTGGAGTATTGAAGTGATGTGCTTGCTGCTAATTTGGCGGGCTCATTTCTATCGCGAGCAATTAGACTTGGATCAGCTCTGAACCATTGTGGTGACATACACGGAACATTTCTTGTCGGATTGGGCGATTGGATTTTGCCTGTGGTAGACGCATTCGCCAGGCCAAGGTCGGCATGCTGCACATTTAGGAATCTCTCTCGAGCATCTTCTTTAATTAGCAATCTTGGCGGAACATGCAGCTTGGTACACCAACTTGATCTTCTTCTGCCGACAGTGGGTGCACTATAGATGAATGGGCATCAGCTACAAGGAACGATAGCGACCATTATGGCAAAATGCGACGTACCGCAAATCGTGCTAGTCCTGCATTTTTGGTAACCGGCATTTTCTGGCTCATGATGACATGGGAAGTTGGACGAAGCTGGTTTGTTCCTCCGGTGATTCCAAGACAATGGAGAGTTAAGCCAACCATGTGCCAGTAACGAATTCCGGTTCCAAGACCTTTCAATGGCTACGTCCGGAGTTTATTTGCTGCCCCCTTACATAAGTCCGGGCTCGTCCAATCAGCGTTTGGGGTGGCGTGGACGTGGTGCAGTTGAGACGATTTCTAAACAATCGCCTTTGTTTAAAATGCATGAAGCTACACCGCTAGATATTCATCATGTGCAGAATGATAGATGGTAGATTATTCAGTGCTACAGTAAATGATAGCTAGATTATGGGGCAACGATGCTGATGGTGATGGTAAACTACATCCACACGCAGAATACAGGTTAACCGCGACCACCTACTTACCAAAGGCTTAACAGTATTTATTAGCTGGCGAATTCTCGTTTGCTAAAATATGAAGAGAGGTTGGTTATCTTTATTTTTTATTATGAAACTTTGTTTCTAGTATTACACACAATTCTCTCCTTGCTTTTCTGAGCATCGAAAGCGGTAGGGAATGCCGTTTATGGATACATGCAGCTTGCTTCATAAACCCCAATAAATATCCTACCGGCAATGCGGTATTCATCAGATCCCGACCCCTATCTTTAGAGTATCATTTCTGGCACATAAATCTCCGAATTATTGACGTTGCAGCCTGGGCTATACGGAGTGCAGGCGTGGGGCTATCTGCGACGTGGAAACATCCGGCGATGCATCGTCTTATTGGTCGAAGCTGGAACAAGATTTCCGGAATTCAAGCTGCGACTCATAAAGAAAAGTATATATCTACTATCAAATCGTTAGTCTATCGTCAATACTCCCTAGACCCTTCATTATTGCTCTACAACTCAGTCTCAGCACACATTAAACTATTATCATCATGTCAGTCCCGACAATTGCCATTCTCGGAGGCGGTCCCAGCGGCCTTGCTCTCGCTCGGCTGCTGGAGTGCAACAAAATCGACTATGTTGTTTATGAGCGCGATGCCTCTTCGCTGATGGAAGGACAAGGGGGTTCCCTTGATATCCATGGACCAACCGGCCAGCAGGTTTTGAAGGAAGCCGGCCTGCACGATGAGTTTAAAAAGTATGCGCGCTGGGAAGCGGCAAAGACAATCATCCAGGATAAGAACGGCACCACCCATCTCGTATCTGGAGAAGATCAAGACGAACCGGAGATTGACCGTGCCACGTTGCGCAAGATCCTCGTCGAGTCTATCCCTCCAAGCAAGATTCGATGGAATCATGCTGTTAAAACCGTCGAAAAGCTTGGCAATGGGGATATAGCGATCAACTTTGTCAATGGCACTTCTACCAGCGGCTTCAAACTGGTTGTTGGTGCGGATGGTGCGTGGAGCAAAGCAAGGCACTTGGTAAGTGAGAAGAGCTTCTGGATGTACCTATATATAAAACGAATGCTAACTATGAATCAGCTCACTTCTGCGAAGCCGCAATATTCCGGCAAGCATTATATCGAAGGGAAAATCTCCACCTCGAATCCATTTCATCCGACTGTAAATAAAAAGTTCGGTGCCGCAAGTCTCATAGCTTTGGGAGAAGGTAAACAACTTTCAGTCACCGAGATGGGAGATGGGTCTTACCGCGTCTACCTCGGCTTGGCTGTCCCAGAGGATTTTGCCAAGAGCGCCGTGGATCTCTCCAAGGCAGATGGAGATGCTGCCCGTAGTTTCTTCATAACCAACGCCGACTTCTTCGGAACCTGGGGCTCTGAGCTCAAAGACATTATTGCAAACTCGCAAGGCGCTTTCAAGGCCTGGCCCCTTTATCACCTTCCATCTAGTGCACTATGCTGGAGCCATGTTCCTGGCGTAGCTCTCATTGGGGATGCTGCTCACCTGTCTACCCCGTTTGTGGGAGAGGGAGTCAACTGCTCGATGTTCGATTCTCTGGTGCTGGCTAGACAGATCGTGGAGCACGGTGTGGCAAATCTAGACGCGGCAGTGGAGGCATATGAAAAAGACATGTTTGAGCGCGGAAAGGACTTGATAGAGAGAAGCAACGGGACTGCCAGTCTCTTATTTGCGCAGGATGCCCCGAAGCCACTGCTGGATGCCATTGCAATGTCACAAGCGTGATTGACAGCTTGATCAATCTGCAGCAGATTGATACCAAGACACTCTCTTGGGAGCTAGATTCAGAGCATTGTGTTACTTTCGTATTTTCTTCGTTCTCAATGACCACATATTCATCCCACTTATTAGTTAGAATTCGCCAGCTAGGTTGGTCATTGAAGTGACCAAGAGCTTCATGCGACAATTTAGATGATCTAGATTCACGTTACATCGTTATTGGTACAATACAATACTCATTCATTCATCATTTTGGTATCTATGCAGGCTTTATCTTGTACGATTTACTAACTAGTCTTTGACAGCTTTCTCCATCTTGATTTGTAAAAAGTCTCGCCCATATTTCCACGCTCCTATACAATTTTTACCACTGTTTCGTTTTTATCTCGTATCACTGCAGCATAGGACCAATCATCATTATCCCTTATAATGGAAACCTTTACATCTCCTTCTCCAGCTACCTCTTCTGCTTGTTCTGGCTCTTGTGGCTCCGCTTGGTCCTCTGAACTCGCTACAGGCGAGCTTTTAATTTTACCATCTCTATAAATCGTCGTCATTAATCCGTCAATTGTGAGCTTTGCTCTAATACCCGCTGACTCGCTGGGATGCGTCAAAATGATGGCAGCGATTGCAAATAGCACAACGCCCAGGACGTAAACGAGTTTAAAAGCGATCAAAAGATAAAAGGGAACAGTCGGGACCCGTGTGAGTAGCAAGGTTGAGCGAGACTGCTCAAGCAGATTTGCTCGGCTATCTATGGCGCCGATTGAAAGCGATAATGCGAGGTGGGCGACATAGTTTGCGGTTATGGTTGAAATCTCGGCAGAGCTGTTGCTGACACTTGCCAAGTTCGTTGCAACTTGCATCAGATCATTTGCATGTTGATCAGACAAAGGGGCGGAGAGAATACCGCCCATGGTATCATTCACAAGCGTAGTGTTGAGGCTGATTACAGAGCCGTTGACCCAAGCATATGTAGCCTCGTAAAACGTCGCGGAGCAGTTAAGAATCCAATTGAATACGTTAGGAATATTAGAACTGGCAACAATCCCGCTGTCGCTGCCCAAAGTTCTGGAATCAATCTGTACTCTTGTAGCCCAAGCAGCAAAGTACACCGGGTTCTGGAAACTGAAGCGGGTGGTCTCGGTCAAGCTTGCGTTGGTGAATAATCTTGCGCCTGACGGGTTATAAAATATTTCTGCATCGTCCGGATTGTTGTCAGGTTCGTTGAAATCACCCTGAAGTGCGCTCGTGCAGTTGTAATCCGAGTTTCCAGCTTCAATGTTGGTGTTTTGTACGCACTTGTATGTTATCGACTGGCACTGAGCGGATGCTGCGAAAGTGCTGGCTTTATAATCGAGACCTGATGATATTGCTGCTGCATCTGCGAGATACAAGATCATCTGCGATGGGCTTGCTGCGAATTGGTTCACAACGTTGGTGGTGGAGACGTTGTTTGCGATTTTGAAGCCCTCGCTGCTGGATTCAAGGATGCTTTCCAGCGCCATAACTCCAATGTTGCATGGTGTACCCTCATCGGCGAGTTTTATGCAGTCGCTTGAGTTATTTAGTCCTCGACTAAATGAGTGGGTGGGAGGGCTGATGACTTGTAATTGCGTTTGTTCCTTTGGGACGACAACAATGCCAAACCACGTATCTATGACGGGAATTATAAAACTGATGAAGGGTTAATAATGAGTACTCAGATATCTTATCTAAGAATCCTCGTTGTCTAATATGGACTTTGATACGTACCCCAAGAGTGTTGTGACAGTAAGAGTAATGAAAACAGCCAAAAGAGGACCGTTAAATCTGTTACCCTTCTTCACTCTATAGCATATAGAATCCCACGTGCCCTGCCAACCGCTGAGAAGCAGCCCTAGCATAATGGACATTTGCTTTGGTGTCAGGAGTTTAGCATCTTGTTCGTTTTGTGTTATCTTGTGTATGGTATTCGCCGCGAAAAATGCGGCAATTCCAGTAACAGCGCTCGAAAGATATGGAATGAACTTTCCAGTCACAGAAGCAATGGTAGTGAGAGACGACGGATTGAAGTCGATATAGTATGCGTTTGAGCCTCCCGTCTGCACTAGACTATCAAAGTTGCTCGACGGCGCGGTATTGCTGCTAGAGGGAGCAGCTTGGAATTCAGGTAAGCCGGTGTTGATAATTACGCGGTGTTTTAGAGTCAAGCCGATAAGAACTCCAGTCACAGATAATACGAGCAGGCTAGGTATCGCTGCTGCAAGAATGATGGACGTGTAAGCGCCGGTTCGAGGCTTTTCATCTTGTTTCTCAGTGACTGCCACTTCGGCCTTTTGTAAGTTGGAAGAATACGTAGAGTATTTGGGTTTAGCCATATTGATACGCCTACCAAGGCAGGCCACACAGAGTAAGAGATAAAGAAAAAGAAGAAGTTGTTTGCCAGAGAAAAAAACCGCTAGATACAGGGCTTCTGGGCTCAAATATTTTTCTTCAGTCTTTTAGGCAATTTGTGTTACCCCAGCATGGTGCTCTGATTAGCGCTACGTGGGCGGCTGAGAAGGAAGCCTTGGGAGCAGGGAATGCGATCCAACAGTCAACTCGGCTAAGCCTCAAGCCCCCAAACCAAGGCCCCTTGCATTTAGCATGGGTATTTATAGAGGAAACGGCAGTTATTGTCAAACTAAGAGGCGGGGCGACGACATCCTACCACGCCACCGATACTTGTAAACAAGTTATAAATCAATTGTAGACCAGTCAGTTGGGCTAGTCAAGAACATCAGAACTCTGTTGTGAAGCCGATCCTACGCTCTTGTGACACCGGAGCCTTGCCACGTAGTACGAGGAGGATTATCCAGGCCATAGATGGGGGCACAACTAAGCATATGACAAGAAACGCCTTGTAGAATCTAAAAAGTAATATGGGCTAGGCATATCGTTCTGTCGAATGGCAAACTAGGCTCTTATGTCGCGCTTATATATGGGACCACCTCGCTTTGTTGTTAATCTGAAACTTTCACGCCAGCTGTTGCGTTGCCAATAGCTTTTCAGATGCCGAAATTCTGGCTCCTACGCATCGGATCTTTTTGTATACCCACCTACCTATATGTACATGTACGTAGCTTCCGCACCAGTCGCGCCATCGGCCAACAATTCTCAAATCCTTTTGCTCTTCTTCTGAGGCGAAACTTCTTTTAGATAGGTCTTACATACGGAACCACTAATTACCCCTTGTATCGGAACATGAGATAGACTATAAATAGTAGATGTTTCGCGCATTCCAACACGCGAGAACATATTACATGCCCGTCTGTACTCATAATCTACTCGGACTTTGGAAAATAGCGCCCCTCCACTAAATGCTTTGGCGCCGCAACCGTGATACCATTACCAATTCATATGCCGAGAACGATGACCATAAGAAATAATTGCTCTCATGGTTTTTGATACGATGAGTACTCTTGTAGCGCTCCTTAAGATCAACATTGCGCCTTGTGAACTCTTTTCTCTGCACGGACATCGTTCTCCCCTCAGGGCGTAACATAACTGACTTATTGACGCATTTGCCAATTATACCATTGTAGCCTACAGGAAGAGGTTGCTCCCTAGTTGTCGATAGTGCATAGCGAGTTGTCGCAAAATATCAGTTATATCTAGACAACAGCAAAATCCCTGTTGGGCACTGCCGACGTCCTCGCTAGCACGGCTCTAGGCTCTGGATGCCGCAGGGGCTTCCAACGTGGTTGGAGCAAGGGTATCTAATAGAGAGAAAGATCTCACGTTGAATAGTTGCGAATGGATCTTGTTATTTTGAATCAAGATAGTAATCGTATAACACAGATGTCCTAGCCAAGTCTCATTTGAGTGCAAGCCTTCCAACTGAGCCGTGCGGTCGCGGGGTTCTAACTCGTTTGCCTCGGTAGTAACTAATGCCAAGCGCCCACGAATGTTCCATCGGATTATCGGTTGGCTTGCCGCCATCTTAGCCTCCCTTTCAAACATTTCAGCGTGTACCTTTGTCCAAGTGAAGTCAACCTTCATAAGAAGTAGCTTAAGTTTATGTCGCAGAAATGACAGCAACCGCCAGTCCAAACTGACGTATGCTGCGTCAGATACACACAACTTTGGTCATATTAGACATGGAGATGGTGTTTTAGCAAAGCTTGAGCTTATAATTGAAAGGGTTACAAAGCGTTAGCTAGGACGCCGCTACAGCTGGTGCACAATGATATCACATTTCGGGGTAACACATATTGCACCTATCTTGAAGCTGACATAGGAGGGGATATTGCGTACGCGCGCGTAAAGGCGCTTACAATTGCTTTATTTTTTTTTTCTTAGATTGTGGCCTTCATCTTTGGCACTGCAGTGTCTTGGCCCCTATCATTGTGTAGGTAGTCTAACAGGCCTCAAGTCTATCTCTCTTAAATAGTTGAGCCTAAACAAACTAAACACGAAATGTTGGTCAACGTTCGCTCGAGGGAGGATCAAAGCCTATAATAAAAGAAGACTCACAACCAATTCACCGTTCTCGTTGGCAATACGCTCGCTCAGCTCAATGCCCTGTCGTTCCCGGTATCCTCCGTCACGCATGGGTAGCTCTGCGGTTAAGAGAGTGCCTTCCAGACGGATATCGTTGGCTGAATCAGAAAAGTCTGGAAGAATGTCTTGATTAGCAATTGTTCACACACAAAGCTTTTACGAACAGCAACATATAGTACAAGGCAAGACAATGTTGAGATAAAAAACCATTCTTAAAATGAGGGACACTGTAAAACATCTCGAAAGTGGTGTGATAATTGGACAGGGGAAGGCAACACGTACTGACACCATCCCACATGAACCAGCCATCTTCATTGCCGATGAATCTGTTCAGATCAATTCTGGACTCAACCCAGTTTCCTTCTCTGTCACAGACGTTGGCGAAGAGAATGTGGCCATCCTCCAGAAAGATATCTCGTGATGAAGCTTGGAAAGACATTGCGCTGAGAATATGCAAATAAATAGAAGACGTAAAAGGCTCGTGTATGGCTTTGAGGGTTATAGAAAAGCATCGAAATAGACAATGATACGAATATACATGATATTTATATCTCCCAGGGCAGAGTCCACACATACATGCAGGGAAAAGGAGGCGGCTGTGTAGCTGTGAATCTGCCTTATTACCCCGCTCAGCTCATGCAGACAACCCCGCCTTGTTGAAATGCCGTGAATTTGATACCCAACACCATGGACGATCTCAGCTAGAGGGGTATGGAATTGTTCATTAAGCATAGGAGGTATGGATAAATGTTAGTCTACCGTCTAATTAATACCCTAATTAAGAGTTGCTGGCTAGTATTAACAGCAGAGAAATCTCATTCTTAGTGCTTGGTAGCGCCGCCACTTCAGCCTCAACCGCCTGGCCACAGCCATGTGGATTCTGGTCACACCCAACGACCCATGATGGTCTGGATCAGGAGCTAAATTGGCTGCTGCGGAATGTGGCTGTTTGCCAAACACTTTGTGGTACCTGAGCATAAAAAGAGTGGCTGGGCCAGAGATCATCCAACTCCACGGCGCCATACGTCAAAGTGTCGGTATACGATTCAGTCTCGGCCTCTAGCTAACAAACCGGTGACATGCGCGGTATAATCTGTATGTACGAATTGACCTTTGTATAGCATCATATAATTACAAGAAGATATGTTTCCATTCTTTTGCTTCATAAAGCCAGATATGTGTCAATGGTGGATTGATTCGTTATATCGCCATAATACAGTGCCCATGCTAAGATATCCACTAATTGACCCCAGCGATTCCTTCTATTTGCGATACCTTTGACACTTTGAAACAGTTCCTCGCCCTACCATGGCCTCAAGTTTGATCAGCCGATAAAGTAACGTTGTGGGCATTCGTAGCAGTAAGTGCATTGATGGATTTCGTTGTCGTTGTCTCAAGGCTTGAACCGCTGACAATAGTTCCTTTAATCTTGCTTATAAGCCCAGCTGTCGAGACCACGCCAAGTTTAAGAGCGTCGCTAATCAACCTCGTTATCCCGTGTTGCATGACGCCACGCTGTATTTCTTCTGTTCTCATATATTCTTGTTAACAGATATTCTGATCACCTCTCTTGAGTCAGCAGTTTGACTTCAGAAGATTTACTTACTCTGCATTGCTGGAGTGTGTCCCTTGTGCAGGCTAATGGTATACTTTTTAAGCTGCGACTTCCGATATTTTATTGCCAAGCCAATGGGATGGCCTAAGCTGATAATTGTGTGCTTATTACCATCTTCTTCGGTGTTTAACGAGTAGTATTTTCGCAGGGCTTAACGCAGTTGCGGTTGGAAACACATTAGCAAACAGGACCCTCACAACAACGGGAGTGCTGGCTTACCTTCATCCTTTTCGTTATTAATACACTCAAGCTTGATAGACTCGTCGTCGGCTTTCAAGCCTGCCTTCTTTAACAGCTGCCGAATGGCTTCATCATCCTCTAAAATTTGATCAGCCTGCATCAGACATCTTCAAGCAATCAACCGGCACATAAATAAAACGAGCTCACTATAAATGATGATGCCATGTTCAAACCGCGATTCTCCCGAATAGCATATCAAGAAGAACACATCAATGTAGCCGATGAGCCGTACCTTGCCAGGCCACCGCTCCTTGTCAATGAGAATATCCCATGGGTGGATGTCGCTAGAGGCTGACTTTTAAGCACGATAGTCGTCAAGAAATGAGATTTGCTGTTACCCACTAATCGCATTCAATGATCTTGTCGTCTATACTTCGATCAAAGGTCCGCAAAACACGATGATAGGATGCCATTCTCTGAGAATTGGTAGTTGAAGAATTGACTGAGATGATGAAGCAGTTTACGATGATACAATGAAAGATTATTGAACACCTATTATCTAGGTGCAGATGAGTTTGAAGCTGTTTGACATTGCCTGGCCCTGATCAATCAAACATTACAGGGGAAACGCATGAATGTCAGCATCAACTAGCCCGTGCGGCTATAGCTGCAAATAGCGCAAAATGTCGCATAGCTTCACATTAGTCCTGCGGCTGGCATCCTATCATTTCCATCAATTGACCACTGTTGAGACCACGTCACTCGGCCTTGGGTAGTAATGCAGAGGCTTATGGAGCCAGAGGTGCCGATTGCATGAATTATGGGTAACGTCGTCCATTGAAAAGACGCCGGATGGCATGTTTCCGAGGAGCAGCCAATCGAGTTGCATATTCTGCGACGAGACACTAGTCATGGCGGCAGCTGAAGAACGCGCCACAATGGCTAACTGCTTCTAAATAAGTGATATATGATGCCTCTATCCGTGTATTCTAAACACTGCGTCCCTATCTCTCAGCGATTATTCAGCGAGAAATTCGTTCAATGCGTTCAATCTTCCGGCGCACTGTTTTCTAACTTGTTCTTCGCCCATTGTTCGTTCAGAGAATTGCAGGCTATGCTACACCTATTTCCCACCAGACACGGTGGTTCGATTGTCGGATCTTTTTCTGCAGCAGAGTAGCGCGCATCTTTCATTTCCTATACCGCCATGGACGACGAATTGGAAACCCTGGCTCAGGCCGGGGAGCCAGAGGAAACATCAAAAAGAGCCAGGCTTGCTAAAATGATGAAAAGCATGGGGCGTAATCATGAGCCCGCGGACGGTCAACTAGACAAGTCTGGAGAGTTAGAAGACACATCAAAAAGAGCCAAGATTGCCATGAAGATGATCAAGACCATGGGGCTTAATCAGGAGATGATTAGGAGTATCGTTACATCATGGCTCGTTCCTCAGTTCAGACCTGAGATCATTGCGGAGTATGACCAACGCCTCGCCAAAATTCACGATCTAGGGTTTTTGGGAGTATCGAATAGCTCTGTTGATGTATCGAGGCCATTCAGAATGTTCAATATCACCGATGGAATGCTTGTTGACGACATCGACCCCTCTGCGCCATATTGTATGGTGTCCCATCGCTGGAAGGATCCGGAGATCAACCTTGATCTGCTTCGAAGAGTCAAAAAGAAAATGTCAAGGGATTATCCGACTTGGTACAATACAGACCGAACTGACGTCGAAATGATCCTCAAGTATTGTAAAGAGAAAATTATGAAGCAAAGGAAAAAGGTCAATGGCTGTGCCGTGAAGAACAGGGTTGATGAGAAGTTGGCCCAAAACGACTGCTACGTCTTGTCTCTTCTTCGGATGTATCACCACAGCAAACAGATTCGTAAAGAGGTCAAAGATGCTCACGCGCACTTGGAGACTGTGATACATGATAAAAAAGTTACAGATATGGAGGACAGAGTTTTCAAAGATCTCAGCAGTAACACAAAGTCTAGCATTGACGGCGATGGAACCAGAGCTTCACTGGCCAATCCCGAAGAGCAACAACCTGCAGTTGAGGATACTGACGACGACACCGATGCTATTAAAGCGGCTTATGAGAGGATATTCGATGCCGAGTGGGAACGCGACAAACATTCAGATGATGCTAAATTCGATACCCTCAACCGTGATCTGCGTGACATGGTGGAGAAGATGGTTCGCTGCTTACGTCTATGGAGATCTGCCATCAAAATCGAACAATCAATCCTAAAGGCTGAGAAAATATTCAAGCGAGGCCTGGTCCCGGGATATAAACAACAGCAGAAATTCTACGTGTGGCTTGATACCTGCTGCATCGACAAGAGCAATCACAACGAGTATTCCGAATCCATGTCGCTAATGGGAGACTGGTATGCCCAATCTGCTTTTACTCTAGTACACCTGGACACTGGATTTGACAGAGTTCCTGACAAATCTGATGCTGAGATCTACTGGGACGAGTACTTGCAGACAGATGGTGACTATCACAAACTTGAGACTATCGCCAATCGAAGAATAGATCCAGTTCAGAAATACGAAGATATCGCCAAGGAGCCAGAGATTGAATGGTCGACCCGGGGATGGACACTACAGGAGCTCGTTATGAGTAGGATGACTTACTACGTGAATGCTGATTGGCAATTATTACCGCGACCTGTTGAAAATCTGGGGCGAGCATACCATCTTATTCCGCACATAGGGCTATATACCGGCCTTCTCGACATCAAGCCCACTTCCAATGCGTGGAAACCAGAAGTTCTCATGACGGCTCTGCTGAATTGCGGAGCTGTCCAGTACACAGAGGCGATCAAGACAGTTTATCCTCGAATCGAGCAGGATTCTGATGAAGAAGAGGTTGAAGAGGGTTTCTCTCTGAGTAATGCCTTGTTGGCGTCGATTGCTATGCCTTGGAACATAATGGACACCGTCTTTCATGTCGCGAAGCCAGAGCCAGCCCATGATGAGAAAGATGAGAAGACTAAAGTTAAATTGTCTGGAGAAGCCGTGCTCCGCGAAATCTCTGTCTTGTGGGATCAGAATCTGGCCACTCAATTCCCTCATATCGAAGAAGATGGCAAGAAGAGGGGAAAACAGAAGGCTTATAAGATAAATGAGCATATTCGTCTCGAAGACAGCTCAACTACGGAAGACAGGGTATCGCATGCGCTTTCTATCATCAAAGCTCTTGAGCTGGTGGGGCTTTCACTTCCCAAAGACATATCTCCTGAATCAGCTAAAACCGAGATTGCCCAGGCTGTTTTCTTTGCTACCATGGCATTAGTTGAGTGCTATGAGCAAACCAAATATCCAATGGTTATTCAAGAAGTGTCATCACAAGAGAATTTGGGCAAGAAACAAAGCGACAGTGAACAAAAGGCCATTCTGAAGCAAAAACGAGAAATTGAAAAGAGAGTGAAGCTCGAAATAAGGAAGAGACTTTTTCAAGAACTTTTGGATTCTTTCCCCGAAGCAAAAGAACAGTACTCCATTGAAACTATCGAAAGCCTTGAAGAAAAGGAAGAAGCAATCGCCAAGACCTTTGCACACATCTTGCATGTCCTAGTTGACGAGGTCAACACTTTAATCCTGAATGACCGACAATATATCGCCGAGTTTGGAAACATCACTCTTTTGGATTCGTGGGTAGATGGAACGCGCAGACATGGATTTACCACTCAAGAAGTCATGACGCTGGCATGCAAGCGAAGGACAACAAAGTCGTTTGATCGTGCATACTCGCTGATGGGTATTTTGGGCGTTCGTTTTCCGACATTTCCTGCTGAAGGGTACGAGAAGGCACTTTGTCGGCTTTTTGACGAAACAGTCACTACTCATAACGACGTATCTGTTTTCAACTGGGCTGGTTACAATAAAGGAAGCTCAATCCGCGGGCGTTCGATGTACCCGTCGACACAAGAGGCATATCAAGCCAAAGACAGCCGTCTTTATAGCCGAAACTCTATGGCCGAAACTGAGAAAGACAAGATGCTTCATACTACGAGCTATTACCACGCTATTGTCTCTCTTTTACGCGACTTGATTGAGTTTCTCAAGAAAAATGTACCACCGAAGCAGGTGGTCGAATGGATTGGCTACATCTCCGCCATCATCTATTCTTTTGATCTAGAGAAGCTGAAAGCTGCCCCAGCTTCGGCTGAGAGAGTGGAGAAATTGAGCGGCCGTAGCAACATCTCTAATGGAACTGACGCATTGCCGTATGAGATTGAGGTCCTTAGCAAATTTATCGGCTTAATTATCAACGGACCAAGCCAAACAAGACCCGGTCCAAAAAGGCTATTATCGAGTAGGGCGATCCGGAATCCGAGGTTTGAAGTTGATATCAATCCAGATGTTCAGATTGTGGTGGATCCGCCTGCTCAGACGCCTGACATAAATCACGAGCAAAATGGGCGCGATTCCAATCCAAATAACGGTCAAAACACGCCTGATGCGGAAAATATATCTCCGCCAGAACTAGTAGATGTTCCAACACCAACAGAAGACGAAGGAAATGAGACTCCTCCTGTGGGTAGAAAGAGCAGATTTGTCGAGCAGCTTTCAGAAGCAGGTTCAATTCCGGTGCCACTCCTGACGGGCGAAAACGAGACTTCACAAACCGAAAGCAACGCTCCTTTAAGCGAAAATGAAGAGATATCGATATACCTTCAGAAATGGGCCACAAACTCCCTCCAGCGAATCAGAAAAGATTCAAGCTTCTTTGAGACTCCACTACCAGCCAAAGTGCACGGGATACGGCATAAAATTGAGAAGGAGCATAGAGAAAACAGTATTTACAAGACAGCCAGTTTTGGGTCTCCCAATATGGTCTCCCCGCATCCCATAATTGTCACCAATGCAGGCATTGAGAGTATATTTGACATTCAGCGTGTCATCATCACAATGGCTGACCTGCAAGGGCTGCGGCAACAAGTCGAGCATGCAACAAGCCCAGATCAGATCATTTCTGGCTATTGCTCTATTAGCACTGGATTCGCCCAAGTCATTGTTCAGTTCTCCTGCAAAAGCGAATTGTTGAGGAAGCAGCTGGAAGTCATTGACGGGATCGACTTTCGCGTCATGAAGGAGCAGAACAAAAAGGAGGATAAAAAGCGAGAACACAAGATGACAAGTAAAGTCTTGTTCGAGAAGAAGAAGAAGGATAAGAAGGGTCGCGACGAAAAGAAGAAGAAGAAGGACAAGCGAGAAGATGCCGAACCTGACCCCTCAGTGAACTTCAATGAAGTCGCTGACGAAGGCGAAGCAACGAATGATGCCTCGGGAGAACCCCAAACTCGCGACCTGGACGAAGAGAAGACCATTAACCGCATGATCAAGTTTATCCAGGAAGATGATCTGCGCCTTGTTGCCGGTGAATGGGTCCTTGCGAGATGCTCGGGCGTGGCCAATTCCGACTGGTTCCTCTGTCATCTCGAACTAGGCTCTACACATCCATTCTACGGTTACCGCATACCGACGAGCGAGATTGATTTCAACAACTGCTTCCCCGAGGATGGGCTGGTGGCTGAGTGGAACAGATACATGAACCGCAAGAAGGAGGAAATGTGCAAAATATTGGCGACATTCTTGAAGTCTAAGGAGCATAAGCTCAAGCGGAGAAGGCTTGTGGGTCGCATTATCCGTGATCTTGCACCGCTCGATGAGAAAGCTGAAGAGGAACGTCCAGAAACTCCACGAGGTGGTTTTGAGATGAATGGAGCCAATGGCTTAGAGAGAAGTGAGGCCCACGAGGAACAAGCCAATCCCATTCAACATGAATATGACTACATGGACGACTTTTCTGAACATAGAAACGACGACATGAGAAACGATGCTGGCAGGGAGCCGCAGCCATTCTCAGAGATATACTCTCAAGATTCTGTATCAAGCGTGCAACACGACGACGCATGGTCAGCTCTACCAGACCCCAACTCCCAGTACTCTGCCACAAGCGTCCAAGAACAAGATAGATGGGGTAACCAGGAACTTCGCCCCGAAGACTCCGTATCCAATTACGGAGATCGAGACACGAGACCAAGCCAAGAGCCACCAACCCCATCTTTCGACGACATGACAGTCGTGGGGAAGAATGAAGTGGTGGAAGAAGAAGCAGCAGATGCAGATGAAAAGTCCAAAATCTGGGATTATCTGCCTCTGATTGAAAAGGTGGCTGAAAAGACGGCGAAGCATTATGACAAGCACTTGAGCGCCACTGTGTTGAAGGATACGCCTACGGTTCTGAGGCAGGCGATTGAGAATTTGAATGACAATAGGGATTTTTTGCCGGCCATGTTTCACTCGGCGAAGAAGATTCACATGTTTTAGATGTTGCACGGAGAAATAAATTATGAGGTTTCTTTTCTCTGTATATAGATTAACAGCATATTGCACTCCATAACGATTAGCTCTACAGCTCATTTCTTAAAACTCAGTATCTCGTATTGCCAATCTATTTCTCCTTCCTTTGCAAAAAGCTATATACAACTTCTAATCGTACATAGGTCCAAAGTGATTATAATGATAGAGTCCGGGAGGAGGAGGCGCATAAGGCTTCTCATACGTAGGATCAAAAGCATCCCTCACAACGCCCATGACACGCGCCAAGGTATCCCTGCCAGGCTCAAAGAGATTCTCAGCATCCCGATATAAAAACGCCTCGACTTCTTTGTCAAGCCAAATTGCACGTCCGCGAAGATACTCTGAGCGGCCGTAAGTAACGTCTGGGACCATTATGCCCAATCTGACTCTAGGCGGCACCGGTCGCTTATGCAGCTTCAGAGTGTCGCGCATTGCATTGAGCAGATCATGGTGGTTGTCTTGTTCAAACAGATCCAAAAAGCCCAGCTCAATGGATTGCAGCCCGGGAAGCCGCGAGAGCGTCAATATCAGATCAGCGCTGCGGAGTGGAAAGTTCCACAGCCGGAAATGCTTGAGGTTCGCCCAGCCTTCAATAGGGAGGAACGTTCGCAGCGTTGGAGGCTGGACGATGCGGTCCATATCCCAGTCTGTCTCCATGCTGAAATGCTCTAGCTGCATAGCTTCCGCTATGGCGTTTCGCAGCAGATTGGTGCGGAAGGATGGCCAGCGTATGTTGACATTCTCTTGCCCAGCCACAAGAAGCGAGAGGTGTAGCTTCTTGAAGTTGGGCTGCTGAAGAATAGTCCGAAAGTCATCATACTCTTCGCTTTCTTCATCAAAGAGGCGGCAGCTGAGGCCTGTATGAAGATAATGAGCGTCGACGGAGAATTCGGAGACATGATGGTGCACGTTCTCTTCAGCCAAAGTCTTCGTCACCATATTATAACCGCGCCAAATTGCTTTTTCTTTCTCCCAAGGTTCTGTGATCCTGACGGGATTACTACCGCTCCGAATTGGCCGGCCACCCACGCGGAAGCGGGTAGTTCATTCCCATAGGAATAGAACGAATCAATGGGGTTTGGTAAAGAGGCGAAAAGATAAACCCATGTGTCGCCGGCGTAACGGTGACCGTTCGCAGCGCGGGCAAGTGATGCAGAGCATAGCGAAAAGCCTTGACATCCGCTCCCATAGAAATATTGTTCATTTGATCTTTCTCTAGTTTCAGCCAAAATTGGCTTACATCCTCCACTGTTAGTTTAGCGCCTGCTCGCTGGATTTTCCTCAGGCGTTTAGGAAGGCGTCCAGCGTCGTTGCCAAAACGCCTAATTGATTGTCGGACGTTTTCATTTCTTTCAAGCTGAAGCCAGATCGGATCCGTACTCATGTACATTGAATCTGAATCTGGAAGTGTGTCATAGCTGTCGTCGTCTTCAAGAGGATACCCTAGGAAGGCATCGTCGAAAACAACTTCAACAATGTCAGGCCGATAGACATCGCTTGCGGCAATATCGTAAAAGGTCTGAATGTCAATCGAATATGGGGAAAGAAAGACTCGATTTATGCGCAGCTTGAGAGAGGCAAAGAGTCGACAAGTCAAACGTAGACTTTTGATTGAGCGATTATCCAGATAGCTCACAATATCCTCGACAAGCTCCCAAGGAACTGGTGATTTAGTCGTGGGTTCTATAAGTCTGCCATTAGTTCAGGTTCTAATGTTGACGGAGAGAGAAGAGTCGAGGAACCAATGATACGACAGCTCAGGTTGCGTCCTCGCCATTGGAAAGTACTTACCCCTGCTTTCATCTCTTCCAGCCAAGGCGGCTTGTGGGAGGTTGTCCTCTTCCATGGCCACACAAAATAGTTGGCGGTTAGAGAGAACCGTGAAGCAAAGCTGACTGACAAAGACTTTGTGGTAGAAACGATGTGTGTAGGAATACAAGGCTCTGCGAGCGGGGGAATTTTGAGGGGTTGAACAAACATTATATAGGTATTACTACATGCAGCGCCATGATGCATGCTGATATCCCTTGCATAAAACTGCAGCAAGGCTTTGCAATTCGAGTTAGATTCACGCACACAGCCAATAGACTCAATGCAGCCCGAGTTTCATCTTAATTGGTATTTATCAAGCTTGGAAATGATTGGTGAAAAGCAACAGCCAGATCAGCGTATTACTCATATCAACAGTCTCTGCGCATGTCTGATTCATCCGGCTTACTGACGTTAACTATGCACTCGTTGTGAAATCTTGTTATGCTGCCATATGTCCCAAAACCAACTGGCCATTTTATGTCTGTATTCAATCAAGCCAGTAAGGATCCAACTGCTGCATAAATTCCAGCTCGACGTTGATAAAGCTCTTCCACAGATCAACCTCCCTCAGCCACGGCTTCGTCTGCATAGCAAACGTCACAGCCACACAGTACTTTAACAAATCCGCCACATCCTCGCCCATAACGAGGATCAAATCCGCTCTGCTATACACACGGTCGCCAAACTGCTCCTTCAGCAGTTCCAGCCTCTTGCTTACGGTGTGGTGTACGCTGAACTCGCTGCCAGGCATGTCCTTGGGCACAAACTTCCACTCCCAGGGACGGCCGACGCTGTCGACGAAGCTGTTGCCCTGTCGGTTCTGCAGGCCGACCATGAGAGGATAAAAGTGTGGCGCCGACCAGAGCCGAAGGAGAGCGAAGCGCGCGCCTTGATGCTTGCTTGCAAACGCCTGAGCGTGGGGCAGCAGCGTTGTCCATTTGTCTGGTCCGGCAAAGGAAGGCGGGAATATTTGTGGAAAGTTTTTGTATCGATCCTCGTAGCAGATGAAAAGGTCCAATTCGTCTGGGCGATGAGGTTCTGTCGCTGCCACGGCCACTCCCGGGACGATTTGCGGATCGTTCTGACAGTAGGCTGGGGCGATGATTCCCGCTCGGTACACTGCAATTTGTTAGCAATTACCATAATTAAAGCTCCTAGAGCCGGGTGAAGCAAGCGAGACTAACGTTTAGCTATAGTTGGGCGGATGTTCATGCTCCAGTCGAGAGGGAAAATGTCTGTGAAATATCCTGGACCTTTTAAAACCTCATTCCACCCATCCCAGAATTTCTTATCGCGAAATCTATAGCTTGTCCGGCTCCTTCGATCAGGCTGAGATTTGCATCGTTCTTGTGGACTGAACAAGAGAGAATTTCTAAAGCTTTCGCATTCGTCGGATTTCAAGAATTCTGTCACGTTGGCCGTCACATTTGACTCGGGGAAAAACATGGCCACCATCATGAAGGCCTGGACTAGATCCTGAACAATGAAGGGATGAGGCCATGGAGCAGCTGGATCCTGAGCGTAGTCGTCGTAGTCTGCTCGAATCTGAAGCCAGGCAAGGATTTCGACAAGAAGCAAAACCCAGTCAGTCGATCCGGTATGAGGAGTTTTGAGTATGGCGCCAAGTTTCTCTTGGACTTGGAAGTATTTCTCGTTACTACCTGGTTCGAGATCTCCCTGGTGAAATGGCTCTTTGAATCCTAATTGTAACAATAAGTATTCACAGTTCAACAATATTTGGTTGCGTAATTACTTACCAAAGGACCTGTCACGTTCCATGATTTCCATAAAATCTGCATCTTGCAGTCTATCGGCCAACAGCTGAGCCGGGCTGACGGCGTCAAGGCCAGTGCGACTGAGAAGCTTGCGCTGCTCCACCGAACGAGTCTCCTGGAGAAACTGTCCGAAAGCAGTCTGCCATATCTTTGGAAGGGCCCAAATGCTACCTTCATCGCTGTCCAGCGTTTCTTCAAAGGCGGCGGCGGGGCTTTTACCCTCACGAGCCAACGCCCAGCTTTTTTCGAGCTGTCGGATGCTGCTAGGAAGCTGGGGAGTCTCAATGCGACTAATACCATTTCTAATTTCTCGGAAAGGGACGCTCTTCTTGTTAGAAGTAGCCTCATCTGGAAACAGAATCTCGTCTTCAACAACGTTGGCTTTGCTGTAAAACATGTATGGAGAATCACCCAACTCGTCAGTGGTTCGGGAAGTTATCTCGTCGTTCTGGATATTGAAAAGCCGGAATTGGACTTGCTCGCCCATCACCTGGTCCCAGATACTTTCGACATCTTCGCCCGGCACAATTTTGCGAGTGCGCAGAGTGTCTTTTTCTCTGGTCAATGTGCGCAATAGCGGTTCCATGTGCAAATATAAATCCCGTGGATGTGTAAGGCGCCATGCCATACGAAATTCCTGTTTCAAACGGCATTTATCAGCATACTGCGTTAGTTGCTGTCGTATAGTATTGAACGAAACTTACTGTTATTACAACGTCATACATATCCATCGGCGACTCATCCGGCACAAAGCTCCAAATGAAAACGTCATAGTAGTCCTGGAATCCAAAGCGCCATTCTCTCAAAGAGTCAGTCATATCAAAGTAATCAGGGCCCACCTCTAGAACATTGTCCCATTCGTTCTTTGAAGCCCTGCCAACACCATGTTTCCTACGATACGTCCAGAGGTGTTCATCGGGAGGTGCTGTTATCACGCGGCCAGATTTACCATCCCTTACCAGAACTAGTACCTCTCCGGTCCGCATGGTAAGGTATTGTAGAAACCGCCGGGTGACGGGGTTGCTGCGCTTCATGTGGCCGACAATAATGTTTCTCCCTTCAACTATGTCATGCTGGCGCCGAATCTTGCTCCGGCCACCAACTTGAAGATGGCGGCTGTATTGTTGAGCGTCGAGATCGATAAAGTAAGGGAAAAACTCGAGCTCTTGTAGCTGTTGAATAAGCCTATTGGTGCCCCAGGAAGCCCAGTTGGAAGCAGGGAAATACTGCCAGTGGGTGAGCAGGTTCAAGTCTGAGAATTCGGCCCAGTTCCGGCAAAGCTGAATGGCATGCTTAAGGTCACAGTCTTTGGCTATGATAGAGAACTGTAGCCAGCCATCTCGAGACATTGCCTTTTCGCTGGCATGGTTCCATACACTCTTGCCACAAAGAGTGACTCGGATCTTCTGTGACGAGGATCTGGTGTTCTTGAGAGGCTTTAGCTCGTCGGGGAACAACTTTTCCGGCAGCCAGCTGTCGGTATGGAGGTGTCTGTATCGATCATGGTCAGCCACCATGTTGGCGAAGGTGTCACCATCTTCATCTTCACTATCACTTTCGTCCGATATGTCATCAGCTTCTTCCGCATCATCCCCACGTGCAAAATCGGCGCAAGCATCTCGAATTTGCTGCAGAGAAGGGTCCTCCAACTTTAAGCAGAGGTCTCGCAAATCCGAATCCACTATATCGGCATCATTGAGAAATTCCTCGACGCTGTTGGAACGGAGCGCAGCCGGCAGAAGAGTAGCAATTTGATCTCCCTGATATCCTTGACAGCGGACTCAATCTCATCGCCCGTCATCGGTGCCGTCCTAGTATAGGTCTCATGAGGGTTTTCCAATGATCCTACAAGCTGGAAGCCCCAAATGTTCTCCATTTTCTTGTCGACGCCCTCGCTAAGGCGCTTCCTCATCTCGCGTTCCGTTTCGATTTTTTTCTTGTCCGGAACGTGTTGTTCAGCATTTTTGCTAGCTTTCTTGCCTTCTTGTATGGCCATCAGCCTCTTTTGGCCTCTCTCGGCTATGCTGGCAGCAGCGGAAACACCTATATTGCCAGATTTGGTGCCTCTCTTGGCACTCGACCTTTTCTTTGCTTTCTTAACAGGGGTCTGGCTGTCTTGCGTTGGAGCGGCCTCTATGGAAGTGGCCTCTGTGGAAGTGGCCACAGGATCGGCTGAGGCTTCCTCCTGGTCGCCATCGGTACTGACGACATCCATCCAAAGGAAGTGTTTGATCAAGTCAATGTACTGAGTCCGTTTATCGAGTTCCATGTCTTTGATGGGGTCCCAATCCTCGTCATTGTCAGTCTCATCCGCTGACATAGCCATACGCTCCTGGTAAGCTTGTTCGAGATATGCATCTTGGCTTTTCTTTTCTTCCTCTCGCCTAGCTCGTTCCAGCCTCGCACGCAATTGGTCTCGGTAGCGTTTGAACAAGGAAGCCTCTTGCTTGACTCTTTTCTGCTCCTTCTCGCGAGTTGCTTCCTCCTCTTCCTGGGCCCTGCGTACCCAAGAAAACCATTGTTCTTTTCGATAGAGTAGATCAGCAGTGCGCTTTTCCAATTTCTCGAGAGATTGAAGGATGTTCTGGCGCTGGCTACTGAGCTTATCGATGTATGCTTGGTGCCCATAGTCGACTTGCAGCGAATAGAAGTGCGTATGGTGAAGCCTGCGGGCATCAATTACTTTTCCAATGAGGACATATTTCTCAAACAGATGGGAATGCACTACTCTCAAAGTACTTTCGTCTTCTATGTCCTCAAACGTCTGGCTGGCTAGAGTAATTTTGGCTTTCTTTAGGTAGGGAGGGCTCTCGTCATCCAGCGCATCCAGCGAAGCATTACGCCGTTTGTATCCCCTATAGAGGCCATAGACTTGCTTGGAATGGAACCAGCAAAAGACGCCATTGGCATGTGTAGCCTCTTTGGTGCACTTGCTACCATCGGAAAGGTGCAGCGCCTACTCATTCGTGGCCAATGGTGGCTCATGTTAGCTCGAGATTCGTTTTTCAGTGCTCATTAGCGGGCCAACACTTCCGCACCTGGCATTCAGAGGATTCTTGAGTCATGATGAGCCTTGGACACCGCGTTTATAGCAGGCCTCAGTTACTTGAATCAAAGAGTACAGTTTACAACAAAGGACGGCCACAAGGACATGGCGCAGGTACAGGCCGCAGGCGACTTCTGATCCTGGATTGGCGTCTAGCAGTGGCGTTGGGCGCTGCACTGGATTTTAGGCCAACAATTAGGCGCAATTGGGTGACACTGTGCGTTGGAATCTGGTGAATCTTGCTTCACAGCATGCCGTGAAATAATCACGACCCCTCAGATCAGTGTTAAAACAAGTCACTATCAGCAGGTGACCAAGATGCGCACAGCAAAAAGATGGAACCGACTGTATGGGCCATTTCTCTCCGTAGTGGCAAACGAAACAAAACACTGGACACGGAGAAAAACTGGCTCCAGCGAGTCAGAAAAGCGCCTTTGTACGAACGATTCTCTCTTTTTGCACGGGCTTGTCTCAGCTTTTGGCAGGTGGATGCGTCTCATGTGGGCGGTCATCTCCTATGCTTGCAGACATGCACTTTGGGTGTCCTCCAGGAGAATACCTATGACGATACGTCAGCTCTCTCGCGCTTTGGCGTTTGGAGAACATTTGGAGAATTGCACAAAATGCTACAGAGAAGAAATTGCTTCAACGCTTAACAAAGCCTAAACCCAGCCACGCATCATTGGCAAGACACGCGTATTCAACTGGCATGCGCCAGCCAAAAGATGGCGGGAGGCATGCTGCGCAGTGGCGATAAGATACCGATAAGCCACTGCATTAGTATGTACCTATGTACCTAGTAGTCAATCTCGCCCAGACCGAAGCAAAGATCGACATGGCGGCAAACCATCAGATTCTGCGAGCAACGCTCTCAGAGCTAGTATTTTAGCCAATTGGCCAAAGAAATTCTTGGCATGGCAAAAGCCTAGAACAGGAACAATGAACTCAAAGCAACGGGATCGACAAAGGGCGATCCTTCGTCATAGGCACCTCATGATGGACAACTCGTCATGGGCAGAGGATGCTCCAGAATGGGATGTGATCTCTGGGCTTCTAATCCACATCGCTGAGCCCGGTGGTCTAGGACAGCATCTCAGCATACTATGTATAAACTGAGATTTGTAGGCGTCAAGATACGAAATGGCTTGCCTGGACCAAGGCCTAAAGCTATTGTCCAAGTTGTTGTAGAGCGCCTCGTCGTCACTATCGGTATAGTTTTGCCGAGGCATGTGTATACATTGTAGCAGATGGTGTCTTCCTTTGGCCTTGCATGTCATCACCAACACAAAGTAGCATAGCCGTCGATAAAAAGGTCTCGCCGCTTGTCGCAGAAGAGGGACGAACGTGGACCTTTTGACTAGCTGAATCCACAACCCCATTCTCCACTACCTACAGTGGCCACGGTGGACGATGTTCCAGGAATTCTGCTCTCAAGCTGGACTTGACACTACATACGACCGCTACTGCTACTGCTAGTATCGACAATGCTAACTAAATGGGTGGCCGTCAGGTTGGCTACACATATCCACCAGAGCCTGCGTGTTGTGTCATATCAGTATCGAATAGTAGCAGTCTCTATCATCCAAGAAGACTGAAGATGCGTGTATCCAGGCGTATCCAGGCTAGTGATGTAAGTTCGTGCTGCTACTGGGATTAGTTGGCTGATTCAGTACTTCTGACGAGTCTACGGGAAGCGTACCCCGTACTCTACATGTGATGTATAATCCGCAGAGCTAGGGGTATCAATACTGATGCGCTACTGCTGCTGATAAGTACATGTATGTACTCGCACTATCACGAGCTAAGCACACGTGCCAAATTTTCTCCTCGACGGCCGCTCCCCTCTTTCTGCTGATCGCCCGCCGCCTCTTCTCCTCATCTTTGACTCGTGGGCTGCGCTGTCCGTCGGCATCATGTTGCAACCTCTTCAGCTTCGCCTGCTGCTAGCACGCTCCCACAGATATGTACTTGTATATGCCTCATGTCGGTCGGTGCCATTCCAGAAGCCAACGGTGTTCAAGGGCGCGGAGACGATGTCACAAACAGGCCTCCAATGGCCAAATGGATCAGCGCCGCGGGTCTCTCCCAATCGGCTAACTGCATCCCAGATCTTCCACTTTTCCCAACACAGCGTTGGACGCTAGTCTCCCTGGATCCCCGCAATAGGGATTATCGACTTGAATCCTCGCGAGGGCACGAGTGCATGCATGCGAGCGCTCTCGAGCCTCGGGGTCCAACGGTGAAGAGCTTGAATCAGTAGACGGGTGCGAGAAGACAACGGCCACAGGGAGACTGGCAAGGCTCCCTCCGAATCACAGGCCTCTTGTCCTCATGTCGCACGGCCCGAACCTCGCGAATCTTGAACGCTCGCCTTGCAACGCTCATCTTCCGGGGGCTCTGCTGGTCGCACCTGGATGCGCGAGGCCGGCTAAATTGCGCTCTTGTGTACTGTACTGTACGCCATGAGAGAAACAACGTGAAGCGCCATGTGTGGGAGTGCAAACCCGACTCAGGCGAGTAATCTCCGAGCCTGGCTCAGTGGCCGTGGCAGGCTCGCAGCACACAATCGCCCGCGCCCCAGAGCCATACGCGGCTCCCGCAGAGAGGGACCAGTGCAGCGCCGGTACGCGCGTCAGTTGAACCGACACCGACCATGGCGCCCACGCACGCGGTACCGTCTGGAGGGCACCGCCGAAGCGATATTCGCTTTCCAAGCACGCTGATGACGAGTGAGGTGAGGCTGCGCGCTGTGCCAAGCAGCGTCAGGCCCAGGCCGGCAAGAGGCTGCGAGTTGGGCTTTGATCACTGCGCACGAGATACACGTATAACTCACCAAGCCTTTTGGAGGCCGTGTTGCAGCACGTTTTGCAGCAGGGCTGGCAGCCAGTGGGGGTTAGGGGCCGGGGGCACGGCCGTGATTAATCTGAGATCGGCTAGGCGCTGCTGCTAGTTTTGGCGCGTACCTGACTTAGTCTTAACGCGCACGCCCAAATACGCTTCTGAGGGCTGTTGGGGCCCACCGTCCCCCTAGGCCTGGACCCCCTAGAAGCTCGCATCGCATCCCTGGCTCGGCGTTACCCCTGGCGGCCAATCAGCGGCGCCAGCGCTGACCTTCTAGTCCTCGCAGAGTCGTAGCCACGGGGGCGGGCAGGCTATTCGCAGTAGCCGTGCCCCAGCCGCTGCTGGACCCATGCCTGTGCTTTTGCCTTTGATTGAGATTAAAAACCTGCTGCGGGAGCCAAAACATTAATCCATTCCCCAGGTCCCTCTTTGCAAGTACTCGCCTGCTGCATTCACCCTCAAACTCCATCCCACAGCAATTCCGGCGGCTGGCCTCCAGAATCCCAAACACCAGCATGTCCTTTGACGAAGAGCGCCAGGACGGCGGCGACCCTCCCTCGTCCTGCCAGCGATGGTCGATGAAGTATCTGAGGCTGCCGAGGCTGACCAAGATGGCCGTCTTCCTGCTTCTGGTGGTTGACCTGGCCATCGTGGGAATGCTTGTTTACACACTCGAGCCTCTCATCACTCTCCTGCGCAGAAACGAGGAGTTGTTTACGCCCACAGTCACCCTGCCTCTCAACGGCACCGCGAGCGCGTCGTCCTACTCTGGCGATCTGAGCCGGCAAAAGATTCCTCGCATTCTGCACCAGACCACCAAGAACAGCACGATTCCCGAGAAATGGATCAAATCGCAGCAGAGCTGCATGGAAACCTATTCGGACTTTGAGTACAAGGTGAGTCAGGACAGGACTGGACAGGACAGGACTGGATAGGACAGGACAGGATGGGCTACCAAATGGTAGAAAGGCGCGGTTCTCTCCCGACCGCCCTCCCTCTTTCACCCGACACGATTGTAGACTGTTTGGACTCGTCACTAACTGCAATTTGCTTAGCTGTGGACCGACGAGTTGGCTCGCGACTTCATCTCTTCCGAATATCCTTGGTTCGTGGACAACTGGGACGGCTACGCATTCCCCATCCAGCGCGCCGATGCCATCCGCTACTTCGTTCTGCACCACTATGGAGGCATCTACCTCGACATGGACACCTTCTGCAACGAGCCCATCCCTCTTGAGCAGCTCGAGGCTGGCCCGTCGCCCCATTACGCTCTCTTCAAGTCAACGCTGCCAACCGGTGTCACCAATGATTTTATGATTTCGACCGCACGACACCCCGCTTACGCAGCCGCCGTCTCCAAGCTGCCATTCTTTTACGACATCACCCGATTTTGGGCTGAAATCCAGCCCTATGCCAACATTATGATGTCTTCTGGCCCGCTGTTCCTCAGTCTCGTGGTCAAAGACTACTTGCTTGGGCAGCCCTCTTTGCCTTCGCCGACGGTAGAGGTCATCCATCCTTCTGAACTGGAGTCGTACATTACCGATCTCGAGAGTGCTACATGGCACAAGGCAGACGCTCATGCCTTGATGTGGCTAGGAACTCGACCATGGACTTGGTTCTTGGGTGGAGCGATAGCGCTACTCGCCATTTTGTACTTGATCAACTACTTGCTGCTGATAACCTGTGAAGCTTTTCTTCGCAAGGTTCCCTCCATCACGTATGCCATCAAAGAGAGCAAGTTGGCATAAGGCGGGGATTGCTTTTTGTTTTGAGTATATTCGTGTACATATACATCTTGGCGATACTGGTTGCATCTTTTCACACTGAGAATCAAATGGGTCTGATTTACGACATGGAGTATATTTTGGGGGGCAATCAAGGACGGTGCTACGGAATAACGATCAAGATCTGCGAAACACTCAATAGGAGTCGGATCATATTATACTACCTAATTCAATGACAAAATTTCAAGCATAACAGAAACTCGTTGCCAGTATGCCGTGGCTGTGAAAAGGCAGGGGAAAGGAGAGCTACAGGACTATACAGTAGTCGTGATGACGACTCGGATGTTTCAGTCTTGACAGCAGCGGGCCGCCATGTATGAAACGGGTGACAAAACTCATTGGACCGCATACATTTAGGTTTGCTTACGTCGAGGGGGCCACTTTCGTGTACGCTAGGTGAGGCAGTGAGATGCATCACCTTATCTCCGCTGATTGTAACCCCTGAGAACTGCTGCTGCGTGCTGGATATCAGTTCACAATCAAACATGAAGATTCAGGACAGTGTACTCGGCCTGAGACGACATGGCGTGGTAGTTGAGCTCCTCAAGACTTGCTCTCTAATGAGCCATAATGGGGATATCTTTAGCCAGGCATTCTTAGAACCCGGTATACATTGTTCCATTACCCAACCGGAACTGAGCTTGAAACCCGAAGTCCGTGCTTGAATCGTATTCCAATAGCGGTATCCGCGCTTACACTGTGATTGGTCATTTGCATCAGCCTATAGGGGTCTAAGGGTTTCTATGCATAGGTAAACCCTTGATGAGTATGCTTCATCTTGAGAATAGGATAGCGTGTTGGAAGATATTTGGACGGGGATGTTCAACACATAACGTGATGCTGACTGCGAATTGCTATTTCAGTAGGACCAGGTTGTTGGCATTTTTGGGCCCTTTACCTAATCGATATTTAATTGGAGTTGCTGCTACATTCGACCTAAATATCTTAATCCTAAGCTTGTGAGAGTATCGCAGCCAGGCTTCACTGCAACATATTCCCCTACTGACAGGACACTCTGCACAAGATAGGCATATTCAACTTATAGAGGTGCAGCAGCCACATTTCTCACCCATGATCCATGTCATCATTGCCGGCTTGGCGTTCGGTCCTAGTGGTGCTTGGCGATGGCAGTGTGGGCATCATTGTTGTTATACCAGATGGCGCTAAACCGATGATTGAAGAATAGGCTTGAAGCATAGACCTTCCTGCATGTACCCTCTTGGACGTATTAGATTGTTAGCTGGTGTGGCTGTGCGAATGGCATGGCGTCTTGTGCACCCAATCTTGGGAATAATGCCAGGAGCCAAAATTGGCAATTATCATGTACATTATCAGTGATGTAGCAGAAGAGAACTTTATTCAGATGGCCAAGTCGCCAATGTCGTTATCAAAATTCACACAGCGTGGCATTTTATGCTACTTATAATTTCATTTCGTGTAACATTTAATTCGGGCTATGATATATACCATCTCCTAAATTTCTCCTCATATCTTTCCAATTGTATTTCTTCAGCGATACGAATCGTCGAGTATTATCAATCGATGCAATAAAGACTCCTTCTGTTGAAGAGACACAAGCATAATACATTTCCATAGCATAAGACCAAATTACTGAGGCTTCGAGTAAGTCACCTCAGGCTCGCCAGTCCCTTTCCAATGGAGTTAGTCATGGCATCAAACTCGGCATGTTTGACTGGCAACTCTTACAGAAACGGCGACGCTCATTGCATCCTGGTGTTCCACAAGCAGATTCCTCAAAGCAGCACTCTCCATTTGAGCACTCGAAGTTGCAGTTCTGGGGCATGGCGGTGACGGCTGCAAAGAGGGCAGCAAGAGCAAAGAGAACCTTCATGATGGAAGTAATAAAGTCGTTTTTGTTATTTGAAAATATTAGGCGAGTTATTTGTCAAGGCTTGAATCGTGAGGGTAATCAGTGAATAGTTCTTAGCAACAGAGAAGAGAGAAACTTCATATTTATAGTTCAACATCGGCCTCAGCAGTAACCCGACGAAGCCGACGAAGCATCTTCACATTCTTTGCCTATATCGGCACGCGGCATCAATATACAAGGTTGTACATATATTCCAGCCAGGGTCCGGACATATTATTCCTGCAAAACAATGTCAGCCAGTTCCCCGCGACAAATACATTTTTCCTGTAGCGGACTAGTTCTTACCAATATATGTTTTTACTGGTCAGGATCATCGAGCATGAGTTGAACCTACCGCATATACGACAAATGTCCTATTTCTATTAAGGCAGGTCTACCTATTCGTGAGCAAACTCAATCACAAATCCCCGCGGGGAGGATACGACCGATATTCCCCTCGCGATGGGCCGAGACCCCGTCTTCGATTAGCAATGCTTACTATTGCTTGAAATGCCGATAAGCCGATGAATATAGGCACCTCTATATACTCCGTCTAGATTTATGATTATATATAGATGAAAGATTCCTGGCCCTCTCGTATTGACCAAGATGGCGATGGCAACACTTGCGAATCGATATCGCTACCGTGTTAGCATAAGTCAACCTGATCCTGAATGCCATCGGGGCTTTGCCACATTACCGACTTCGATCGTTCCGTACATCCGTCGGGATTGATCACGATCCGGTCTCATATTCACATCCGCACTCATTTATACTCCTGCGCCCGCAGTCATGGAACTAACGGCCAGGGGCAATATTGCCTAAAAGCTGCGGGCAAAAGTCGTTAACATTGCACCAATAGTATACTATGCTCTAGAAGAGAAAAGGAATGTCGTTTTACTTGGACTAAAAGTAGCCTAGGTCATCAAAATGGTATATAAGTGCGATGGCGAATAATAAGTAAACTGTTCACGCGAGCATAGCAGTACCATTAAGAACCCCGGCGAATATTGGATACAACGAAGTAATGACTTGGCGGCAGTATTCATTCCATGTACCACGATAAAAGGGCGAGAATCATATGATGACCTGTGCTCTCGTATTGCCTGAGGACTCTCTTCTCATATCGCCAATATAGGCAACCAATTTCGCATGTAGTGGCAGCTAACAGATAGGCAAGACATATAGAAACTATAGAGTGAACTTGTATAGAAGTAACTGGGCATGTTTTATCTTAGATAAAGTAGAAGACAAAAGAATCACGAGATGAAATCGTAGCTTCTGGTAGAATCACCACCAATTACATTAGTCATTGTGTGGGCGAGGGAGGAAGCTATCGTAGCTCACTTGCGTTGAGAAACATTAGCTTATGTGATTCTCTAATGGACCATACCTTAGTTAATCGACAATGCTTAGTGTTGAACAACAACACTGAATAATTGAGAAACAGGTCGAGGTATGTAATGGCGCTCTTCAGCCTTGTTAGCATGCGCCAAGATATAGAAAGACGATAGAAAGTAACATAAATGCCGAGACTTCCAATCCTATAAAACCACCAATACTCTCAGAGCTTAGCTTGCGGGCATATGTTTACGTAGCGTGGGCACTTATGGTTCATCCGACAGAAGCATCGACAATCGCCGTCACATCGACAGCGATCTTGCTTTTCTTTGCACTTTCCAAATTGATTGTACCTTCCAAGTCAGGAAAACACCTTGACCAAGTTAATCTCGACTATCAGCTGCAATACGCCTCTCTTCGCTCAAGATCCATCCATCATTTTCGTCTTCTAGTATCATATTCCTTCAAGTGACCACAACGTAATGATTACATTGGATATATATCTATACTAATTTCTTGATATTGCTTAGTAATTCGTTAAGGTATTTGTAAAACGCGCTTATCTAGAGCTAAGAAGCTGCATTTAAGTGATACGCTCACTAAGAAACTGATGCTAGGTGATATCACAGTATACAAAGGCTCAGCGAAAAATAGCAATACAGGGTAAGTGATAACATATTGGCCTAATGCAAACAAATATTCTCCTCACGAATTCTTTTTTAAATACATTTTACATTATTCATTGTTCGAATGAAAAAAAATTCAACATACCTAGCTTCATATTAGAGTAAGTCGAAAAATGTCAACGGGGCAGCGACCTTGGTCTGATGGCGGAAACCGCTTATGAATGTGACCAAGTGTTGTCAGAACATTTTTTAAAAAGCAATTAAAATAGATAGCATTGGATGGTTTAGTGAATACGCATCTAGGACTATCATTTTAGGATGATAGTTTCTCTTCCAGTTGTTAATGTGCAAGGGCTAATCCTCAGCCCTCACCGAAAACTAATCAACAATATAGTGTTCAGCACTTGAACGCTGCAAAGAGCCCACTCAGCCATATAGCCGTTGGCGGCGAGCTTCATCGAGCCCATCAAGACAATGTGACAAACAATTCCAGCTGCAATTCCCCTTCCTGCTCCTCCAAGCAATCGAAGCGCCAGGTATGCCCCGGGAAAGAACAAAAGCCAGGTTGTCACAAGACCGGGGTTATAAGCTAGCCCATCCATCAATGAGGGTATTACGTGCGTTAGTCCGTTTATGAAAGCAAATCCGTAAAAGCTTCTGGCTACGTGAATTCTCGTGCGAGCAAAGATTGCAGTCACCCACACTGTTGTACTGTTGACAAAGAGTACGACCAGTGGCGTTAAAGGACACTCCTCGATGTTCTCGAAGCCCTAATTTTGCACATGGATTTGTAAGTATGTATTTCCGGCAATAGAGGTCTTGGGCATGAAATGAAATAGAGGGAAAGGAGCTCTTACAAGATGATCACAGAAATGGGATCGAAACGCGTACCGCCTCCCCATGAAATCATAACCATGCTCTTCGAATTGATGCAATAAGTAAATGGGTAACGCAGCTCTCATCCACCAAGATTGATCGTTGATTAGTGACTTCCAAGGAGATTGCCGCCTTGTATGAGCACCCAGAGAATATTCTTGTGGCTTACAGAGCTCCAGTATTACAGGAACGCCTGCAACCAAGCCAATGAATGGCCAAATTAAGAGAAGATCCATCGCACAATGAAATAAAATATATATCGTGTACAGGATGGAATAGAAAGAAACTGGTTGGAAACTCGCTAAATAGTCTTTGTATATTGCCCAACGCTCCTATTTATGCATGGTATATGAAGACGTTGAGTGAGAGTTGTTGCTATAAATAATGAAGGATCAAAGATATGTAGTCAGCACTAGACAAACGTTTTTTACAAATCTCATGAAACGAATCCAAGAAGTTACCATGTGAGGTACAGCATTGACAATAACCAATCCTGACAAACTTAAAATTCCTAGTTGATGGTTTCGGTAACGTCTTCTTTTCCAAGCCATATGGGAAGAGGTGTTTGTCCACTTTCGACCGATTTTAGGCGATATTCATTCAGGGCGTCATACTTTAGCAGCGCTCCAAGCAATTCGATCCGAATTTGTGCGAACATCATTCTTCCCATGCAGCCGCATTTTATCTCGTATCTGCAGTCGTCGCATACTGTTACAAAATATGGCAAGGTGCTTGCCAGATTATTAAACATATCATTTACGACGCTGATATCATAAACCTAGCGCGCGGTTATCCATTTGGACCATAATCTTAAGCTAAGGACTGCTTATCTCTAGTTTGCGACAGCGAATGCCATCAGATTTGCGCATCTCAGTCGTACCAACATAAACCGATTAATCACTTAGATGCTCATGCTATCATAGTGAATATAATTCATCAGTTATAAACTCCAAACAGCTACTTATAAGCAGCCTGAACTTCTGAGGGATTGGAGCTGAGGAACAACCAAACGCCAATCGATTCACCATGGCAGACGCCATGAGAGAAAATCTCATGTTCAAAAGAACGTGCGCACTTAATAGATCAAGGGCTTAATTTATTTACTGAATATCCATTTCCTACAATAACTTTTCGACCGTCTTATTCAGGTCTCTAATACTTGCACGAGCGTCGCCGTCAGCAGCTGGAACAACGAAACAGTGGGTAAGGGCTGACACCTGTAATGATTCAATCATTTTGTTTAGCTCAAGTAGTACCCATATATGTATTCCATCCATTAGCGGTAATAGACATTAGCGGTAATAGAAATCTCATTATCCATAACCAGGATGGCTATAACACAAACATCAACTTTTCTTCATAAGAGTGAAGGAGCCTCCCGATTTGTTCATACAGTGCAAATAAACGAATATGCGGCATCTCTGTTCAAGCTGTGTTGGCTATTGCGTTGGCTGCAGTAGTTCGCACAAGTCACCAACGAGACTCAGGGTCAGCTCGGAATGATATGGCTACTTAGCTATGCTGCACCCGATCAAGAGACACATGATGCCGTGAACGCGGCAGACAGGTTGTTTAACAATGCTGTGGCCACTTGGACCAGCCGAACAGATCTCTTTGCACTTTTGCGAGCAGCCGCTGGTAAAGACGAAGAACTGGACCCAGAATCAAGACTTTGGATCCAGTCTAAGCTACGCGATTTTATTTCTGCTGGCCATGGCTTGGCCGATGAGAAGACCATCAAGCAACATCTGAGTAAAAGATCCGTTATTGACCAACTGCGGAAGCAGTATAATAATAACTTGAGAAACAATAACGCTGGCTTGTGGATTGACGAAGCGGATTTGATCGGCATCCCAGAATCTGACATGAAGAGCTGGACCGAATACAACGGCAAGCGATTTGTTCCTTTTGCAAACGGTGGCTACAAAACAGCAATGGCTCGAGCTCATAAAGCAAAAACGCGCGAAAGAATGTATCTAGCGGAGGAGGCAAAAGTTCCAGCCAACGTGGACATTCTTCGAAGCATCATTAGCATGCGAGATGCTCAAGCGAGGCTGCTAGGATTTGACAATCACGGATCATTCCGTATCCAAAACCGTGCCATCAAATCCACAGAGTACGTTCAGAAGTTTCTCGAACAGCTAAGGCAATCGCTAGTGCCCCATGGAAGAGATGAACTACAGATTTTGCGACAAGTCCGTGATGAGCATCGTCTTCTGATTGAGAATGTTGCAAATGACGATGGTTTCACCGAAGATGATCGGTTCTATCCCTGGGACCTTGAATACTACAAGCGCATACACAGCTTGCGGTCACAAATTGACGACACAGAAATATCGCAGTTATTTCCCTTGGAGCACACTGTTCTAGCAATGCTGCGGCTTTTTGAGTCCTTTCTTGGTCTCAAGTTCACACAGATTTCCTCGGACCACTTGGACCCAGCGTGGATATGGCATGAAGACGTCCAAATTTGGGAAGCTTGGGATAATAAAGAAGGAGAGTTTATTGGATTTCTCTATCTCGATATCCTATGGCGCGAAAACAAGTATAAGGGTTCGCAAAATGTTAATATTAAAAGTGTAAGAGAACGTCCAATGTAGCCAAGCGTTCTATGACAGTTAATATCAATCTCAGGGATATTTGAAACCAGACAGCACTCGAAACTTTCCAGCTACGGTGCTTATGTGTAGCTTTCCACGTTCAAATGAGTCTAATTGCGTGCTACTAAAGCACCGAGAGGTGGTAACATTATTTCATGGTATGATGGTACACTTGATACATGATCATGAGACATTCAGAGAGTAACATACTGCTTATACAGAACTCGGCCACGGAATGCACGACCTAATCTCTCGTACTCAATTCTCACGATTTCATTTCCCGTAGATTTCGGAGAGATGCCAAGCACATTATTGGAGAATTGGTGCTGGGATCGCGAGGTTTTGAAGCACCTCAGCTGCCATTATACCCTTCTCAGCGAACAGTACTTATCTGAGTGGCATGAAAGGTACCCCGATGCACCAGATCCACCTGCTCAGATACCAGATGATCTACTAGAAACTATCGCCAAGACCAGGAATACAAATCGTGGTCTCAGGCTGTTGCACATCCTGTGAGTCTGTTGTTTATTTATACACTTCGATGATTCAAAGTACATATCTCTAATCTTACAGGGTTGTTTCAATTTTTGACCTCAAAATCCACACTCCTCAGACGCACGAAGAGATAGAACAAGTCGACTTGGGCAAGCTCTGGTATGGCCTGCGAGAAGAGATCGAAGGCTTAGATATGACTCGTTCACGGGCCGTTGGCCATGAACAAGCGATATTCGGCCACCTCTTGAGCGGATATGATGTGGGATACTATGGCTATCTAAGGTAATTTTTCCCAAGCTCAATTCTTGATGAGTCGCCATTATGAGAATTAACATGACTACTTGCTAGCTGTCTAGCATACGCCCAGGATGTCTTTCAAGAATACTTTGCAAAGGATCTGCACAACCGAGACGCGTGGGATCATTTCCGTTACGAAATCCTGGAATACGGAGGAAGTCATCCAGATCAGCTCCAAATGCTCCAAGAGTATTTAGGACGAGAGCCAAACTATAGCGCTTTACAGGAAAGCCTATTACTGTAGCGCACTTATAATTGACTCAATATCATGTTCAAATCTATAGAACGCTGCGGAAAAGGATAAGGGAAAAGGGTAAGCATTCAAGGTGTCTCAAGGGGAGGATATTGTATTGCTAAGATTGCTCAGTGTGCAACATTTGCTATTCAGTTGTTGCAGCCGGCCCTGGATACTGTTGCATACCAAGCGCTACGCACTCACCTCTTCATGGTCGCGTAAACGAAGCAACAATAACGACGACGATAAAGAAGATGCAGTCCTCTCCTAACATTTACTCTGCAGTTTTAGAAAATATATACATATATATAGTAAGCTCAAAGGATACAGCAAAGGTAGATGGATAATTGTCACAATGCTCAAGATGAATCAACGATTTAGCTATATATGAAACAGCGTAGAATGGGTACGGTTTGCCAACTGAGCTCTGGCAACATAGTATTAATATGCCCTGCCTAATAATCTTGGCTCCAAAGGCTAAGCGAAAAGAATACAGATCAATTGAATCATAAATCACTTTACAAGTGATACGTCCCAATCCACAGCGCACCATGAACGACTGTATTCCCTGCTTTACTTCTACTACCTACCTATCTAAGCCATGTAGGCTATGCGTTCGTATGTGGTACCCGTCTCTCATGGGATATCAAAATAGCAGGCCTTCTGCGAAAATTTTTATTTACAAAGTGTGTCAGCACAGCGGGACGCGGGGGATATCAGAAGGCCGTTCTTGCGTGAGAGCGGTTTCCAAATCCAAATCTTGAGTCCTCCACAAGCGGAGATGCTCCACTGGGTGCCGAGGCATGCCAAAGGTTTCATCGGGCGTGAGAATCAGCAGTCAACTTTCGAACTGCACGTCAAGATACTTTATGTAAGTAAGGTTATTTAAATTTGTCCCGGGAGTTCGGGCAATGATGCAGCGAGCAGGTTACATCACCAAACACGACGAATAAAGCCCACATCGGTGCATTTTTCGACGCTCTTTATGGATTAGCATTGCCAATAGGGCAGTTACGGACTACCTATTAGCAGCAGTAGTATCAAGTAACTGTACCTGTAACACGCAGCGTTATCTTAAACGTGGAGACGCAGCACTGCATAGGGCTGACGGCCGCCCGTCTGTTCAGTATGGTCATAAGTTACATAACGGCTAGCCGCTCATGAGAGCCGCACAAAGTCGTCCGTAGTTGTATACATGTCCGGCCAGCAATAGTATAAGATCGGCGAGTCGCGTCCCGTATCACATCTCGCCCTTCCCTTGACAGACTCGACTGAAGTGAATCTCACGTGTTATGGAGACTTGCTGGTTGCGTTCAGCGCGCGGGTTGGCCCATTTCGAAGGGCCGAATTTAGCAAGTCGGCAACTATATCCGTTTTCTCAGCTCGTGAGTTTCCTGTTCAGAAACAGATCATGTCTGAGAAAGGCTACTGCTATTGCCTTGACATCTTTAAAAAGAAATGTGACGCATACTGCGCTCAGAGAGTACAGTTCGAGCTGGTAAAAAAAGGCAAAGGGAAAAAAGCAAGGATGCCCACTCATGAAGCGGCAATTTCAGTGATCTGCCCACAAATAACCGTCCCGTTGGCGGAGTGTGTTCTATTTGGAATAGTATCGGCTCCCAGTAAGCAGCTTAAAAATAAGGAAAAATAAAAGGGCTTTTACTGTAATAGCCAAGTTTAATCATGACGTTTGTACTTTTCAAAGGCGATGTGCTTTACTTTGGAAGAGAATGTTAGGTGTAGAAGTTTTCGCATCGCGGTCTCTCCGTGGAATTATGGGGGAAGCTGAATTTCTGCACGTACCACTGTCGAGCAAGTACATTTCGTGTTCCCTTAGCCGCTTCAGCCGAATAGGTATTCGTGGAGAAGGATAAACTTAGGCCTATCTATATTCGCCGCGGAGATCGCAGATCCCTTTAGCAAACGGTTACCGCCACAAGTATATTATTGCTACGGCCCCAAGAATAGCCCTGCCTGCCGCATACAAGGCTCTGCCTTCGTCATGTCCTTACAGGAGAACGGCCCGGTCTCAATAACTGATAGTGGGCCGTTTGCGAGTTACGACTGAGGCTGCCGCCGCAGGTGATATTTCCGCCACCCAGCAAGCACTTGATGCCTGCAGCAACGGCCTCGCCAACACACAACCTTGTATCAATTATACGCATACTCACACCCTTCCCAAGATCACGACTGTGGGGGCGTTCCACGGAGCATGCAACCCGTGCCCTAGAATAGGCATAGTGCCCATGGACTTGATCATCACATGGCTGAGTTGGGAGATACCGAGAGCCAGTTTTCGCTGACCGAATTGGATCCCGCAGGTTTTGGGGGCCCAGAGAAGGGTGGAAGGATATTGCCTAGCAGTGCAAAAGGATTACGAAGTACAGCAGCCTCCAACGGAATCTTCCCGTGACTCAACCAACATGTGCAAGCGGGCCAGTAGAAACGACGCAAAGGAGAAAGGAGGCGGAGAAGAGGCGTGAGCTAGGAGGATCGTCCTTTAGGCGGTCTTTGTTGGTCGACACGGAATAGTCTAATACTTTGGCCCAGGCTACACCCTGCGAGTCTTCGTCTGTATTCCAGCAGGCCATCCCTTTCGCCGGATCGCCACAGAGGGCTACACAGCACGAATTACGGAGTAATGTATGACCTGCTCACGGAGTATTACAGCTTACGAAAGCTGGGATTCAACTAATCACCTCATAAGCGACAAGCGAACCAAGGGTGGCATGCGGGAAGATGCTGGTTCGGAGGTCTTTATACCGCCGAGAGCCTGTTTTAAAGTATGTTGACCCCAGAATATTTAAAATGGAATTTATTTTTAATCGATTACAACCAGGAACAAATAATGACGCGTTATTACAATAGGGATAACAAGTGGCAGTAAGACATCTATTCGTGCAAAATTATCTCACCGTTGGTCGTGCACGGCCACTATCACTCAGCCATGGACTCACCTACACATGAGCGTCTAGGCCAGCATGGTAACTGTTTCCGATGTGGCTGTTTCCTCGGTAATTGATACAATTCTCCAAATGCATGTTCAAAATGTTGATCAATTGCACATGCCTGCCACTTTAGCATCCGATCTTGGGACATGTGTAGGCCACAACACAGGCGTTGAGAGTTATAACGTGAGCTCTATTTGCTGTGCTAAATTCTTTCAACATCCCTAGTTAGTTTTAGAAAAGTTATATATTGCAAATTGGACAAGACTTTATGTAATTGAAAGGCATTCTTTGCTGCGTGTGAGGAAGGAAAAGATGAATAGTGTTCATTTCTGAGATCAAGAGAGCGTTCGTCAAGAGGGGGGGGAATAGTTCTACGTAGTCAATTATGGATAATTAAACTTCTCCAAAGTAGCTTTGTAAGTCCTAGCCCCCCAACGATCCAAGCCAATTCCTTCGGCTTGGCGTTTCTACAGCAGAGTTCTCGTAATCATCTTTGCCATAGATGAACTACGTGCGAATCATGCCATCTGAAGAGAGGAAAACTCAAAAGACTAAGATTTAGTACAAGCTCTTCTCGAGAATAGGCATTTGAATAAAGTGATTATCAATTATTAGTATATACTTTACTCTCTGGCGACAGGTTGTCATACTACACCAAGTCATCGATCCTTTTTTCTCACCGTCCACCAATTCTTGGCAGTGGAGTTAGAAACGCTTCAATTTTGTCATAAAATCCTCGATAGTAGCTATCATAAAGACTATTATCTAAAGAAATTTCCGATCATTGCCAAGTTTCGCGTAGCCCTTCAAATCGATCTTCACTGCGGCCTCTTAACCTACAAGGTATTATACAAACCCGTTCAGCCTCATTTGGGCTTCTTTGCAGTAGAGACTGCCGTAGCTGAATGGAACACAAAAAAAATCTCGTGAGATATGATGTAGGAGGATAATTATTTTGAACGATATGAGTAGCACGCCAAACGATGTATGAGTTCGGGCGTCTATGCTCAGCGCTATATATCTCGGTTGAAGGTGATTAGCTTAAAGCTTAGGAGCATTCGCGCAACGATATCCTAGATATGAAGAAAATCGAGAGGCCATCTAAATGTCCAAACTTAGCTATGTAAGGCTTGCTCTATGTTTGCAGGACTCAAGTTCCAAGCATGCGTTGGCAGGGTGCTTCAGGATCTAGTGGAATCTAAAGACAACCAAGTTGCTATCAATGCAAATGGACATATTCAGTCTCGCTAGTTAAGTCTCGAGGATCATAAAGCTATCTGGAACAAAGAAAGGAAATGAAAACATATATAATATATGCAGATTCACCGGCGCAGGATGAATTGACTCTATACTTCCTCGGTGATTCCAAGCCAGGATTTTGTAACATGGCAATAATTGACTGCATATCTGATCATTTACAAAAGCATTGGAACGATATCTAGAAAGTCTACTGATATCTAGGGCATCAAAGAGCTATATAGACGCATCATCAACTGAAAGTACAAGACCAACCAAAACATGTTTAAACTACATCTACAGAGTACACGACATAGAATTGCCACAACACCAGATCCTGCGCATTGTCGTCAATACGCCCATTCTCACTTTCACATGCTGGAGCTGTTTCATCCTGCTTCCCAAAGCACATGCTAGCCTATTTATTAACTTGCCTTGATCTGATATATGTTTAGAGGAAGCTGCGCAAATTTTCCTTGGTAGAAATACATGCCATCCGCCCGATTTCTATAGACGTTGACCCGGATCAAGAACTGCAGTCTATATCGCATTCTCTACATTCTCACGCCCAATTGTAAACATATTCCCTCCGTCTATCCCGGCGAAAACCAAGACTGCCGCACATGATGTTTGCGTCTTTACATGAACTTGCACCGATCGACCAACCACCGGTTGCCACCACGACTACCGCATATCTTGGCCAACCTTGGTTGCGGATTCTAAAGAAAGTCCCTCCACTACTTACCACAATCAGGCAAGTAGCTGCCAAAGATAGCTAGGTAGTGAAACACTTTATATGTGAGGACCCTCAAAGTCGAAATTTTTCTGCAAGCTGCACAGGAATACGGCACTTGTTTGCTCGTATACAAGTATGGGGTGCATGTACGGTAACAGTAAGTAATAGGCTACTGTATGCATGCACACGTCAATCTGCATCTACAAGGGTCTCTGCATGACGCTTCCATTCTTACCGCCATGTCAAAGGCGAGAGCCATCTGCATAGCTGTTTTTGGCAGCCCGCTTGCTGCATCCAACTCGAAACTAACCCCAAGCGAAGTTTGATGTCAATGCCGACTTCTTCTTTGGCAAAAATTTTCGTTCCCTCTTTGCCGGACAGTATGACTCGTTGGAGCCTTTGCGCCGTATTAGTATACACACGCCGGCTTACGGAAGCTCTCTCTCTTCTGCTCAAGATTAGCGGACTTCCTGAGCTGTTAAATCGGTCATACTATGCATGTACACTACCTACTCCCAGCAATAGGGCTGGTGCTGCCGCCCATCCATACCTTGAACGTCCTACAAATCTTTCAAGAAACTTCCCGTCGGCAAGTCGTATCGGCAAATTCGACCTTTCTGCGATAGTGTACGGCCCCCGTTAGTAAGATTTCGAGAAAGCACGGAGCACGCTGAACAAGACAATAAGTGATTTGTTTGCGCTCGCTCACCATATTGCCCGCTCCAGACAAGCTGCTGGCAACATGTTAAATTTGGCCGTGTAAAATTGCCACTCGCCTGTGAATGCAGGCCCTATTTCTATAGAAATACTCCACCGTCGGAGGGTTTCCTTGTAAGGCGTACTATTATACACGATCTCGGCTCCCAGAGACGCAATTCTAGATTGATGACGGCGGCTATTCCAGAGCATTCCCCATGACAGACGGCATCTTTACTTTGTATACAAGCTTTCCAGAGAGCGATCAGCGGCAGCACAAGACTCTCTTCTCTGCAAACAAAGAAGCTTGGAAAGAGAGAGAAAATGAAGATACAGTACGTCGGGGTGCCAAACGCCGCAAGTCCTCCGCAAGTCTTCCGCAAGCTATTGTTCGGGCCGCTGGTGCATTCGGTCTGCTGCTTGTTCAGATACGACGCCATGTCCCCGGTCTCGGTCCAAAGCCGACGACGAGTTTTCAGGCGGTGCTACTTACTGTATTTCTTCCACCGCTGCCAATAAGACTCGGCAAGACCTTCTGCTTGCTATACTGGGATCTCCGCCGCCCGCGCGCCGTCCCGTCGTCGTGGTGCTGAGACCCAAACGCAGCCAATGGGCCGGGATCTGCCATCAGCGCCTCTGCAAAGGCGTCAACCACTGGTGGGCTTTGGAGGCTGTCACGAGGGAAAGGCAATCCGCAGAAACAAACCCATCAGGGTGCATACTATCAGCCACGGCTCACCGATAAGAAGTCGGCGCCTATCCACTGCCTTGTTGCGGCTTGGTGGCGTGTGGCCGTCGATTTAGGCCGCGAGGATAGAATCCCTCCCCCCAGGACGTTGTCCGCACGACCGACGCTAGAGGCTTGGAAATCTTCAGTAGCTACATGATGGCGATAGGTACAAGGAGAGCGAGGCAGAAGAGAGAGAGACAGGCACAGGCTTGACAGCTTAGCCGTTTCTTCTGTGCCTCAAGCGCAGGCTATTGGCCAAGTGTCTGGAGCTGTCCTGTCAACAAGTGGAGAGCAGCTCTGCTCGGTCGTAAGACTCGGCCGCTACCAGGGGCTAAGCACCTTAGCATCGACAAGGGAAATGCTCTTGTTTGCCTGAGCGAAATAGCGGTGCGAGGCCCGTTCGCAGCGGAATTGCGTCTTTGTTTCATTCCGTGCAGCGGCGGAACTGTCATCATCCTGGAATACCTACAGCTCGGGGCAGAAACAGTTGCGCGAAACTTGTTCATGCGCGTCATGTCATGTATACGCCCATCTCCGTGTTCATGCAACAAGGCCAAGAGAAGACAGGCTGTTCGCAGCAGAGGGCCTGAGCGAAGACCGCTGCTACAGAGTTTGCGTTCTTGGGACGTCAGGACCCTGCGTTCTGCCCCCCAGAAAATCACTCTCGGCCCTTGCAACCAACCAAGCTGTGCATCCTGGAAAATCCCAGAGACGAGCAGCCGGTGACGCCAGTGATTGGCTCGAGCCGCAATTACACGTACTGTAGACGCAATGCTGTGGCCGACTGGTAACCCCTAGCTGGGTCTCGTGCCTGATGAGCGAGAACCCCCTTGGGGATCTTCAATGTCAATCTTTCAATATTTTGTAGTCACAAGCTTCGGATTGTTCCGCCTCTGAAGAGACACCGACTTCCGTCTTGTAACGAGTGCTAATGAAATTCTGTGGGCTCATTCATTTGTTCCATACAGATTCTTTTCAATGGGGCCGGGCTAAGGGAGGGAGCCACCAGTTTCCGGCACAGCACATCTATGCCGGTTACGGCAATATCAAAGTGGAAAATATGATGACTGCAGATACTTGTGTGCCTGTCTTGTCTACCTATGATGCCATTGATATCGGCGCTATTACTTGCTGTTTACTTTGGAGTCAGAAGGTCCGTGACCACGACTAGTAATATGAAACATGCGGCGGCGACAGTGACGACTCTCAGCACGATTGCATGAATCTGTATAGCCACCGGCATGAGACCCTTTGAGACAATGCGGCGTGGAGAATGCTTTTAGCTCGAGACGCGATACTGAGTCCCAGGCCATCGGGCGAGCCGCAAGCTGTCAACAGATGAGCTCAGCTGCTGATTCACTGCAAGTATGTCATTGAGGGGGCTTTAGGACGCGAGGAAGGGAGCGGTCCGAGGGAATGATTGGGTACCAAGGGGCAGAGGCTAAGTTGCTGGTGATTAACGGTGTCGAAATAGAAGACTATGTGGGGATGTGTCAAAGCTCCTTCGAAGAATTTTTCTGCTTCTAGTCTTGTTTTCTTTTCTGCTTCTCAATGCTTGCGGAAGTACAGGGGGTGGACATGTCAACTTCACGATTCAGAGTCTGTTGTGACCTCGTATCCTGTTGGCAGTTCTGTTTAGGGCAGTTGAGATGTCTCTGTCTACATGTACTCTCCACCGGATTCGCTGTCGACGAACGGCCTGACAAAGGGACCTAGGACATTCTGCTAATCTTACTGCTACCGTTACGAGCCGTGCCATGTGGCGCGCCACTGAGACATTCGCCCTTCAGATGAGAGAAAAACGTGGTGAAGAACATCTCCATCTCTTTAGCGGATTGTTAACGAAGCTACTGCGGCCTTGCCGGCGTCCATGCGGCGGCGAACTTTGCTGGTTCCTGCATTTGGAAGGCAGGCTAACGACATTACCTAACCAGCACAGACGGTTGAACTGTGTCATGACTCTTCTTTGGTGTCTCTCATCACAGGCCGTCCGTTCATCGCGAAAAAATGGAGTCTTTTGATTGAGGTTTGAGCGTCTCTGGTGGTTTCCGAGACACACGCCCTCTTCTCCACCCCCGGTGAATTCGGTACAGTAGTTCCCCGAGGCTGTACATGACTTGTAAAGATGGACACGACCATCCATACTCGTTCTTTGACCGGCGATGGAGACAGACGTCTTCCAGGGATCATGGGGGCAGGAAATGCTATATACAACTATGAGAAGAAAAATTTGACAGAACACCATCTCGATATGCTCGCTGCATGCCACCTTGCGGCTGTGCTTATTATGGCGCCTCCTTAAGCCAGAGACCCCTGCTTAGGGGACTTGCTCGCCAAGTCGTGGAGATGTCAATCTATGGATACGTGTGTATGGGCTTGAGACCCTGGGCAAAGGGTAATTTTGTCTTGGTGCTGCTGGTCAGTACGTACTGCTCGAAATGCTGCTGCCATGTTCTGATATTGCTTGGTAGTATATAACAGTAGGCACTTTTACGTTTTCGCAATAGCTGTCGGACCAGTGAGCTCCGTAACACGTCCTGGCAGGGGTGTAACAGAGTCGAGGCCAACTAAAGGCGCAATTCGGCACCGGGTTTTCTCGTTTGGGGCTTAAACCGATGGGTAGATTCGAGGCCATTTCCAGCCACTCTTAGGCGCTCCCACCGATTTGGTAGCCCGTCCAATTTGCCAGGGGGTGTGGCCTCTGTTGCCTTTGAAAGCGGCCAGCACAAAGGCACCACTCCGTACTTGTAGTATCGAAACCCACGACGTCTCCCACCAAGTGGGCTGGGCGGGTTTGGCGAAGTCTTCCAGAAGGCTTCTAAGGCATCACTCGTTCTGTCCATGGCGGGTCCCTTGTTCTGCCGCCATTTCGTCTCCCGCTGTTTCGAATGGGCTGCAATGGTGGCTGCTCGTATTCTTAGGTCCTCATCCACTCACTCACAGTCTCTGCCTGGAAGTTTGCCGAAGAGCCAAGGACGCCGCCGTTATCGTGCAGTTTTCAGCGGTTTGGCTCGGCCATACCTGGTGTTATACAGGTACACAAGGACTCTTGTACGAGTGTGTAATCTCGAGCGTGCACAAAATGAAATAAACAGTTGCGGCCAAGAGTAGCCGCGCTGGGGCTGGCTCATAACAGAAGCTTTGGCGCGAGCATGGTTCTCATCTCTGGCCCCCCCAGCTCGAAATGCGACAGCAATGGCACACCATTTTGCAAGAGCTTTGAAATCTCCAGAGGCTGCAGCCAGTAACGGCGGACAAAGCAAGTCATGACACCAAGTTGTGTACCCGCCCTTGATGTCCCAAGGATCCTGCGCTTGCAAGGACCAAGGACCCATGACTCTGCGCAAATAAAAAATACCGACTGTACGCTGGTGATGTTGCTCTGGTCTTGGTCTTCATCTTCTCGGCTTACCTCTTTGGCTCGTCCTTGGCAAAATCGTAGCGCTTTTTTTTTTTTTTTTTTTTTTTTTTTTTTTTTTTTTTTTTTTTTCATGGCAGCCTGATGAGATGGAAGCGTTTAAAAATAAATGCTAGATAGGAAACAAGAAGATAGAAAAGTTATAGATATGGGGCATCACTTGACAGCCGCGAGACGGACCGGAATGAGTCCAACCAGCGCGGGATGGAGGGCAGAAGAGCTGCCACCAAGCAAAGTGAGTGACCAGGTTGAATACCAGTCCCCAATATTTGTGGGCTTTGGAACTGTTTGCTGCTCCAAGACACCATCCAACCACGTGGGTTCTTTGGGCTTGCCAATGTCAGCAAGCCTCTTGGGATTTTCATCTTTCACCGGTCTCAACTTTTATGCATGTATGCTCTGGCTAGCTGCATGGCTTTAGCGGGCCAGTGTGCCAATAGACGGTGCCCAGTGTCGTACTTGACGCCGATGCTGGCGATGCGATGATGGAGGAGTGCTGCATGGCTACGGAGCATTGCTGGTGAGGCTTATGATGTGATGTGACGCCGCTCAACTACACGAGCATCCGAGTTTATTGGAGTCGGGAGCTCGAAAAAAGAAAGAAATCAACGCAGTTTGCATAGTGGCGCTCAAAGTCTCTCTTCTCCTCACTCCGCCATGCGCCCTAGAGCGCAGAAGCTTCAAGTCGGTGCTTGATCTAGCGCGGATTGGCTGAACTTAGGAGAATTCATTCCAGGGTATTCCCTACCAGCTCCCACGGGTATTTGCCTCCAGACAGCTGGATGATGGCTAGGATAGGCCGCGGAGAGGGGGAATGTGAATGTTATTCGTCATAATACCGTTGGTAGCACGCTGTAACGGCCTATCGTGTTCCTCCTCTTGTTTGTCTCATGACCACAAACGAGCAATCATACCATTTCCATAACCGCTCCCTGCGAGCCAGCACAGCCCGTGATTTCAACAAGATCCTCGCAACTCTGGGATGTTTTGCCGTACCGACGGCGTGGATTGGTCCCATCGGAGGACATCCCCTGCCAGCCAAGAGAGGGGGTAAGGAAAGCACTGGTGAATCAAGACATGGACTGGACAAGAGCCCCATGCCGTGTCTTTTTGAATCGCCGCAGCTAGTAAAAGTCCTACGGACAAGGCGGCACGCATCTCAGTCTGTTGTGCAGGTGCCGCGAGCGATTAAAGCTGAGACGGCGGTGAGGGCAAGCAGGCTGGATGGATGGGCGGATGGGATGGATGGGATGGGATGCCACGGCTTGAGGGACTGCCTCGAGTAATCGACAGCAGCAGCTAACCTGACGGACTGCAGTCGTAGTGCTGCAGCATTCCGCGTTGCTAAAACTTGGAGGGCAAAAGACAGCGGCGGACCGTCCCCCTCCTCAACTGCTTGTACCAGCGCCCAGTCGGTAGCACAGGCAACTTTATGAGGCGGCGAGCAGCAACCAGCATGGAACAGGCGAGTTTACGAGTAATTCCCAGGTGCCAACAGCTGCTTCCTAGCTTCCGTGGTTGCTGCTAGAGCCCCAACGCCCCCCATACGCTCTCATATACGCTCCAGCGAACGAGAATCAAGCCACGACGCCGCTGCAAGATGGCAGACCAGGGTCGCTATGCAACTATCGAGTCCTGTCGGACTGTCTGAGCGCACCGGTGACTGACTGAGCGACTCTTGCTCTCTTCTCATTTACCAAACTAGCCAGACCGTGGACTCTTGCCCATTTTGCAACCACCCTGGAAATATCCACACACCCCCACTCGCTGAAGCCCTCGTGGCACACCCCCTTCTCCAAGCTGTAGCACCATATTTGGTACCTGTGGAAGTACCAGCGGTAACTCGTAATAACGCTCTCCTCTCAGTCTCTCGGCGTCCCAAGCTCGCTCTCTTACACGCCCAGCGCCAAACACAGCACCCCTCCCCCCCCGACGTCAGGGCAAAGACCCATGAATGGCAAGACCTTGGTGGGCAAACAACTTTTTTTTTTTTTTTTCGATGGCTCAAGCTTGGGTAACTCAGGCAAGGGTTAGAGTGGCCAGAGGGGTGCATGCCTGGGCAATAACCCTCCGGCGGTACCTCACGCCTCGCTGATTCTGGAGGTGGAAACAGCCTTTGAAGGGCGGGTCAAGACACTACTTTTTTTTTCCATCGATGTCTGTCATGGGAGTCCCGGAGACCTGGTCAGTCAAAAAGCGTCCCTTGTTTTTGACGGCTAAGCCATCCAGGTATAAACGTTGGCGTCCCCCCGCCGCCTGCAAGCTGCTGCATTGGGCGGCTTCACTCACGACAGCAACTGCTAATACGTCTCCATCAACCTTTTCTGGTCTTGCTTCGATCTGTGTTTACTTGACCTCATCCAATCTTTTCTCAATATTCACCTTGGTCGACTGCCTGGAGCCGATAACGATATATCCACCACCACCCGAGACGCATCTCCCTCCAATCTTTTCACCATACCTCCGATATCATCAGCAACAATGTGCAACTACATCTACGTACGACTGCCTACCCTATTTTCTTCTGCTCAATCTTGTTTTCGAACCCGCAGCTGGGAGTTTTTGTGCCATTGCTAACACAAGTCTGCCACTTACAGAAGGAGCTCAAGTGCCAGCACCACTACCACCTGGTAGAATCATGGTGCCCCAAATATATCCAGACGGAGCGACGATGCGTTCCCACGATTGTGAGCAAACAGTACTGGTAAGTTTTGGGAGCAGATAGTCGATCCATCATTACAAAGCTAACATGTTGACTGCAGGGGCGACGATATCTGTGGTATGCATCGCGACTAACACCGAGACTCTCATGACTTGACTGGGCACTAACACTCCTACCAACAGCTGCTTGCCGCGAACGCCAAACACCCAGCAACCACCCTTGGGCGAAGCTCATCCGTAGGCCCGACTCTCGATCGGTTCCTCAAGCGCGAGTTCCTGCCCGATAAATCATCGTCACCTACAAGCCCAAGACTACAAACATACAACTCATTGATCACACATACCCTTGGGCCCTCTAAGCCCTATCGTTTAAGAGCACATCGCCAATTGGAACATGTACAAAACCCCGGAAACAAAAATAAACAAAAAACAAAGATATCATCGGATTGGGCATCTTGGGCGCCCGAACAGCAATCGAACGCGACGGAATACGGCTATAGGAGGACATCTCTTTTTACTGTTATTGACTGGATGGAAATGGAAACCAAAAAACGGGGCGCACACGCACACGAACGCACACGCAAGCCTCCAAAACAAAACACCAAAAAAAAAAAAAAAATGTTGCCATAATATGGACACAAGACAGCATGGGACGGGAAATGGCTTATACTCTCCCCCAGGTGCAAACCTGGTTCATTAGCTCATTTGTTTCGGAGTTTCGCTAAGCAGGCATTCTCCGCTGGGATCTTTTTTTAACCATTGTTTTTTTGCTTTTCGTTTGCTCATTTACACTTGGAAGGGTTTCACAGGCGCAAAGTCAGTCGTTTTTGTACAACAACAATTAGCTGCACTTTGCGCTGCACTGCACTGCATTAGCCTCTTCTCACGGAAGAGGAGGGAGTTATTATTTCTTTGGGATCATTGGATATGGAACAATGCGCAATTCGAGCTGTGTTGTCTCAGCAGCCGGCCAAACAACAAGCCACGGCATCACAAGGAGGTGGCTACACCGCAGTGACACCACACCAGTATGCAAAGACACACACAAAAAAGGCTGGCCTCTGCTCCAACGCAACACACCGAATACGGCATTTCACTGGTGGCGGCCAAGGGCCATAAAGGCCAAACATGGGGCCACCATCATCACGAGGTCTGTCCGCAGGAGGACAGATTCTCTTTGGCAAGGGATTAGAAAAAGGGAACATTCAAAATGTATTGATAGATGGATATCTTTGGAAACATAAGCGGCGTCTTTTTTTTTTTCCTTTCTTTGCTAGGATATCTTTTTTTGTTATTTTGCAGGCAGCCCTTCCGGAAAGCTGGGACTGTGGCTGCGCTTGGCATTTTCCGGAGTATCATATAGTACCAATAGTCTGCGAAAGCGAATGGGACAAGTCATTTTTCTGTTTAATCAGCAAACTCGCCTCCTTGAGCTGTGAGACTTCCAGGGCAACAATAACAGAGAATCAGGTACCAGCACTAAACCCAAAGACTGCCTGTAATCCCGCCACGATGAGTCTTAACCCCCCATGTCCCGTCTTAGTTTTGTCCGCCATGGCTGAGACAGCCGTCATCTGGACCAGCAAACATCCGTGCTTTTTCTCAGCTTGAAAAGGATACATTCTGGCGCTATGAATTCACCAGTAAACTGCAAGTATACCTTGAGCTTTCCCGTTCCCCTGAAAAGGTGGCGCGACCCTCTCATGTTGTACAAATACAATCCAGCGCATCTAATCTTGTTCAGCTCTTCACCGGCCCCATAATGCTAAGCCCAGTTCTGGGTGCCCGGCATTGTTTATGTGACGCCATTACGGCGGCTGTTGTTTGCTGTTGCTCTGCCGAGGCTTTGCTTGGCTGGAATCTGCCCACCGTCGCATGGATCAAGTTTGCGTGTATTTTGGCGAACTTGGCCCTCTCGTCTTTTCTTTTTCCTAACTCCGGAGCCTCAGCTGAGTTGAGCCGAGAATTTGAAATAGAACCTGGAGCTAGAACCAGAGCGGCATTGTGTCACCCGATTTGTACCTTTTCTTTGGACCGCGGGCAAAATGCGCATAACAAGAGCGTCGTTATTATCATTAGTACTAATACTATTTTCGTTTTGGCTACGCTGTGAAACTCAGCCTGTGGTTGGTGAGGTGGTGCACGGATACGATGCGCATTGAACGATGATGTGGCTTGAGGTCTTGATGCGTCTGGACCGCGAGCAAACAGGACTTGCAGTCGCACAACAGCACAACTAACTGAGTTGGCATTACATGCGTTGCGTTGCGTTGGTTTGACGGGCATCGGAGACTTTCCCTTCCTGCCTCCTCACAAGTCCTCTCACGCATCTCATTGGACGGCAGCTCCCACAGCAGCCAGTGAAATTTGATTGATTCACGTTGCGTCGTATTGCAGGCCATCAAAAGCTGACCCCAGATATTGCCGTGCCCCTGATACGACTCTCCTGTCTGCTGGTGCAATGTGACAGCACTGCCAGTAGCCATCCATCCTACATGTCACAGAAAGGTGACCTGTCATAACAATCATCTCACCTAGGCTTGTTCTCCCCCGCGCGGACTCTATTATCGTCCACTTGTATATAATGCTATGCAGAGGGCGTCCCCTCTTTCAGGGCGGCCTCCATCCAATCAGCGGCGTGCTAGATGGGCAGTACCGCCAGATCATCGGGCTCTGTTTTCTCATCCGGAGTGACACCAAGGCTCCTCATATATATCGAATTTTTGTGTTTTGAGAGAAGCAGTAACACGTTGAGTGGGGCAGCGAGAAAACAAAAGACAGGACTCGATGTACAAGTCTGATTCGCACAATGTGTGTCAATTCTCCTAGTTTGTGTAAATCTGCGCAATGTGAGCGAGCGCGGGTAGATTTGCATCGCGGAGATAAAAAACCTTCTCGCGGCGAAGACTTGCGCATCTCGCTTTCTCTAGCGAGGGAGCGGCGCATGAATGATACCACCATCTGTCTTTAGCAAGCACATTGGGACACACACACATTTACATGGATAACCAACCCCCAAACACTATGATACAGCTTCATACTCTGATGAGAAACGCCTCCCTGTAAACTCTGTTGAGCGAATGCTTCGTTATGCGCTTGGCTGTTAGCAGAGAAAACTACGCCTAAATGGCCTTGGCGATGGCGTCGGCTTAAGGAAAGAGTTCGGAAATAGGGACGCCAGCTTTTTCCCGCGACTAACGGTCGTTAGTACGCATCTTCGTTACGAAGCACACGCACGCCAGCTCCCCCGAGCTGCATAAGTGCCCGTTTCCTAAAAATCCTGCGTTGGGCAGTCACTGAGCGTTGGCACACGCAAGTTCCACTTGTAAGATACCCTGCGGGTTGACTGGATGACTAAATCGGTGCTGCAGACGGATCAATCGCAGGACGATTTAGCCAGCACGTAGCTAGAAGGTACCCAGACAATCGAGAATAGAGACATGTTAATTCGGTGTCATTGGGGCTGCGGTAGGATCAATTTGTTGCTGCCTAAGCTTCACCTCTCTTTCGGACGTCCGTCACTTCGGCGCTGCTAATACGAAGCTTGCAGCCCCCAAAGGCGTCCCTTTCCACTAGGGGACTAAAACTAACGCAATAGCTATGCATATTTGACGCCTCGTCGGTCAAGGACCGATATTCTGGAGGTGGCGCCAACGCACGGCATCCCGTCTACACCTCAAGCGTCTAGCTGAATTTGAGGTCCAGGGGACGCTCAGCCAAGCCATGGCCTCGCAGGATTCTTTTCCCAGCAAACCAGGCTACTACTGCACCAGAAGGGCAAAGTGCGCGTTTATTGCGCAAATAGCCCTCGGCTCCATCGTAGTTGGCTGCCTGTTTGTATGAGATGCTTGCATCTATCTTTGGCCGGCCCTGCTGAAGCTGGTAAATGAGCAACACTATTCAGAAAACGGCTTCAGCAACTCCTTCTCGGGCTGTGTATCGGTGATTCCTAGGGGTTGATCTCACTAGCCCTTCTTATGGGATATGCCTTCTTTCTTGCGAGAGAGACCTGTTGGAGTTTGCCAAGAAATACAAGCATGGTCTTCATAGGGCTTGAGCTATTCGTTACAGAGGCCTATACTGACTGATAGGCTCGAGCGTCAGGAAACGAAATTCCTCGCGCAAGTCCATACTCCAAATGACTATATGATTAAGATGAGCCAGTCATCAATGACGGAATACGCGAGTCTGTCTGCAGCCCAACCCAACACATGCAATTAAATTCCACACGAGAAGCACTTTGCAAAGCCACGGGAATTGCAACGGATTGCCAACAGAGCGACACGTCAGCTTCGGACACGGAGTATAAGACCCCAGCTCGAGTAAAATAGAACCGGTAAGGCGACGAATGGACAGAGTCCTAGACTAATTTGCTCATCCAAATTTCAGATCCCTTCGTTTCCAGGTAGCTGGAACGGCTGTCGCTGTTGGCCCTGTCGCTGCACCAATCTCACCGGAGATGTTGGAAAAAGTTTTTTCTTCTTTGTGATGTGTATTTTGGCGATTGGTTACCGGGAGCCCGGAAATTGAAAGCTCCTTATGAGAAGACGAAGAGAGAAATCGGAGCTTGGTTGAGCCGAGGAATGTGTTGCCCAACAGCTTGTTGTTGGACGCAGCTACATGTACTCTGCGCATAATAGCTCGATGCGGGCCGTCGGTGGCCTTGCGTACATGTACGTGAGAGTTTCCGATAGTCTGCATAGCCCACGCGATATAGCCCAACCCTATGAAAGGTGGGCGATTCGAGTCTCCATAGTTCGCATTAGAGCGTATACATGACAGCTCCATGCTCGAGTATAGGGGCGAGGGGGATTTTCCGTCGGAAGCTGCTGATGTGAGCAGCCGGCAGTCAACCTGGAGCTGCGATCCTTCGGCCATTTACGGTTACCGCTCTCGAATGCAACGCACTGGGCAGAACTCGGAAGCAGTGGCAGTGCCGTTATCTGCCCTGACGATAACAAGCATCTCCGTAGACGACCGTGACTGCACGTTGGCCCCTGAGATGTGTACCTGTACGGTAGAGTAGTATTCACGTGTGGCTCATCCTTGTTGCATCTTGCAGCCAACAGCCGTTGTGACTGCGCCGAGTTGCACGCATACATGCATACCAAACCACGTTGTATCGGCCAAGAAAAGGGGCAGTCGCGGTTCTATGTGCCGAGATATCACTTCTCATCAAGACCAGCAACTTGGCTGAATCATCAACGCCTTCTCTCTTCTCTCAACGAGGCCGATATATGGTGCACAGTACAAAGTATCTCGGCTTCTGTATGAGATGGGATCCGCTTCCCCGCATGGTGTCCCAAACATGTGACCAATCTCTGCAGTGTTCCTGAGTGGCGATGGACTCACTGGCAAATTATGGGGGGGAAACTGCTGATCATCTGGCGATTGGCTTTTTGACAGCGTCTTCAACGGCTGCTTAAACTGCTCTGACGGCCTGACAATCTCGACACTAGCAGGTAAAAGGTGCTGCGACTAAAGACGGCTCGCAATACACTAAAAAGGCGTCAACGATGAAAATGGCGCCACAAATGCGGTTTTGCTTCATTTCTCGAATGCGACTCGTCAACTCTTCTTCTACAATCCGGAATGACGGAAACAAAAGGGGACCACACACCCCATCTCCACAGACGCCATCGCCGTCCATCGTCGGCCAGCTAGTGGGCAGCAGCAGCCATTCCGATTGGTGTGCTCGCAAAGAAGCGTCAACGGCAGTGCTCTATGCGGGCGAATTCTACAGCCGACTGGCGCCTTACGCGCTGGGCGGCCTTTCTTATACTACTATATACTACATGTAGGCACTACATCAAGGCAGCCTGCTCTTGGCTCGCTAATTCCTGGCGTCTCGTTCGCTAATTCCTGGCGCTTCATGAGTTGGACGCAGGGGGGAGAGGCAGGGCGGCGTCGTGCACGTATACGCGGCAGATGGCCTCGGCGTGCCGACAAGCGAAACGCCTTTTGCCTCTTCTTTTGCTCAAGTTTGCAGGCCGGGCCCCTGGAAAAGTCCCGTGAGCGGACTTGAATGCAAGAATCTGCGAGATACCCTGGTGGGCTGAATGGCCAATGCTTGTGGAGCGTCTTGCGCACAAACGCCTCAAACGCCGTCTTCTGTTTGCCGAATGCAACACTGCCTTTGAAAGAGTGTAGTATTAGGCGAAGTCGAGTTGGCTGCGGACTTTGCAGTATACAGAGAGCCTTCCAGTGCTGTAACAATAGCCAGCGTTTTATTTTCTTTACACGTAGCATTGTATGCCGGCAGGGACGAGGGTGCCTTCTCTCCACAGGGATTTTCATGCTGTGAGATTGGCTGTAATGAGAGCTATCCTGGTAATGGGTGTCACCGTCGACGTTACCTTCATCTCTCAAAGCGTATCTCGATCCAGAACTGACGACCAGCCAACGCACCCGCAAACGCCAGGGGTAAAGTCAAGCAGGGCGATATGTATGCATGTACCTGACCAAAGACCGGTGGTGTCTGATCGGCCAACTACCAGCCTCACGGCCTTTCAAACTCCAAACAGCATTCTAATCCACAATTAGAGACATGACATGATTTGTGACTGATTGGTGACGGTTTAGCCCTTCACTAAAACCTGATCCCGTAGTACCGGCTACCCGTATGTAGGGACGCATGAAGGGCCAGGCTTTCCAGAGAAATTAGAAACGTTCGGCAGTCTAGCTGCAATCGACATGGATCTCTCTTCAAGACTTGTCGCTCTCCTTGCTGCAGTGCGCCATCTTCGTCATATCTCACAAAAGCAACTGACATCGGTAACGGCATACGCCCTCCTACATCACCGATCGGGCCAGACAACGTGAAACACCCATCACATTGGCGCTGAACAGGCAACAAGTTTCGACAAAGAGAGAGGCCATCAGGGTGTGCGGGGGCCAGAAGGGCAGGCGGTCCGAAGCCCCCCATGTTGCGCGTAGCCATGATTATGTATGTATGGCGGCGAGGCGGATAGGGGGGAGTAGGGCCATGGATTATGCGCAATACGGGGGAAGACGCTTAGACTATGTAGGTATACGAGCCCGCGGCAGGCATTCCCTTTGCGGTATACGAGCCTGCTACAGTACGAGTCGAGTAAAGCGAGGAGCCAGCAAGCCCTTGGTCGGGCAATTGTCAGCATCTTGCTTTAACGCCGGCGTTCGTCCCGGGAATTTGGTTCATCTGATGCGGATTTGGTCCCCGGCCTGTTCGCCGACTGTGTGTACGTAGGGCGCCCGGTACTCAGGTGATTTCCCCTTTTGCATAGGGCTTTCCTTGTAAGATGAATGCCCTCTTGATAGGTACACACATACTGAATGGCCCCAGGCCTGATGAACGACTTAGCCCAAGACGAAATGGGCAAATGGTCATGGACGACCGGCATTGCAAGTGCCTTGTATTAAAAACCGGTAACTTATTTCCTGAAGCAGTAGTTGCTCGTTCCCAACCGGTTGTTCGACGACAAGTCCTTACCAAGCTGAGAAGTGCGTATTTATTTTTAGTCTTTGATATGTTCACCACAAAGCATCGTGCTACTATCGTGACATGAGACTAGAATTGAATGAGAATGGCAGTGGGCGCACGTAGACTAGCCATGATACAGGCAGTCCTGCCGCCATATTTGCTCAGTGGCCAAAAACACAATGTCACAATAACCAAATAGATAAGTAGAGCTGGTAGTGAGAAGCATGCGCCAGTTCGGTACCGAGCACTTCCGTAGCAACATTCACGGAACTAGCCAATGCTACTTGATTCCGGCAGCCATTCGGTCTCCATCCGCTCCGTAAGGTCCGTGGTCCGCCGTGGGTTCGTTTCGGCCCCCTTCTCCTTGACTTTGCCTATTCACGGTCCGGCGTCCGGCCCCCTCGGGTTCTCGATTAAGAATGAGTTACGACAAAGGGATATGTCATCTTCGCCATAAGCTACTGAATACAGAGAAATGAGTAATGAGAGATTGGAAAGAAGAGAAGAGATAGATCAAGCTGGTGGGCCGCCTGCTAGTTTCGAGTAGCTCCCGCTAGATCCTTCATTAGAACCAAAGCGACCTAGAGCTTGAAATGCTAAAACTTGGCCGGCAGCTGTATGACAGGTTCTAGTGGGCGGCATCGAAACACTATGACTCGCTAGGGCTATTGGCCAAACGGCGCTGCCGCCGGAGCCCTCTCATTGGTTTTTGGAACGAGCTTGGCGAGCAAGGAGCATCGACGAGCAGTTCGTTAGATTGGGTCATCACCACCGGCTGAGATTGGGCGTCACCGTAACTAGGCACAAGCGAGGGCTGAGATGACCTGACGGTCATGTGGCGGACAGGTTCACGGCAGCTCGGAGTTTCTTACCTGTTTTATGATAGAATTTATCTTGGAGACCGCGGCGTTTGAATAGTTTCTTGATTCAGCATACAATCCAAGTCCTCCTCTTCTACACCGCATCATCATACGTGGCATTGTACGCGCGTTACTTGGAACTAGTGCCATGCTCTGCCGAAATCAATCGTTTCACAATGGCAAACGGAAAAGTAGTCCATCAAGAGCCGCAATCCACCTCGTAGATGCATACAGTAGCCCATCGCAGCTCTACCGCCTCCTCAGTTGACGGAATCGCCCGCGGAGCGGTCTGTCGGTCATCGCGATGTCCTTTTTCACGCCGTGTACGAAGCAACTTTCTCCCAGGCTACTCCATACTTGGCGAGAGTTTAGCATCTATGGACCCTGTAGAAGACCCATATTCTCGGGCGTTCGCCCAAGCTGCTCGCGACGCGAGTAGTTCGTAGATTAGTGGAGAACGCATTCAGCTGCGCAGTGAGAATGAGCGGGCTGAGGCTTGCATCAAATCGGATCCAAATATGACAGACTGAAACATTTCGACTGCTATTTACCTGAGGGCGGTACAGGGGCAGTAGTCATCTGACAAGCACGAACGGCGATGAACCAAGGAGATGGTATATGTATATGCTGACCTGAAAATATCCTTTGCGGGTTAATCAAACAGTATGCTAGAGGCACCGGCCGGTTTCTTAAAGAGATAAGCACTCGCTCGTGATTGATGACATTTCGAGATGGGGCAAACGTACAGGACGCTTACCAGCATTGTACATTAGGGCTGAAGAAGGCTATCTAGAGATGGATGCTAGCTCCTTCGCTAAGATATACTTGCGTGGCTCCTGTTTATACAGTACTACCCGTTTTGCTGTGTTGCTTTATAATAGTTGGCTGTAGCTGATTTCATTCAGCCGAATGCTGCCTGGGCACATTTTGACAACCAAGGGTAGATTGATTATGTTATAAGAAGCAATGTGATGTTGACTGTCTAAGACTGTAGAATACCAAGTCTGAGGAAAGCTTTGTCCTTTCATATAATGGTAGAAAAGCATTAGTATCGGCATTCGATAGTGGAGTCAATCATCTACTTGTTGAAGCTATTTCAGGCTACCTCTGTATAAGTGCATGGTGTCACAAGATGCTGAGAATAGGCGGGTAAAAACATAAGAATCTAGCATTCATTTAATCAAAAGAAACATTAACTAGACTGCACTGAATATCCTAAAGAAAAAGCCGTAGATACAAGGAAACATGACAAAAAGAAATCCTTGAAGAGCGCCAGCCAAGCGTATCAATCGTAGAACCCACCTCTAAGCTCACTCTCGAAACTCCTAGCCACGCCTTCACTCTTCCAAATGGTATCTCTAATCTTTCATTTTTTCCATCAAATTTTTACTCTTCTTAAAGCAAACTCCTTAGGCCCAGCTGGCCAACAGCTTCTCCTCCACAAACTCTGCCAGCGTGTGCAGAGACTTCTGTGGGCTGACAATGTCCAAGAAAGGCACATCAACCTTGAAAGTGTTGAAGAACCAAGTTCGGAACTCGGCAGCAAGCATACTGTCAACACCAAATGAGGGAAGAGGAGCGCGATCATCGACCGCATCAAGCTGCATCAGGATCAGGTTGCTGAAGCGCTTCTTGGTAAGGCGCAGGATGGCATCAAGCATTGTCGGTGCGCTGGCCTCAGGGGCAAGCATGGACACAGCGTTGGAGGGGACATCCTTGAACCATTCAGCAGCAGCAGCGAGCTGGCCAACGTCGCCGCTCTTCTCTTCGTCATTGGCGTCCTTCTCAGCGAGCAGAGATGCGGCAAGGATAGTTGCACGAGCCTCCTCGGTGACACCATTGTTCACCTCGAAGCCCTGAGCCATCAGCTTGCGAGCGCCGTAAGACTCCAAACCGGTCAGGATGTGAGCGGCCTCGCTGGGCATGGAGACACCGCGAGCAAACTCGGCATCGCTCCAGGGACCGGCAATACCATAGTCCAAGACTTGGAGGAACTCGTCCTCGTTGAGAGGCTGGATACCCTTTCGGAGCAGCATGGCCTCGATCTCGGGATTCTCATGTAGATATCCGACTTCTGAAATCATACCCAGACCAACAGACACGGCAGGCTTGCCTTGAGAGCGGCGCCACTTGGCAAAGTTGTCAAGGAAGTTGTTGGCAGCGCAGTAGTTACTCTCAGTGGCAGTACCGCAGGTTCCGGAGATGGACGAAGTCAAAAGGAAGAAGTCCAGATCGGTGTCATAGCCCTCCAGAGCGTTGTGCAAGTTCCAAGAACCCTTCCACTTGGGCTGGATGCCAGTGTGCCAGGCCTTGTTGGTCATGACGGAGAACAGAGCCTCACTAAGGCCCATGGCAGCTTGGACAACACCACCAATAGGACCGTCCTTGGCAGCTGCAACGACAGCCTCACGAACATGGTCCTCCTCAGAAACATCGCCACGGACGACAGTCACAGTAGCACCGGCATCGCGGAGACGGTTTACAAGCTCAGCAGCACTGGCCTTATCGCATCCGGAACGTCCCAGGAAGCAGAACTTGCGAGCGCCGCGAGACATCATCCAGCGACTGAGACTGCGGCCTAGACCACCCAGGCAGCCCACGAGCAAGTAGGTCTTCTCAGGGCTGAAGACGGACTGGTAAGTTGCAGGCATAACTTGAACTAGGCTGTTGGGGTTCTCCATGGAGACGACAACCTTGCCGACACGGTCCTTGTTACCAAAGTAGCGGTAGGCGTGGCCAATTTCGGAAACATCATAAGTCGCAATGGGAGAAGCCTTGATGATACCGGCACGGTACATCTTGACCACTTCGGCGGTGTGGTTGTAGACAACGTCCTGGTAGTAGCTGTCAGAGTCGTAGAAGAACTCTGACAAGTCAAAGGCAGAAAAGGTAGCGTTCTTCAAGAAGATGCGCATATCCAGCTTGCCCGCGTCAATCAGCTCACGCTTGCCAATCTCGACGAAGCGTCCAAAGGGAGCAATGCAAGACCAAGAGGCGTGCATCAGATCGCCAATCAGGGAGTTGACAATGACATTGACGCCTCGGCCGCCGGTAGCAGTCATGATGTCGTCCACGAAGGAGGCATTGCGCGAGTGGAAGATGTTCTCAGTTGGCACGCCCATCTCTTTGACGAGATACTCACGCTTTGACTGAGAGCCCACAGTTGCGTAAACCGTGGCGCCCAAGTGCTTGGCCAGGGTGATGGCCGCGAGACCAAAAGCACCAGCACCAGAGTGAATCAAGACGGACTCGCCGGCACGCAGATGAGCGCGGTCCTTGAGGGCAACGAGAGCAGTGCAGTAGACGCCGAGAAGAGTAGGCACAACGGTGAACTCTTCTTCAGGCAGCATCTTGTGGACGGCCTGCACGGGAACTCGCTCCGTGGTGCTGAAGTGGTTGGGAATGAAACCGGCAACTCGGTCTCCCACCTTGAGATGCTCGACACCGGGCCCAACAGCCGAGACGACACCGCCAAAGTCCAGAGCGGTGGTGGCTTCCTTGGTCTCGACACGTCCGTTGATGGCGTAGATGTCCTTGGCGTTGAGGCCAACAGCGCGCAGATCAACGTCCACAAAGCCGGTGGGAGGGGTGGTCTTGAGCTCGGAGATCTGCTGGAAGTGAATCGTATCAGTCATGCCAACCTGGCCAACAGAGAGCTTTGCCGGGCCGACCTCTCCAAGAGGAACCAGCTTCATGGTGTCGTTTGGCGTCATGCGCTGGCGGAAGAGAGAGTTGAGCTCGAAATCGGGAGTGAAGCGGCTGACATAGAGAATGCCGTCCTTCTGGATGAACTCTTTGTCGTCGGTAGCGTAGCGGAACGTCAAAGCCGCCGACACATTGTTGCAGATGGTTTCAAGGTAGCTGGACTTGGTAATGTCCGCGCCGACATCGAGAACAGTGTATCGCAGAGCTGGCTGTTCCAGCATCAGGGCTCGTGAGAGACCGCTAGACAAGGTAAGGTTGGGGTTGGGAGCAGAGAGCATGTTTGCTCCAGTCAGCCAGATGAGATCGCTAACAGTGTCAGTGATCTTGCGGAAGCGATCCATATCCTCGCTGCTGATGGTGGCCAGGAACTCGTTCTCCATCTCCATGACAGACACGCAGACGACTTGATCGTGGAGAGCAACAGTTTCAATGTTGGCAATGGTCACAGTGCTCAGCTTCTCGACACCGGCATTCTTCTTGAAGTGAGCAGCCACAGCATCGGCAAGGGCATCAATGGAAGCAGAAGACTGGTTAGGCTTGACAATAACAACCTCCTTGTTCTCCAATCCAGTCTGCTTGGCGTTGCGAACAGCAGCAAGAGTCTCGTTGGGCAGCTCCAGGGTGGTAAAGCCAGCTGCCTGAAGAGCAGAAACGGCGTCCTTGGTCTTGCGAGTGATGATAATGCCATTGTCCGAAACTTGAGAGATGACCTCGTCTGCTGCCTTGCTCCAAACCTTCTTCGAGACAGAGAGATGAGGGATGAGGATAGTGTCGTAGGGATCGGTGCTCTTAGCGTTCTCAACAGCAATCTTGTTGTCCTCTCCAAGCTTACCATCGTTCCATGACTTGAAGCGAGGGAACGCAGTGTCCTTGCCCAAAATAGCCTGGCAGTCCTTGGGAGTCCATTGGCGCTCCTGTCCAAGCTCCAACACACTCATGCGGGGAATCTTGTGGCCGAAGAGATCAAGCAGAGCGGCAAACACCACGAGAGCTCCATTGTCGTTCAAATCATCGGATTGCTCCTCTGAGAACGCCTCAATGATGTCTCGAATGGCGCTTTCCGAACCGGGCTGGAGACGGAGAACATCAGGCTTCCACTGGATTCGCAGACACGGCTGTCGCTGGAGATACATGCTGGTTTCAGCCTCTACAGGAGGCTTTCCAGTGTACAAGTTCATGCGAAGGTGAGGGACGTCAATAGCCGGGGTGCCGTCTGGCAGTCTAAGAGTGAAGGCAACAGCGCGAGAGGCAAAGCCAGTCTTCTCCATGCTCGTGTGAATTCTGACCTCTTCGCTACCCAGGCTTGCAGAGCCACCCTTGGGAATCTGGATGGAGCAGTTGGAGATGAAGCAAGGAATAAAGGCCTTGAGATCATTGATGACACCGGCAGTGCCTCCAATAATGGCGGCTTGGAAACAAGCGTCAATGGTGATGGGGTGCATGGCATAGAACATGCCATTGGCAGCTTCAGAAGGAGGAGCCAGGTACGTGGTTGAGATGGAATCCGCCGAGATTCGGTTGCCGTCAGTGTGGAGGCTGGTCAGTGACTGGAAGGTCGGTCCAAAGTTGAGGCCCTCTTCCTTTGCCTTGGCATACCAGCGGGCCATGCCCCAGACTTCGTAGCCCTGCTCATTGACCTCAACGGCTCCATCTTTGGCAGCCAGAGTAGAATCAGAGACTCGGATGCTGCCCATGCAGTGCAGAGTGGCAACGCCAGACTGGAAAGAAGAGACGGAGAACTCGTACCAGTTACCAGAAGTATTGGCGGTGGAAATCTTTCGCTGGGTCATGACCGTGTGAAGCTCAAGGCTATCAGCGCCGGAGTCGTTCTCCTCAGGCACAACAAATGCTGCGCTGATGTTGACGTTTTCGAATTCGAATCCGTAGGGCTCTCCTGCAACGAGCTTGCCCTTGATGTCCAGCACTTGCGAGAGAGCCTCGATGGCGATGGACATGTATGCAGCTCCTGGCAAGACAATTTGTGACTCGCCGAGCTTGTGGTCGCGCAGCCATGGCATCTCGGACACGCGAGGAATGTTTCGCCAGCACCACTCGATGCCGTTGCCAGCTGTGGCTCGACTTCCCAGGAGTTCGTGGCGGATGTGCTTTCGGTTACGGTGCTCAACACTGGCACGAGGCTCATGCCAGGGCAGCGGCTTGGAGTAGTCCCAGGGGTACGAAGCCAGAATAGGCACAGGAAGGGACTGGTGTCGTGGGACGCTGTTAATAGCGTACCAGTCCAGAGAGTGGCCGTAGGAGAAGAGAGTTCCCGCAAGCTTCTTCAAGCAGATGTAGGCATTCTCCTTGCGGACGAGAGTGGCGGAGTAGGGAACAGCCTCCTTGTCGCGCTTGGCACCGGTTCGGATCTGCTGGATAGGACCCTTGAGGGCCGAGTGAGGGCCAATCTCAACCAAGTGGTACTTGTCACCGGTGATCATCTTGGTCAAGCCGGCGCTGAACTGAACTGGCTGCTCAAGGTTCTTGCGGAAGTAAGAGGCCATGTTGGTGGAGGCATCAACAGTGCCGAGAGCATCAGGGGAGTGGCCGACGGTAGAGAACATCTCAGCCTCCATGTCGCCATCCTTCTTGGTGGTGAAGTGAGGAGTGACAAGCGATTCGTACAAGTCGCCAATCTCAACCATCATGTGAGAGTGGTAGGCGCGGCCACCAGTCTCAAGCTTGCGAGCAAACTTGCCCTCCTTCTGGAGCTCAGCCTGGAGAGCCTCAATATCCTTGATGGCACCACTGATGGTGACGCTCTCGGGGGCGTTGACACAAGCAACCCGGACTTCCTTCAGGCCCAGCTCCTCAATCAGAGCATTGGCGGCATCTGGGGAGATACCGGCAGCCATCATGTTGCCACGGGACTTGAGCTGGCCGACAGCGAAGCCTCGGAAGTAAGCGGCCAGAATGGCCTCGGACGCAGTGAGCAGACCAGCGCCGTATGCAGCCGCAATCTCTCCAGAGGAGTGACCGATAACAGCTGTTGGGCTGACCCCCCAGGTGCGTAGCATGTTGACAAGAGCAACCTGAACGGCGGTGCAGATTGGCTGACTGCGAGTGACATCGTTGATCTTGCTCACTGCAGGCTTGTCAAGAAGAGTCTGCTCCAGCGTCCAAGAAGGCTTGTATTCGGCAGGCAGCGATTGCAAGACCTCGTCAAGATCGCGAATGGTAGCCAAGAAGCCAGCATCGTTCTCGATGAGCTCCTTGGCCATGTTGGCGTACTGAGCACCTTGACCAGTGAAGACAAAGGCAAAGGGAAGAGGCTGGGCACCAGGGCTAGCTTTGTCGCCAGCGTCAGCCGTCTCGATCAGCGATGGCTGAGAGTCAGGCTTGACAGAGGCGAGGACAAAGTCGCGCAGACGTAGCTTGGCCTGTCGCTTGCTCATGGCAGCAGCCAGAGCCTTGACATCCTTTGGTTCAGTTCGCTCCAGGGTCTCAATGTTTTGCTTGCGGCGAGCTTCCAAAGACTTGCCCGATGAGGCGGAGAATGGAAGCACGAAAACCTGATCCTTGCTGGACTCGTAGGGGCTGGTCAGAGTTCGCGAGACCGGAGAGGATGCCAGCGAGCCAACAAAGTAGCTGCCGATGGACTCGAGGATAACATGTCCGTTGGCACCACCGTAGCCAAAGGAGTTCACACTGGCACGGCGGATGGCTCTTGGCCATGGTTCATTCTCAGTCATGACCTTCATGTTACGCTCCTTGAGTTTCACTGTAGAGGATATTAGCAACTCGGCTTTGGGGTGTATGTAGGGGGGTACAGGATAGGTTGGCTTACACTTGGGGTTGATGTTCTTCACACCGTAGGTGGGTGGAATCACGCCATGCTCAAAAGCAAGGGCACACTTGATGATGGAAGTCAAACCGCTGGCGGCTTCACTGTGGCCCATGTTTGTTTTAACTGCCCCGAGTCGTAGGGGCTCACCCTCGCGGCCTGCGAAACAGGCCGCAATGCCATCCACTTCTATGGGATCACCAACCGGAGTGCCGGTACCGTGGCACTCGACGTAGTCGGTGTCAGCGAATGAGAGGCCGGCGTTCTGGTAGGCCTTTTGAATGACAGCCGCCTGCATCTTGGCATCTGGCAGAGTGATACCGGGGGTTTTGCCGTTGCTATTATACAATGTTAGTCAAGGTTAAAAGTAAACTTAAGACAAGGGGGGGCTTACGCGTTGATGGCAGTTCCACGAATGACGGCGTGGATCTTGCGGTCACTCTTCATTGCAGAGGTGAGCTTGGTGATGAAAATGGCGTTGAGAGCCTCAGCACGAGCGTAGCCATCTGCAGAGGTATCAAAGGTGTGGCAAGCAGAGGTTGGCGACAAGAAGCCACCCTTGGCAGTTCCAAAGTGTTGCTCAGGCGACATGACCAAGTTGGCACCAGCAACGATGGCGGAGTCACAGTCGCCATTCTTGATCGCATTCACGGCCTGGTGGAGCGCGTAAATGGTGGACGAGCAAGCAGTATCGAGAGTGAAACTGGGTCCGTGCAAGTTGAAGACGTGGCTGATACGGTTGGCCATGATCGATGTGCCGCTACCGGTAGCAGCAAGACGGTGCGAATAGTCGGTATCACGAGACTGCATGACGGAGTAATCGGCAGTGAAGTTTCCAACGTACACTCCCGTGCTAGTACCGTTCACATCTTCCATGGATAGTCCGGCATTCTCGAAACACTCGTAGACAACCTCGAGCAGCTTTCGCTGCTGAGGGTCCATGTACGAGGCTTCGAGGTTGTTGATGCCAAAGAAAGAAGGGTCAAACTTGCGGACATCTTCATTGATGAAGTATCCGCCATCCACAGCCATGACACCAGCCCTGCTACCATCCTTGTTGTAGAATCCCTTAACATCGTATCGCTCCAGTGGCACGGTACATTGTGCAGTCTTCTTGTTGTACAGGTAGTCCCAAAGCCCCGATGGTGAGGTGATTCCACCAGGGAGATGGCACGCTAAAGAAAGATCAAAGATGTTAGGCAAGGAACTTATGTATTCACTAAGCAATATGTTTAATTCACTTACACATGCCAACAATGCACACCGTGTTGTCTTCAACGGTAAAGGCACTGGAAGGTCCAGACGTCTCCTGCATTTCATCATTCAAGTAAGATGCCTCGGTAACAACGATGGCATCTTTGGCGTGACTGCGGAGAAGAGACTCCGAGTCGGAGGGGATATCCAAAGCAGGCTCAAGAGTGAACATTTTGAAGGATAATGATGATGGTGACAAGGATAGTCTTGGATCTGAAGATGGAAGTCTACAAAGGAGAGGTGAAGAGGTGTTTGTTTGAAGCTTGATTTGGAAGCCTTTAATCGAGAGAGATGGTGATGTTTTAAGTATTATTCTATGCTGTGATACGGAGAGCAATCACAAACATGTAATCAAAGCTATCATTGCTGCTACACGCCTTTCTCTCGCTGATAGCCGGAGCGTATGGCGCAGCATCATGGTCCGACCCACTATCTCGCCTTGACAATGAATATGATTACCAAGTTCTAAAGATGCAACAGGCTAAACACGGTAAGAGAGTGTAAATGGTAGATCCCGAGATCCTTCAGGGCCTTTCCATGTTTCAACGGTCCTCATCAGGGTCTGTCCGTACGAAGTAAAGGCTCAGGTACCCTGCAGATTATCCTTCAATTCTTCAATAGGATCCGTCAGCATCCACAATTTTATTGACCGAACGATAAAGGATATGTGCGTAGGAGTTCTAGATTTCATACAACGGTCTCTCTTACTATGTTCTAACAATAAGCACGCAGTGATGCGCTTAGGGCCCGCATAGCCTTGGGCTGAGATATGACTCTTGTTGATAGGATCGTAAGCGCTAAAGGCTATTTGACGAACAAAACGCTGCCCGGAGTATCCATGCTGGGCGAATTTCTCAGATAGGCATGAAAGAATCTCAGCTGGAGACAACTTCACATCAGCCAGCCGCTTGCAAGGGATGCAGTCCAATCTAGGGGGGAAGCCCTTTGTCCGGGTTACTCCACGTGGGGCATCATCCTTTGCTGACTCCGGAGATTATCACGATTGGCATATGCTGGCAACTGGAATGCCTTGTGGGGGTTTGAATTCCCAACGGAGAGAAGCTTGCAGCATGCAGCTTGCAGTTTGCAGAGATAATACAACATTTACACGTGGGGTGCGGCCCGGGAGACCGTTACGAAGGATTCACGCCCCGGCCCCACGAGGTGAGGTGGGATTAGATCCTTCCCCATTTTACACACGTTCCCTTGCTCTACGCTGCAGGGATCTCGGCGATATTCAGTTTGACCACGACCGAAGTCGACATTTGGGCTACGACTGCCGTGTATTTAGATCATTTCCTCTTTTGGTTATCTCAGAAGGTCGATTTTCCGACGTCCGGGCCGCCAGTGATGCTCAGGCCGCTTTCTCACGTAATTTCAAAATTTCAGAAATGGGAAAAAAATCAATCAGTGGCAAGCTGAGACTTCTATGGCGAATTAACATAGTTTTTTATCATTCTCATCACGTAGTAGAGACTGAGTTGGCATATTCCAGCATTAGTTGATACGTATCAGAGATGGCTATTGTATAGTAGTGAAGAATCTAAATGATAGATGATGAAATAAACCGACTAAAGTTTATTGGCTGGTGTATACAATCAATTCAATGTAGCTATTGTATAGGTTAGGATCAATCTTTGCTTATACCGTCTATCATCCACAAGTATATTAGGCTCCGGTTCAGCCAGCAAGTTCCAGCGTTATCTAAAACTCTTCAACACTCACCGCCGATTACCAATTGGTTAGAACGCTGCACCGAATCAGATCACATCCTTCATACCCAAGATAACTATTTGCATACCGTTTGAGCCATGGATATTACTGGAAATGCATTCATTGTTGGGGGTGGTAAGCAAAACCTCCGTATCAGACCTTCTCCATCCAATAGTCCCGCTAACATGTATCCAGGCAGCGGTATAGGAAGAGCTTGCGCCCTTGGCCTGGCCAAAGATGGCGCCGCCGGTATCCTTATCGCGGACATGAACGTTGAAGCTGCGGGCCGGGTCATTGCGGAATGCAAAGCCGTGGCAACCGCCAGCAACTTTCGCGCTGAGGCGATCCAAATCGACATCTCGCAGGAAGAGTCGGTGGCAAAGGCTACCAGCTTCATGGTTCAGACCTTTGAAAGGATTGACTACTGCATCAACTGCGCAGGGGTAAGCTTTATGTGCGCAGATATCGACTGAGAATGCTAATTCCGTTGCAGATTGGCGTTCAGATGCCCCTCAACATAGCAGAGGCAGACCTGGGCGAGTTCAGCCGCTTTCTGCGAATCCACGTGGAGGGGACCTTTTTACTGGTGCGCAGCGTCTCTGCCGTGATGCAGCGCCAGGAATTGAAGCCCATCGACGCCGCAAACCCGGCCCGAGGAGGGACTCGCGGCTCGATTGTGACGCTGGGCTCGGGGAATTCCTTCGCAGCCACGCCTCACCTGGTGCAGTACACGGCCGCCAAGCACGCGGTTCTGGGTGTCACCAAGAACGCCGGTACGTTCGGCCCGCCTAGCGGCGATTACCCCATTTGGCAAGTTTACTGATGCGGCAAGTCTTAGCTCTCGACAACGCTCCCTACGGAATCAGGGTCAACTGCGTCTGTCCCACGTGGGTGGAAACCCCCATGATCCAAAGCGCGCGGGACGGCGGCATGGACATTGACAGCTGGGTCAACAAGGTGGTGCCTCTGGGCCGGATCGCTACGGCGGAGGAGGTGGCGGATACCGTCATCTTCCTCAGCAGCCCGAGAGCCAGCTACGTGACGGGATCCGGATTCATCATCGATGGAGGCACCACGCTTACCTGCCATGCGTAGACGAGGCGGAGAACCATGCAGGGTCCAGATATTTTCTATTAACGGTTTGTTGAGACAGATCTGGTTGGCAAATATGCGTGGGATCTTAGCTAGAGCTGTTCCGTCAGCGGGCTGTGATATTAGTCCCCAGCCTTAGTTTTTGGCCTCTAGCTCCTAGCAGCCGAATTAAACTAGATCGAGATGACTGCTTACACCAACGACGGCCCGGTGCCGTTTTCAATACACACCGAGTGATTGAGTGCCGACAATTGTACTCCGTAGGATTGCCGTATCTGCGCCCCTGCATTTATCGCCAGGTACAGTAAGTGACAGTGCTTATTTCGAGTCTTTGGGAGGAATCAAGACTCCTTGTAAGGGAATCACTGAGAGTCGAGATGTCTATTTAATTGGCTTCGTTGTTCGCTCATTTATCGATTGATAGAACTATTCATCAACATCTTCTACATCTTCTCCTTCAGTAACAATTTCTCAATAATAACCAAAAATCCCCAACAATCACAATGGCCGAGCAACAGAAGCAGCAGCTTAGCCCTGAGTTGGCCAAGATGCTGGAAGCCAACCCCGAGCTGGCCAAGATGCTCGCCACCAGCGCTGGCTATGTCAACACATTCCCAGCTCCCGGCCTTCGACGCACCGTCCGACACATCACTGGCCACAACGAGGAGGGCAAGGGCGTCTTCATCAAGACTGACTGTGGTGACCACCACCGTGTCATTGGCAACGACCAGGCTCTTGCCAACATCATCTACTCAACCAAGGAGACGCCCGTTGAGATGAACGGCGATGTTGACCTGAAGTTTGCTCTGGAGACCGAGGTAAGCATTCATCTGACAAGGTCTTTCTACTATTGGCACCAAGACTAACTGTTCCAGCCTCCTCTGCACTACCACAACGGCTCTGTCTGCCGCATGATCGACTTTGCCCCCGGTGTCATCTCTCCCATGCACCGCGCCGTGTCGCTCGACTATGGTGTCGTTATCGAGGGAGAGTTCAAGCTAATTCTCGACTCCGGCGAGTCGCGAATCTTGCGCCAGGGCGATGTCAGCGTTCAGCGTGCCAGTGCCCATCAGTGGGAGAACATTACTGGTAACGGACTTTTGCCTGGCCGTATGCTGTGGGTTCTGCTTGACTGCAAGCCTATTCTTATCAATGGCAAGCCACTGGGCGAGGAGCTCAACGAGCTTGCTCCTTACTATGAGAACCGATAAATGGGTTGCCGTATTAGAGGACCACATGTATTCTTTATAGAGATTTTTCTGGATGTGGGCTATTAGTTAGAATAACTCAAAATGGAATACTACACATCAATTGCGCTAACACCACTATGCCTGATTTTGACTACTTTCGTATATATCATGGAATATATATAAATGACAATTTATTCAATGTGTTGGCCCTTTGCTAGTTCCTATAGCGTCATGGGAGATACGCCCAATGTACTTAAAGATGCAAGACTGGGTCATATGCCGCCGTTCATTACATGTATCCATCCAAAATGTACGCCGCTAAGAGGAAGTAGTTGGGCAACGTATCGAACAAAAGCGAGATGAGTCCTCATACCATACCAAAGGCCAAAAAAATAACGATCTAGTTTTTTTCTCTTCTTCTTCTTTTTTTAACCTTTCTCTCTTACTTTTTGTTTATGCGTTTCGGAAATCGTCAAGCATAGCGGGCACGCAAAGGAAATGATCGGTTCACTTCAAAATAAAATACAGCGGATGCATTCCCATGAATCTCAGCGATTAAATTTCATCAAAAACTGGAACAATAAAATTTCATATGGATAATCCAAAAAGAAATCGTTGAATCAACTACACTACATCTCTTGGCTTTTCTCGGAATTATATACGCCGCCGACAAGTAAAATTTTAAAGCCACAATCTAAAGGTCCTTTTTGACGTTTGCCAAATGCGCTTGCTTGACTTTATCCAGGTTAAACTCGCGGTAGAAGAAGAAGTCCTAATATTAACAAGTCTCGTCAGCTTATGATGCCTCTTCCCCTCTTTTACATCAGTTTCTTGCTTCAAAGATTTACTTACCCAGATTGTACGCCACGCAAACATGTCCAAAAATCGAATTATACCAGTGGCGCTTCCGGTCCACAGCCACGGTACTGGGGACGACCTCAAGCTCTGAGAGACAACATTCGATGCATAAACGAACCTGCTTGTAGTCTCTGCACAAACAAGATATCTCAGTTTTTGCTGTTTATTAGAATCGGGATGCATCAGATTGTGAAATCTTACTGGGTGTTCTTGTAACATGGTCTTTAAATTCAGTGGCGAGGGGCGTGTAGTATGATCCTTTATGCAATCAGTATTCGGTTTTCAAAGTATCAATGCATGAAATAGCCACATACCTGCAGGCAGTTTTCGGTTGACGTCGTTCTTGAGAATGTTGGTTCCAACTTCTCCAGAGATGACCTTTTGCATTCCCCGAGTCAGCGCTAGTCAATGTCAAATATACGCGTATAAGATTGCAGTAAACTCACACATATCACTTTAACACTATATGATAGTAGACGTTCAATTAGTATTCATCTTGCACCTCACAATTCATTCTTATAGTTATGCCTTACTTAAAGGGTGACATCTCAAGACGCAGTGTATTGGAATAATGGTGAAGAGCAGCTTTAGATGCGTTGTATGACGCTTCAGAATGTGAATGTTAGCCTACAATCTTCAACATTGGACTTTGAAAGCGTCAGCATACCTCCGTACATGTATGGCACGACACCGCCAATGGATCCAATGTTGACAACAGTTCCACATGCTCGGATGAGCATGTCATGGAAGTGATGCACCATCTGCATCGGCCCAAAAACATTGACCTCAAACATTCGCTTCACAGCATTGACATCAGTGTCAATGGCAGGCATCGTATAGCCTAGAATGCACATAAAGAGTCAATTAGAGAACTGCTTTCCGTTTTGTAGTGTGAGATTTTATCGTACATATTCCCCTAAGTCAACGTTAGAGAAAACTTCACATGAGAAGAAAGAAGCATACTCACGCATTGTTAACGAGAAAGTCCAAGTAGCCGCCGGTAACTGCGAGGATCTCTTCCTTTAGGTGTATAACAGACTTTTCGTCTCTCACATCCAGAGGAAACCAAGTAATCCCAGCTGCAGTTAGATGATCGCTATCCTCATTCGGGAGCACAGTCGCAATAGCATGGACGCCCCGACGAGTATACTCTAGGACAAGAGCCTCGCCAATTCCGCCTTTCCCGCACCTGTGATGATTCAGTGGAGTTCAGACGGCCGCCAGTTTGCAGTACTTACCCTGTAACCAAGGCGAATTTTTGATCACGACCCATCGCTGAGGAGAATGATGCTGAAGATTCAGAATAACGTAGGCAGTAACCCAAAAACAAGGAAATAAAGAAATTACAGGTGCGTTCACTGAAAGAGGTGAAACTGGATGTGTTGAAGTGTGATATTTGGTTGGTGTAATGATTTTTGTGAACATTACCAATACGAGCATGTATCATTAGGTTGCATCCTTGCAAAGGATATATTTTTTATCTGTTTTAGTCAATTCCCCATTCATGACTATGGGCACAGCATCGGAATCTCAGCTCGATTGCAGGCTACAAGACCCTGCCACAAGTAAGCTACAGCGTTTCGCATCCCGCTCCCAAGATAGGCCTGCACCGTAATCGACTTACACCCTCCCGTCAGCTCCGCTAGATCCTAGATCGGGTCCGCCCCTCGCCGCCGGGCCGAAGCAATTACAGTTAGAGCAAGCACCATACCGCCTGAAGGTGAGGAAAGGCACACTCCTGCTTGTATACTCAGATCAGTAAATTCCGACTGCTGAGCTTACCCGTGTACTCGGATCAGCAGATATTTGTGTATGTCTGCCTGTTCTCTATCATTATGGCGCCACAGGAAGCCGAAAAGAAAGATCAGTATCCATGCGAAGGCACTGTAGGTGCAAGAAAGCTCCGTCCAGCTATAGAGCCCTGCCATCTGGATACACCCGGGCAGTGTAATTGTGAGCCAAATGAAGGAGCACTTCTTATATCGTATCAGTATTATTATCAGCAATGACCTATAAAAACAGACGGGATATGCCCTGAGCGCTAAGCTGTATCGTCGGAAGCCATAGCCCCGCCTGAGAATGGCCAATCTGTAACACATGAGCCTATCCCTTTGATATTGGCACAACTCCTTCTCTTTACGCCTCTTATAAAATTTGGATATTCTCATATCTGGTTTGGTGATAGAATTTCCTCAAAAAGTTAACAGCTTTATACAACCCTTGTATTCTTTGCCTGCAAACTGTTGTCACTATGGGCGTAGTGACGGCGGATATGCCGAGAGCCTGGGCTGTGCTTGGCCTCATGGCCTCGACTCTTCTGCTCTGGCAACTCAGCAAAATTGGGCGGCGGCCAAGCAACTACCCCCCTGGGCCGCCAACACTACCTTTGATTGGCAACCTTCATCTGATGCCAAAGAAGCATGCCCACTTGCAGTTTCAGAAATGGGCAGAAGAGTATGGACCGATATACTCAATCATGTTTGGGCCTAGAGTTGCCATTGTTTTATCGTCAGATGTGGCTGTCAAAGACTTGCTGGACAAGCGCAACTCAATCTACTCAGGCAGACCGGAAATGTACATGGGCCAAGATATTATGAGCGGAGGTCTCCGTCCGCTATTCATGGTAAGCTTTTTTCATCCGCAATTGCACTCGATTAGCTCGACTTCTAGCTCAATATGATGTTGTCGTGGCTGGTATTGCAGTTGTCCGTTGCATTGGCTGACAGGATACTCTACAGGGAAACGTTCCAGTGTGGCGCATGGTTCGAAAGCTCGCACATGGTATTCTCAATGTGAAGATCTCTCGAACATATGTGCCATACCAGGACCTCGAAGTCAAAGCCATGCTCATGGGATTCTTGGATAGCCCAAAAGACTTTTTGAATCACATTCGCCGATATACAACGTCTCTCACTACGCAGATGGCTTTTGGCTACCGCACAGCGGCAAGCGACGATGAAGATTTACTCAGCATGTTTGAAGTACGCTCTTTGTCATGACTTTACATTTGAAGAGAAAAATGAACTGACAGATCTTACAGAACTTTGATGAGCTCTCCCAAATTGCTACAAATAAAGTAAGTGCCTTTGTTTCCAATTCTACTCACTCTATTGACAGTATTCGCTACCGCAGGCCGGTGCCATACTCGATTTGTACCCCATTGCCAGATCTCTACCTGATTTTCTCCTTCCGATCAGAAAGGCAGGAAAAGAATACCACAAGAGAGAAATGAAACTGTTCATGAAGCACTTCTTGAATGCTCGCAAACAACTGAAGAGCGGTAATGCAAAGGTAAGACACAGGAAACCCGACATGAGATGTTAATCGAACTAACAGCAAGAATAGCCATGCTGCGCCATTGATCTTCTCAACGCACAAAAGGAACTCGGCTTCTCAGATGAGCTAGCATGCTATATGGGTGGTTCCCTCCTCCAAGCCGGCTCTGAAACTACAGCAATCATCTTGGTTGGCTTCTTTGAGGCCATGCTGGTCTATCCTGAGGTCGCCAAAGAAGCGCAAGCGGAAATTGATCGCGTCTGCGGAGACCGCATGCCTGACTTGAATGATGTTCCCGATATGCCTTATATCCGTGCTTGCATGAAAGAAAGTATGCGATGGATGCCTGCTACAGCTCTTGGTGTACCGCATGCCGTGACGCAGGATGACTCCTACATGGGCTATCATATCCCTAAAGACTCTGCTGTTTTTCTCAACGTCTGGTAAGTTGTTACGGCGAGCTCTCTTTCACAGCGAAACCTGAAGTTGCTAAACGAGTTTTCTAGGGCCATTCAAAATGATCCCCAAAGACATCCCGATCCGCGAAAATACGACCCTTCTCGCTGGGCAGGAGACCACCAAAATTCGGCCCAATCAGCTGTCACCGGCGATCCTACCAAGCGTGATCACTATGTTTTCGGAGCTGGTCGACGGTTATGCCAAGGAATGCACATCGCTGATCGGTCTCTTTTCCTGGCAATGTCCCGTACGCTCTGGGCATTCGATTTGAAGCGCCCAATTGATGAGAAGACGGGACGGGAGATCATCCCAGACGTTGATGACATCCAAGATGGTCTGTTTATTTCGCCTGCACCTTTCAAGGCCAACATTGTTCCAAGAAGCGAGAGTAGAGCTGCAGCAGTACGGAAGGAATGGGAGAGTATGGCAGAATTGCTTGACGAGGATTTGCAGTGGAAAATCGTCCCGGAGGGCCTCAAATGGAGAGACTATGAACCCCTCGATGAGAATGAAGATTTACTCGAGGCTCTTAGTTAACTTTTGAATATGGTATTTCTTTCAGATCAATGCAAAAGGCCTGTTATAGAACAATTTACTTTATCCGTACCTCATCTAGGCTTTGCATGACCAGTTAGGATTATCAGTCGAGAAAGGGTTTTAAAGAATGTGGCATAAACTCAGCCTGCTAAGTGTAACATTGCAAACGAACAGCGATTTGATTCAAAAAAAAAAAGAAAAGAAACTTCAAATAGAATTGAATAACCCGCTTTACAGTAGCGACCGAAATGAGTGTCCGCTTTTGTCAATGAAAAGATTCTCTCCGCACGGGCCACTTTTGCAAACCTGTGGCTAGTACAGTGCGAACTTCCTCGCATCATCATGTACTGTTTTAGGGCAGTCCTTAAGAGTTCCGTCCGTTTTTGGATAAAGTGCCATTTCCGGCTTCTGATTGCAGCTACCGCCGCCATTACCTTATCAACTGACTTGCAGTACTGTGACCTTCAAGTTGGTTCTATTAGGCAACCACAAGGCTGGATGAGTCGTCAGCTAACGCTGCATGCAACCCGCCAGATTGCGTCAAGGCATGCGCCCACAGAGCCTCGAGTCAAAATCTAACCATAAGCTTCCTCCGCCCACATACTCTTAGACGCCGCTATCTCATAGTTCACCCTTATTTATTAAGGTAGCGCAATAAACGATGATAATAATAAGGACTAGTTACTTCATGAACTTAGCCTAGGCTATGGAGCATTTATTATCTTGCAGCTTGTTAATATAGGCAGTGAGCATAATTAACAAAGACACACTAAGTTCCATCCCTTTATTAGCTACCTCCAGTGTCTTTAGCCGTAAGGCAAAAAGCTGTGCTGTATATCTATTAACGCTTTTTATAAGTAATAATATATTGCGCTATTATATACCTAGGAGCCTTTAAAGTATAAAGATCCTTGTAATAGGTGGTACTGTGTTAAGGGCTAGGATGTTAAGCGTTTTGAATTTTTAGTAGTTTGGAATTGCGTTTTTGATTGCGTCCTTAGCTATATGCGCTATACTAAAGTTCAGTTCCTCTAGATTAACGCCAAATGCATTTACTAAGACATGTGCGATAACGTTGCCGCTTACACCAGCCACCACCATTGCGCTTAGAAGCGTAATGCTCTATAAGCTATAGACCTTGTTTACTAGCTTAGCAAGCACCCTATTGCGCTATTAGCCCGTCTGCTGCAAATGGAATTTAAGCTAGACCTCCTAACACACATCCTCTTGGGGAATCTTATTAACGGTAACTATAACTTTCGGCTTTTGCAACCAACTACTGTCTATAAAGCAAGGAAGGCCTTGTGGTTACTTTATAAGATTACTTAGGATATTTAGTGGGGCTATGCCTAGACTTTCCAGGAGAACTATTGCGGCAGAGAATAAATGCAGCTGCTAATCCGCTATAATTAATTACTAGAGCGGTAAAAGCTATGCTATCGGATATTTAGTAAGATACTGGGCGAGTTATATATATGGTCTGTTACCTTTTTCACAGAGGTGACGCGCCTATGCCTAGCGCTCCGCGGTGCAGGGGTAGAACTGCCGCCGGATGATATTTACTAGATTAACGATGTGCTTTAAGCAGCTGGGAGGTATACAGCGGTGCTGCATAAGTTAAGCATAATAACACTAGCAGTAGTCACTAATATTAAGGCGCATGGGTTATTAAAGCCATGGGACTGGCTTGCTATTTTTGCAAATTACTGTTAATACCTGGTGCAGTTGGATTATAAAGCTCTCGGCAAGCAGTATTATAGCTTAAGTTTATTAGTGTTAGTTATGTGTTTACTTAATAGCGAGATTCTTAATAATAATAATAGCAGCCTGGAGCTAGTGGCCCTACTAATAATATTAGAGTTTCTTAAAAAAAAGCTGTTTAAAGTATTTAGTATGCTAAAAGATAACCTTAGGCGGCTATTATTTAATAAGGGCTGCTGACTAATTAACATAAAGCTAAGAGTGGATGGTATCTTAATAAAGGGGCACCTGTGGAAGTTAGGCTGTGTTATTAACACCTTAATGTTTTTAAAGAAGCTGCCCTAGATTAATAACCTAAGTAGTTAACTAAAACTAAACCAGCGGAGGCGTCTACTACAACTAGTTTACTGCTTAATTGAACTTAAACACTACCCTCTCGCTGGCTAGATTAATAACTATCTTGCCGCTAACGCCAAATCTAACGCTAAGAAGGGCTATACTTACTTTACTAAGATATATCTTTACTGCATAGCTGCTGAATTAGCAGTAGTAATTAAGGTATACTAAAAACTAAAGTTAGGTAGCATATAGTACTTAATAAGGCGGCAGGCGCCCTATAGCGCAGTCTTTATGTGGCTTAATTAAGATAAGGACAAGGACAAGGCAAATCTACCGCTAGTGTTTATCTTTACCTTGGCATGGTTCCGCGATTTAGGCTTAAAGACTTACGAAGCTAATGATATTAATTACCACGTCTTACTTAAGGTTAGCCTTAAGGAGCCCCTTGATAGCACAGGTGCCCTACACCTCCGTGTCCGCAGGTCGCTGCTCGGCATGTGCTTCTTTAACGGGTACCCACGCACTAAAGTTGTGTTTCCCTGGCCGCGAGCGCTTCAAGCAGTTAAGCCTTAGTACAAAACCTAGTGAGGAGTTGAAGTACCCGTGATAGTCGGTATTAATCTCAATAATTAGCCAACGTTTCAATATATGATAATTCTCATTTCTTCGTCTGCTTTTATATGTTGGCCGGTCGCCAAAGCTGCAGTTCCAAATAGTTGTCTTTCCCGTTATATATATGTATAGACAGTATCCAATTAGCATATGGTGTCGAGTAATGGGTTGAACTCATAACTGGAAGACCATTGGTTTAGTTTAAAAGCTATTTTGAACTTTATGGTACAAATGGTAAGTTATTTCCACTCGCACTGTACCAGCCACAAGCCCCACAACCAGGTCCGTGCGGAAAGAGATTCTAAAGTAATGAAACCGGACACTTATTTCGGTTTTTACTGTATATATGTTCATAATGCAATAACAAAAATGTGAATGGCGCGCAGAATTATTTCAGACCATGGTCAAGGCAACGCAGTGAATTTCAGTGAAAAAGCTCATGTTAGCGATGTCGGCCGCTATAGCCGTGAAAGCACCCCAATCGGGCAAGGCGCTCTCGTCGCGATGGACCGAGCTGCTTTATCGATAAGATTTGTATGGCTCTTTTAGTAGACTTTAGTCTAAATTATGACGCCAATGGGCAGTTGAGAAACACCAAAAATTTCGCAGCTCACGGTCCGGATACTTTGAACATTATTTCCATTGCTGCACAGAACAGAATTTTCAAAAGTCCCAAAATGGCTGAACAAACCCAAAACACCGAGGCCCAGATCCAGGAGCTGCAGAAGCAGATTGAGCAGCTCAAGGCGTCGCAGAAGAGCCCTTACGATGTCTACCAGACATCCCTGACAAGCCGCTACTGCAGCGCTGAGATGACGCAGCTCTTCAGCCAGCGGTCCAGGCACTCTACCTGGCGCAAGCTCTGGCTGGGCCTTGCCGAGGCTGAGCACGAGCTGGGCATCGAGACCATTACTCCCCAGGCTTTGGAGGAGATGAAGGCTCACCTTATCGTCACCGACGAGGACTTTGAAGCTGCGCGTATTGAAGAGAGGATTAGACGTCATGTAAGTTGGCAAAATTGCATCTGTCTTTGCTATACGTTGCCATATCTCATCGTAGATTCTCTTGCTAATATGAATTTTATAGGATGTCATGGCTGTGAGCTTTTCTCTATCATGAGACGTTCTACGACCGGCTGACAAGAATACAGCACGTCCATGCTTTTGGCCTTGTTGCTCCGGCTGCTGCTGGTGTCATTCACTACGGAGCCACATCTTGCTACGTCACTGATAACGCAGAGCTCATTCTCCAGGCCAAAGCTCTTGATCTTTTAATCCAGAAGCTGTCCAAGGTCATCTCCAACCTGAAGGCATTCTCTCTCCAGTGGAAATGTAGGTTATGAGATCAAGATTGTTGTCTTGCCTGTGGCTCAATATTCCCTGAAGAAACATTTTGCTAATTTTCATGCATCATAGCTGAACCTACATTGGCCTACACCCATTTGCAGAGCGCTCAGTAAGACATCCCATTTGACCACAAGCTTTGAAGCCAAAAGTGCTGACAATCCCAATAGGCCCATCACCGTTGGCCGTCGCTGTAAGTGTGCAAAGCCATTCATCCCGTTACGATGATGATTCTGATGAGAACAGCGGCCCAATGGCTTCAGGACCTCACTTTCGATTTGGAAAATCTCGAAACTGTTCGCGCAAACCTCAAGTTCCGAGGTGCACAGGGTACGTCTGGAATCAGTTATTGTGGAATATGATGAACTCCGTGACTCCAAGAATCTCAGTCGCTGATGGCAAATAGGAACTACCGGAACACAGGCATCCTTCTTGGAAATGTAGGCTTATACCTGCGGCGTCAAGCGCGCATGAGCCACTCTACTAACTGCCCAATTCACAGCTTCCAAGGCGATCATGCCAAGTGCGACAAGCTTAACGAAATTCTCTGCAAGAAATTTGGATTCCCGGCCTGCTATGTATGTCATTAGCCCAACCTCCTCATCTCTTTATTCCTATGTAGAGCTCTTGGCCACTGCTTCCCGCTACTATATTCTTCTTTCATGAAAACAAAAGTTGCTAATCTTTTCTTCTTACTTTTCTATTCTAGGACATCTCTACCCAGACATAGTGAGTTTCCCTTATAACAATTGCAGCTTTGCCTTGAACGCCAAGCTATATACTAACTTCATGGATTAGCACGCGCAAGGTCGACCTCATCATTGCCCAGGCAGTGGCTGGCATTGGAGCTAGCGCTCATAAGATTGCAAACGATATTCGTCTGCTGGCAAACTTCAAGGAGATTGAGGTTTGTTTATCCACTTAGATGATGAAGCAGTTACGCAATGTAGCAGTGGCTGACACGAAGTCTTGGTAGGAGCCGTTTGAGGCTAAACAAATTGGTTCTTCGGCCATGGCATACAAGCGCAACCCGGTCAGTAGCTCTCTTCGATAATATCCTTGCGCTCTCCTAAGGAGATGCTATTGTTGTTCATGTTGCTGACCCTCCATTGTTTAGATGAGGAGTGAGAGAATTTGCTCCCTGTCTCGTACCTTGATGTCCAAGCCAGCTTCTTTTGCCAACACGCTGTCCACACAATGGATGGAGCGAACATTGGACGATTCTGCCATCAGACGTAAGTACTATCTTGCCATTGGAATAGTATACAAAAGAAGCTGGATCATGCTCTTCTTATAAATGAATGCAGATGAGTACGGCTAACAGTAACAGGAATGGATATTCCCGAGATGATGCTGCTTGCAGAGGCCGTTCTCATCGGCTTGGACAACGTTACAGATGGTCTCGTTGTCTACCCGGCCCGAATTCGAAGCAGATTCCTTGAGGAGTTGCCGTTTATGGTGACTGAGGCGGTAAGCATTTCAAGTCTCCCGAGAGCCGGTGTCTCCATAGCAGGAGACGCTTTTTCGTTTAATCATTTGCTAATAGCCCCTAGATTATCATGAAGATTGTGGCCAAGGGCGGCTCGAGACAAGAGTAAGTCACGATTAAACAATCATGATGATCATTGCTAAAATAAATAGGGCACACGAGGAGATCCGTGTTATCTCACGCCAGGCTGCAAGCGTTGTCAAGATGGAGGTGAGATGTCTTTTCTCTACATGCTCTCTCGATCATAACTAATCACATGGGATATCTAGGGCAAGCCGAATGACTTGATCGAGCGTATTCGCAACACTGAGTACTTCAAGCCCATCTGGGACGAGCTTGATGGAATGATGAAGCCCGAGTTGTATGTCGGCCGCAGTGTCGAGATTGTCGAGAGATACTGCGGCGCTGGTGGCCCCGTGGAGAAGGTGCTTGCTCCATACAAGGAGTACCTCGCCCAGTCTACCACTGCGCAGCTGAACGTTTAAGCTACCCGGTTGCAGATGGTTGGAATTGTAGAAAAGTGATAAAAAAGGCGGTTGTAAGCCTTGTCAATTGGCTCAAAAGACAACGAAAGGGATGGGATATGAGGGCTATTATGCCTGTAGCTAGTCTAGACACGATGAGCTTCAACATGCTACGTCACATTGCTATTTCAGGGATAGACTGATCGCATACAAACTGGGAATAATCTCATCTATCAGATTCGTCTCTTGACTCCAACCAGAACGGCTGTCTTCATCCTGGAATACGCACATGGCGTCAACTTACAAAAGGCGCTACAGTGGATCCTAGTGGTCATTTCTAGAAGGATTATGCCTCTTGGTCGGCTTAGCCTACCTGAGCCAGTCTGAGGAGATTTAGTCAAATCAATCTAGCAGAAACTATTTGGGAGCTTCTCTACCCTTGGTGCAGACCGGCAGCTAGTTTAGACACTGGCACGGCCCGTGGGCGCTGTCACATTCATGCGAGCGAGGACACGATGGGAAAGTACCCTGGGTGTGAGAAGCCGACTGAGCGGCGACGGATGTCATAGTAGTAAACCCCGAGAAGAATATAGGTCTTTGGGGGTAGTGAAGGATTGTAGGAGCAACTACTGCCATATTCGGTGGTATCAACATCTCTCTCAATATTTAATGTTCAATAAACAATGATCTATATAATGCTTCTATTTCTTTTCTAGCGTAAGTCCCAGATACCGAAGCAACGGAAGAGAAATTTACGTGATACTTATTTAGGACGGATATTTACAAGCGAAAAGGTTCGAAAGATGTTTAGTCTTCAGAATAGTCAACTGACGTAGCTTTTGCCACCTTGCTAATACCGTCGTTTATCTGAGCTTGTACATCACCAGCATAAGTGAGCAAGTCAAAGATTGGTTGTGCTGACCGATCAGGCGCAGCTCGGTTGGTCAACGAAGTTCAGATCGAAAGAATACGTCTTGTGAAGAACCGCAGCATTTCCCTGGACGCAGAGAGATGAAGCGTAGACGACAATCTCAACTTCGCCATCTACAAAGAAACATACTACTAAAAGAAGAACTAGACAAGGCCGGAGCTAGTAGTCTACTGTTGATAGAAAGAGTAAATCTTGCCTCGTATGATTTCTATTTTAGACTCCTAGCTACTCTTGCTAGGGATCCCGAGATCGGCAAAAAAAAGCCAAAGATCACTATGCTGAATCATTTCCCCATCTTCACGCTAGATACATAGTAATTGCGTTATACCGCCATCTCGAAAAATGAGGCTGACCAAGGCTCATAGGTGACAGCCGTTGTGCCTGAAAGCTGACGTGAATGCTTCGACAGACACGCCTCTAGATGCTGCAGGCATTCGAATCCAATATTACCAGGATACCAGGATATAGCCTCTTCTGGTTCGACACGGCACGCAGACACACAAGTTTGTCCCGGCCCGGAACGAGAGATCAGAGCAGGCATCTCGGTGTGCACCGGATTGACGGGATGATAGGAGATCAAGGTGGGGGTTTGCCTAGTACATTCGAGGACCCCGGTCTTCCTGGTAGTGGAGTGGGCGTGTGAGAAGGAAGATCTTATGGACCCCATCTTTCTAGTTGCACACGGGAAGAGAGCAGCTGAAAACTGATCCAAAGGGATTCTTGTGCAGGCAGCGTACAGAATATGCTCATTGCTGCGCTTCTCTCCCACAAGGGAAAAAAGATTTTTTTTTTGCTATGGGATACGGCTTCTTTGTAATTTGGGGGAAAAGTCTTGATTGACGTGGGATTGAGCCGCCTCAAGCTACGTGATGCAGATATATGTAGGTAGTTTATAATGCAAGTAGGCTATCATGTATCCAAGCTCCCAACAGCAAATATTTCCTCTGTCAGTTTTCTGCTGTAGTTTTTTTTGTGCCAAATATCTCTAGTAGTCCCTTTTGGAGATGACACAAATGCTACCTACGTGTAGGTACGGTAACACCAACTGAAACTCCTCGCCCGGAACTCTTGTTGGTTGTGTCATCTCAATTGCGCAATGCCATAAGATCTCATTATCTTGTCGTCTGTGCACCCGTACCCTAAAGCACAGATATGTTCGGACATCTAATTCCTCCGATTGGATGCTACGTCCCCGACTTCAGTTAATGTTCGATCGCATCGCCAATTTCACTTCGCCAACTCCGAAGCTATTTAAACACCCTTAAGTGTGATTTATCGAGTCGTGCTTTAATTTAATAAAACCATAATCGCGCAGTTCTTTAGGTTGCCAATATGTCGACCGGATGGCCGTCATGATGTCTCTCGATTGTTACGTATGTGGTTGTTGGTGTTTGGTGAATCTCATGGGCAATGCATGGAAGATGGAGAATTTGACTGTGAGCGCCTCATATTCTTCTCTCGAGCAAGTTATTAGCTTATAAGAGTAATTGTTGTCCATTTTGTCTATGGAATGATATTGGACATCCAGCGACTGGCGCAAACACCGCTCAAATTGTACCTATGATTCTTCTTGCTTGAACCAAAACTGACTTTTCGACTACATGTATTTTCCCCTCCATTTCAAGTCGACTTCTTATCTTCCGGCTCTTTATAATACTCAGGGTATGACGGTTTGTACCTATCACATATCTGACGTTAGTGCTGCGCAAAAATGAGACGCGGAATCCCATGGCGATAAACGTACCCGAGTAGGTAGCCACCAACCCAATAAGCCAGCACATATTGGACCGACGCAAGAAGCCACAACGGCATCCAGAAAGGCGGCGTGGCCAAAGTTGCACAGTCATAGGAGATGAGCGCGAGTTGGAACACAGAAGGAGCCGTCTTTGCCTTGTAGCAGTCTGCCTGGTAGCCTATCAAGTTGCGAATGAACCGTTCATCGAAGCTGTTATCGAGGCCTTGGGGCTCCGCCCACACTTTGAAAATTAAATCCTCTTTGTTGGATGCATGCGACCAGAATTTGTGTCTATAGGATTGCCTCGATTAGTTTCCACATGCAATTCAACACGGCTGATGAGGCTGCAGGATGCGTGACGCTCACCGTGTACCAGCGAGCACCTCGATAATGCCATCATCCTTTGTAGCTCTTATCTCCTTTCCATTCTTATGTATTCCAATTACACCCTGTTCGACTTGAAAATATTCACTCTGTTTCCAGTGAATGTGCCTATATATAAAATGGTGAGCTTCGCATCAATTTAAAACAGCCCATTGTTTGACAAAAGACTTACAGTGGTGGACCAGAAAGTCCATTTTTGACCAGAGGGTTGTTGATGTAGTGTGTTTCCTTTACAACCCATCGGCCATCAGGTTCTATGAGGAACTCAAAGAGTGCCGCGTCGTTATTGGAATAAACGGTTAAATCTGAAGCAATTTCCGATCGCTGGGGGCGAGGAGAAAGCCACAACTGCCAAAACCAAGCCATAGTCTATCTAGATTGTGTGACAACGAAGTTTAAATATTCTGGATAGTCATATAAAATCCAGTCAAAACAGCGATAACAAGAGGGATGGAGGTGGGGGGCGTGCAGGGCACACGGTTGGAATATTGTGCGTAGGATCGCTGGTGAGCAAGAGCAAGCGATATATGAGCACAACAATAGCAAATGTAATTCACTAGAAGCGATGTTGGTAAGAGATATTCATGGGACTTGAAGTCATATCTCGGGCCGCGCAAAGGGAAATTTATCACGTTTGGCCGTGCACGAGCCAGGGTCCAGCTAGCTATCCAAAGGCAGCGTTTGCATGATCCAATATCTTCCTACTACTAGTTCTACACCGCCGCTCAGCTGAGAACAAGTCTGGATGGCATGATAAATAAGACGAAGTTCCATGTCATGGCGACAAATGTCAGATCCGACTATTTCTAGTTGGATTAGGGTGTATCTCAGAACCTATGCCACTAACACGGAGCAGATGCTAGAAGGATTCCGCATCCCACTTTTAGTGGCGGCCGGGAAGGAAAATCAGGAGGGTGAGCTGACAGAAACGCAGCTATACCTATTTCTCAAACTCCGCCTTGGGTTACTTACTTTCTATCACGGGGTACCCTGTTGCCATTCGCGGGCCGTATTAAGATAGTGCTGCCGCATTTGGCAGCGAACATTGAATTGACCGAAATGCTTTGTGCCGAGCTCCAGTTACCTGGAATTTTTCGTATCTCCACGTGTAGTTGCTATCAAGATACGGAAGGTCGTACGAAACGTGTGAGCAATGTGCTGGGGCGGTATCGTGCCGTTTGCTTTCAACTTGAATAATCCTAGGTCCATCCTCAGCGGTCTCGAATTTTGGGAATTCATGGCCAAGAACTGAGAATGCTTAGTGGGCTTGACAAAGCAAAGCAGGTTCGGAATTAGAGAATGTTAATGTAGAGTAAAAGTATCATTGAAATAGATTATTTTTGGATAGAAAAGCACCAGTGACTCACCTATACTCTCTAGGACGCATATCCAAGCTCTCCAGCGGCCTTTGCCGATTATCTCGCCATCTATTCATCCTTTTATTGTTCTAATCGGCTATGTTTCCTAAGCTTGGTGGCCTTTTGGCTTCTACCCTGGCAGTGTTTCCGTTCATTGAGTCATGTAGCCCCGTAGTTCCTCACTATTTCCGGGCCGCTGATGTCTCACGAACTGTCACCCTGGCGCAAGTACAAAACGACCTCGGAAAGTTTCTTTCCAAGGGCACTCAAATTTTTGGCCCTTCTAGCCCTAATTTTGCTAACGCTACTGATAGGTGGGCTCAAAGCTCTATGCCCGCTAATATCGAGGTTGTGATTGAGGTAGCTCAAGAAGCCGACGTTGCAAAAATTGTTAGTTGCCATTCAGGTATCACACCCAGAACATAAGTTCTAACCAGCCGTATAGGTCCGCTATTGCTACCAGAATAGCATTGACTTCTTGACGTATAACCGTGGCCATGGCCTCAAAAATACACTCGCCAAGTTCCAGGGCATTCAGATCAACCTGTCACAACTTACTGGCATCACTATCCAGCCCGACAGGAACTCTGCGTTGTTTCAAGGTGGAGTATATGCCGATATAGTCATTGATACGCTCTGGGAACAGGGCTACATTGTCAGTAAATTTTACAAGATTTATGACTACAAACAAGCTCAGCTCCTAACGCTGCGTGCGTCGTCTCTAGCTACGGGAAGTGATGGCTGTGTCGGTCTCCTTGGGCCGGGCTTGGGAGGTGGACTTGGGAGATACCAAGGCCAATATGGTCTCATATCTGACGATTTTCTCAGCTTGAACGTCGTGCTAGCTAATGGCACAACTGTTGCCGTTGATTCTTCCTCACATAGCGACCTGTTCTGGGCCATGAAGGGCGCCGGCCACAACTTTGGCATTGTCACCAGTGCTTATATCAAAATTTACCCCAAAGTTGTCAGCACATGGCACTACCACAATTATGTCTGGTCACAACAACAACTTGAAACTGTCTTTGAAGCACTCAATAAATTCCAAGGAAAGGGGCAAATTCCTGCCCTTATGGGTGTCAACTTTGGCCAATTTTCCATCTACCCAACTATTAATGCCACTGAGGTAAGCAATCGCGTTTAATCGATGTTGTCTAATTCTACAATTTAGTCTAATACTTACCATACAGGCTATTCTTACGTGGTCTTTTGCCTATGATGGTCCTGCTGCCGCTGCCGAAGAGCTTCTAGCCCCATTCAACGCAATTCCTAACATCTCAAGCACTATGGGCGACGTTGACTATGCTGACCTACTTGTTGCCCAAGGAACAGATTCCAACAGCGCGTCTTGTCAACCAGGGCCATTTGTTGGCAGCAGCGCGTGGCTTCAGACATATAATGTGACTTCCCAGCGGCAGATATATAATTCTTCCAACGAAAAGATTGCTCAGAACCCTGGTCTTGCTGCTGGGGCTCGCGTTTTTCTCGAAGGGTATTCGACAGAGGCTACGCAAGCCATTGATCCCGGCACTTCAGCCTACCCCCACAGAGACGAGTATCTTCTTGTGTACGTAACTCTGGAAGCAAAGAAAAATTTGGAGTGAGCTATATAAATATATATGAGCTAACATATTCCATGCAGGTTCATTCTCGTTGCCACACCGCCGTCATTGGTGAGCTTCTCTCAAGCTTGGGCCGATGAAACTTTGGCCCTTTGGAGAGAAAGTGAGCCTGGCCGTCGGCCCACGACATACATCAACTATGCTGTCGGTAACGAGCCTCTTGAATCGATTTATGGCTATGCTGGACAATTACCCAAACTTCGGGCTTTGAAGGCCAAGTATGACCCCCAAAACAAATTCAGGTGGTACAATCCTGTTGTTACTGATTGAAGAGCCTATGGATGCATATATTTTCTTCTTCTTCTTTTTCTTTCAATATTTTCGTACAATAGACTTACTGTCAAGCTCGTGCTATAGCTGAGAATCATCTATGTAGAAAGCAGAATAATTGCGTTGTCACTTCGGCGCATGTCCATTCACTCGCTCTTAGCTGCTTGTAAGCTGAACTTGAGCGAGCTTGACATGGGAGTGTTGCCTGTTCTGCCCTTGGCTTTGTAGAAACTTGTGCAATTAAATACCATAGAATAGTCTGTTGGTACAATCCTGGCAAGCCTTCCGCTGTGAGTCATCAAAATACCATCATCCCGATGCACTCAAAGATATGAGTCAACCAACACTTCCGACGATAAATGGTTGGCGATTGTAGACGTTTTAGGCGAAGCTCAGTGGACTGGAATGCTTATGTCATCAACGATCGCCTTATCTTGTATCTTTCGCAGCGAAAAAGGCAGGAGGGGTACACACGTGAATGGCGGGGCAGTTCAGATTCTGGCTGCGCTGCCACAGCTTTGGCTCGACATAAATCGAAACTCCAAACTCCCATCACAGAGTCATTCCATACTCAGCTACGACTTCTAGCAATCACAACACAATAACAACTTCAAGATGGCGGACGCTTTGGCCGAGGGCGTGGCCAAGCTCGTTCTCGACGCCGAGACGGGCGAGATGGTCACCAAGAACGAGCTGAAGAAGCGAACCCAGAAACGAGCCCGAAAGGCGAATGCTGCTGCAAACCGTGCCAATGCCCAGCAGGAGAAGAGCAACGCGCCAGCTGCGGCCAAGCCTGCGAAGCCTGAGGAGCGCGTCATTGACCCGGAGGCCATGTTCAAGCAGGGCTTCCTGGGCGAAGTCTACAAGCTGCGACCAGAGAAGGAGGTTGTCACGCGATTCCCGCCTGAGCCCAACGGCTACCTTCATGTAAATCTTGGTTCTGCGTCTCTAGGGGCTGTGAGGTGGCTAACAGAAAGTTTAGCTGGGACACGCCAAGGCTATCGCTGTCAACTTTGGCTTTGCAAAGTTTCACGGCGGTAGAACTGTGAGTATTCTCCAACAATTCGTTTGGCATGCAAGTAGCTAAACGATCATAGATTCTTCGGTAAAGGCAACGCGAAACCCTTGACCGACTGCGATTTCCCGCTGACACGACCGAATCTAGATTCGACGACACAAACCCCGATGCCGAGAAAGGAGAATATTTCGTCGCTATCGAAGAGACCATCCGATGGCTTGGATTTACACCGAGCGAAATCACGTACGCGTCCGACAACTACCAGCGAATGTACGATCTCGCCGAAGAACTTATCAAGATGGAGAGGGCCTACGTGTGCCATTGCGACGACGTCGAGACCAAGAAGCAGCGCGGTGGCGAGGACGGCTTGACTCCAAGATATCGTTGTGAACATGCCAAGCAGGACGTTGAGACAAACCTCAAAAAGTTCCGTGGCATGAGAGATGGAGAATATGAGCCGAGAAGCGCCTGGCTTCGCATGAAGCAAGACATTGAAGGCAACCCAAATCCCCAGATGTGGGATCTTGCGGCGTACCGAATCCCCAAAGACCAAGAGCCACACTACCGAACGGGCACCAAGTGGCGGATATACCCAACCTACGACTTCGCACACTGCTTATGTGATAGCTTCGAGGGCATCACACACAGTTTGTGTACCACTGAGTTCATAATGTCACGAGAGAGCTATGAGTGGCTGAATAAGTTCGTACTTTGCCTGCAAATCTCGATGCAGCCAACTATCAGCTAACTGTTAATGTAGGCTTTTGGTGGAATTCCAGCCCATGCAGCGTGAATACGGCCGCTTGAACCTCAGCGGCACCATCATGAGCAAGAGAGGCCTGCGGACCTTGATAGAAAACAAGGTTGTCCGCGGATGGGACGACCCGCGACTGTACACGATCAAAGGCATTCGACGACGAGGCATTCCCCCAGGCGCACTTCTCTCTTTCATCTACGAGCTCGGTGTGACTACGAGCGTAACGCAAGTTAATATCAAGCGTTTTGAGCAGTCTATCCGAGTGTATCTCGAGAAGACTGTTCCCCGCCTCATGCTTGTCCTGGATCCTGTCCCGGTGGTGATCGAGGATGGCGAAGAGCAGGACCTGGATATTCCCTTTTCACCAAAAGACCCCAAGCTAGGATCTCACACTGTTCGCTTGACTAAGACCGTTTACATCGACCGCTCAGATTTCCGAGAGGTAGACAGCAAGGACTACTTCCGCCTCGCTCCGGGCAAGAGTGTTGGCCTGTTGAACGTGCCTTTCCCCATCAAAGCTGTTTCTTTTACCAAAGATGAAACCACAGGAGCTATCAAAGAGATCCGAGCTGTCTTTGACAAAGAAGGCAAGAAACCCAAGACGTACATCCAGTGGGTGCCCGAAGGCTCTCCCGCAGCCGAAGTGCGGATACACGAACCCCTTTTCAAGTCTGATAGCCCTGCATCTGCCCCTGGTGGCCTTTTGAGTGATGTCAATCCAAACAGCGAGACCATCTGGCCAAATGCAATGATTGAAAACGGCTTCTACGAAGTGAAGCGAAGGGCGCCCTGGCCCGAAGCCGAAGGAGAAAAGACTGGAGAAGCACTCCCAGAGAGCGTGCGATTCCAGGCTCTTCGTGTTGCATACTTTGTAAGTTAACATGGTTGCCCGTGACACATGTAGCAGATGCTGACAATCTTTTTTACGCACCCAGGCCTTGGACTCGGATAGCACAGATGACAAGATCGTGCTGAACCGCATTGTGGCATTGAAGGAGGATTCTGGAAAGAGTAGCTAGACTGAGCAGAGAATCAACTGTCTTACGATCAATATTAGCGTCTAGTCTACAACCACTGCTTGTTTCCATAGTGTGACACATGAACCACCACTTCCGCCGCCGATACTTGCCTTCTCTCACACGGAAATCACCTCTTTTATGTCGGCTTCTGGAATGGATGGGCCTTTGAACTGAGGGCTATATGCCAAGAATTTCTGAAAGATGCCTTCTGCTTTGGCCATTTGTTCTGGGGTCGCTGATTAAGAGTTTGTCAGTCAACCGGTTGTAGATGCATAGAGAAATGAGGAAATAAAGGAGCTCATACTGTTTTTAAAGTGTCCAGTCTCCACCGCACCTAGGCAAATACTTATACAAAGAACGCCTTGTTTCTTATACTGCGCGTGGAATTTTTCGATCGAAACGTTCATTGTCGCCTTGCTGATGGCGTATCCTGAGCCATTATCCAATTCGAACTGGTTGATTAGGTCCAGGTCTGCTATCCTAGTGGACAAAGCAATTACCTTTTTGGTTTTACCCGCGAGGAAGTGACATGAATTGGTGGATCAGATGGATATTGCAAACGACGTTGGTTTGGAAGGACTTGAGCCGGTCTTGCTCAAAGCACATACGACAGATTCACATGCATCGCCCCCATACTGCGCTTACGCATTCACCAAACGTTGTTTTTTTCTTCATGAACTCCCTAACAACTGCGATACTAGACAGGCGACACGCCACTCGGATCCGGTGCAACTTCTCTGGAGTCGCGGACTTTGGTGGACTTTGGCTACACTGGCTAGAGCCACTCGGACATCCGAATTTACCGTCCTTTGAAGATGAAACAAGGTTGAAAAAAGATCGAAAATTTTGTTTATAATGGAGATTAAGTGAATACTCTAATACGGAGATGCGGTAACGGATATGTGCACGACATATAGCCTAGGCCCATGTCGGCATCTAACCTTCAGTCTCTTCACATCCCTAAACTTCAAATTGTTGGCAGATTCCAGCTCTTTTGTTGTCTCATCCCAGTGGTGGGTGCTTAAATCTGATCCTTATGCAAAGTATTCGAAAGTCATCTAGTCTTAGCGTTAAATCGAACATTCGTCGTTTGGACGTATTGGAAACTGGCAGGGCAAAAGAGCAATATGTAGAGGCATATTAAGAAGATGGGTTAGGAAAGACACAAAGTTCAGTTACATAAAAGTGAACATAAAATAGGTCAAGAATTGAAATATAACAAATTTGATAGAGATAATTACATCAAGTTGTTGAATGTAGGATTTATACTGAGGTTTCTAAGGGAATACACTGCCAAAACCAACAATATGGCATTGAGCACATGAGCTCTCAAGGATAGTGCTGGGGCAGAGGATGACCATAAGCAAAGAGGTTTGACGGATCGTACTTGTGCTTCAGCTGAGCCAGCCGAGGCAGCTTGTCTGCACCAAATACGTTCTCAATGGGCTCGTCACCTCGAGCATAGTTGACGAAAATAGTTGGCTTGCTGTAGCCAGTGTACGGGGCGTACTGCGAGCGAATTTGAGCTCCGTAGTTGTTTGCTGCATTTTGCGTTGCGCTGTCTCCGGCGTCGTAGACAAACTGAGCTTGGCTATTACAACGAACATCTTGTTAGCAAGAAATGACCAATAAAGAAAGGACAAAAAGGATATCATGGATCTTACAAAAAGCCCCAGACATCTCTCCATGGCCAACAGGTCTCGCTTGCAGGAACAGCAGCAGTCGCCTTGTTGCCAAAGAGCTCCAACATAATCTGGCTAGCGCGACCACCAGGATTCTTCTCAAAGAAGTCTGTGATGGTTTCAAAGCCTTTCTGCCAGCCAGCTGCGCTATAGACCTTTTGGTTGAGAGAAAAGCTGTTTCGCGGCTTGTTGGGCAGGCAGTTTTCCGGGTCATAGCCAGCTCCACTATAAGCAATGATCTTGTTCCACGGCAGAATAGCAGTGATGTATTGGGCGCCGAATGCAAGAATTGGAGCCAGGGCCTTGCGGGCGTCTGCCTCTGTGCCATAAAAGATCCAATCAGAACCGACTTGACTCTAGATATCGGTTGATCAGCATTCACTCAGTCGAGTGTCTCATCTCTCATCCGAGTTAACCAAAGTGGCATGAACTTACAACATTGAGAGTGCTGTTCCAGTTGAGCACTATGACAGCAGCCAAGTTGGGAGGCATGGGGCTGTAGTTCTTCTCAATGAGCTGGAAGTACTCCAAGCTTCTCTCCTTGGGAAGATAGAAGTCGACCATGAAGACATTGCCGTTGTTGTTGCTGGCCAGCGTCTGGACTTCGAAAGTTGCAGACGTGATGACACCGAAGTTTGCACCTGCACCGCGGATAGCCCACCACAAGTCCGGGTAGGAAGTGGCCGATACCGTCTTGGCAATTCCATCAGCTCCGACCAGACGGACGGATGTCAAGGCGTCAGCAGTCAGGCCAAGCTCGCCCTGTGTTGACAAATGTTAGCAATGTGTACGTGTCAATGTCGAAATATGATTCTACCATCAGACGTCCAACACCACCGCCAATGGCAACACCAATGACAGAAGGACATGAGCAGCTGCCAGTTTCTAAGAACGTGATTAGTAGAGGGTCTTATAAGCTGTCCGAGAGCAGTTATGGCAGTAGAGACACTTACGGACGTAGAATCCAGCGTTGTACAAGGGGTCAAGAATATCACGATAGCGGGCACCAGGGCCAACAGTCAATGTCCGGGCTTTTGAGTCAATATTAACAGTGTTGAACTTGCTCATGTCAAGGGATAAGCCGTTCTGTAATTTGCCGAAACTAGCCGCATATCCATGGCCACCGCTGCGAGCCATGAAGGGAATTCCATTCGTTCTAGCAAGGTTGATCTGGAACCACGAAAATTAATGAAGTTGATCTAACTAACAGAGGCTTATGCCAGGCGATTGTTCTACATACCACTTTGCTAACATCCGCCTCTGTTCCAGGGCTCACGGCGGCACTGTATGTCGGTGCATTAAAGATGGACCAACGCTCTGTGGCATTAGCAAAGGTGGTGTCTCCAGGGAATGAGACGGTTGTATTCGCAGCCCAGTGGCGGGCTGGATCCGTCAGGAGGCCCTTGAGGTCTGCCTTACACTCTCCCTTGGCTGCTGCAGGAAGGGCCGCAACGCCTCCAGAGAGAGATAACAAGCAGAGGGCAGATGCCCAAGTCGAGAAGTTCGCCTTGACCATGGCTGGATTGGAGACAGGAGAGACAAAGGCGCAGTGCTAGGCTACATGGCGAGAAGTATAGGGGTTCGAGCTACGATTTATATGCTTGAAGTTTGGCACGAGAGGTCAGCAACGTCGTGCAAGAGCAGTATTCCAGGCGTATTTCTGGATATTTTTGGATACACCTTCCGCTAGTTTCCCCTTGGATTACCGTCCAGAACCACCGCTATACTGCATCAAGCGGTTTGCTTGGCCTCAGCTGGCACAACCCTTCGACGCATGTGGTTTGCGGCTTACAGCGGGTACATGGTCAGGAGAGAATCCTCCACAAGACCCGGAGAATGGCACGTTTTCTGAAGCTGGGGCTTGCAACCAATATAGTGTCCATCTTGCCGGTAACCGATGTTCACGGGCCGAGACTTGTTTTGTTCGTCTATATTGACGGGCTGTGCTGACTGGAGAGCTGCATGTACCCCTGGTCTGACTCGTGGGGCCTCCTTCAGCTGCCAACTTCTGGTGTGTGCAACTAAATTAGCCCCGAAATCCCTGAAGTACCCAAGAATGAAACCCAACATGAAAGTGAATAAGTACTTTGAAATAATAATAAATTTTGAATAACAAATTGTGGATAATATTATGCAACACTTAGACGTTTGATAAGGTAAAATAAGTATTGTATTAGGAAAGCTTACAAGAGCTCTTAATAGCAATTTGTATACATGTACCCTATTCATACACTGTGAATCGTAGTCAAAGCTCCAACCAACCATCTTGGCACATGGTACACGGAGGCATGTACATGCATTTTCTTTTCCTCTACCAACGCTCGGCCTTGTCGTTTCTTTTTTCTAACTTTCTATGAGGGATTAGTAGAAACAGTTCTCTCCGCATGTGCTATTTTCCAAGCTTTGCCTCTGCAAGCCTCCAATAATCATGACATCCATCTCCAGCCTCAAGCAGACTCTTTACTATGAGATTGCTGTTAGCAAGCTTCAAGGCAGAATAAACCTGCCTGAAGAAGCCGTCTCCAATCCGCACCACATTTACAAGCAAGGGATCTTTCATCGCTTCAGGAACCCATATCCTTCGTATGGCGAGCACCCCGAGTTTGTTCATTATCTCAAAAACGTCGTCTGGTGGGTATCATTTCACACAAATTGGAATGACTATTTTTATTTTCTTCTTCTTTTCTGTCTTTACATATACACGTTCCTTGTGGCTTACTTGAAAGCTCTAATGTAGGCCAGTTATCCGTGGTGAGCTCCAAGTCCCAGATACTACGCTCTCCAAGATCGCCGTGAGAAAACCCCAGTGGCTTCCTCATCGGAAAGCCTCGACGAAACTTCGTGCCACTTGGCTTGGCCACGCATGCTACTACGTCGAATTTCCCTCAGGCCTGCGAGTTCTCTTCGACCCGGTATTCGAAGACAGATGCTCCCCAGTCAGCTTCCTAGGGCCTCGACGCTTCACTCAACCCCCCTGCGACGTTAAAGATATCCCAGTCATTGATGCTGTCCTCATTAGCCACAGCCACTACGATCATCTCTCTCACAATTCGGTGCTTGAGATCCAAAAGGCGCATCCCCAGGCACAATTTTTCGTTGGTCTAGGCTTGGAAAAATGGTTCCGTAATGCGGGGCTAAACAATGTCACCGAGCTCGACTGGTGGGAAGATGCTGAAATGACCATCAAAGCTCAAGGCGGCGATAGCAAAGGGGAGACCATCCAGGCACGGCTGTCCTGTTTGCCTTGCCAGCACACCTCGGGTCGCATCCCCTTTGACGTGGACCGAGACACAACGCTCTGGGCGTCTTGGGCGGTCCAGTCAGGCGATAAAAAAGTTTGGTTTGGAGGCGACACGGGATATCGTGCTGTGCCAAATATTCCCAAGGCTTCTGATGACTATGGCCCAGACTGGGACCATCTGCCTCGGTGCCCCCAATTCAAACAGATTGGGGAACATCGTGGACCATTCGATCTGGGACTCATTCCTATCGGCGCGTACTATCCGAGAGTTGCCTTCTCAGCTATGCACGCCAATCCTTTTGATTCAGTAGAGATCTTTACAGACACAAAGTGCAAGAGGGCAATGGGCATCCATTGGGGGACATGGGCACTGACTCATGAGGAAGTTCAAGAACCGCCCAAGATTCTAAAGGAGGCACTACGCCGTAAGGGTATTCCTGAAGATGGAGTTTTTGACGTGTGCGATATTGGCGAGAGTAGGGAATTTTAAGTGGAAGCTGGAGTTGGAAACGAAAACAGCCCCGAGTATGTATGTTACAGAGATTCTTTTGGAGTTTGCGTTGTGTTCCGAGAGCTCTAAGCTAGAACGCTTTCAAGTAACAAATCTATGAGAGGGTCTTCAACCAATGCAATGTCATAATGCCACTTTCATGCTCGTGCGATTACAGGACTCAACATGCATTCTATTCTGTAGATATTGGGGATTCCATGCACATTAAGCTTTCTTCAAACATACACAACGACACTACGACCTCTTCTGGACTATTTTAAAGCCACAATGATGTACGAGCTAAGAACCATGAGCTTTTCACATGCTAATTAATTAAAAGAGTGGCAAATATCCCGTTAAAATGCCAGCTGAATGGGATCGTCACAGCGGCCACAGTTACAAGGGTTACCACACAACTAAGCTGTCAAGGCAGCTGAGCAATCCGCCTCGTGCAACTATTAAAACACTCTCCAATTCTTCACGTAAAGGCAAAATTTAATAAACCGAGACTACAGTTCTGATGGGAGCACTGCTATCGAGGCTTCGAGCTTCAGCTGCCATTGAGCCTGAGTGAGATACCCAAAACAGACAATTACCCAATGGGGACAAGCGGCTGTGAGCATTTGAGCGCCTCCACCTGGTGATGATTCTGCAGATCATTATTCCCACTTCAGCCCGGCCCGAAGCGTTTAGGGTTTAGAACCAGCACTAGCGACAGCCCGTAAGCAGAGGGGTGTGGTTTCTTGTTCAGCGTTCCTGATCTCCATCTTTCAATGTCGCAATAGGGATGCCTCTCTACTCCCGTAAAAGGTGGGGACTTATGATACATGCGTATGTCGAAACACTTGATTCAATACCAAAAACTTGATCCTTAGTGGACATATCAACTAGCTGGCTGCGTTTTCATCAGATAGTTGGATTAGCGTGAGGCTATGTAAGCAAGCAGGAATGCCGAAGGATGACATTCTGTCGGTGAGATCTAGATAAGCTCATGAACGAGGACCGAGCCGTATCCAGATTCCCCGTAGTGTGTGCTAAGGATGCAATAGACTTCCATGTACAACTGCTATAGCTATCAACTTTATAGTAGATATTAGTATCGATGCTTGGCCTGCTCAAGCAAGTGATTGTAGCATCCATCATCTTTTGCACCAATGAACAATATGGTGCGCCTTACAAACCTCCTCAGAGCCTCGTTGCTCCCCTTGACAGTCAACGCCGGCTTGTCAAACTTTGACGATTGGGAGCATGGCCGTGTTGCTCTTCAAGACGTCAGCATTCATTTCCGCTACGCCGGCTCAGGCCCGCCTGTGCTTCTTGTGCATGGCACTCCTCAATTCAGCCTGACATGGCAACACATTGGCCCCATCCTCGCAGAGCAATACACAGTCATTGCGGTAGATGTGCGTGGTACTGGAGATTCCAGCATTCCGCCAAATGAGGACTATACTTGTGAAACGGTTGCTGGCGATCTCAAGGGCGTGTTGGACTCCTTGAACATTACGTCTGCGTACGTTTTTGCTCACGACAGTGGAGTCGGCATGGCCACAGCCCTCGCGATTCAGCATCCGTCCATGGTGAAGAGGCTGGCCATTGCTGAATATCTGTTCCCAGGCTTTGGCTATGAGCAGGCGGCATCTCCCGGCCCTTACATGGATCTGTACGGCAACCCACAGCTCTCAGCGTTTACTATTCCTGATTTTGCAGAGTTCCTCGTCACTGGCAAGGAAAAGCAGCTTCTTCAGTGGTATTTCTACAAGGGCAGCTATTCCGGTGGCACCAGCTTCAGCGAGGACACGATCAACCGATATACTTCAAGCATCTCCAAGCCTGGCTTCCTCAGATCCATGCTGGGTGTCTACTCAGCCGCCACAGTCCATGCAGATTCACAGTTTTTCCAAAGCCACTTGGGCCCAAGCCCTTTGAATATTCCCGTGCTTGCAATCGGAGGAGAAGCAAGCAACGGCAATGAGGATATCATGCGTGTTCTGTACGCGAGAGTATCAACAGATTTGAGTACTGCCGTAGTTCCCAAGGCAGGCCACTGGCTGGGTATGTCCATGTCCCATACAATTTTGTGAGATGAAAATCTAATGTGTCACCAGGTGACGAGAACCCGTCGTGGACAGCGAAGCGTGTAGCGAAATTCTTTTCAGAAGACAAGCCAGCCTTGAAGAATGTTGATCTTTCGTCTTTCGCAGACCAGGTTACCCTTCAAGTTGGTTTCTTTGGCACTTTCAGAAATGCCGCTCTCGGCGCAGGTCTTGGTACGTAAATCACAGCATATGCTAGCTCTTTGATTCGGCTATCAGCGTGTTGTATGTTGAGATACAAAATCGTGGATGGGCAAAACCATGCCATATACAAGGCTTCATTCCAATTTCAGGGGGAATAAAGACTAACGTCTCATACAGTTGCCCAAGTTGCTCAAATGCGTCAACAATTGGAGTACGCTGCTGCCGCTGCCGCTGCGGGCGTTGATCCGGCGCAGTACGCTGCCATGGGTAACGGACCCAAATAGTCTCTGCCTCATTACGCAATGCCTGCTTTTCATGTCGCCCAAATACAAGCAAGATGAGAGAGGCGACTGTGTAATAGAGATGACTGGTTACAACGAAAAACCGTGTTGGGAAAAGAAAATTGAATGTTTGTAGATGACTAGCTAGACTGAATAACTATACGAAGACTTGACCAATATATACCAGAGATGACATATAACCACACTTTTTGCGGCCAATTGAAACTTTCCAAAACACAAAACGTGGTTGAGGGGACTTGTTTTAACAGGTTAATCAGCACATGATACGAAATAGGGTAATATGTTGCCACGCAAGAAACTCACTTTGTGTGAAAAGCCAACAAGCCCAAACGCTCAGTTCTCACAGTCTCAGCTTGTCGTATGGCTGTTAGCGCCGGCAGTTACGGAATCATGTGATCTCGCTGGGATCACTTCTTTGTCTGAAGAATAAAACCATTGCTGCAGCTGAGTGTCGTTTTGCGTAGTGAAATCGTTTTGTTTTTTTACCCATTCAACGCGAGAGGAGCTCACTCTCTTTATACGTCAAACTCGGATGTGTTACTTTTCATAGGTACAGGTGCTTTTTATTATGAAGGTGACCTCTCCAACGCTCAAAATAGCTAGCCCTAGTTCTTTTACAGCTGTGTAATTTGTCCTCGTGATAAACCTGAAAACAGACATGTTACCAAAAGTCATATTTCTGTGTTCAACTTTCCAAATATTGTCTTATTACCAGGTACCTACAAAGCTTGCTAATCTCAATTGACTTCCATAGAGCGGACTGCCGGATTATCCAGACAATCCAGTCATCTGAGCCTGCATTGGGAACCTCCGATGGTGCCCGAGAGCCGTGGAGCGCCCCTCCTTTTGTTAGTGCTAGCTAAAAGGATCTCCGTGCATGATATTCACACACCCCGAGCGTGTCTTTTCTTATCTCACTGCTTTCCTCAAGGAACAGCTTATAATGTATACCCTAAAGGATAAAGTAATGGTATTAGTAAAAGAAACAATGAAAATAAAGAGTTATTTATATTAATTTAGTTTTTATGTGTTTAGTATACTTAAAATTCTCCTTTATTTTACCTACTTCTATAATCGTCTTCACTTGTTCGGTGTATTGCCCAGCCCCACATAATCCCTCCGGCTTGTTGGCTGTTCAAGGCGACTCTGCACCAGTTACACGTGTGAAAGGATAGTCGGCAGGACTGCTCATGCCGTGCTTGTTGGGCAGAGGGTGCTATAAGAATGTCACATCACGTCAATCAAAGCCCCGCCATCAAACAACGGCCCCTCCTCCTCTCCCCGTCCATATAAGTCGCTGATTCTGCCTGTTGCGACACAGTCAGTCCTTCTCAATCCAATTCCTCCACCACAGTCAGTCCATGGCGATTTGCTCGTTTCTGTCCCGCCGCTCTCGCTCCCCGAAACCCACTCCCACCAACAAGATGGGCACTCCCGAGTTCACCCTCGCCGCTGCCGAGAAGCAGGCCGGCAGAAAGGCGTGGGCGTATCGCCAGTTCATCGGCAAGACGCCGCTCGTGGACAAAAAGGACGCCGAGCAGGTTGCCGGCAAAACTGCCATTGTCACCGGCTCCAACATTGGCCTGGGCCTCGAAACCGCCCGCCAGCTTCTTGATCTGGGCGTTGCCAGGCTGATTATGGCCGTGCGCACCGTCTCCAAGGGCGAAAAGGCTCGGGAAAATCTGCTTGCCGGCCGAAAAGACTTCAAGGGCGAGATTGAGGTCTGGGAGCTTGACATGCTCTCATACGACTCCATTCAAAAGTTTGCGGAGCGCACCAAGACTCTGGATCGCCTCGACATTGCCATCTTGAATGCCGGCGCTTATCGGGCGTTTGAGGAGTTCCACTCATCCACCGGCTATGAAGACAGCATCCAGGTCAACTACCTGTCGACCATCTTTTTGTCAATCCTGCTGCTGCCGGTTCTCAAGGAGAAGGCGCAAACAAAGCCCGGGCGTCTCACTATTGTCTCATCCGACACGGCCTCCTGGGCCAAGTTCGAGGAGAGAAAAGAGCGCCCGCTTCTTGCTTTCTACAAAAAGAAGACAGACCCCAAGAACTGGAACCATGCAGAGCGCTACGGAACGAGCAAACTGCTGGGCCAACTCGGCGCGAGCAAGCTCGTGGAAAAGGTGTCGTCTTCCGCCGTCGTCTTGAACCTGGTCAATCCGGGCCTGTGCTACGGCACCGAAATCGTCCGTGATGGCGACGGCCATTTCCTTGGCACGATCTACAGGCTGGGATTCCGCGCACTCGGCAAGCCAGCTCCTGTTGGCGCCCGAAGCATCGTGCATGCAGGTGTCTCTTTTGGCGAAGCATCGCATGGGCAATACACAGAAGATGGCGAGATTCGTCCGTAAGTACAGCCTCAAGATCATCATATTCAATCTCAACGTTCATTGCTAACGCTCTCGTGTCTAGACTGGCTGCCCTTCTCTACAAGCCAGAGGGCAAAGAAATCGCCACTCAGCTATGGGAAGAGACATTGGCCGAGCTACCCTCTGCTCCTGTTCAGGAGTCGCTGCAGGCATTGAGCAACTAACTAAGAGAGCATTCTGCACCGACGCGATACGGAGAGGTTGAAGGCATATTCTGGAGGAACAAAGTTTTATCTGGGACCAACTTTTTAATTCATTTTGATTTTAGGTACGGAGCTATTATACTAGTGATATCAAGACCTCTACCATAGGTCCCGCAACAAGATTGTATTCCATTTGTTCTCTTCTATTTCTAGATAATCGTGAACTTTTTAAGGGGTAGCTGTTTCTTCAATCTGAGAAGATTAGTCTATTCTATGAACAGAAGAGGAATATACCCGCGCTATCAAACTTTACAGCCAGACCCCTAAGAGACTCTATTTTCTTGAGAAATCATGCTCTGCATTTTTTCAAGTTCTTCGTCAAATACTCTCACTCTCGCAGCAGCAGAATACCTTTTTGATAATCGATTTTGTCAAAATAATTGATACAATGGCGATTATTACGAATATTATCCGCCTTCTTGGCATCACGGCATGACGAACCGTAGCAGTGAGACTCCAGACAAGAGAAGACGACGTCACCTAAACTCAAGCACAGTGACTATAACTAGATGATCTCATTTTATCCACAGGACGTTGTTCAGTCTCTCGGCCAATCTTAAAATTAACTCACCATGACAGCTTTAATTCGAGTTTACCAAGCGAACAGAATCCAGGTTCTATTTATGTTTATTCATAGTATCATTGATAAAAACAAGACATTCTTGGAGGAATAATAGGCCAAAAAGAAAATAATGCAATAAGTTCAAGGATAAAATATAACAATCCTGCCATCCGAACATCCAAGCCATTGTAAGATAAAGAATATGTCCATCTATAGAGCTGCTTTCCTCACGCGCTACTCATGTCCAAAGAAATTACATGTTACGCTCCACCTGCAGCTGCTTTGATTGCATCTGGGTCGATTCTCCTCCATGGCATTGCTGCAGCTACCAACATGGAAATCCCAACAATTGCACAGATGAGGAGATATGCGTCCCTGATACCGGTAGAGTAAGCTGCAAGGATGCCTGGGAGATCCGCTGGTGAAAAGACCTTGCGCAAATCTCCAGCACCAGTAGCTATAACCTCCATTGGGATCACATTGGGAGCCGACTTGGGTAGACCGACCAGCAAGCGGTTCACAAAGGCGGCTTGCGCTGCAGACACCCAGATGGCGCCACCGAGCGTCTGGAATTCCAACAACATGGCAGTGACGGCTGGTAAATCGGCCGCTTCGACACTGGCCTGAGCTGTAGAAAGAGGAATTTGGAACCCAAGGCCAAGGCCTATGCCACACACGATCTGGATTCCAATCCAGGTCCCGGTATTGGTGTTGATGTCGAACAAGTAGCTAAGGCCGCAGCCAAGAGTTGCAATGGCCGATCCAACAAACATGACGACCGTAACCATGCCTGTGTTCGTGGTGATGATGCCGGAGATTAGAATAAAGAGCATGCCCGGGATGATAAAGGCCAAGGTGTGAGCACCAGCAAGCACAGCACTATCATCTCGGATAGCCTGAAAGTAGAGAGGGAGATAGTAAACCATGGCATAGAGGGCTCCGCCTTGAAACGCTATGTAGATCATCGATAGTCCAACAAAACGCTTCTTGAAGAGCCGAGGGATCACTGTCGCTCTTTCACCTTGCCACATCTCAACGAATCCGAAAAGAACGAATGCCACAACACAAGTCACGAGAAGACCGATGACAGTTCCAGAGTTCCAAGGGTGTGTCACGCCGCCATACTGCACTGCTACGAGGTATGAGACGATGCCTCCCAGCAGCAGTACAAAGCCGATTGGATCCATCTGGAGCAGCTTCTCTTTTAACGGAGCTTGTCGAGGGCGAGCAATAGACGGGAGGCGGAGGAAGAAGATGACGCCGAGGACGGGAGGGACACCAATAGGGAGATTGACATAGAAGCACCTTGAAGTTTCGTTTCAGTCATAAAGCTCACACGGAAGAGATTCGAAGACAGAGGTTTTATCTTACCATCGCCAAGTGATATCAGCAGCAAAAGCACCACCGATCGAAGGGCCCAGAATACTTCCGATTCCAAAAATCGCTCCAAGAATCGCGGTATAATTCGCTCTCTTCTTGGGCTCTACAATAAAAGCGACGATTGTGTAGGAGCCTGAGCCGACGCCAGAGGATCCAATACCGGCAATGACACGACCTGCAATGAAGACGGATGACGAAGGGGCCACGGCGCAAATAAGACTGCCCACTTCGAAGATGAAAATGGCTATGAGAAAGCTGAATTTGAGGGGAAAATTCTGGTAGATCTTGCCCCATGTCGACTGACATCCGCCAGCCGTCAGGAAGAAGGCGGAGGCGTACCATGCCTGGTCTTTGATGCCGTGGAAGTCGTTGGTGATGGCGGGTACAGAGGTCGCAACGATGGTCTGAGACGTTTGATGAGTAATGATTTCATAGTCACAAGTATAAGAATGACAAGTAAAAATATGCAATGGAAAAAAACTTGACACAGGAGAAGCAACAGAAAGAAACAATGCGTACCATGTCAAGGGCGATCAAGAAAATGCTGAGCATAAGGGAAATCATGTTCACCCAGAGCGCAAAACCGGTGATATACTGGGACCCTGCTTGCGCACTCTCGCCATTTTGCTCCGATGCGAGCACCTGGTTGTGCTCCTTGATTCCATCTTGCGACGCAGCAGGAGACTCGAGATCTGAGGTATCTGGAGAAGACGAGGACGGCAAGCTGCCAAGCGGGTAGGGAGCGTCTTGCGCCTCTCGCGTATCGCTCATCTTGAGGTTATTGACGGAGTGCAATCATTAACCTTGTGGCCAACGAGAAGCAGCTTAGAAGCCCTTTGGATCTTTAGGTAGCACTACCTATATAAGAGACGAGTCTTGGGCCAGCGTTGGGCCATGGTGACGAACCCCTTCCTGATCAGTTAATTATCCGAAGGAAAGGCGCTCGGTTGGGGAGCAAGCGCAGCCAGAGGATACGCCGACTCTCCGCTGCTGCATATAAAGCACGGGCAGCCTAACTGTGGCAACAAACTACGCTTTACGAGCAGGAACAATTTGGAAGTCTTTACGATTTTGAAAGGAATATCCATGCCAAGGCTACGACAATGGCGCAGTAACTAATTACGAGTCTATGTTTTCCCTCTCGCAGGCATTCAACCACGCGGTGTCTTGGATGGAAAGATACGCTCTTCTTTGCAAAGTCCGCTTCCTACGCCAGATCAATGTCTTATAACTGCGTTGGGCGCAGCCAAGCTGAAGAGCTTGATACAACGCCAAAACTTGCCGGAAGCAGCAAAGCGTGAGTGACATGAAAGCAGGGGACGATAAGATGTGGAGACAGCCAACTCTTCCCCTCAGTGGTCCGGTTGCGCCTTATCGTATCACAACGAATGCCTACCTGGTATAATACGTAGAGTACCTGGTATATAATGAGAGGGGGTGGGAGAATTACTTGCACTTGGAATGTCAAGTACAGGCTAGAACACGGAGACGCAGTGAGACGGCTTAATCAAAGGCCGAAAGATTTTGCCCGTCTTATCCAGGGTATGCTCTAAGGCGCTTGATTTGCAGTGCCAACCATGGCGTTTATCGAGCACATGGAGATTTTGGAGTACAACGACGATTTTGCTTTGGATACAAACTAAGACGGCCGAGTTGCATATTTTTTAAATGCAAAATAAGTAAAGACATCAATATTACAAACAAAGGTCATGTAGAAAAGAAAATACTGCTACTACTCTTCAAAGGTTTCCCCAAAATTTTTCCCACCATCTCCATGAGCGCGAAGAATAACCCGGCTAGATACTGAGTTCTCGATTCACTTCAGCCCAGATACGGACCCCATGATTAATGACAGTCTAGGATTCGTTGATACACCCCCGTGATATAAGGGGGTGCCTTGCGTGATGGCATGATTTACAGGGTACTCACGCCGTTGACGGATCGTGGATCCACATCAAACCCCGAGCCAAATCGGGATCGGCCCGGGGCTTAAAACGGAAATCAATAGACAGGGGCTCGTCACGCTGATCGTAGATGCAATACAACCCAGAGCGATTACGATTTTGGGAATTTGTGAGTGGGCCATTGTTTATCGATGTCCTGAGCCTAGAGCAACTACTTTGCGTAGAAAGATTTGAATATGCTTACTATATTGCATATAGCATTACGTATTGTTAACCTGGTGCTTCAGGTAGTCTCTGCTTATGTTATTAATTCTGAAATTTCACGCAGTAAGCATGCACGTGGATTCATATGTACAATACAACACATGCAATACAGCGTCGTAATGGATGTGCACTTGTGCATTTTGTGTATCATTTGATTAGCTCTATTTTACATGTGAGCTGTAGACTTTCAGGGGTCGAGCACGTGGGCATCTATATGTAGTTTTGCGTTATGTTACCGTGGCCGTGGCTGCCCGGTACTTCGAATGTGACACTACAAGTACTTGTATACAGGGGCATACCCATACCTTGATGCTGCTAGCATTAGTGGCGTCGTAAGCATAACATTTCGATTCCTCCTTGGACGTGAATGAGCCTCAGAGCCGATTAGGGGTATGACAGGGTGGAGCAGTTTGTGCATGGGAGCAGCTGGGATATCGGTGCCACGCAATGGATCCCCACCAAGAATTGAGACAGCATCAATCAATACGACTAATCGTTAAGACAAACTGCCACAGCTTACACGTTCTTCTCCCAGGAATTCAGCTGCGACGGACCGATTCAATGCTACCTAGATCTCCACCAACATACGCGTATATAGGACACAAGCTAATAGTGAGGGGCTGCGTACGAAGCTTTCGTGACGCACAAGACGGGCCGATCACAATATAGGAAAGCTGACACCAACGATCAAGACTATCAAAGCCACTCAGCGCAATTTTCCGGCGCCAGTAGCGAGAGGTTCCATCAAGTAAAGTTGAAGCCGGTTCGCGGGCCGGCAAACTCCTTCATGGAAAGCTTCTTCCTCCTTATGCAGCGCGACAAGTATTCGGCAATATGTATAAGCCATGAAACACGCTCATTTCCATCAACCAAATTGAAAAGAATAACCCCTTTGACTCATAAATACGGACACCAGATAATCAACCAAGCGGATTGCTGCCTACAAGCACTTGGTTTATTGAATCCTTCTTTGCTTGCGCCCTCCGCAGAACCGCTTGTCGAATCACTAATTCTAGCAACAGGGGAAAGGGGGATTTTTTATTCTCCGATGACAGGGAGAAATAGTACGCTATTAGAAACTAATAAGCAGTAACTTACACAACAAGGACCCTGGTTAATGTAAGCAGAAGTGCTAATATGCCTCCCAGAAAGAATAAGGCAGCATGAACCTTCTAAATGGTTTTATTTCCGCATAGAGACTTTTATTGTTTTTTAGCCTAAATTAGTAATTCGTAAAGGGCGGACTCATTGAAAAAGCACGTGTGTACCATCCTTGTAAGGATTATCTGTTCCAACAGTTGCTCTTCCACTATACTGCCTAGTACTCCTGGTGGACTTATCCTTGCATCATGTTGCTTATACAGTACACCGTCTCTCTTACTCGTAGTGCCTTGGCCAAGAGTTTGTTCAAGTCAATCCTTCACTCTGAAAAAAGGAGAACCTTCACCCTGAGAAAAGAAGAAATGTGCATGAATGTAATACTACAAGTGTGGCTGACGCCTCTTTTACGAATACCACAACCTCATCGCAAATGGTAACAAGTTGTCGAATATTATTGTATTTGCTTGATTGCTAGTGTTTAGTTACCAATGGGAAAACTCGTTGAGGGGCTCAACTAGGATGAACTAATTTGGGTAGAGTAGTAAATCGGATAAAGGGGTAGGTCATGATTTTGGATTCCCAATTCCATGGAAGAGCTCTGATGCAACTCCACTGGCTGGGGGTCATGAGTTGTCCACGTCTTTTGCATGCCCCTGACGTTCACTTGCATTTGACCAATATCACCAGAGGCTTTCTGGGTGGAAAGTCCAATAAATCAACCCCTGAAGGTAACTCGAGCTGAGTTGTTCAAGAGAAATGCCCCACAGCTTCCAACTCACAGGGATATTCATCAACACTAGGGAATCTAATCCATGTCTTGGAAGAACAATGCATTATCGTAAAGAAAGGCGAAGGAATAAAAGTGGCCAAAAGTAGAAAACCTAGAGAGTTTATGGTAGTCTGTACGAACTCATGTACAAATTCTTAATCTCGGCACTGAAAAGCCGAGTTGCCTCAATCTCTACTCTGTATGCATGCTACTAGTCTTGTTAGGAGAGGTTATCACGATAAGGGATTACATTATCAGAAAGAAGATCACTTTAGCCTATCTTGGGTATCATAGCGTCATACGAAACGGGAGCTACGGGAGAAAACATTGGGACTTCATGAACTGATGATAGCTTAACCCGGGAACTATAAGCCTCCCGACGGCTCGGTTCCCAAAGGATGCGAGCGTCCTTTGGACGTTCATTGCAACTGTATCCGATCAGTTATCTCCACCAGAGATTCCTTGATGTAAGTGGTTGTGGGGAACCGGATGGGGTAGTTAGCGCGAGCCAAAGATCGGGATAGAGAAGTGGCTCTTTCTGGTAAGAGGATGGATTCTTATCAGGATATGAATCCTTCATTTGGAACACAATATATGTAGATAGGGAAGGTAAAAACCTACCCACCATACCAATCACAGGTAGTTTGATTGAAACAGACATGTAAGCTGACAGGTGGAGTCAGGATAGTTTGGAATAAACAAGCTGTTCAACTATATAGGCATTTTCCCAGCATGTAATTTATTGGTCTCTGAATATTAAAATAGTCATCATTGAGTTGACTCTATTACTTACCAAAGATTATATATTTGGGAGCGCAAACTCCGGATATCGGATACCCCAGCAAGGTGGAACCGCACCTGGTGGATTCCTCGAGCGAGAGCCTCATTGTTGCGGTATTCTTTGGAGTCGGTTTGAACATGGTACTGTAGCGTTGGCAGTGTACCAGGCTCCCTTGCAAAACTGGCTGGGGGAGAGTCCCCATATATTGTCCAAGTTTTTGGATCGCGTTACATATAACATTGCAGGGAAGCGTATCCCTGGTTATTGAGCCAGATATGGCGATAAAGCTATACCAACCCTTTTTTGTTCTAGAAAACGCAGTCGTAACAGCACGAGGCTTAGTGGCTCTACGGGGGCCCTTTGCTACATGTAGTAAGTCGTCACCAGAGATACGGTATTCTCAAGCGTTATCAGCATTCCAAAGCGCTGTCTATTGTCGTCGTCTTGCTATTTTAGCTTTTACCATGTATGTAATACCTGTAGCGGGCGAATCAGCGAGGTTGCAGGGCTCCCTAGTACATGTGTCTTGGCTGCTGTTGGCCTAAGCTTACACGCAATTACCATCAATCACAGTTACTACCTACGTTCTATTATTGCAAGAATTACAAACATGGCGGGGATTTGATCATTTTTATTGATAATGGCACAATTTGTGTAGCAGTATACGGCTAAAGTAGTTTTTACAACTACAAAGCGTTCCTGGCTATTTTTGTGTGGTGATTACAATTCGCCGTAGTTGAGCACTAAAGTTGAGTCGCCGCAAATTCAGTCCTAAAGCGGAAATCAAGGGTACCGGCGTATAAGCCGCTGTTCTCTCCTTCACCACAGTGGCTGTCAGTTGCTCAGCTCGAAGGATTCAGTTAAAAAGCCAAGGCGCCAAAGCACTCATCATCTTCCGCAAATGGCAATAACGTTGTAGAAAAGAGGCCGTAGTGAAACCTCCATATACAGGGGATCGTCGTGGAGGTGGCCTCTTTCTGGAGGAGTCAGTGTCTCACCCGCCGCTCCCCGATTGCGATAAGCAGGGTGATCTTTGCTCCGCACGTGGGCGAGATGTGAGATGAATGCATGCAACCCTGATTGCACTGGAACTGCAAGGTCTTTCATCTCAATAATACCACCCTCTGCCTCTGGCTTATGTGGGGTTGGTGGAATCACATCGTCGGTTTATCGATTTTGTAAAGACCCGTAGGTCTATTGCCTCCCCCCAAAAGAAAACTTCCGTGAGCCTTAGCCAAGCATTGGTTGTCAATCAAGAGTGAGATGCATTAGTCTCTCTCCTCGTAAGGATGACAATTGTGGCGTGTTTGGGACGACGGCAGCCGCATGTGGACAGGGACCAGGGGACCAAATAAGCCTCGACGCAGATGGGGTGTGGACGTCAGCAATCAGTGAATATCTGTCCGAGATACTGTAATGGTAGTATATGCCTAATTCTGGTTACGCACTTGGAGTAATAGGCGTGTTGTGCTGTGCTGTAAGTACATGTAGTGTTCGAGTTGTCCACGGAACCCCATGCTAGCGTTACCGGGAGTGACACACACTTGCGTTTTCGTCCTGCTTTAGGGTCCCGGAAGGCCGAAGATCTAGGACTGTTGGAGCGTGGAGGCATGTCGACAACATCATCTGCCATGTGTGGTGTGGTGTAGGTGTGAGGAGGAGACGTTTCATTATCCAAGATGTGCAAGATAAGGGATTATTTACAAGCTGCTAATGAAAGCCTCGGGAGTCTAAGTAATACCAAAACAGCCAATCAGATTGTAACTCTACAGATAATCCTCCCAGCCCTTCAGCTCCTGTATGACATTCGATAACCGCGTCTCTACCGCCGGCAAAAGCACGTCGTTGACATCGACCTGCTTTAGCCTCGTGACTGCGGCTAAAAGCTCTCTGCATCGTACCAGCAGTGACACCCGGAGGATGTGTGCCCACTCGTGCTTCGATTCGACGTGGTAGTCCCCCACACTGCACATTCTGGCGGCAGCAGAAGGATCCTCATCCTCGACTTGTTGCTGCATCTGTCGGATACAGTTGGCCGCCCCTCGTTCTAAATACAGCGAGAGCCCCTCTATTACCAGCACGATAAGCTTGGTCGTTGCTCGGGGGGTGTGGCTGTGGTCGCAGGATATCCAGGAGTTGAGGCGAGCTAGAGCAATCTTTTGGTAGCCCAGAATGGTGTCGCTGGAGACGTCGACGTTGTTTTCGTATTGTAGTTCGAGCTCTTCGAGCATGTGAAGCGCAGACTGGGCGCAGGCGCATATGTTGCCGTCCTTGATAGAAGGGCTGTCGCCCAGGCACAAGCCTTCTGTTGTTCTCACCGTCCGTCGTGGTGCTGTGGGAAAAGGCTGGCTTTGTGATGGTGATATGCTGCTGCTTGAAGCTAAGCTGCTAAGATCTCCGAGGGTGGAGTTTAATTGATCAAGGTCTAATTGACAGCTCGCGGCGTTAGTGTAAGCCAAAGACAAGAACGACCTGGTTATAGAAGAGCCATACCAATGTTAAAGTTGTCACTCAAGTCTAGTGAGAAATATGAAGGGCTAAAGTCCAGCGACGGGGAGAATTCTGAGGTGGGGACTGTTGAGGCCAGAGGATGAGAGTCTCCTGTGGGTGCCATGGATGTGTTGCTGCCGCTATCGCCATTGTGGAGGCTCGTCTCACTGCCCGAGCTGCTCTTCGAGCTGCTGTGATTGTCGGAGGGAGTCGAGTTCTTTCGTCTCTTGGTGCCACGCTTGGTTCTCTCTGGAAAGACGCATGTGATACCGGTCCCTTGACATCGCTGGCAGCCTGTGCTTTCTCCAGAGCATTTGACCTGTTGGCTCTGGTGTTAGTGGCGCGTGTCTCTCAGAGAATGACATTATGATGGTTATTATTCACGCACTTTTCGGGCACGGCATTCTACACAAGCAAGCCGTGATTGTCGACATTCTCCAAAGGTGTGGTTGCTGGCCATCTTGGACACGCTGTCGACTTCCGCCGAGCTATTGTTGTAGGAGATTGTGTAAAACATGTTTGCGGGTTTGTGCCGATAAGACGGCTTGGTGTATGGTTGTGAGAGGAAGGATTTAGCAATGATATTAAAGAAGAAAGATGATACAAGAGCAATTAAAAGTAGGACAATGATAGATAATAGGCCAAGCAATATGTCGTCGTCAATGGGAAACTCGACCGCAACCGGATTTGTTTGTGCGAGTGTGGCGTCCAACTTGGCATCTGAACATCCAGTACAACCCAAGAAAAGTTGAAGAAGGGCTCAATTCTATAAGCTATCGTGGAGGCACAGCTTCTGCATGCTCGGCACAGATCACGGCCCCTCCGTTGCTTTTATCCCCTGCCTCTGAACTTACAAAAGATGGATTTACCGACTCTAAGCCATCCTGGCAACCTGTCAGGAACAAGCTAAGCGAGCCTGGCAGCTTATAGGCTGTGTTTGTCGCCTCACAGACCAACGACAACCGCTATTCTCCCGCAGTAGAGCTGATTACATGTATCTTGGGCTGACCCTATCTTACACGCCAACGATGCAGACATACCGTGTGCATATACACTGACCCCCCCATGTACAGGTGACTCAATCAGGTATAACCTCACTTTTGCTGCCCCGTTCCTTGGTACTTTATGAAGGTTCATGCCGTGTATCCATGGTAGCATTGTATTAGCTGGATATGTATCTGCTGGAATGTGACAGGTTCTGCTCTGCCTTTCACAGATAAAGCAACTACTTTCCAAAGGACTTGCTTGATAGCGTCTTTAAAATAGTAATAAACCTGTATGAAGCGTAAAGATTTAATATTAAACATATATAATACTACATAATAAATAAGCATTTATTATTATTATAATAACACAAAAATTGTTATTAAATTTAAATACTAGATATACAATTTTCATTATTATAAATGAGTGTCTAAAATAGCAATGTATATTTAGGCAAAAAGATACTTATACGCAGGCAGTACTGTATGGAATCCTCCAAACTATATTAATGGCACGGCAAGGGCGTGCCTGTGCAAACGAGCTTGGTTACGTGTATTGCTTGCTGGGTGGATGAGGGGTAGATCAGGCTATCTGCCAGCCAATCGACAGACCCCGGCAGCTCCCGCTAGCATGCTTGTGCCCAGGCATCAGGCAAGCCACTGATTCAATTCTCCATAGCCACGACGCTTCAGGGAGACGGGGAGCAATCAGTGGAGAGGCCTGGAGTTCCACGGCAGTTTCCATGGGGCTTAGCCTGACGGTGCTCCGGACTGGACGTCTTTGCCCGGCCCCTGCTGGTGTTTATTTAGCAGCCAGGGGTTCGGTATTCCCAAGCGTAGGATCCAATCGCCATGACCCATTGCTTTACATGTCATATAGGAGATGACGGGCTGAAAATCCTCCCAGGACTCAAAACGGATGGCACCGCAGTAGCGCTTGTTGAAGAGACAAGAGACACCCTCCCCCCTTTGGCTATTAGTCTTGTTATTACTACTTGCCGCTAGGGCACTAATACGCTCAGGCTTGCGGCCTGCCTCAAAGCCCTGCCGTCAAGTTCCTGGCTGAGGCCGCAGGATTTAGAGCATTGACATTAACCAACTGTCGCCATCTGGAATCCTCTAGAGTTGGCCCTGCGAAAAGAGTAAAGGCCAGGGTCCGGCCCCGGCGTTCGTCAAGAAGCCTCCAGGAGCAATCGAAGCCTCCCCAATCTCAGCGCTAAAATTTCGTATATGTAGCATCGAGCCGGTGGAGTGACCCAAAGTTTCACACGTGGTATCTGACCGCATAACACGGAGTGCATACCCTGCATTGGCTGCAAGAAGGAGAGGCCGGGGGCAAAGGAGGGTGCACAGCCAGCCATGAGGGCTGCAAGTGTCATGACCTGCCCAGCTCTCTATCTTGCTTGAGCCAACCGTATCTCCTCGGAAGATTGGGCTGTAGGCTCTGATGAAAGTCCCTCCACTATGATCACGATCGGGCAAGAGATGATGCAGGATAGCTAGCGGACTATAATTACGGTATCTGAGACAAAGTGCAACAGGGCTGTGGAACGAGAAAAGAGGAACCAAGATTGTCTAGCCAATATCAATCTGGCGTCCATCCAAACTGCAAGTGAAAAGAAGACGGAACAAATGTCTTGATGCACACTCACGCTCGAGATGAAGGTTGGGATGACACAACAAGGCTCAGGATGAGTATAGTAAGCGGCGAAGTCTACAAACACGAGCTGATATTACATGTACTTCTTATGTGTATTTGTTCATTTGAGGTAGCTGCTTACTAGACTTGACGCAAGAAAGGGAGGAGTTTGTGAGGATTAAGCTTAACAGAATACATGTATTGCCTGTTTGTTCCATTTATACTGCAACCAGCTGGCGGAACGAGTTTAATGACAAATTATTTATTATGTTCAAGTTAGTTAATGTTAGCCGGGAAACAAATACTTGCAAAATCATGAATCCAATTTATATTACTAAATATATTAAATACAATTCTTCTATGTAGTAATACCTACGCCTATGGTGACTAGGGTCCCTGGTTGCTAAATTCCTGTATTTCTGCCAACTCAATCGTGTCATCCATAACCCAGGGAAAATTCCTCTTTATGTCGTAGCCCTCTAACATTCCCCTTTATGTCATTCTCTCTCCCTCCCCCAGTCATGAGTTTATCGCAAAGAACTGCCCGTGCAACGGCTTCTCGAGGATTCTGCTCCTTCCGCTTTCCTATTTCGAGATTCACGCACTGCTTCATTCAACGCCAGTTTGGCCTCTTCCAAGTGCCGCCCACAGCGCTAACTGAAACAAACAAAGCGTTATATGAACTGCCGTTTTGCAACGTCCAAAACCCACTATGGCCCTTAACTAAGTAATCCCTGGCAGCGCCCGCTCGGTAGACGGTAAGCCTCTGCACCAACCATCCGTTCCTCGACCGCCTCTTTAGCGACGTTGCAGTAGTGACAAAGTCCGGGGGCAGCAGCAGCAAGATGTGAGAGCGAGAGCCGTTTGAAACCGATTTGACGGCAAGCTCACTCCGAGGATTTTTGACGCCAACGAGAGCAGTTGAGTTTCGACTTGTTCGCCGTCGCACTCGAGTTCAGGATTGTGCCGGCGGCTCTGTCGGCGTTGGAGTTGCCCCGATCTGCCTTACGAAATCCTCCATGACTGTGGTTTATATAAGGACGGACAATCCGCTTATATGATCTTCTTGCTGCTGTACGCCCAGCTAACAGCACATGGATGTTATAGTAGCGGCCACACTAAGTAAGATACAGTACATGTACTGAGTGGGGTGGGCTCAGTTGAATTCTCTCCGTCTCTCTTACAGCGCCATGGTATTACTCTATTGTCCCAAACAGGCTCCTTGAACGGGTACGTGGCCTTCCTGCTGCCCGGCCTTCATCTCTGCTTAATGCTTTTTCCGGGCAAGTCGCTACGAGAGCCGTAATGGGCCGTCACCGGGGGCCGGGTAGCATCGACGCCGGAATCGAGAAGCAAACGACGACAAGGATAGACGCAAAAGGCAACGCAGGGATCCCCGCACTGGAGAGGGAGCCGGAACGTGGGGAGCAAAGAAGCAGATGGGGGCTGGGTGAGGATACGCTCATGCACAGAATATTGCAACGCTGCCTTGTCGTTGTCCTGTGATACAGCGACGGGGTTGTCGTCGCAGTTCCAGGCTCTCTCATTCATGTGTGTACCCATCAATACGGGCTGAAGAAGAGGAACGGAGCTGATGCTCCAAGTCTGTTTCATCAATTCCATCGACGCTTGTGCCAAGATCAAGCGAAACGCACCGTAAGCAACATACAATCAAACACGGCACTAACCGACGTGCTTTGCCGGCGGGCGTTACGAAAAACGAAGCGAGAAGAACACGTCACGGAGATAACTCTATCTAAGGAGCCGGGGCCCTGCTCTTGAAGGATTGAGGTTATCACAATCGCCAGGGGCCGTGTTGTGAGAGAGAGAAGGCGTGTTGCTTCCTTTTTATGAAGAAGGCGTGTATTATCTCTTTGCCAATCTCATCCTATATGGCCTATAATTAGTATAGGGAGGCTTGCGGCTGCTAATTACAACGTAACAGGTCAGCGCTTCAACACAGCCATTCACATCATCTGCAGGCTCGTTGAAACGGCACCCACAGCGTCGATCTCGGCGATCTCGGCGACGCCAATTACGGTAAACGACGCCCTATCGAGTTGCAACAACGTGGTGTCTTATGCGTTGAGATGCCCATATTCGACATCCTGGGAGAGCACATGCAGCTTTCAAGCCCCCGGTGCAGGTGACGCACTGACGTACCAAAGTCTCAGATCCTCTCGCTGATGACTCCATATCGCAAACTCCACTGGCATTGAGGCTACTAGGGATGCTGATTACCGACTTGATTCTGCGGGAAGCAAGCTAAGCCTCTTGATAGACCAACGCGCCGCTGAACTTGCTGCTGAATACGCCCATGGCGCTGAATTGCGCTGAATCGCAGAGGCAGCTATTTGCCAAGCAATTCTCCATCCTGCGAGCCAGGCATCACCCGTTATCGGCCAGCATGGCATTCCTTTGAAGGATCTCTTCAATGAGAACAGTTATACCGTCTTGTTCTTTCCAAAGGGAGATTACGACCTGATTACCGTCACTAGACCGTAGGTGCAGGTTGATCCCGGGAGGCCTGTGGACTCTGCCACGGATATTTGACACGGATATCAAATGTCGAAAACGGACGGATTGAGATTTTACAGTAAATCCCGTGGCGGAGCAGCCACTGATATCGCCAGCATCGCCAAATAGCTTTGTCTCTCAAGATGATTGGCCCTTTTGTCGAGTATTTGCTCCATCTCAGTCCAATGGAAGACAGGTGAGATGTAAGTTACGTTGCTATTTTTATCAAACATGCTGTGAATTGTCATACCTGCAGATATCTCGTCGAAATCGCCATCATCTCTCACTGAATGCCAGGAGTTGCGGATCATCATAACAGCAAAGCCACAACAATCTACGTCGAACTGCCCGCCTCGCTCCTTCACCATAAGAAGAAATGGTGAGTTATTATGCTGATCTTTTACCAAAATTGCCCTTGCTGTCCCACCATAGATATCCTGTCGTCAACGGTCCCATTCTTTGCTGAGCGCGTCTTTGTCTCTCACCATCATCGGCTCGCTAGTTGAGTCTCATATTATATCCCAGTCCAGTGGGAGCCACGGTGAGAGAGTTGAAGTAAATTGCTATTTTTATCAAAGCGGCTCTCTGCTGTCCTTCCCACAGATGACTCGTCGAAAACAGTCCCATCCTTCGCTGAGCGCTTCGAGTTTCACATCACCACAACCAACAGCAAAGCCACGACAATCTACATTGGATCGTCAACCTGACAAGCGGAAGAATAATATCGCCGCACATCACATACCGCATGAAGTTATCGTTTTGGGCCGGCAGTGTTCTTTCCACTCTCTGTCCAGTTCCTTCACCGTGAAAACAATACGGTATCGTGCTCCCAGCGGCTCTTTAAAACCCTTCAACGAGACATACACAGAATAAAGTGGCATATTCCCTATCGGTGACGCCTTCGCTATTTTCTAGTAATTTGTTTCCATGCACGCCAAGCAAAGCCAAGCAAAGGCACTCCTCATGATGGTTCCCCTATCGATCCTATTTTTATCTCACTAGAATCACGCGATATGAACAAGAGCACGACCATTAGTTTTCAGATGTCCATCCAAGATGCCGTCTTCTGTTCAAGCTGCAAATATGCCATCAACGAGCACAAACCATCTACGTAGTCCATCTGCCAAAGCTGTGAATATCCCATCAACAGACTTATGCAATCTACAAGTAGATAAGGTACCTGTCAAAAGCTGAGAGCCGCCAAAACGCTACTCCATGGGCAAGAACTTCAAGACAATAAACAAATGTAGAGAATAAAAAAGGTAAAATTATATTGTAGATTATATATCTCATCAATCCGTAAACAAATCACACAAAAGTCAAAAATCATAACCGAGTACCTGCGAAGGCCTCACTTTTGCTTTCCCTCGTCATGCATCATGAACCAAAAAAAGAAGAAAAAATACACACATGTAGTACACGCTTCCGACTCCTCGTGCGATGCTTGCTATGTGGCTAAAAGAAGAAGACGAAAGGACCAAAAGTCAAAAAGTCAAGAGACAAAAAAGGAAAATGAAGAGAATGTGATGGTGGGCCAAGTCTCTTACGCTCCATGGCTGTTTGCTACAACATAAGAGGATAAGAGGCAAGGCAAAGAAAAGGTAAAGAAAAGGTGCCCGTCGAGGCGCATGGATAGAGTCTCAGAATAATGCATACTCTGATTCATTATAATGCTGACATATCCTGTGTTAATACAATGACAAAGAAAAAAAGAATCTTTCGTGATAGTGATTGTGGTGATTTTGGTATCCGCTTGCGGCCTTTGCTTTCTTTCATGATGCAGAGCGCAGCTTCTAATTGGCCCTGTTCCTCAAGCTGCTGCTGCCCCTTGAAAATCCAGGGAGCCACTTCCTCCGAGTACCAATGACTGACGCCGCTGGCATAGCTGTCTCGGCCGGTAGCGGCGGTAGCTTCTTCGAAGCCGGTGAATGTCGTCCGTTGACAGCCATTTCGGAGAGTCGTACGGGAGCACTGGTTGATGAGGGTATAAATGAGGGTGCTGCTTCAGTTCCCACCGTATTTCTTCTCCTTTGTCGAAGCGTAAGCGTGATGGGTGGCGGCGTCGAACCGGCACCATTACGAGGATCGAGCTCGCTGTCAATGTTTCTGTTCATCCAAGGCTGAAGACTAACGCCCTGGGCGCTCTTGTACGATTCAGAAAAGGTAGTCTCGGTGGCACTCGTAGGCATGCTGACTGGGGAAGTAGGAGCTACTGAGCGACGGAACAGTCTATTCAATGCTGTCCGCGGTCCAGTGACCGGAGGGTAGTGGTTTCTCTTCTCGCTTTGAGGGAGCTGAGGAATAGACGGAGACTGGATGGGCGTATGGTAGTCGTGTTTCACCTGGACGCTGTTACTGCGCTGCCTAGGGCGACTGACATATTCCATCTCCTCTGGATGCTCTGGCTGTTCCGGAGTGCTGGTAAGAGTGAGCGTTCTGGGCGAGTTGCGAGCAGATGAGGTTGTCGACGACGTGCGGGCGTGGAGGCTTGACCGCCTGCCGGGTGGAGGCGGAGCCGTGTTCGTAACGAGGGACTGGCGCAGTGAGAAGAGGTCGTTGATATAGTCGGCATCGTTGCCAATGCCCTGCGACTGCGCCTTCTTGTGACCAAAACCAGGCGGAAAGTTGAACATGTCGGAAGAGACATTATCGTCTTGCGTTGGCTTGTTGCTCTCTCGCATCCAGATGTCAAGACTAGATCGGGGTGAGTGAGACTCGGAGTGTTCATCAGAGTCAGTGCTGTCCCATTGGCTGTCCTTTTTCCGAGACGTCGTAGATTCACTAGCGGCTCTATGGTGATCATGGTGCTGCTGTGGCATAGGAACGGCAATACCATACGAGTGTCCATTTTCATCTCCAGCCCCTCTTTCAACACCTCGTAATTGACTCTGCTTTCCTCGGAATGAAACTCGCAGCGACTGATTGTCCTGATCGCTATATACGACTGAGGCTCTGTCATTTCGGCTGTCTTGTCTTGTAAGTGAATCGTTGGAGCTTCGCATTCGGTGCAGTGTCGACGTAGATATTGTGTCTGGAGTGGGAGGGAAATTCGGATCATGAAGTCGGAAAGCACCAGGGCCGTCCGTCATGACCTTTCGCAAGGTAGGGGGAGGCTGTGAGCGTCGTCGGTCTCTGCTCGAGTTGTTGGCCACAGGGTGGAAGCCCTCTTGAAGCACGCTCTGAGACCGGGCCAGCTGCTCGATCTGCTGTAGCGGGGAGGCGTGACCCACAGGGCCCGAGATGCTAGAATGGCGGGGAGCGGATGAACGGCTTGACCCGGCAAAATGGTTAGCAGAAGCGGCCCGGGGCGGGAAGCCAGTTATCCTCTTGATGTCCCGGCCCTCGGCTGTGTATATCTGCGAGTCGGCATCAAGACCATCCAAGGTCAGGGGCTGGTCGACCGGTGGAGGGAAGAGGCCATCTTGGCCCTTTTTACCATAGACACTGGCAAAGGAGCTCTCGCTGAGGACGCTCAAGGTTGGGCTACCCGGAGCCGGTCCATTAGTTGCGCCGTTATCCACCTCAATGTTCCCTTCAGTGACTCGTGCCAGACTCAGCGCACTTCCCCGGACTCCGAGATAGACGTTGCGCAAGTTTTCGGTGTTTTCGCTCTTTTCTGAAAGGAAGCTTGGCACGCGGTTGATGGCCCGGACTCGCTCCACTTGCTTTCCGGCGTCGTCAGCTGGGGGGTCGAGGGGAGGTCCACGATACTTTTGCTCCATGTCTTGACGGCAAAAGAAACCCTCCTGTTCGACCTGCAGGACCATGTTCCTCTCTTGAAGCAACTGGTCCACCTTGGCCTCCAGCATGACGATCATGGCGACGGCCTCCTCAACAGCCTTGTCGCGTTTTTCGAGCTCGTCGAGCAGCGTTTCGTTCATCTCTTCGGTCTGGCGCTTCTCCTTTTCCAGGGTTTCGATGCTTGATTCCAGCGTAGACTGCTTTTCGCGGCGGTGATATAATTCCAGCTTCAAGTCAAAGTTTTCCTTGTGGAGTCTGGAGATGACCTGTCGATGGGTTAGTTTTCTAGGAGTAAAACGGAGCGAAAATATCCCATTTGATTGGTGACGTACATTGTCCATGTCTTTGACGCCTAACCCGGGCTTCTTGGCAGGATCATTGCCGCTGCTCGACTTGGGGCGCGATCCATCCGACGAAGCTGCGACCGATCTCCTCCTTGGAGAGTTGACGCGGCTAATGCTGAGTGGTGCGCCAAAGTCTTCGCTGACTCGTGATAGAGCGCTTTGGCTGAGCTTGTCCACCTCTGCCCTTCTTTCTCGCTGTAGCTTTTCCTGTAAGAACGACGAAACTGCTTGGGAACGAGGGGACTCGACGCTGCCCTCTCTCGAGGCCTGGGGCGTAGGTTTGGGGGTAGATCGAGGCGACAGCACTTGCTCCTTGTAAGAGCTATGGTGGTATCGATGGCTCGGGTGGTCATTGGAAAGTTGAGGCGAGGGCGCGAGGCGAGGGCCCGGGACTGGACTGCGCACGCTTTGAGAAGTCATACGGGTGGACGCGGATCGGATGGACGTCCGCGAAGAGGCGCGAGGATACTGAGCCGGAGCCTTTTGATAGGCTCTCGACGATATGCTTGACGAATCCATGGCGCAACTGTGTGTTGAATGGCGGTTGCGGAGCAGCGTAACGCTGCGATGTTAAAAATAAAGGAACGACGATGGTTGGCGACAAACACGATACCTGATATATATGCCTATGCGGGTATATATATCAGGTGCAGCAGCTGGTCAAGGTTTGCGCTGAAGGCCGCATCGAAAGTCAAATTTACTAGGCCTGAAGGTTTAGCGCTTGGTCGGTGGTGCTACGAAGTGAATGTGGGAATAAGAATAGGTCAAGACAAGGTCAGGACGAGGTCAGACGCGATCGCGTGAGAGAATTAGGCGCGCGAGAGGGCGTGGTGCAGGAGGAGCATGTCGGTTGTGAGTGAGCACAGTCCAAGGGGGTCGATCTCGCGATTCCGCAAGGTCTGGAGCATGTACGTGGTAGGGGTGTCGCAATCCAGATTCCGGCCAGCCTCGGCTGCAGGCTTTGGTGAATGTGGAACAGAGGTTTGAGAGCAGGCACTGGCGAAGGTGAATGGGATGCGCAGTGGGCAGTGACGGGTTTGTTTGCATGCAAACGCAGCAAGGCAGAGCAAGGCAGAGCAATGCAAGGCGGTGGATATGTGGGATAGGTATGCCGTCGTCGTGGAAACTCGCTTAAGGTAAGGGTTCGTATTATGTTCCAGCGGCCGCAGACAGACGGACGGACAGACAATTCGGCAATCGACAACAATAACAATCAAACAGGAGGCAGTGTGCGTCTTGCCGGTGCGAATGAACGGGAATCTAGGAATGCGGTCGGGAATGAAGATGCGGGTGGAGAGGCGATGTGAGGCCGGAGGCTGTCTGGAGGAATGGCGGCGAATGGCGAGGGCAGATGCGATGGTCCTTTTTCTTGTGCGGACTAGAGGGAGCAGGGAGAGAGCAGAAAGAACGTACTGTACGGGCCGGCGCCATCCATGCGGGAATCGTGGTTGAACCAAGAGCGAAAGATGCAGTCGGGCGCAAATTGGCAAAATCAGGGACAGAGAGATGCGATGCGCAGATGGAAATGGAGATGGAGAATGAATCAAACTGATGTCGATGCCGGCCAAGGGAGGAGCTCTGGACAGCGAAGAGGCGTAGCGTAGCGCAGCATAGTGCGGCTACTCCGTAATTGCTGGCGCACTTGGTGCTTCAGTGGGTGGCTTGCAGCGAGCCAGGGGGCCGCGCTAGTGCCTGTGCCTGAAGCCGGGGCCTGAGCCTTAGCGCAAAGGGGCGGTCCGGCCGCTGAGGGATCAATGGATGAATTGAGTTGGACGTCACTGGTGATTGGTTTGCGGCAGCAAATGAAGTCGACTCGGCCTACAAGAGAGCTGAGTGGCCCAAAGGCGCAGTCAATCAGACACGCGCAATCACGAATAGACCAGCCTCTGGCTCTTTGTTCTCTCTCTTATTTCCTTCTTCATTCCCCAAGCTGCTGACCCCAATTAATGCAGCGCCCAGTCGGTGCCCGCATGGCCGCATAAACCACGTCTCCATCCTGATATCCACCCTTTTGTGGTCTCCCGCCCTGCCCGCCGCCTCTCTCTTTTTCCTGCTTCGCGCAAAGCCACGATGACACTGTTTTCAGCCCAGCCCCCTTTTACCGCCTTCTCAATTTTATGCTCTCTGTCCCGCCAGTTTGCGGCGCAAGCAGCAGCAGCAAGACAAAGAGGCTGCAGCAGCCCAACGACGCAGCTCACTTTTCAGCCCAACGCTCTTTTCTCTCTCTTCTTCTCTTCCCTCTCTTCAACTTTTGATGCTTCACTTTAGCAGTAACAGAGACTAGCGGTCAATGAATGAATGAATAAATGTCACCCCGTCTCGTCGTAGCGCTGCACCATGCTGCCTACTCCGGCCTAGCTACACCTTGTTCTGTATATAGACTTTGACAAAATGCCACCCGACCACACCAACGGCCTCTTCAATGCGACGTGTATGTCCTCTTCCATTGCTTCTAGCGCAGCACTCAAAACTCTCGCTCCACGGATTCTCCAAGCGCCGCCCGTCAGAAGAGCGGTGGAGTAAGGCCGGACTGCCGCATCCAGGATGCTGCATGTCCCCTCCTGCAGCCACCCCTTTTGAGGTTAATCGCCAATGTTTCCGTCTGCCAGCTTGTCTTTTTCAACTCAAATTTGTCGAGCGGCCAGACGAGCGAATCGTCGACCCGGCCAGCGGTTCATCGCCAACAAGTCCAATCCCATCTCCTGTAACAAAACTCAATCGCTGCCACCTGACGATTTACGGGGCTGCCCATCACTGGATCTCCCGCAGCCGCGGGGCTTGTTTCGACTCCAGCTGGAGCCGGGGCCGTGGTTCCGCCTTTTACAGCTCCATTTCCATCCTCCTTGTATCTTCATCTCTGGCCAACGCCAACGCCACACGACCACAACGCCGGCCAACGTATGTCGTTTCCTCGTGGCGCGCGACAAACGCAGCAGTCACAGCTGATTCGTCCCTCGCCAACGCAGGGTCTGCTGGTCCATGCAGCATCTATTTTCGTTTGTTGATATACCATCTCTCTTTCGTTTATGCTGCAATGATGGCATGTCGCATGGCCTGTCAATGCAACCTCCGCCTCCACCGACGCTGAACAAACAGTCAATCGCCTCTATACGAGGTAGCAACATGCTCCTAGACTTTCAAATTGCTTGAGTCCTGTCTTTCATCTGGTCTCACCCGCCCCGTCTATATCATTACGTGATCATTCTCAAGACAGGCCCTGCCCATCGAATACCCACGAACCATACGCAAGCAATCAGGCAAAAGCAAGCCATCACGCAAGTCACACCGATCTTCCTCAATACCCATGTTCCTGCATCCTCTCTCACCAAGCGGGGGTGCTCACGAAAAAAATGCTGATGTACGGAGGAGTCAGCAAAAGACAAATTGTAACTTCAAGTCCTAGAAGTCCTGGAACAAGTCCTACAACAAAACATGCCACCTCTGCAACTCCCATCCAGCACACACATCAGACTATTTGGTAATGATTCGTTCAGTACATCACCATCATAAACCTAATACCGTACGAGCATGTAACCACCACTGCATAAAATCCATACCCAGCAGCCCAACCCCTCCCTCTCATCCTCGTCACATCGACACCGCCTCTCAACCAAAACGCAGCCACATCCCTGTCCCTAAAAGCGGTAAAGAACAAAACAACGCAAAAAAAACACAAATATAGCACAACAAAATATGCGAAGAAATGAAGAAAATGCACATCTACCAAGGTATAGTTGGAGCTCGGTAGTCGTGCTCCGCATCTGCTCCATAACAGCGCACAGGTAGTAAAGTGTCCACGTCTGCCCTCTCCACCAGACCAGCAAAATGCACCCGACGATGTCGTGGCGCCCCGTAACCATGTTTGTACAATTAAGGTAAACTAGATTCAAGCACATGTACATTGATGCATCTGAAGCAGATGTATGTACCACTCCGGATCTTTTCTCTCGTTCGCCTCGACACGAGCTTAGCTAGCTGGCTAGCTAGCTGTCATACAGCAACACACACCACACGTGGCAAATGCTCCATTGATGCGGGAAAAAAAAGAAAAGACAGAGAGAGAGACTGTCTTGGGTCTTTTTTAGTACCTTGTCCTTTCATGATGATCCTAATCCCACTTTGTGCCGCTACATCTCCCTTGCAGATGAATAGCTAGACGTGTAAGACGCATTTTATAGATCCAAAATCGCGCTTGTTGCCACAGATACTTCCCGCACAGCATATACACAACCCAAAATCACCAGCCAAATTTAAATACTCTTATATAATGTCATTTAGACAGTGTCATCAACGCAATGGCGGCTATATACTATATACCTACTTTCGTAGTTCACAAACGAATGCTAATGATGCTATGATCTGACACGGCACAATGACACGATGCCAAACGAAAAAAGACAAATCTCCTCAACGCCAAAAAAAAAAAAGTTGTAGCTTCATCCATCCATCCATTTTTACGCTTCACCTCTTACTCCCCTCACAACTCATCCTTGAAAAACTGCTCCTCACTCCCTTCATCATCCTGCCCCTTCTTCTTCCGCTTACCATTGCCACCACCACCATCTTTACCCTTCCCCTTCTTCCCCAAACCCTTCTTCTTCTCCTCTCCCACATCACCACCCTTCTTCCCCTTCCCCTTGCCCTCATCCGCACCGTCATCATCCTCACCATCCTCATGCAACCACCCCCTCAGCTGCCTCTCCTCGTCGTCAACCCCGCCCACAATCTCCAGCTGCCAGCCCAAATCGCCGGCAAACCGCCTCATCTCCTCCTCCATCTCCTCCACCATGTCCGGCTTAATGTTCAGCTTCTCGAGCTCCTCCTTGCTAAGGCGGTCGACCTTGCCACCGTCTTCCTTGCTGGCCGCCTGGACGAGCACCTTGATGAGCTGCTCCGCGGCT